AGGAGCAGGCACAGCCACAAAGAGGACCAAGCTCAAGGAGCATGCAGATGGTTACCACTCAGGGGCTCAAGAGACAAGAGCCAAAGGAACTGTCACTGATCAAAGGAGAAGGAGCAGTGTCGAAGGAGTCGACACCAGGTCATGAGGAGGAGGAGCAGTGTCGAAGGAGTTGACACCAGGTCATGAGGAGGAGGAGCAGTGTCGAAGGAGTTGACACCAGGTCATGAGGAGGAGGAGCAGTGTCGAAGGAGTCGACACAGCTCAAGAGGCACAGGGGTGCCAAGCAGGAGAGGCCCCTGAGCAGTACTCGATGAAGAAGGTACTCTCTGGAGAGAGAGCAGGAGCAGCATCGCTGGCGATGCTGAGAAGAGGTATATAACCATGCTTTCTCATCATCATAGGTCGAGTGGATCCTCATCCACTCTACTCACCATATAACTAGTTATCACTTCAGCATAAGTATACATTAGTTTCAGTCAGCATAGTAGCAATCTATCAAGGTTGCTCCTCATCGTAGTGTGTGTATTGTATCACCACTACCTGATGTCCGAAGGCGCCCATAGCAGGTTAGCGGTCCGGATCAAGATAGAACCGAAGGCAGTAGTCCACTGCGGTCCGGGGATCACTTCAAGCATCAAGTCAACACACTGGACACTTGTGTTGATGCCACCAACCTTATCACCAACACCATCAACCTCATTATCATCGACATCACCAATCTCATCACCAACACCATCAACCTCATCATCATCAACACTCACACCAGACCTTGGTGTCATCATAACATTGATATTGATCGTGCCGAGCTACCCCTGAACGGAGTGTCCACAGAGGTCAGCCGAAACCTACGATAGTATATACAACGAACACCACCTGTTGTCACTGCACAACTTGATAGTCACCGATACTGAGACAATAGCTGTCACACAGTTTGATAGTCACCAAGTATCTCGACAGACCGACCTGGGTTTCAGGCGCGAGACCCCTGACACTCTCCTTCTGCCTGATGATGTGTGATGCCCCCTTTTGACACAGCTCCTTCTCAACTTTATCTTGTGAATCCCTTTAGCCACTTGTTGAACCTCATGACCAAACCCCTTGGTCATGTGGTCACTTTGGCACAGCTCCTGTGTGACTTTACACATGCACCCCTCAAGTGGTAACTGTCTGCATGATGCTGAGTCTACTAGTACTTGCTCATATCAGCTGACTTGTTGAGGCATGCTGTTCTGACTGTATCAGCTGACTTGTTGAGGCATGCTGATCTGACTGATTCTGACTGATCCCTGTGAGATTAATCTGGGACCCTGGGGTTTGATTGATCTCATAATTCATATGTGCTGCCAGCCCAATTAATCTTGTTGATCCCCAATGGTTCAGCACCGATAAATCTGGCACTCCCTTCATATACTGCTCCATTGCGCGACATTCCCATGACTGCCATTGATCAATTTGGCGCACTCTCTTGCGCTATCCTTCTGACCCTGTGACAACCTTCTTGTCATAAGTAGTCAAGTGGATATCCATCCACTCTACACCATATCTTACTAGTTCTAGCTTTCACATAAGTATACATTAGTATTCCATCAACAGTTGCAATTGCAGAGCATTGCTTCTACAGAGTGCATGTGTTGTATCACTGCTCATTGACATCATCCAAAGGTGGTTCATTCTATGGTCTGGATATTGATTGGCACTGAAGGCAGTTCATACTGCAGTCTGGCTCTCTTAATCATTAGAACTGAAGGCAGTTGTCCACTGCAGTCTGGGGATCACTCAGTCAATCAGTCAACACACTGGACACTTGTGTCAGCATCAACAACATCATCAGCACCAGACCTTGGTGTCATTGCATCATATCTAAAGTTATTGATTGTGCCAAGCTACCTCTGGACAGAGTGTCCACAGTGGTTAGTCAAAACCTGCAATAACATTCAAGCTATCACATATTTGAGCAAGAAAAGTCATAGAAGGCTTCTATGGCAGATCTCAGCAAGAATAATAATAAAGGCCTTTTTACCACAGATCTCAATAGGATCAGCAGTAGTTGCAATTCTACTACAGATTTCAGGTTTCAGGCATGCGACCTCTGACACTTCCATCTGCAGGAAGAAAGGGAAGCAGTGTCAATGAGCAACATCGCAAGGTAGGCAGGACAAGAGAGGAGGAGCAGTGTCTGAGGAGACCTCCTAGAGTAAAAGCAGTGTCACAGGTGACATTGTGAGGACATCTATATAACCATGCTTCCTCATCATAGTAGTTGAGTGGATTGCCATCCACTCTACACTTTACCTTACTAGCTATAACTTACACACAAGTATACTTAGTAGTTCCATCAACAGTAGCAATTGTAGGGCATTGCATCTACTTAGCATGTGTGTTGTATCACCACTTCTTGATGCCATCTGAAGGCAGTACATACTGTGGTCCAGATATCAATTGGCACCAAAGGCAGTTCATACTGTGGTCCAGCTCTCTCAATCTCATACTGAAGGCAGTCATCCACTGCAGTCTGGGGATCAATTAGCTCATTGACACACTGGACACTTGTGTTGAACCAAACACATTTGCACCAGATCTTGGTGTCATCTCAGTTAACTATTGGACATTGATTGTGCCAAACTACCTCTGGATGGAGTGTCCACAGTGGTCAGTCAAAATCTGTGATAACCTTGAGTTACAATCTATTTGAGCAAGAACAGTCATAGAAGGCTTCTACAGCAGATTCCAGCAAGAACAACAATAGAAGGCTTTTACAACAGATCTTGCTGAGATTAGTAGTAGTTGCCTTTTACTACAGATTTCGGGTTTCAGGCGCATGACCTCTGACAGCGATCCCTTTGCTACACCACGGCTGGAACTACTGCCAGAAGCCAAGTTCAACCTGCTAGTTGCAGCCAAACTGACAGTGCTTGTACTTAGTTGATTTGAGTTATCTGTCATGGGCCTGGATGCGCAGGAAGCAGGAAGATCCATCAACTCATATGAAGGGAGTGCCAGAATCAAGGAATTGGGCAGATCATGGGACTTGCAGAAGAGTTCACTGAGATCTGTAGAAGAAATGGCTCTATGGCAGATCTCACCTGGATTGGCATGAGCAAAGATGGTATCATGAATCCTGCCAGGATTGGTAGTAAACAAGATTGTATGACATATCCCATGGAGATTAGTGGCAAGGATGATCATACAACAGATCCAGTAGGGATTAGTGACAAAGACATTTGAGGTCACCACTGGATGAGGTAGGGACCCTACATGATGATGAAGTTGGCATAAGGAGATGGGTGCTGAAATCAGGAGGTAGATGGAAGAGGGGGTGTGCATTGTCATTAGGATGAAGTGGGGCAGCCCCTTTCAGCGATGAGGTGATGCTGGCTCTCCTTGACTCAGGAGCAGGAGAAGCAGGGCTTAGCAGGGAGGTGATGCATTGGTAAAAGACCTCTATCACAGCACTAGACAAAGAGGGTGCCCTCTGGAGAGAGAGAGAGCCAGAGCAGAGTCACAGGCAACACTGTGAAGATGAATATAAACCATGCCTTCCCATCATAAGTGGTTGAGTGGATCTCCATCCACTCTACACCATACAAACTAGTTATCACTTCTACACAAGTATACATTAGTTTTCAGTCAGCAAAGTAGCAATCACAAGTAGATTGCTTCCATTGTAGCATGTGTGTTGTATCACTGCTCACTGATGTCCAAAGGCAGTTCATAGCAAACCAGCAGTCTGGATAATGATAGAACCGAAGGCAGTCATCCACTGTGGTCTGGGGATCACCTCAAGCACTCAGTCAACACACTGGACACTTGTGTTGGTGCCACCAACAATCACACTCACACCAGACCTTGGTGTCAGTACAAAGTTCCTATAGTTATTGATTGTGCCAAGCTACCTCTGGATAGGGTGTCCACAGCAGTCAGTCAAAACCTGCAATAGCAAAACCACTATTACATCTTCTGGTGAGAAAAGTCATAGAGGCTTCTCTATGACATACCTCAACAGAATCAGTAATACACAGCATGTTACCACATATCTTGACAGGATTTGTAATAGACACATTTCTATTACAGATATCAGGTTTTAGGCGCGAGACCTCTGACATTATCCCTTGTCGTCTGCCATGTCTTGCCATTCTTTCCTTGTGGTGTCACATCCATGTTGCAAGGAAAACTTGAAGAACAGTAGCCTGCTCCAAATGCAAGACGATAGTAGAACTGCTGGTCTTCTGCTGGCAAGTCCAAGATCGACTTGATTCGAGGTCCTGGTAGTGGCGATGATGGAGGTGAGCATGTTGTCTTGAACATGTCGTCAGCAACCACCTTGTCAGCAACCACCTTGTGAATCTCCTCTGCTGTTGCTCTCGCTTTTCCATTTGTCTTGGCACTTTTGCTCAGCCGCAGTGGCTGACAAGCATCTGTTGTTTTACCACCTGCCTGAACACTCGATCCACTGGAACGTCCTCTTTTGCTGCCCAGTTTGCGCGTCACCCCAAGAATCACCTCAACTTGGGTTGGTGATGATGGCAGTGGTGGCGTTGAAATGCCATCAAAGGCATTGATGGGATCATCAAGTTCTTCCCAGAGAGAGGCATCACTAGAAGCCTCTCTGGGCCATTGATCTTGCAAGCCACACCAGGCCATCTGATGTGATATTGCAAGCAAGTAAGTGGATGCTGCAAGGGGAGTTTGCAGAAGGATGGGAAGATGCATTGGAGGCTCAGTCGTACTTTATAGCACAGAAAGCTTGCTGCATAGTCGGACATTGCATGCCAGCAGAGTGGAGCGGCTTGGTGTGCAGAATCTTTCTTCTGCAAGAAGGAAACACCTGCTTCTGTCTTGCTTTTGCGCTTACTATGGCTCAACTTCATCAGCGGCTGCAGGAACATCATCAAAAGCTTGACACTACAGAGTGCGTAGGTCAGTGATGAGTCAATTTGTGCAGTGCCGTGTATCAACGGACTGGTGTTTCCTGGCTGAACAATGACAAGAGGGTTCAGTCGATGCAGGAGCACAATCTGCTCAAGAACCTGGGTCCGTGGCTTAGAAGCCTCGCTCTGGCCTGGGACAAGCCCATCCATCACAGCAACATCGTCTCCAAAGATCTCCTCATCCAAGGCTATGACAGCAACCAACTCATTGTAGCCATTCCCTTTGTCTGCAAGGTCATGGAGCAGTGTGCCAAGTCCAACGTCTTCAAGCTGCCCAACCCATGGCTCATGGTGGTGCTGCGCCTCATGGTCGAGCTCTACCAATTTGCAGAGCTCAAACTCAACTTGAAATTCAAAATCAAAGTCCTCTTCAAGGGTCTCGATGTTGAACTCAAGGAGGTGCCTCCCACCACCATCCTCCACAACCAACCCAGTGCCAAGCTGCTGCAACAGCAACAGCAGCAACAACACCAGCAGCAGCAGTCTTTGGGTCAACTTCAGCATCTCAGCCAACAGCAACAACACCAGGCCGCTGTATAGATGCAGCTGCAGCAGCAATGTCAGCATCAGCAACAGCTCTCTCAGCAACCTGCCACCAACATTTCCCAGGGTCTCAAACGCCTCTTGATTGCTGGCGGATATGGTGCTGCAGCTGATGGTTGCATGGCTCCTCAGTCACCATTGACCGCGCTATCTGTGAGAACATTGCGCCTGTCGTCAAGCAATCTGTCATGATTGCTTCCATCTCAACCTGCAAACTGGTTACCAAGGACTTTGCAATGGAAGGAGACGAAGAAAAAATGCAAGCCTCGGCTCATCAGATGGCCCAGAACCTTGCCGGCAGCCTCGTTTTGGTTAAGAGCCTGTTCACAAACAAGTCCACCTACTCCTCGAAGGAGCAGGAGCAACTGGCAATGATCAGAGACAACGTGGACACCCTGACGAATGGATCTAGCAAAGGAGCAATCGAAGCGAGGGATGCAGAAAGGAAAGCACGTCATGCACAAAGCAATGAAGCGCCTGATGCTGAGGAAGAACCAAGACGAGACTCGGGCTGGAACTCTCGATCTGCAAAGTCAATGCTTTTCTTGATTGCTACCCGGAAAGGGATGGCGAAGGGAGACATCTACATCAAAACCAAAACCTCCCCAATAATCTGTCCAATTCTCTCCTCCTTCCCCACGCCATCCTTCATAATATCCTCAATAGCTAATCTCGCCTTCTGCAACGAACCCTTATTCAATCCAGCCCCGGCCGACGAACAGATCAAATTACCCAACGCCACAAGAATCCTATATAGCGATTCACTATCCTCTCTCCCCCCTTCCAACACTTCATTCACCAACCCCAGCATCACCCCCGCTACACTTCTCCCCCCTCCTCCACCACCACTGACGAGTTGAGCAGTAGCATTATACACCACAGTAGCGTAAGCAATTCTACCATTCTTACTCATTCTCCCATAATGTGTGTCGCTGAGACTACCTAGCAAACTGATTGCGTTAAGTTCTAGCTCAGCTAGTGCGCGCGGGTCGGACCAGAGATTGGCAATGGTTCGAAGCGCTAACATTGAGTTCACGTCTCGTTGTTTTGCCTCGGGCGAGTTGGGAGAAGGCCAATCGGAGGCCCAGGAAGAAGCTTCGAAGACTTCACGAGCGATTTCGAGGGGTGGGGTGGTGGTGCCGTATGCTGAAGCTACTCGGATTAGGTCTAGTGCGGGTAAGCGGGATGGGGGAGACCAAGAGGTGAGGGCTTGGCGGAGTGGGTCGATGTTGAGGTTACCGGAAGAGGGGTTGTTTTCGAGGGTGCTGATGAGAGTGTCGATTTGGTTGAGTTCGGAGGCGGTAAATTGGGTTGATTCGGTGCAGTTGAGTTGGGTGAGCTTGTTTTTGATCGCTGCAAAATTGGCGCTCTTGAAAGCTAGGAACGTGCGCTGGGGAAGAATCCTCGCTCCACCTCCCACCGCTGCAGCAGCACCAAAAGAGGTGCTGGCGTGGGGAGCAGAACTTGTATACGGATCGACATTTCTCGCACCAGTATATCTACCTGTATCCTCCATCCCAGCCCCAGCACTTGCACTTGCACTCGCACCTACACCCGCACCAGCACCTGCGTTGCCGCTGCTTCCACCAAGCTGATACCTACTCCCTCCAGTATATGGATCCACATACTCCGCCCCACCGCCTAAACTAACCCCCTGCGTGTTTGTCTCAATAAACTTCACCACCTGATCAATATACTCCTGAGCCAAATCATTCTTCTCCAAAAACCTCTGTGCCGCCGCATACGGATTCTCGCTCAAATTGAACGGCAACTTCAGCGGCGGTACACCATCCGCAATATCCACATCAAACACATAATCATACTCCTTACCCTCATACAACTTCTTCGACCCCGATCCTACCCCTCCGACCACTTCACCGATCTTCACCCATTGCTGACCCGAAGCGGACCACTGGTGCGCTTCAACTACATCACCATTCTTCACCATCTTCGTCTGTCCTTCTTTTGTACCCGGTTGAGAAAGGGCTTCAGGACCCGGAAGGTCATCCTTCTTGATGTCGCCCACTTGGGTTTGGTTGAGAGTTTGGGTGGAGATGGCATGGTCGAAGGCTGCGAGGGTTGCTTCGTCGGCGATGAGGGATGGGTTGCGGGTGAAGACGCGTGCTGCTGCATCGGAGGATCCAGCTACGATGTCACCGTTGGGGAGCACGGAAACGGACCAGACGGAGATGGCGGGTAGAGTGATGGTTTGAACCAAAGCTCCGTCACGCCAGATGCGGACACTTCGATCCTCGCCAGAGCTCACTAGCTCGCCTTGACCGCCTGGAATGGTTGCAAGGCTGTAGACGAAGCTAGTGTGACCTGAAAGCACCCGTACCGGCTGAATGGGTGCTCCAGCAGACGCGCCGTGTAGCGAGTACAGATGAATGTTGCCGTCGTTGCCACAGCTAGCAAAAGACTCTCCGCCCTCTAGCAGTGTCAAACCGCGCACTGCATCCGTGTGCCCACCGAACACAGCGAGCGGCTTGGCCGGGCTCGAGATGGACCACAGTCGAATGGTCTTGTCCGCCGACGCGGTCAACACGCGGTCGTGGTCGACAGCCAGCACCGCCCAAACGGATTGCTCGTGCCCTTTCAAAGTAGCCACGCACTCCCAATTGCGCCAGACTTTGGCAGTCTTGTCCCAGCTGCCACTGACAATGTACTGTCCATGCGGCCCGATGTCGAGCGTGCAGACGTTTTCTTGGTGTCCTACCAATGTACGTGTGGGCTGTGGCTCGGCTGTCTTTGCATCCAGTTGGACCGAGATATCACCATCAGCAGCTAGGAGCTGATATGCATAGATGATCTTGTCCTGACCAGCAGTGATGGTATAGGGTGCATCACTTCGGAGTAGTGCGCATGCGTTGACGAAGCCTTCGTGATTCGCGAGGTTGAGAGCGGAGCTGAACTGATTGCCAGATGATCGACGCCAGATGACAGCGCGACGATCTCGTGAGACAGTGAGAACGATGTCTCCGCGACAGTCTTTGCTGAGCTCGGGACTGCTAGCCGCTACACAACGAACATCCGCTTCGTGTTGCTCCAGAGTGGCGGAGAGCTTGTACATCGACGCCATTCTGAGGTTCGGCGAGTGTGGCCTCGGCTGTTCGAAGTCCCTGGCGAAGGATAGCTTTTTGATGTGTATCAGATGCTGTTCTCTTTCGTTTGCTATTGTAGGGCTTTGTGCGCCTTTGTTCGAGACCGGCTTGATGTAGGAGGAGTTGATGAAAGTGCGGAAGGAAGCTGAGCACAGACCCTGGAAATGAAAGTAACAGCGCACAGACACGCACGCCTCGATCACGTTTCCCCCGCAAAACTTCTACACACGCACACGCGCTTCTACCCGGCTTCCGAAATTTCTTGCACCCATCACTTCATACAGGAAACAGTAACACCATTCCTCTCATGATGTTCCTTTAGCAGCTCACAGATAACACAAATGATTTCGATGCAGAAGCTCAGAAAGCACAGATACATACATATTTCCACTGAGATGGCGATGCCCGCAACAAAACTTTATTCCTCGTTCTAGGCTAATGTACAATCCTAAAGTGACGCTTTTTAGTTAGCCTGAGCAGCAATACGACGAGCGAACTCAATAAGCGCACGAACAGGACGACCAGTGAAGCCCTTAGGCTGGTAATCGTTAGTCGTAGTAGGAGTAGCCTCCATGCTACCAGCGATGTCCAAGTGAGCATACCTCACGCTGGGAGCAGCACCACCACGCTCGCCCAAACCCACAACGAACTGCTTCAAAAAGATGGCAGCGGTGGAAGCACCAGCAAGACGACCACCAGTGTTGCACAGATCCGCATTCGAGGTCGAGATCTGCTTGAGGTAGGCATCGTTAAGAGGCAAGCGCCAGAAGAGGTCGTTCTCGGCTTCACCAGCGACGCGTAGCTCGTTCCAAAGACTGTCGGACTCGGTGAAAGCGGCGGAGTAAACGTCACCAACAGCAATCATGCAGGCGCCGGTAAGAGTAGCGACATCGACAAGAGTGTGGGGCTTGTAAGTTTCGGTTACATAGGTGAGGGCATCGGCGAGAACAAGACGACCTTCGGCATCCGTGTTGTCGACTTCAATGGAAAGGCCGTTGCGAGCAATGATGATGTCTCCGGGCTTGGTGGCTTTACCGGAGGGCATGTTCTCGGTCAAAGGAGTAGCGCAAACGACGTTGATAGGAAGACCAAGCTTAGCGATGGCAAGAGTGGTAGCAACGACAGCGGCAGCACCACCCATGTCGGCACGCATGGCCTTCATACCAGCACCCGGCTTCAGGCTGATTCCTCCCGAGTCGAAAACGATACCCTTACCGACATAGCCGACGCTGCGAGCCTCGTTGGCAGGAGCACCCTTGTAGATGATCTCGACGAACTTGGCGGGTTCGTCAGTACCAGCAGCAACGGAAAGGAACGAGTTCATGCGCTGCTCGCGGGCCCAGTCCTCGTCGTGAACGATGACGGTAGTGTTGGGGACGTTCTTAAAGGCGGCGGTGACACGCTGGCCGAAGATGGTAGGGGTCATGAGGTTGGCAGGGGTTTCCTTGAGCTCACGGGCCCAATTCTGAGCCTCGGCGTAGACCTCACCAGTATACCAGGAGAGAGGAGCGACGCTGGGGATCTCGTCACCAGCATCCTTGAGCTGTTTCTTGGCGGTCTCGTCAGCAGCACCGTCGACGGGGACAACGTTGATCTCCTTACCACCCTGAACGGTGGCGTCCTTGCCGTGGGCAGCGTTCTTGCCACGAGTCTTGAAGTGGTTGACAGTCCAGAGACCGAGGTTAGCACCGACAGCAGCGGCATGAGGGCTGGACATGGAGTCAAGAGCGATGGTCCTCTGAACGGGAGCATCACCCTTGTCTTCGGGGCCGGCACCGAGGTCACGAATAGCTTTGACACCCTTGGCGGCAGCGAGGCGGACACGCTCGAGCTGCTCGTTGCGGAGGAAGGTCTTCTCGGTGGGGTGGAGGTCAGGAGTGGTGGTGGGGGCAGCCTTCTGGTGACCTAGCGAGACGGCGGCGACAGGGGAGCTGTTGTCTGGGTAGAAGATACGAAGCCCGTTAGCACGCGAGGAGGAGGCACGCGAAGCCTTCCACTGAGCAGAGACGTCGACGTTCTTGGCGGTGGAGGCGCCGGTGGTGTCGACACCGACGACGACACCGGCGATGGACGAGTTTGCGGAAGAGGACGACATGGTTCTTTGTGCGACGATGATGGTAGTGGTCCTGAGGGTGGAAGGTGTGTAACGCAATGCTAGACGACAAGGCAGCATTGCTGAGAGGAGCAAGTTGGGCGAGCAGAGGGAAGCTGCAGCACACTTCGCTCACACTTTTACTCTGCAAGCACGGCATGAGAAGGATGCTCAGCTCAGAGCAACACAAACACACACACACAACGGCAGCATGAGCAGCAGAACAACGCACTGTCCAACGCTCTTTTTTTTTTTTTTTTTTTTTTTTTTTCTTTTTTTCTTCCAACGGCGACCTTCTCGGTGCTTCTCACTCTGCCGGCTCTCAGCGCTCCGAATGCAGACACGAAAGCTTTGACTACTTGACCAATGGTTAGCCAGCTTTGCACTCTTGATTTCCTTCTTCGTCTCAGACACATGTGCTGCCGGGGACGGCGGCGCAGGCCCTTCCGAGATGATCTACCTTTTCAAGAATGCTCTTCTGAATTGCCAATGACGAGCAGCCCCTCGCTAATTAGCTGAAAAGCTTGCCGCGTGTGGCCGTGAGAGCCATAATACCCAAAATGCGTTGTGAGACTCTCGCTTGGCGTCTTTGCCGGACTCTTCAACCTCATCGCTGCTGCCATGCAAAGCGGTCACATGGACGGAACCTTCACAAAAGTCGATATCTTCTTTGCTATGCGTTTAGTATTGTCTGTCATGGTGACCAACGAGACGATGTCGGCGGCAACATGGTACGGTCTGGCGAAATGATTCCGTCGAGAACACGATCGCGCTCATCAGCAGGTACACGCTCCGACAAAGGCAGCACCTGTTCTCGCAATGCCAGTGCTACTGTCACAGGACCCTTGATACCTCTACGGGATGCCCATTCGTCTGCTTTTGTCAAATATCGATCGTAGTAGCCTTTGCCATGTCCTAGTCTGCCGCCAAGCTGGTCGAACGCAACGCCCGGTGCAAGGATAAGATCAAGCCCATCGCCACCTGTTGTCTCGTCCAGAGCTACATGACATCAGCAAGAGGATGTTAGTGTCATTGTCATGACCAAAGCACCACTGCCTTCTCTTCGAAGCTTAGCCCTCTACTTACCTTCCTCACGAATCGTTCCATCAGCATACGTCAGTGGAGGTTCACGAATCCCCCACCGATTCGCCGCCATCGACTCGTACTCCGCCACATCTCGCAGCCGCAACATGATCATATCCGTCGCAAACTCAGTCTTGATGTCGGCTGATGCGGATGCCACTGTTGGTCCTGTTGCTGCTGCTGGGTTTGTTGGTGATGCGAACAATGGCACATAGAGCTTCTTGCCATCCTTGAGAGCTGATCTGCAGATCTCATCGGTCATGACTTCTCCTACGCCCATATGGATGTATACGCTGATGGAACGTGCTCGTGTGTATGTTTGCGACTGAAGCACTTGCTCGGCGACTTTTTGGGACTGTTTGGCGATTTCTTCCGGTCGCATGGCTGCAAGGGTGATGGTCATGGTTTTGCGAAGTTGCCGCTTGGCTGCTCGAAGTGCTGTTGCTGATGTCGAGGCCATGGCTGCAGCTCGGTCGAAGTGATGTGATAGTGTTTTCCCACGGTTGAGAGGTAAGTTGAAGGGTTGTGAGAAAAGAAGTGTCGGTTGGATGATTGATTGATATCAAAGCCGGCGTTGTTGCGAGAAATTAAGGGTTCAACACACTTTTTCCCGATACGCCGATCTGGGAGTAGGAACAAGCCGATTAGTAGGTGAGAGTGTGGGGACTGTGCGAAGAAAAAAGCGGGGCAGCAGAGCGCAAACCTTTCACATCGGCCCCGAAATGATAAAAAAATTAAAGGGAAAATGTGAGATTCCTTCTTTTAGGGCTCGAAATTGGAACAAAGTCTGTGTTGCTGTCACACACACACACACACACACGAAGAGGAGAAAGCGGATTTTGTGCTGCTGCCAAATGAAAGATTTCATATTTGGCTGGCACAGCATCAATGCAGCATGACTTGCAACCAAGCCTTTCCTCCTTCTTCTTTCCGACCGTCATCGACCACCACCACGTCTTACCCCCACCCTTCCTTTCAGGTCGGACAACTCTCGCTGGCACCGCCTCGCAACTATCTCTGCGTCGGCGCAACACCACCACCCAACCTTAGCATCTCGAACAAGTCCTATCCTTGGGCTAACGAAGCACAATGCCAGGCGTCAACTCCATCAAACTCCTTACGGGTAACAGCCACCCTGAGCTTGCTCAACAAGTAGCTGCTCGCCTCGGCATCCAACTCACTCCCTGTGTCGTCAAAAAGTTTGCCGATCAGTCCATCGATGTGCGTATCGGCAGCTCTGTGCGTGACGAAGACGTCTACGTCCTCCAAACCGGCAACTCACCCTACATCGACCCCAACGATTCTCTCATGGAACTTCTCATCATCCTTTCCGCCTGCAAAACCGCTTCGGCTCGTCGCATCACCGCTGTCATCCCGTCCTTCCCCTACTCTCGTCACGACAAAAAGGACAAGAGCCGTGCACCTATCACCGCCAAACTGGTAGCTAATATGCTCACCGTTGCAGGTGCTGACCATGTCATCACCATGGATCTCCACGCATCTCAGATCCAGGGCTTCTTCGATATTCCAGTAGACAACTTGACTAGCGAGCCTAGTGTAGCCCGATGGATCCGAAGTAAAGTGGAGAATTGGAGGGATGGGATTATTGTCAGCCCTGATGCAGGTGGTGCCAAGCGTGCTACTGCTCTTGCTGATTCGCTTGGGGTTGACTTTGCACTGATCAACCGAAACCGACGTAGGGAACAGCACAAGCGTATTCGTGCAGCACAAAAGACAGCATTGGGTCTCTCCAGTCGTTCTTCGATGGAAGACCTTCGTTCAGGTGTTAGCACGCCCATGTCGAGCTCTTTCCTTCTCGACGGAACCGGACTTAATTCAAAGAGCGCTGTAGGACAAGCTTCGGAGAAACTCAGCGCACTTAGCGTCTCTGCCGAATCTCAATCCTCTGCCCAATCTCACACCTCGAAACACGTCTACTCTGACGTAGCAAACGGAATCAAGTGCGCCGGAACTGGCGAATGGATTATGACCGATGAACAAGGTCACCGCGTCCGCTCTGGCAGATCTAAAAAGGATGCAGCAGAAACCAGCACAGAAGCAGACGACGATTCGGAAGATGAAAACTCCTCGCGTATGGAGATCCTCGTCGGTGACGTCAAAGGTAAAGTGGCGATTTTGGTGGATGACATGGTTGACACAGGCAGAACGCTCGCTCTGGCAGCAAAGACGTTGGAAGCTGCAGGTGCGGCGAAAGTGTATGCGATCATCACGCATGGATTGTTGAGTGGACAGAGTATCGAGTTGTTGAAAAAGTTGAGTTTGGAGAGGCTGGTGGTGACGAATACGATTGCTAACAAGGAGAAGGCGGAATCGAGCGATGACAAGTTGGAGATTATGGATGTAAGTGCCGTGATTGGCGAGACGATCAGGAGGTCGCATCATGGTGAATCTATTTCGCAGCTGTTTAGGCAGGATGCTGAGATCATGTTTTAGACATATCGTATCGACGCGCATCGTATTCTTTCTTCTCTGCAACCTTTCATGTGTAGTTAGCCGTCTTGAGGCCAACTTGTTTGAGTGGAAGTAAGGGAGCGTCAGTGTCCAAGGCGGGAGCTCTAGTAGGCTTGTATTAGATAGAAGGCGAAAGTGCACCAGTTACTCTACAAGATTGCGATTCGAGTTGGCACATGCAATTCACAAGCTTCCAGAAGCCAAATATAAGAAATACTGCATTGCAAGGGACGAGACAATGACCGACCAGCAACAAGAAAACATATATAAAAAAAGTCGACCGTGCCGTCCTGCTCAAGCAGGTTCCAGGCAAAGTCCCGACGCTTGCTGGTTTCTAGCGCATGATCTCGTTATAAATCAACCTCTTCAACTCGGACCTGGACAACTGTTCTTTGCAATAATCAAAGTCAAAGAAGCTAGGATCTAACGGCTCGGCTGTCGGTTCATCTTCCGGATCATGGTACGGTTCCAGATAGGGATGTGCGAGAGCTTCTTCCACCGTAATCCTCTTCCTTGGGCTGAAGGTAAGACAACGTTCCATAAGATCAACTGCCAAAGGATTGGCGTTGGGGAACATTTGACTAAAGTTTCTCTTTTTTCTGAACGGCAGCGCGCGAATGTAATCTCGGGATCGAGTCGAAGTGATTGCGTAGAAATCGTCCAGTGAAGGAGTGCCCAAGATCTCCAGAGTGAGGGAAAGTTGATGATGGTAGTCACGACCGGGGAAGAGAGGTTTACCGGAGAGCATTTCTGCCAAGATGCACCCGACAGACCAAACATCGATGGCTTTGGTGTACTCTTTGAAAGTAAGCATGATTTCAGGAGCTCGGTACCAACGGGTAGCGACGTATTCTGTCATGAAACCCGTTCCTTCTGCTTCGGGTTGGTTTGCAGATCGTGCCAGACCAAAATCGCAAATCTTGAGATCGCAATTGGCGTTGAGCAAGAGATTCGATGGTTTGAGATCACGATGCAACACCTGAGCCGAATGCAACGCTTTCAAACCCCTCAAAGTCTGATAGATAAAGTACTGACAGTGGTCGTCGGACAATTCTTGAGTTCGGATGACACGGTGCATATCGGTTTCCATGAGTTCTTGGATGAGGTAGACTTCGGAGAAGCTGTCGTAGTTGTTCGGTTTGACAATGTCGAGGATCGAGATGATGTTTTCGTGGTTAAAGTGACGAAGAAGTTTGATCTCGCGGAGAGTGCGGAGACAGAACATGGAGTGATCGAAAGGAGTGATTTTCTTGATGGCTACTCGGGATGAGGAGGGAACGTGGACGGCAGAGCAGACGACACCGTAGGCTCCTTCACCGACCACATCGACGATCTTGTACGTCTCGCCGACGTTGAATGAGGCTGATTGGTTGGATTGTTGGCCGTGCGCCATTTTTGGAGCTTGAGTGGCCTCAGCTACGGATGCTTGTTGCCAGGAATGCGTGAGCCTTAAAGACTACCGCTCTAGAATCTGCCGTGAAGCGTGGAGGAGGATGACGCTTGAGTAGGGTGTCGACGTCGATCGGAACCGGTCTGATGGTTCAGGATGGTATTAGCAGAGCGAAAGGATCTTGACCTCGACGCTAGGGATGGTGAGAAAGAAAGATGCGAACGGCCCCTTCTTGAAGGATAAGGCCAGCTACATGCAACTACACAAGAGCGAACTGGTTGGACAAAAGCATCAGCACCTCGAACGCTAGCATGCGTTTCACTGCGGGGTTGGGTTGGGTTGGGTTGGGTTTGAGAGAGAGTTGGAAGTCTCGCGCACCAAAATTGTCGGACATGCAAAAGGTCGAGTGGACCGTTCGCGCTTGCAACACGCACAGCACGCACAGCACGCACAACACACACCAAAGAGCAACACACGCACACAGCTGCAACGCAACGCCCCATGAATTGAGGAAAATGGCAGAGATCTAGAAAATTTAGGCGTTTTTCTTGCTCGAAGCGAGGCAGTTGGACAGCGCCTATCGGATGCAGAAAAAAAATAAAACACAGCAAAAACAATAATAATAATAATAATTTCCAAGACAAGTGACAGAGAGAGAGAGAGAGAGAGAGAGAGAGAGAGAGAGAGAGGCCTTTTCCCCTGTTTTCTGGCTCGGATTCGGTCGCTTAGAGTTGTGTGTGTGTGTGAACGAGAGGAGACGAAAGCTCTGGATTGGTAGACGCTCTTCTGTATGCGACGAAAGTGCCCTTTGTTGCTTGTTCAAAGCATCGTGGCAATTTCTGAGAGGCACATGTGCTAGTCTTGTACAGCTGAACAGGAGAGTCACTCTTGTTCTCGTCTCGCCACTGACTGGAAAGATGACGGTATTGCCCACAGCCGTGGTGCTTAAGCCGCGCCTCTTGCTCGTATATTGTCGTCCCTGCTTCAACACTCTGACCGCCAAAACAAAGCTCAGACCCACTTCCCCTGGTCTTGTGAGTATCTTGCGCTTGATGCTTCACCTGGTGATGCCAACTGTCTTCCTCGGCTGCATAGATATGAACTTACCCCGGTCTCAGGCCCTTTCTATATGACCCACTTAGTTGCAGCAACATAGTGCACCAAACACCCTCGGGTCTGTTGCGTGACATGACCAGCTCGATAAGGATAAGCTTGTTTGCCAGAGAAGCTTTCACGCTTGCATCCTCTGAGCTGATAGTCGCCTGACCCGAGTTGACTGTTGTTCTTCAAGCTCTGGTCCGTCTTTTGCTTTTCTACACTCCGCTCGCTCGTGCTCAGCTCACGGTCTCTTCCCGCGTGCGATACAAGCAATTCAAAGCGTCCGGCACCTTCCAATCTCAACCCCGACCAGATGTCGTCAAGATCTCCCGATCCATCTTGTCCTAGCTGAACAACGTCAAGCCGCCCGAGACACAGGCCTTCCCGAACACAACTGAGCAGAAACAGATGATGCCTCTTGTTCAACTTGATATGGTTGCAGCAATATGCTTATGACAATCTTCTTACTTGCCGAGCATGCTAGCAAGGGCACCCAGACCACCCGAGTTGCCGCCACCAATGAGACCTGCAAGCATCGAAGGGTTCTTCATGGCAAGCGACATGGCCATCTGAGCAGCCTGGTTGACAGCATCCTGCTTGTTGCCCTGGGCCTGACCCTGACCGTCCTTTTGGTCGTAAAGATCAGCGGCGTGGCTCATAGCAGCACTGATAAGCTTTGACTTGAAATCTCCTCCACCAGAGTTGTTGTTGTTTCCACCACCGCCAAGCACTGACTTGATAGCAGAGAGGCTGATATGGTCATGGTCAAGCAGCAGGACGAGATCAAAGGCAATCCACTCGTCAGCCTCACAGTCATATATCGAAATCATAGATGGGGAAACGACACTTACGCAGCAGCGTTACCGATCTGGCCAGACGAGTTGGAGCCTGACTGGTTGTTGACCTCGTCGTGGTCCTGGAGTAGCCTCCGCTCGTCGACGTTCTGGTTGTCACCCTGGTTCTGCAAGAACGAAGCAGCCTGAGAGAAGAGCGAGCTGTCGTGGTTGCCCGAGCTGTTGCCCTGTGCGAGGTTGATGAGCTGGCTGAAGTCAAAACCGCCGCCGTTTCCACCGCCCTGGTGCTGGTTGTTGTTTCGGTTCTCGTCATTGTTGCCAAAGTTGTTGTTGTTGTTGTTGTTGTTGTTGTTCTCACCCTGCTGTTGCTGGTTGTTGTTGTTCAGGAAGCCCTGGGCCATATTGCCAATCTGGTTGAGGTCGAAGCCGGACATTTTGAGTACGAGTGTGCAATGAGTGATTTGAAAGGATAGTGTTGTATGGGGAAGAGCTGCAAGATGGAGTGTGGCGCCGAACACAAGTCTTTATATCTTGTAACTGTTCAACGCCTCGGCTCAAGAAGCTCTTTTTCTTTGCAAGCAACACTTGAGCAAGGTGAGACATAGCGAGACATGCGTGACGTCTGTTTGCTGCTGCTGCCTTATCGGCTAAACATCCTCGCTTCGCTTCTTCCCACACAGAGAAAGCGAAAGAATCCACAGACTCACTTCAACGCGCACGGCCCGGTGAACCTGTCACACTATCTTCTCAACCCTGCTTCTTTCGACGTTTTGTTCGCACAGCCTGTCGAACAGCACAAGATCTAGACTTGCAAAGCCGCAGTCGTGCATGATATGCTGCAGTCGACTTTTCAAAAGTTGCTTTTCGAGCCAAGTGTTCCTCAGTTTGCTTTCGCCGTGCAAGAGAGTAAGTCAGTCGATGCACTGCAGAGCCCAAACAGCTGCACGGAGTAGTACAACGAGCGACCTTGCTCTGTCAGAAACAGATTGAGCTGTGCATGCCAAGAACGGCCAGTCCGGCTTGAATATTGCGCACAGACCATTTTGCTGGAACAAGTGTCAGCTTTGAGGTTGATTGTGAAGTGAGTGAGATCTGACATTTTATTTACGCGCCTTTGGGACGCGTTGAATAAAAAAAAGTGTTGTTCTCGCGCTCAGTCAAGTTCTAAAAAGCAACTCACACTTGGCATGACGGTATCGACAGCATTGGTGCCGTTGCAGCCGATACCTTCATGCTGAGCATCATCCCAACCCACAACAGTCAACCAAGGATTTGACCTGGCTGCCTCAATAACCATGTCATCCGTCGCTGGCCCTTTCAATGGTGGCGGCTTAGCCGATCGAGCAGCCAAAGCCACTACGCAGAGGATAGCCAGCAGGTCGAAAACCAACAAACGTATCGACCAGGAGCGTATCCTCGACCGTCTCGTATCAGTATTCCTGCAAGATACCGAGCCATCGAGCTCAAGCAGAGCAGCACAAAAAGCCAAGGCGATTCAGGTCGTCAAAAGGGACACATGGTCACCTGCTGACGTGGACGAGATTGCCGCCGCAGTCCAAGGTCTATCGCTCAAACACAGCATTCATCTTGATCACCAACTTTCAATCGCCTTGCGGAGATGCTATTCCGAGCTACTAACCTCATGCGAACGCTCAGTACGGATAACGGATCAAGCTCGAGATGCGTATAAACGTCGCGGACTCGACGCTCGCAATGTGCCAGACCCCTCAATACGACCCGACAACGTCTCTGATGCTGTTCGACTGCTCTTGCAGCTCTCAAAGCCAGCAGATGTCACTGCACGCACAGCCGCCAACTTGATGCTCAATGCGACCCAAGCGAATCGTGCGCAATATCTGACGCCCGAACAGCGAAAGCAGGCAGAGAAGCGAGAATGGCTTGGCATCTTGGTCGACGAGCCATTGGAAGGTGATGCTTGGGTCGAGGGTGGAGGAGAGGAGGATGGCTCTGAGCTGTCAGATTGGAGCCTCGACTCGGATGACGCTCATCGCAAACAGATCGAGGAAGGATACGACAGCGATCAGCAAGTGCGCGAACGGAGGAATCGACTCACAGCTGTCTCAGCCTCAATACAGCCGACGGTCTCCGCATCAGCCGACTTTGAAGGACGTGAGACATGGACGAATCACCGGCAATCACGATCACAAGAGCTCAGTGATGCCGTCGACGAAAGTGTTCGCTCAGCAGCAGGGCTGACAGAAGCGGATGCCGTTCGAGAGTGCCACGCAGCGCTAATGGGTGGTTTCAGTGTTCTCTTCGAGAGGGATCGTGCTGGCAAAGTCACACTGGCAGACCTTGCCTTCGAGGGGCAGCGACGCGCTCTAGCTGGACTGTCTGAGCAGCTGCAAGAAGTCGCCACACTCGCCAGCACCTTTGCATCACTCCGCACCTTCGTCAACGCGACAATAGCGCAAAGTATCCAGGCAGTCGATGCTGTCACAAGAACACCAGCAGTCGAAGCCTTTGCAGAACAGCTACAGATCCTACTTGAACGACTGTCGCTACAGCTATCTGAGCTGGACGCAGATATTGCTGTTGCTTCAATGCCAGGCTTCCGAGCCGTCATCCGCACCGATAGATACGCGACCCTCACGCAATTGCTCCAGTTCGTTCAACGCGAGGCAGCTTCTGTGCTGCTGTTGGCCCAGCTGCTACGAGCAATGGGCTTCATCCCTTCGACTGGAGACGGCGATGATGCTTCTGTCGTCAGCCGTGCCTCGAGCGATCGCGCCCTGATCGATGGCCTGCAAGCACTTCTGGGCTTCGTGCATCAGCAAGACCAAGTAGCGCACTCCGAAGTCATTCTCGCTGATTTGAGCACATGCTTGCTTGCTGCGTGTCGCCCTGCTTGGCGGTCCGTCTGTCAGCTCATCCGGCGAGGTCTCAGCTTTGCCATCACACGTGACCACGACCCTATCTTTGATGACCGTCTCGTCCAGCACTTGCTTCGACACGATACATCCCTGCCCACTTCAGATCCAACATTCTGGACTCACGGCTACGTGGCACGTGGAGTAGAAGGAGATGTTGGCGACGAGCTTGGTGCTGATATGGGTTACAACCCGCCTGTCTTCTTACAATCCATCATTGGGGATGTTCTCACCACTGCAAAGGGTGTAGGTCTGCTCAGAAGCTTGGGGGTCGACGCATTCGGCGTAGTTCAGCTGAATGCTGATCTGGATGAGATCCTCGGTCTTCACGACAAGACCTCGTCCATCGCTCATGACGATGATCATGAAGATAGAGCCAGTAGCGAAGCCGAGTCACACGCTCCTCTTGAAGAACAGCAAGCTCCCATGACATCCTTGGAGGCACAGAACAAGCTACGACAACTGCTTTTCAAGAACAAGGCTGGATACACGGAAGGCCAACAGCACCTTGGAAAGCAGCAAGCACCAGAGGTTTTGCCGCAGACGCCGCTCTCACAGCCCAACGCGGAGCTGCTCTGGGGCATGGTGCCGTCACCGCAAGCCAGACGTACACCACACCGCCTGTTGGAGCCACTACTCGGTCGATCGCTGCAAGAGCACCTTGCACCTATCTCTGCCATCGTTCGCAAGCGCCTCACCGAGGTGCTGTCATCGTCAGCATCAGAAGGCGGCTACGCTCTTCAATCCCACCTCAGGGCATGCCACGGTCTCTTCTTCATGCAGCGAGGAGCCGAAATGACGAGCTGGACCGTGTCTCTCTTCCTCGACCTCGGACGACGACACGGCACCTTCCGAGCCCTGCAGCAGCACCGGCTCAACTCCATCTTCAGCGATGCACTCGAAGCACACCAGCAAGGGACGATGGACCAAGCATGGATCGACGCCAACCTCGTTCGCTTGTCCACAGGAGATGATGAGCTTGAAAGCATGGCAGCCATTCGACAGAGAACACGCCTTCGCCGCCTTGCTGATATTCGGGTCCACTACGAATTGCCTTGGCCACTCACCTTTGTCTTCCCTCCACGTTGCATGCGCTTCTACCAGTCAGCGTTCACAACCCTACTGCAGGCCAGATATGCACAGTGGAAGCTTGCAAGCACGCTCAAGCAAGCCAAGCCGGAAACGATGCACATGCGCAAGTTCTGGGCTTTGCGTCGTCAAGCACAATGGCTCGTTCGTACGCTCATGGAGTTCGTCCAACGAGATGTGTTGTTGAACGGTAGCGAGCAGCTTTGTGTGGGCCTGGAAGGAACAGTGTCGCTGGATGGTGCGATCAAGGTGCATACAGAAGCACTAGACAGGATGGAAATGCTATGTTTCCATCGAGTGGAGCAAGCAAGAGTCAAAGGTCTCATGAGCTTAGCATGGCGATTGGGCGTGGAAGTGGCCAACAACTACGAGCAGTACATTGGCGCTAGCAGCCGTGAAAAAGATAGACAGGCCCGAAGGAAACGTCGCGAACGACGCAAGAAGCGCAGAGACAAGGCAAAACGTGATGGCGCGCCACTTGGCATCATTGCTGAGGAAGACGAGGAGGAGGACGAAGAGGACGAAGAAGAGGACGCTGACGACGCAGCGGAAATGGACGAGGACGATGGTGCTGGAATGGGAGACTACGACACAATCGCACGGTCTGCAGCAGTCGACATTGATGGTCGCACCTCGGACATCTACGATTCAACCTCGGTCGACGCCTCGATGAGCGCGGACATGTCGGCTAGCTGGATGGAATCAGAGACACACAAGAGAGAGCGCTTCCGTATCGAATGCGAACGCCAACGCAAAGCTCTGCACAGATTGGTGGAGGAGCTCAAGATCAGCATCGACGATCAGATCGGTCGTGTGGCGGCGAAAGCAGCAATGCGAGCCCAAGATGCTACGCAGGCGGACCGAGCGTTGCAGGAGTATGATCAAACTAGAGAAAAGTGGCAGGCTCTACTTTACGCGCTTGCTTGGTCGGATCTCACCTATTGACCTCCTAATTTGGACCCTTCCCCCGCTCCTCTCGTCGACAAGGAGCGCTCTTCAACATGCACACCAGCTCGCAAGCTCCCCAGCGAAGAGTACACAATCCAAGAGCCCGCATTTTGTTGCTCGTTGCAGCAACATCCTCGACATTTTCCTATTGTGTTAGACTGCGTGAAAATCGAGACTTTGCCGCCAGCGCGGAAAATGAAAGGAAAAAAGGTGACTCTGCGAGAGAGAAAAAGGTGTTGAAAAGTGAAGACGTTTGGGTCCCGATACTGGCGATCGGGGAGAGTCTAAGTACGATGTCACTGCTAGTTATAGACAGAAACAAATATACTCAATTGACTAGGAAGAGAACATGGCGAGAGCCTCGAGCACTCTGCCTGGCATATATACAAAGTGCTGGTACATCCCATAGGTGGGAGTATCACCCTCAATGACAGAGTACAACAACGGGCGGGACCCAATAGCATCCATTCTCTCTCTCTGATCGGCTCTGTCTGATTCCCGATTAAATCAGATCTATTCTCTCTCCGATTAGCTTGGATCCATCGGCTCCCCGAATAGATCTGCTGGATCGCCATCTTCAGCAAAAGGGTCCCATTTCTGTTGTTGCTGCTGCTGCTGCGCGTGACGCGAATTTGCGACTCAGTTTGGGCCATTCACTCTGCGCTGTCTGCCGTTGGCTGATTTTAGGCCGTCTAAAAGCCCTCTCAGTCGCGCACGGTCAGAACTCGAGAGTGACTTTATGTGAAGGTGGAGAGAGAGTCGCGATTCTCACTTTGAGTACTGTCAAACTCAGCTTTTTCTAACTGAGCATCTCCTTGATCTTGACCACACTCCTGTCTGTATTATACCCGCCTTTGGCTGTTGAAGCAGCAGCATTGGTATCCCTACGAGCTACGGCCATCCACAGCGCCATCCTACTGGTCCCGATCGTCTCAACAACGTCGCGTTCGGCTAGCCTCGTCAACTTGACTATTCATCGATTGTCGGCTCTCCAGCTTCCAAGCCGATCCACTTATCAGCCCAGTCTGCACAACGGCCGAATCGACGACGACTCGGCAACTGCTGTACATCTCTCCCGAACTCAGCCACGTCGTAAATTGGTAGAAGGTGCCTTGCTTCATCATTACTATCATCAGCATCAGCAACAGCAACTCCTGACATCTCTCGACAAGGTGTCTGTTTGAGAAGGCGACTCGACTACACGAACGCAAGCTCCGCTCTCGATCGGACAGCAAATGGCAATCGACTCACCATGTCATGCAACCTGATCGCTCCTCTTCCAACCTCAGGGCGATGATGACCATTCAACCACTTAGCCCGGCAGCCGCTGGATCTCTACCAATAGGACCAGCTTCGTCGAGGCGCTCTGCATCGCCATCCAAGCTAGCAACTCGAGTCAAGCAGCAACAGGTGGTAGATGCATCTGCTGCCAATCCTGCAAAGAAGCGAAAGCTCGAGCCTGCATCTGCTGTCAGCAAACGAACACCATCCGGATCGGCGCCAACTACAGCACGCTCAAAGCAACGCGCGGCACCACACGACGTCTGTGCTTTCTGTTTGCGAACCGCTGAACATCCGAAAGGAGACACACCCAAGCTGCTCGTCTCATGTCACGAGTGTGGGAGCAGCGGGCACCCTTCCTGCCTGAAGTGGGGTCGCAACCCAACCAAAGTCCGTCAAGCATTGTCCTACGACTGGAGATGCATCGAATGCAAAAAGTGCGAGGTCTGCCGCGACAAAGGTGACGACGTAAGTATCGATGCTGCAAAAACGGCCCGCACAAGGGCAATTGAAAGCCGCGGCTTGCACATGCAGGTCCCCGTCAGATCTCATTTCATGACAGCGCAGACAGTCTTGCTGACTCTTCTTTCCTTCTTCCGTCCACTCGACAGGCTCAACTCATGTTTTGTGACAAGTGCGATCGAGGCTGGCATCTGTATTGCTTGTCGCCTCCACTCTCGAAGCCTCCAAAAGGACAATGGCATTGTCCGACGTGCGAATCCGACGACCAGACTCAGAAGGGGTCGCCAGCAGCATCACCTTCATCACAGCCTCTGGCACCACCAATAGCCTCGAGCTCCGCACGGCAATCTACACCACTCAGGAACGGAGAGAGCAGCAGCAGCATGCGCGCCTCGAGCTCTGGTAGACTGAAGAAGCCGTCAAATCCAGATAGGAGTATCGACTCACTTCTCACGGCACCGACCTCGATGCACAAAGGCAAAGAAGCTCAAAACAATGCCAATCACAACTTTACTGCCTTCAGTACGCTCAAAAACGGCCTCCTCGACGCTGCCGGTTCACTGTTCAGCTTGAGCCCTGGATCACCCTGGTCTTCGAAAGTTAACTCGACAATGCAGAACGGCGCGCTGTCAATGTCAATGACTGGGTCGTCTAGAAAGTCAGCTGCTACAGGAGGTGGCGGCGCAAGAGGCAGCAACAAGCGAGGTCAACCGCGAAAGTCGGCAGGCTTGCCACGGTCGAACAAGAAGTCGAACGCCAACACGAATGGTGCCGAAGGGCATGCCAGCGGCAGCAGGAACGCAATCGAGGGGGATCGAGATGGATCCGGTTCATCTGACGGGGAACATCCGTCGGAGCGTGCCGTGCACGATGAGGAGTTGATACAAGGGGCGGGAGAGGAGGAAGACGAAGATGTAGAAGGTCGTAGTGATGCAGCAGCGAAGAGCTCAGAAGAAGAGGATCCTTTTGGCGGGGTATTGGAGGGCACGGATGCCATCACACTGCCCTACAAGCCCACACCACAGGACACGGAGCGTTTCCAACGAGCACAACGAGCCGCTGAAGAGAAGTTGGGAGGAACACTGGCTAGTCTGCCGAGCATGTCGGGCAGTCGTGTCATCAGACGACCAGGTTTACCAAGTGCTGGAAGTGGCAGCTCGTTGGCAGCATCACCGCGGCATCCGAGTTCGGCCGCGCTGGTCGACACACCCGTCAGTGTATCTCGCATCTCGCGCGCACAGTTTGTACCACGTCACTCACCATCGGGCACACCAGGGCCTTCCCCGCTTGCAGCCTCGCAAGTTGAGATCACCACATCCGCTTCCAGTGCTGAGACCGGCACCGCCTCTCCGATCAAGTGCATCCGCTTTGGCGAGTTCGATATCGACACCTGGTATCAGGCTCCGTATCCTGAAGAGTACAGCATGGTCCCAGATGGACGCCTTTGGATCTGCGAGTACTGTCTCAAGTACATGAAGAGTCGATTCATGGCGCAGCGTCATCGGCTCAAGTGCAAGATGCGACACCCTCCAGGCGACGAGATTTACAGGGACGGCAACATCTGCGTCTATGAGGTGGACGGCCGTAAGAACAAGATCTACTGCCAGAACCTCTGTTTGCTCGCCAAGATGTTCCTCGACCACAAGACGCTTTACTACGATGTCGAGCCCTTCCTCTTTTACATCGTCACGGAGGGCGATAGCAGCGGGGACCATTTTGTGGGCTACTTCAGCAAAGAGAAACGCAGTCCGATGAACTACAACGTGTCGTGTATCATGACGTTGCCGGTCCGTCAAAGACGAGGATGGGGCAACTTTCTGATTGATATCAGCTTCCTGCTGTCGAAGAAGGAGGGACGGACGGGATCCCCGGAGAAGCCACTCAGCGATTTAGGCTTGCTTAGCTACCGCAACTACTGGACGTTGGCTGTTTTCTACTACTTGAGCATTGCACCCGACGGGGTGACGATGGAGGACATCAGCCGTGGGACGGCGATGCAGTTGGAAGACATCTTCTACGTGCTTCGAGAGCAGGACATGATCATCGTCTATGACGGCAACAACGCAAACAGCAGAACGCCTGCTACGAGCAAGTATCGGGCTCGAGATGGCAACCCTTCTGCTGGCGCCAATGCTGCATTGCCAACCAAGGCGCCTGGTGCTATTGAGCAGTCGTCTCGAAAACGTGGTCGACCTCCTCTGCATCCCAGAGGCGCTCCAGCAGCAGATCTGCCTTCTTACAAGGACCGAGACAAGAACGCGGCCGACTACCTGCCTCGAAAGTACAGCATTCACGTTGACCGCGACTACATTATTGCTCACCTTAAAAAGTACGAAGCGAAAGGATATCTCAAGGTCAGAGCTGACAAACTCAAGTGGACGCCCTTCCTTGTTTCGCGATCGTTCCCGCAGCCGATTGCGACGCTGACGAATGGCCAAGGTAGTAGTAGTGGCGCTCATGTTGGATCGACGAATGGTACTCCTGTTCCATCGGGTTCGGGTACGTTTACGCCGGCAGAGATGATGGCGAATCTGGGTTACTTTGTGCTGAGTCAGGTGCAGAAAACGCCGGGCCGCAGTGACGGGGCTAGTGCACGGGCAAGTCCAGCTGCTGCGGCTGGGAAACGCACTCTGTCGCGAACGAGCTCGATTCCTACGGGTGCACCGGCATCGAGTGCGGTTGGAAGCTCGAACGCAGCTGAGGTGAGCAGTCCGGGACGCTCTTATGTTGCAACACCCACACCTTCGCCGCAGAAGAAGCGATACCGGCCTGCTCCGCAAGCTGGAAGCGCTCCGTATGCGCCAGACTTTGGAGCTGTCAAGAACGAATCAGGGACTTCGGCTTCGGAGATTGGCAGGGTCGGTGGGTCTGGCTCAGCAGAGACAGCTTCAGTTCTTGTAGCTTCGAAGGCAACTCACTCAAGCCAGGAGGACGCCATTGCAGCCGCTGGAGTGCTATGGGATGTCGACAGAGACGCAGATGCCGAAGCCGATGCAGACGCAGATGCAGATGGTGACTACGAAGCTGATGAGTATGCCGCCGAAGCTGCAGCCACCGCCTCTGTCTCAGCGCAGACATCTGCAACGAAGCAAGAGTTCGGACGGCTCCCTATCGACCACAAGTTACTTCAGCGTGCGCTTGCAGCAAGCTCTAGCGGCTCCTCCAATTCGTCGACACCAGCACAATTGGAAACGAGCACGTCCACGTCCAGGACATGCGCAGCACAGGATGAGGCGAGGGCTACACCTGGTTCATGTGATCCCAATGATCTCGGAGACGAAGATGCGGATGGGAGCGATGAGGATGCTCCTGGCAGTGATGATCCTGAGCTGGAGAACCTCTGACGTTGTGATCTCTTTTGCTAGCTAGAACACTGGCGCCAAAACCCTTGATACCTATTCTTACCTCTCATGTACCATTACTTTCGCCGCAGCAACAAACATGCTTTGCATACGAAGAGAGTGCATACGAAGAGAGAACACCCCCTTGTGAGGCAGTGGTGATTGACTCAAGCATAATGGCTATGAACATGTTCCTTGTGAGGTATGCATAGTATGACGCTGCTGCCTCGGGAGCTGATCGACCGACGCGCGACAAAACTGCGCGTAGGTTTGAGAATGTGCGTTTGACTGCGGTGGAACTTGTATGCGCTTGGCTGCTGATCAAAAAGAAGCAAGAAAGTGTCTCTAAGCCTACGCACGCGTTGTTTGAATTCTCACTCACATTTCTCGCTGTCTAGCAATAGAAACGCATTCTTTGCGGAAGGAAAGGTTGCTCTGATCGCCTGGCACGAGCCGCCATTTTCTTTTTTCTTTTTTCTTTTTTCTTTTTTCTTTTTTCTTTTTTCTTTTTTCTTTTTTCTTTTTTCTTTTTCTTCTTCCTCGCCAGCACCGCCTGTCAGTCACAGAGTGTGGGAAGAGGACCCTTTATTGGTGTCTCTTCCTCGGCACGAATATCGGTCTCAGCGAGCGAGCGAGTGAGCGAGTGAGGCGAGACTGACTGACTGACTGACTAATACTGTAGGTTTCAGATTCTTTGTCGTTGGCAGTCTCTTGCTTCATCAACACCTCTTGTTCTCCCATCTGGATCGTTCCTGCTCAGCATTAGGAGCATCAACTCAGCTCCGATTCTTGTCGCAGGACGCCAGCCTACGCTCAACTTTCCAACTCGGTCTCGTTTCTGTCTCGCATTCAATCCAGCCCTTTTCTTTGATCGACAAAGATTGCTACAGAAGATCGTCCATCTGTAGGTCCATCTCGACCCGACCAAACGAGCCAGCTCGAATCGACTTCAGCAAGGCAATTCGTCTACCCTGACCCATCTCGCATTCTGGCTTCGTTTCGATTTCACTTTCGCTTCATAGCACTCGGCATTTCCACTTGGTGCTTGCTCCTTGATAAGCTTCTCTCGAGCAAGGCCTGCGTTTCTACAAATCGCGCATAGTCTATCAGCTCTTGTTTCGACATCGCGCCTTTGGCCTTGTTGCGTTGTGAAAGCTTCGGAGGCTTCGCACGGCTGCTCCACATAGCACATCATGTTTGTAAGTATATAAGCTTGAGCCGCTCCCTCAGCGTACGGCTTCCGCGCGTGGCCCTCGCATGATCACCAGAGCGGCATCACTGACCTTCTTTCTCTATCCCACAATGCTTGCATGCACACTCCGCAATCACAGTGGAGGTTCGGCTTCTCGTCAGTCTCGACGCTCGAGACGCTCCTCGATAAGCCCAACGTCACCCTCGAAGATGTCCTTGACGAAGATGACCTGCTTCAAGAATGCAAGTCGCAAAACCAAAAACTCATCAACTTCCTCTGTCAACCACGCATCATCAAGAGGTTGATGGAACATGTCGTCGGTACAGCAACCGTTGGTGGAACTGGTGGCAAGGAATGGGAGGAAAAAGTCAAGTTCAAGTACCCTTATGTCGCCTCTGAAGTTCTCAGCTGCAGCGAAGTATGGCCCATCATCGACGCTATCTTTTCCGACCCCAACGAGTATTTGGTGCCCTTCTGGAATGCAGTTCTCACATCGAACCCTTCGGCATCGCAAGCACCTTTGCCAATGCACTCGCATCCTCTATTCGCCGAAAAGGACGCATCTACCTCCAACGGCTCCTCTGCTTCGACTTCGCCTTTGCCACATCTCAGCGTTACCAACTTTACCGATTACTCGGCTTCTGCCTCCGGAAATGGGGGCAGCTCGCGGTCGTCCTCTGACTCTGAATCTGAGACCGAGGGTCGATTGCGTGCAACAAGCGCTCTCGAGAATGGTCCTGGACGTGGCGTGCTTGCCGGATATTGGGCCAAGGTCAATGGTGCTTATTTGGAACGCAAGCCGATTGAGATGCTCGAATTTATCAAAGAGCAACCTCGGGTTGTGGAGCGCTTTGTAGCTCATCTCGAAACACCAGCTGTCGTCGATCTACTTTTCAGGATCATTCAGATGGAGGAGACGATGCGAACACCCGTTCAGACCACCGACATTATCGATTGGCTTTCGTCTCAAGACTTGATATCTCGCACCGTTGATCTTCTCGCTCCCAACTACTCTGTCGACATCCACAACACCGTCTCTGAGCTGCTCAAAGCGATCATCGCACTTTCGGCTCCTTCGCCCGCCGCACTCAACCAAGGTCAGAGTCAGGAGCTCGGAGGTGGTCTAGGTGAATCGCAAGAGAATGCGGCTGGTATTAACAACCGGCTTGTACGCGAGTTGGCAAGCGAGTCGATCGTGCGCAAGATGGTCGGGTATATGCTGGATTCTCAGCTGCCACGACAACTGCATAGACGGTTGACAGATGTCGCTGATGAGCAGTTGTCGCAGCTTTCCGTGCAGGATCTTAAGAAGCCATCGCAGCGAGCGGACGCATCGTTGTCGACGTTGGAGGAAGATGTGGTTTCTTCTTCTGCCTTAGATGATGATGATGATGACGAGTCGTTTGCTAGGCCGCTTAATCCTCGGGAATTTCCGGCTTCGGAGTCAAGGTCGCCTGGTCAGTTCGATCACAGGGGATCAACGGCTACTGTGAGGCCGGATAACTTGTTCCCTCCGGTTTCGGCGCCAACTGTGCCGATTACTTCGGAGACTTGCAGTTCAACACTGGTGACCTGTATCGGGGTCTTTATCGAGTTGATCAGGAAGAACAACAGCGACTACTTTGAGCAGCATCTGCTACGTACTCTTCACAATCACCTGGTGAAGAGGCAGAGCGAGTTGACGGAAAAGCGATTGCAGAAGAAGGAGGATGAGGAAGCAGCCAAAGCCAACTTCAAGCAAGAAGGCGGTGAGGGAGAGTCAAACGATGCGGAGAAACAGGAGGATCCAGAAGCAGCGCAAAAAGCAATGAACGCTCTGGACGAGGAAGAGGAAGACGTACAGGGAATGGAAGAGGCCATGGTTGAGATTGTTGATAAGATGGGACTTGTGCATTTGGGACCCATGCTTCGTGTCTTGTCGGAGCGGTTGTCGGATTTCCAGCAATTGGTGAACGAGCCTAGGGAGAGGGATGTTACGATCCCAACTTCGGTGGGTGATGTGGCTCCGTTGACCTTCGAGAGGTATCGTATTACGGAGCTGTATGCGGAGCTGTTGCATTGTTCGAATATGGCACTGCTCAATAGGGCGCCCGGGGAGGGACCGCAGTATTCGAACGATGGTGTTCTGATGGGTGGTCTTGAAGGTCTGCAGACGCTGGCGAGGACGTTGCAAGGTGGAGATGGTCCTGAAGTCGGGGACACACCGACTGGCGCAAATGATAATGGCGAGCAGAGTAAAGATGCTGCCAAGAAGGATGACGGCGCTGATGCTGCGGGTGCAGGTGAAACCAGCGCAACTGGTCAGGCGGCTTCTTCTCCGCAGGCCTCTGGACATGGACGAGACAAGTCAAGCACGGCTGCTTCGACCGACTCCACCGACGAAGCGGACGACGAAGCGCTGCTGAACGAAGTGTCGCTTGGACATAAGCCCAGCTCTACCATCGAAGGCAGCACCTCTACTGCAGCGGCAGTCGACTCCGAAAAGGACACGAAGCGCGAAAGTCAAAGCATCACAACCAGCGACTCTCTCGAGGAAGACAAAGCCGACTCAGCCTCCATCCGCTCCGCACTCTCTGGTCTATCTCTCGCCGAACTCACCACCCCCAAGCTGTCCGGTCCACCAAGCCCTATCGACGATACCAAAGAGTACGTCGTTGGAGACTTCCTCAAGCGCAAGTTCCTCGAATGCGGCATCCTCCCTTCCCTCCTCGATTTATTCTTCGACTATCCATGGAACAATTTCCTCCACAACGTAGTCTACGATATTCTCCAACAATGTTTCAACGGATGTATGGATGTTGGTCTTAACCGCAAACTCACCGTTGCTGTTTTTGACCAAGGTCATCTCACCTCTAGAATTGTTGAAGGTAGGAAGCAGAATGAAGAGTCAGTTGCTGGACCGAGGAGGATTAGGTTAGGTTATATGGGACATATGAATTTGATTGCTGAAGAGACGGTGAAGCTTTTGGAGAGGTATCCATTGGAGGTTGCTAGGCCAGTGGAGAGGTTTACTGAGCGAGAAGAGTGGAGGCAGGTTGTGTCGGAGACGTTGGAGGAGATTAGGGAGAAGGAAGGTGGGCCGTTGGCGTTCAACAGGGGTCATGAGGGGATGTCGATGTCGTTCGGGTCTGGGGCAGAGGATGATGATGATGATGATGTTGGAGGGATAGGTGGGGCTGGAAGTAGTAGTTTTGCTAGCTATTTGAGTAGTCAGATTGGAGGAGGGGCGGGAGGGTCAGATGATGACGACAGTGATGACGAAGCCAGTTGGTTGAGTAGTGAGATGAAAAGAGGAGGGAAGGGGGGGAGTGGATTTGATGATGCGTTTGCTCCAGGGCATGGGAGTGGTGGGGGTGGAGAGTTGGGGGATGAGGATGAAGATGATGATTGGGGACCGTTTGCTGATCCGAGTGATGCGAACGGTGGGGAAGGGGGAGGTGGTGCGACGCAGAGTTTCGATTTCACATCGGGAGCACAGGGCGGAGGGAACAACAACTCGAATCCGTTTGCGGAGAACTTGACTTCTGCTGATTGGTCCGCCCAGTTCAGGAGGGAGTATCATGATGATGAGCAATCTGGTGCGGTAGATGATGACGATTCGGACGATGATAATGAGGAGGACGAGGAGGATAAGGATGAAGATGAGAAAGAGACCATTGGCGAGAACAAGCTCGCGGTTCCAGCAACACTCGACACTCAACCCCCATCCTCATCATCCGCACTCAGCTCAAGCTCCCTCTCCCCCACAGGCTTCGACCCATTGACACTTCCCGACGTAATCTCCAAAGCTCACGCCCGTCGACTTTCCTTCGGTCATCTGGAATCAGCCGCGCTCCCCTCCACCCCCAGCAATGCCAGCGGCAAAGAATCACATCGTCGACGCGGCTCCCTCGGCTCATCCGGACCAGAGATTTCTGAAGTAACCACGTCCGAGGACCCGCTTGGTCCAGGAATTGCCACTTCTGTCTCACAGACAGAGGAGGGCAAGCTGCAGAGAACCCTAGCTGATGGTACGACGGTGGTTGTGCCACTGGATGAAGCTGCATTGGGGGCTGCAGTTGGTTCTCCGCCCAAGTAAAACGTATGGACTATGCTCATACAAGTAGAAGCATTCCATGCATCACACACACAACCATAAGATGCAGTAACGCAGGATCTTGTTATAGACTATTTCACCATTTGCCATTCTTTGAAGACGGTCTGGAAGTGTTTGAGATGTGCTGCTGCGAGAGTAGGACGAGATGGGTCACCGATGAAGGAAGCTGGTCGCAATTCACGCTTTCAGAGTCTCACAGACTTTGCTGTGGCCACGTATTCGGCACTGGAATGTGTTTGTTGAGCACTTGAGGGTTAGCACATTGGCAAGTGACAGTTCATTCACAACGCTGCGATGCATTTTTGTTAACTTATAGCATTGCTCGATTGCTGTGTATAGATACGGTCCTTGATAGTGCAGATTTCAGTAGCCAACAGAGATCAAATAATCACCCAGACCTTCAGCAACCTTGTTAGCCTCGCCAGGCACAATAGGAGCAAGGTAAACGCAAACCAGGACAGCTTGGTTCGTCTTGACTGCTACCAATCCATCACCCTATCAACAGCGCACAGAATGCAAAGTTTACAGTCATTAGGCAAACGAAACGAAGAGGGAAGAATGCGGAGAAGGGGGAAGACTTACACCTTGTTTACCATAGATAGTCTTTGGTGTGACTCCTAGGGTGAAAAACTTTTTGCCGTTTGCACGGACACCGCCTGCTTGGAGGCCTGAAGGATCGTCGAAGCCGGCGATTATTGCTTTTTGTTCTTCGGGAGCGACCTGTAGGAACAAGAAGGGGAGGAAGGGACGGTTGGATCGAGGTCGATGCGGTTCGTGTGAGGAGTGAGATGCAGGTACGGTTGAGGTTAGCATTCGTTCCTGCAGAGAGAGAGAGAGAGAGAGGATCAAACAGAAAGTTGGCTCCATGTGTAGCTGAGTTTCGTCGTGCTAAGACGATCGATTCCGTCGAGGCCAGTTCATGTGTTGCTCCCAACCATTTTGTGATTGCAAGGATGACATCCGATATCGTCCTGTAACACCTTTGAAAATGACCCTGCATCAGGTAGTTGTCCCGCTGATGCTATCTATAGCATTCTCGCATAGCGATCGGATGCGCTCTAGCAACTCAATACTTACATTGAAATCAGAACTAGTAGCCCAAACACCTCCCTTCAAACCAATGATGGCAGCTTGACTGATCTTGCCGGTGCCGACCAAATTGGTGTCTACGTATCCTTGCCAAGACATGTTGCAATCAATATTTCGTACTCGTGTAGGAGATAGGGTGATGATGTAGCTTGAAAGAAAGGTGGAATGCGTGCATGCGTGTTTGTGTCTGTGTCTGTGTCTGTCGATGTCATACAGATCAGGGGTTCTTACGGACGAAAAGCCTGGGCCCATGCGCTTTGTTTGAGCTTGGTCCAAGCGTTCGAGCCAAGGCTGACGATTACTGTCTGTTGGGCCGAGTGGAGAATGTGACGCGTGAGACTACTGAAGTTTTGAAAATCGATGCTTGAAGTTGGCTTTTCGTACGCAACATCCACGCAGCCAAGACAACAAGGCTTCCTCCGGCAATTTTCCGCGCTGTTCCGAGATCAGAAGAATTCACGATTGAAATCACTCACAGACCAAGTCTCGTGTGTTTTGCCTCGCTGCGCAACAAGGAACAAACGAATGCTTCCAAGTCTCATTGCTTTCTTCTCCACCAACACATACACATACACAATTCTTTCTCCCTTTCGATCAGCATCCTTGAACATCGCCAAAATGGCTCGCACTTTCTTCGTCGGTGGTAACTGGAAGATGAACGGCTCCCTAGAGTCTACCAAACAGCTCACCAAGACTCTTAGGGAGGCTAAGCTTGACTTGAACGTTGGTGAGTAGGCCCATTCTACACTCGAAGCAGACTTGTTCCCCATGACAGACTCACTGACAAGTCTCTCTTCTCTGGTCGGTTTCGTGCTATTGCTGTGATGCAATGTAGAGGTCGTCGTTGCACCCCCCGTCCTCTACCTCCTTGCGGTCCAGGAGCAGCTCAGGGGATCCTCCGTCTCCGTCGCTGCGCAGAACGCCTACCACAAGGCCAGCGGTGCCTTCACCGGTGAAGTCTCTGTCTCTATGCTCAAAGAGGCCTCCATCCCCTGGGTCATCCTCGGCCACTCGGAACGTCGCACTCTTTTCCATGAATCCGACTCCAACGTAGCCGAGAAAACCGCTGCTGCTCTCGCCGAAAACCTCTGCGTCATCCTTTGCATCGGTGAAACTCTTGAACAGCGTGAGGCCAACGAAACCGTCAACGTCGTTGTCCGTCAACTCAACGCCGTAGCTGACCAGGTCAAGGACTGGAGCAAGATCGTTGTCGCTTACGAACCTGTTTGGGCCATCGGCACCGGTAAGGTCGCTACTTCGCAACAGGCTCAGGAGGTCCACGCTGCTATTAGGAAGTGGGCGAGCGAGAAATTGGGTAAGGATACTGCGGAAAAGTTGAGGATCATCTACGGTGGTTCAGTTGCGGCTAAGAACTGCAAGGAGCTGGCTCAGCAGAATGATATCGATGGATTCTTGGTTGGCGGTGCTAGCTTGAAGCCCGAGTTCGTGGATATTGTTAATGCTAACAACTGACTAGCTCGTCAGTCGGCTAGGATTTGAGCGCCGATGAAAGGCGGCAGAGATTCTGGTTTCAGGCTACCCACGAGATCATACATCAATGTACATTCTATCTGAACGAGATCATTGATTCAATTACCATCAAGGTTCAGACACGCTCAATAACAATCGCAATACCCTGACCACCGCCAATGCAAGCTGCACCCAGAGCGTACCTCTTATCCAACCTGATCAAGTTGTGAGTTAAGTTGGCCATGATCCTTGCACCACTAGCTCCCAATGGGTGACCGAGGGCGATAGCGCCACCGAAAATGTTTGTCTTTTCGTTAGGCAACTCCAACTCCTTCTGGACAGCCAAGAACTGAGCAGCAAAAGCCTCGTTAACCTCGATCAAGTCCATATCCGATACCTTCAATCCAGCACGGCTAAGAGCGAGCTTACTAGCTTGAACAGGACCAATACCCATGATGCTAGGCTCGCATGCAGTGACGCCGTAGGAGACGATGCGGGCCAGGGGTTTCATGCCGAACTTCTTCACAGCTTCTCCCGAGGCGACGACGTTGGCTGCTGCACCGTCACAAATGCCTGAAGCGTTTCCTGCAGAGACAGTGCCCTCTTTCTTGAAGACAGAAGGGAGCTTGCCGAGGGATTCGACGGTGGTTGTGGCACGAGGATGTTCGTCGGCTTCGAACGATTCGGTGGCTTTCTTGGACTTGATTTCGACGGGGACGATTTCGCCTTTGAAGGCGCCTTCCGAAAGTGCCTTTTGGTAGCGTTGCTGGGTCTGCAGTGCGTATTCGTCACATTGTTGACGAGTAATTCCGTATTTTGCAGCCAGGTTTTCAGCAGTGACACCCATAGGAGTGGGAGTGGGCACTTGGTCAGTCAACGCAGCAGCCAGCGAATCGACAAGCTTAAGATCCTGTCCGTAGCGGGTGTTGCCGAATCGAACGCCATGCAGGGTGTAAGGTGCTTGAGACATTGACTCTGTACCACCGGTGAGCACGACGTTGGAGTCACCGACTCGGATCTCGTGAACAGCATTGATGATAGACTGGAAACCAGATCCACACAATCTGTTAACCGTCAAAGCAGGAGTGGTGACAGGCAACCCAGCATGATGTCCAACATGACGAGCAAGGTAAGCAGCTGTGTTGTCGGATGCCTGTACATTGCCGAAAATGGTAGCATCGACTTGGGTGTTGGAGGGAAGTTCAGAGAGAGCAGCTTTGGAAGCAAGACCTCCGAGTTGGGATGCGGTGAAACGGGAGAGTTTGCCTCCAAAGGCACCGAAGGGAGTTCGCTTGGCTGCGACGATGAATGCTTGGCTTGCCATCTTGGGAGTGTGTACGTAGATTGGGGACCTTTCCGGACTTGGCAGATGATGGTGAGGGGAGAAGCAGAAGCAGAAAAAGGCTGAGCCTGGTTATTCCCGGCTCAGTGCCCTCTTTCAACACCAATTTTCTTGAAGTCCGGCCTGGCTCCCACCGATTTGCCGATGCAGCGTAACGCGGCGTCAATATTTTTGTCCACAGCAAGAGTCGCTCTAACATTACTACCCAAATTCGCCACATCCAATAACGCAGACCTCGAAGCCTCGGCAATTCTATCTCCCGAGCGCAAGCCCGAGCGCAAGCCCGATCGCGAGCTGTGATCGTATCTTGTCAACTTCGGCTATCCACCTTTGATGCCTTTCGACGCAAGTGGCGTCCACCACACCCTCTTCATGTGACTCCTCTATCGGCAACGGCCTTTACCCTGGCCGACATCCCAGTTCAACAAGATCATCAGGCCAATCCCTAAGATCACCAAAGACGACACAATCACAATGAAATCACATTCGTTTAAAAGATGAGAGGAAAATCCTAGGCTGCAAGCTTGCAGCGTCCCTTGGCGAGTATGATTAGAGACCTATGCAAAGATGCAGTGTGATGCGAGTGTGATATAAAAGGACTTCGGAAATACGACGAGGGGGACAATGCGATGGTGTGCGTGCATAACCCCAGATGAGCAAATACAAAACAAAAAATACAAAACAAAAAAACGAGTGGAAGCCGAGACAGAGACGAGGACGAGAAGAAAATGACGACGAGCGCAGAGCAGGCTTGTGCGAGATGAGAAGTTTCGAGTATGCTTGGTATAAAAGTACAGATGCTGCTTTCGGGCTGTGTGGAATGACCCACGAACGGACCTCGGGAAACAAAATGCAACGAGAACAAGAAAGAGAAAGTGGTTGTGACCACACTGGCGTCGCCACGCGTGTTGATTGACGATGCCAGCATTTCAAGTTGGGTATTGGGATCGACTTCGGGGTGTTTGGTACCCGAGTGATCACCCTTGAGGTCGCGCGCAGGCAAAGAAGTGCAAGCTCGGACGACCTCAATCCACAGGCAAGGTTCTGATTGCGAGCATTTGATGATGAGCTCTCCACCAGTCAAAAGCCAATCGTGCAGATCTGAGAAAGAGGATAGAGCTGGAGCAGGTAGCGAGATTAGAGGGAATGCTTGAGGATGCGACGTTAGAAAAAAATGCTTGCGAGTATCGAGACGCGTTCCAAGGAAAGCCAGTTCCGGTAGTTGATGGGCAATTGGGAAAGAGAATGAGCCGTTGGGACTGTCAGGGAGTATGCGGAGACGCGCTCGTGTGCTGCGCCGTAAGCATCCTTAGTTAGCCCGTGATTCGAGCTTGAGGCTTCCCGAGAATCCGCGACGACTAGCAAGCGAAGTGCGGCTGTCGAAAGCCATGGCGCTATCCATACGTTGAGTCTCGGTCTTCATCTGCGAAGAGGAGTGCTCCATGTCAGTCGAACCACCTGCCGCAGAAGGAGTCTGCGCCATGTTGATCCAAGGCGAGATGGACCAGCCGTCACCTCCCTGACCGTTGCCCGGCATCATGTTGCTCAGACCAAGAGCACCAGGAGTCATTCCAAGAGGCTTGGGCATGTTAGACAGGTCTTGACGGAAGTCAGGCAGAGGGAGCTGACCGTGTACATCGTTGGACAAGGACATCCAAGAGGCACCGCCGTCAAAGTTGATTTTTTGTGTAGCGTTCTTGTTGGCGTCAGCGCCACCGGCCATAGGCGACGAGTGGATGCTCTCGAGGCAGCTTGCCATAGGCAGCGAGTGGATGCTCTCGAGGCAGCTTGTCATGACGTCGTCAGACGTAGGAGGCATGTTGGGCAACGCTGCCTTGGCACCGACGTTGTTCTGTTGCTGAATAACCGCAGTCTGTGCCATGGACCCGGAAGGAATAGCAGCAGAGCTAAGCGAAGACGATGGCGAGGGAGCCATCGAAGCTGTAGTGTGGACAGAGGGAGCAGCAGAGACACCCTGGATCTTGGTTGAGTGTACACTCTCGGAGTCAGAGTGGTCAGCGGAAGGCAGAGTGAGATCTGTCTGGCCGCTTCCGTGACGAGAAATGGTGCCTTGAGTGTCGAAGATGCTGTCCCTACGCTGCGAGTGGGGCGAAAGGGAGCTTCTGCGACTACCGTTATTGGAGCGAGCCATGGCGACGTCCTCCATCGACTCGTGCTGTCGCAAGGGGAGACCGCCTGGGAAGGTGTATGCTCCTTGCAGAGGTGATGCTGACGTCATGGGAAGACGATGGGTGGCGCCGGGAGCGATGCCGCCGACAAAGTGAGGCGGGTGCATTGCCGACACGGGATGATGAGAAGAGGTGGCTGACCAAGGGGCAGCTGCCGCGCTGAAGTTAAAGTGAGGCAAAGTCGAAGCAGTGACGCTCTGAGATCGGTTTCGGTTACGGTTCAGTGCGGATGTGTGTGCAAAGAGGTCGATACCGAGATCGATCGAGGCGCGTTGTGGAAGAGGATGCGAAGTCTGAGTGGATGGAACTACCTGGTGGATCATGGAGATCTGCTCAGCAAGCGTCTGGTTCTCAGCTCGCATGCGGGCAAGTGCTTCACGAAGGAAGCGACTCTCCTCCTCTTGGCTCTGAGAACGGCGATGCAGGTCGGCAAGTTGCGCCTCCAATTGCATCGTATACTCTTCTTTGCGCTCGCGAAGACGTCGTTGTGCGTTGCGATTCTGTTCTTTGCGTCGAGCGATCTGACGAAGGCGCTCGGCATCGAGTACCTCGTCCTTGTTCCTCGTTGAAGGTCTCATGACGACTGGCATGAATGTGTTGGTAGTGTTGGTGTTGGTGTTGGTGTTGGTGTTGGTGTTGGTGTTGGTGTTGGTGTTGGTGTTGGTGTTGGTGTTGGTGTTGGTGTTGGTGTTGGTGTTGGTGGTGGTGTTGGTGGAAATGATGATGTTGATGCTGCGAAGTGAGAAAGGCGCTTGACGAAAAAAGGCAAAGATCAAGCTTCGATGCAGGCGGCAGTGGTTGGTTGGTATCAAGCTTGCAGGGGCGGCAGGCACGACGATGTGATGAAGAATGCACGTAGAGACTGAAGCGTCAAAGTGACAGTGATGACGGTGCAAAGCCAAGGAGCGGGTGGACGGAAGATGCAGTCAAGAAGTTGCTAGAAAGATTGGAAGGGAGCAAGGGAAAAGAGCAAGGGGAGGAAGGTCGGAGTGGCCGAGGATCGAAAGCGAAACCTCAGGTTATAAGGGTGTCGAATGAATACGACAGTTTTAGGGGCGTATGAGAAAAGCTGCTCCGATCTTGCTTCGATCGAAAGATGTTTGACAACAAGAGCGTAGAGGGAAGAGAGAGAAGGGGAAGGGCGGGACCAGTATGGTCGGTTTGGTGGAAGGGGTGGCGTTTTCAACCAGCAAGAGAAGGTCGAGGGACAAGGAAGGCTGAAAGGCAGGCGCTGAAGTGAGAGCTCTGAGGAGAGGCAACTGGAGTGTTGTCGTCGTTGTCGAAGACGAAGAGATTGCGGTGGGCGGTTTGGCTGTCAGTACGGGAGAGCAAGGTTGCAAGTGAAAGTAGCAAGGTTTGGGTAAGGGTTGTCGAAAGGGTGATAGAGTGCCGTCGACTTGGGTGAAGATGAAAGGAGAGGGAGAGGGAAAGAGGAAAGGCAAGCAGAGTGAATGCCGTAGGAAGCTCAAGGTTCAACCAAACTGGCCAAGCAAACGAAAGCCAAAAGGAAAGGCAAACACAGGTAGTTAATGGCAGCAAGACCCTTTTTAGACGCCGTAGCGAGTGATGAGTGAGGGTCTGTGTGCCCGCCTGTGATCCCGTTCCGTTGTGCGCAACGCAAATGCAACCCTGCAAGTGAAGAACGGAAAGGAGCCGTATTTCTCAGGAACGTCAGAGGTAGGTGCTTTGCGTGATTGACAACCAGATCGTGAGATGCTTTGAGAAGTCTTGGCAGAAGCGAAAAAGCAGCAGAAAAGGAAGAGTCGAAACTGTAGCCGAATGCCAGCTCTGAAGTTCGATAGAAAGTAGAAGAGAAAGAGGAGCAGGAGTTAGGAGGACGAGGACAAGGACGAGGAAGAGGACGAGGACGAGGAAGAGCAAGGTTCGACGGCGCCGTGTGTGTGAGAGGGAGAAGGAGAGTGTGATGAACATCCGTTCAGGAGGGGAGCGTGACCTCCAGAAAGTGCCTAGGCGAGAAAACCCGGATGGGAATCAAAAAGAGTGTCTGTGTCTGTGGACGTGGCCACAGAAAGGCTCAGCAACAGAGGAAAGAAGGTTTGGAGTGGAGGTTAGGCGCTTGAGGAGAGGGTGAAATCTATGGTACCGAGAGGGTTTTGCCAAGGCGGAGTTTGCGGCAAGGGTTAAACTTTGAAAGCAAAGAGAAGGGGGGAAAGGCGAATCTTCCGACATTCCAACGGACAATGAAGAGGAAAAGGGATCACCCAAGGGTCTAAGGACAGCTGAGACAAGTGGAGGCAAAGGGAGGAGGAGCTGGGAAGAAGCAGAGAGGGGATCGGTTGCACCGCATCTCACTCCGACGTTGTGGGTGAAGAGCCCTCGCTTTAGCCGAGCATCACCATGTGCCAAACCAACTTAGCAACATAGAGCTTGCAAAGCTTCAGTAGCTGGGCAAGCGAGGGAAAAGAGGTTAACGAGTGTAAAGTCTTGAAAGCATGAGCCAGCGACAACGTCACATGGCGTCATGGCTGACAGACTGGCTACAAGAGCAACGGAGACACGAAATGAGCTCGATCGCTTGCTTGTCCTCTCTTTGTCGGTAGCTTTCGCACTTTGCACCACAGCAACTTTTGTACCTTCATAAGCCGGTGTCTAAAAAGCACCAACTCAAGTTTGCAACTGCACCAGATCAATCTCGTCACTGTACAATACCATTTCATTTTGCATTTCTTGCAATCAAAACAAAATTCAAGCCAGCGCCCGCGGGTTGGCAAAAATGCTCGTCATTCAAGGCAGGAGCTCGGGTGCCAGCCATCTTCTTTGGCTCAACCTGACCAGTGTGTTGATAGTGTTGGAGATAACTTCTTGCAGTTGTGTATGGTACCATGAGACGCCTTGTAGCCACAGCAACAGACTGCTTCTCCTCATTGACAGCATGGAGGAGCTTGTTTCTAGTCTCCAGAGAGTGTGTCACGAGGCATGGTGGTCACAAAGCACAGGCAAAAAATTAACTCGGAACTGCAAAATGAAATGGTACAACGCCGAGATTGATCTGGTGCAGTTGCAAACTTGAGTTGGTGTAGCGATGCATATCTTACATGAAGGTACGAAAGTGCTGTGATGCAAAGTGCGAAAGCTACCGACAAAGAGAGGACAAGCAAGCGATCGAGCTACATGAAAGCCTCGAAACCTGAGCACTGGAGCAGTATCGTCGTTGTGGAGCGCCAAGTGTCACAGAAGAAGGAGATACGATAGTACCAGGACTTTTGAACCATGAATTCCAAATTGACCTTCCGAAGCTGCAAGCCGGGAGGCACACGTGCCATGTTTTGCTGCTGTCGTCTGCTGCAGCCTGTGATCCAGATGGAAAATGCAGGCGCCACCTGATCTCCTTTTGATAGCGGCGAAGTCACACACACACACACACACACACACAAATCGCCATCGGTAGTCACCTCAGCAGAGTCATGCTGCAGTCTCTACATGGTCAATTCTCTACCAGGCCTCTCGAGACGAGCGGAAATACGCACCGCCTTCAAACCATAGTCATCGGAGGATTCTCGCCGCCGTCATTGTAATGTCAAACTAACATGAATTGCGGCTGCACAACACCAGATTGAGCTCCGGTCAAAGAAAAAAAACTGAAAAGGGTTCTGTGCGGCAGGATGCCGGATCGGCACAGCAAGACCAGTCATGGGCTCATCAAACAAGGCAACTGCAGGCGGATAAGCGATGAGCATGTAAGTAAGCTTTTCTCGACGTGGGTTTCAGTTTGTGTTGCACTAGGCATCCGCTCCGAGCTTCGTAGAGCCGTACGACAGACTCGACCCAGTCCAAAGAGAACACAAGCTTAGGCTCAAGCTTGTCATTTGGTCGGCGGCTGCCGATGTTAGGATAAACCTGTCGGCAAGCCAAAGACACCGGTTTGATCCTTGGTCGGCGACTATCCGCTTTCATCTGAGTTCTCCTTGGGCACCTTACAATCACAAGAAGAGGCCAGGAGACGGATAAATTGATACAGCGAGACAGACAGTGCTAGTAGAAAGACAGTGCTAGTAGAAATACAGTTAGGTTGATACTAAAAACATAGATATGAGAAGACCAAGAAGAGAGAGAGAGAGAGATCATCGCGCTATCCGATTTCACTTGCCAACAGGCAAAGCAGCAGCATTACCGCCACCTCTCGTCGTGAATTTGCGCAAGTTAGCAGCCCATTCATCAGCTCTTGAGTTTGCTCTCTGACGCTTAGGTTTGGCAGCGGGACTGTTGTCCGGGATGCATTTGCTGGATTGTCCACCATTTCCAGTAGCCGTGATTGCTACTAGATCAGTGCCGTAAGAGTTGGTCGGGGTGATATTGTTCCCCGTCACCACTGGCCCCATGGGGGTGGTGTCCTGAGGCATCAAAGGCCAAGGCTTTGTATAAGCCAAACTCGAGTCGGAACAATCAGAACCCATGCTAGCCCTGGCACCCGCCTTGCCGCTACCATCTTGGCCCGATTGAATCGCAACAAGGTCCTTCAGGCTACTAGATCGAGGGGTGATGGTTGCGCTTCCTGCTGAACCTGGCCTCTCCTCTAACGATATAGGAGCAAGCATGTGAGACTTGGACGGGCTAGTAAGAACAGCGTTAGAGGTATGTTCACGACGCAACTCCGGTCGGATGTTCTGGCGGGGTGTAGTTTGGCTCGAGTAGTTAGGTCGCGTGTCGCCTTCGTCACCTCCATCGTTGGAGCTAATGCTTTCACCGCGCAGACGTGAGCCTGTCCGGAGACGAGGTTCATCGAGGAGAGGCAAGGTGGCAGCATTGTCCGAGTACGCGCGGACCATCTTGCTTGGCATGAGGCCAAGTGCGGAACCATGCATCATGGGTGCTGCGTGGTGATGGGATGGCATGCGATGATCTCGGGGTGGGCTAGCACCTTGGTTTCCTCCTTCTTGAGAGACGAGGGGAAGTCCGCGTAGGAAGGTAGCTGAGTGCGGAGTGGGCGGGAGAGATTCGCTTCCTACTGAGGAACCATATGACTCGCGGGAGGATGCGGCAAGTAAAGGTGGAAGAGGCACTGGTCCGCCAACAGGTGATTGCAGGGAAGAGTGCATGCCCATCCGACAGTCAGCCCCTTGTCTCGCACCGTATTGCTGCCGAGAACAAGTGGAGAAGCCGGTGGAAGAGGCTGGATCCATATCGCTCACAGTTGCAGCTGCGCTGTTGAGCATTCGCAATGCACCGCTCAAAGTCCTCGGTACCAATCCAGGTCGCTGTGGCTGGGATCGTGCTCCAGCAGAAGCGGTATCGTGACCGACACCACGCTGCATAGCAGCTGATCCTACTTGCATCTCCGCTACACGACTGTGCATCGTCGCCTGAGGAGGGAGAGGTGCATGGTTGCTTGGAGGAGATCGCATTTGCTGCGCACGCTCTCGACGAGGATCCAACGGATGCACTGCGTGTTGCCGACTCATTGCTTGTTGTGGGCTCAACATGCCCTGTTGCTGCGAGCTTGGCTGGAAATGCTGTACTTTCGGGATACCAATCGTCAACCCTGCGTTGCCTCCGTACCCAGGAGGCATAGGTCCACCTACACTCCATTCTTGTTTCTGTCGACGACGAAGCTCCGCAGGGTTGTCGAAGGATTTCTGCTTTCGAAGTTGACGCATGCCTGCAGGCGGGACCATGTCAGCACCGTTGATGCTGCTCTTCGGTGTAGGAACGGCAAGACTAGCAGGCTTGTGGTGGATGTCATCAAGTGTAATGCCGCGCATCATGGGTGAAGCTGCGCTTGGGAAGCCATAGCCTCCGGAACCGAAAGAGGGAGGTGCAAGACTGGGTGTCGATGCAGTCGAAGTGGGAAGCGCAAAGTTGGGCATCAGTGGCGAGATAAGTGGTGGGGAAGGAAGGCACATTCCTGACTCATTTGAGGTGGCGGCGCTTTGTGCTGATGCAAAGCGTTGCATTTGCGATGGACGGGGAGTGGTGAAGTCGTAGGCGCTACAAGCCAGTTGGCGGTCCTCCTCGTTTTGCGGAGTTCTCAGCTCGAGGCTGGTGTCCGCTGAAGAGTTGTCCCAACCTGACATGGCTTCGAACGAAGAGTCTGGGCCTGAGTTGAATGAGGACAATGACGATGAAGAGCGGTCGCCGGTCTCACTCTCGTCCTCGGTGGAGCCACTGCGCTCTACAGGTGCTGGAGTGGGACAGATGATGGAGCTGAGATCCAAGAAATGCGGCTTGACAGATCTTGTCGGTGCTCCACCCTTCTGGTTTGCTCCCTTTTGGGGTGCACGATATTTGGCACTGAGTTTGTTAAACGTCGTATCCAGCCATGCTTGCTTCTTCTCCAGCGATTGTGACTGTCCGTAGGGATGGGCCTTGCTCATGCCGCCAACAGAGCTGGGCAGGTCAGGAAGTGAAGCATTCAGTGAGGCGACGTTCGTCCTCTGACGGTCGAATTCTTTGCTGAGCGAGCAGGTGAAAGATATGACTGAGGCTGTATCCGATGCAACTGCTGCACCTGACTCCATAGCCGCCCTGCGTGCTGCCGCGGACGCTGCCAGGATGTGCATATAGCTCTCATCGCTCGCTGTGCGCATCATGTCATATGATGGACCACCGAGAGGACTTGGTAGAGGGAAGTGGCAAGTTACGGGCGAGGTGACGGTGCTGCTGTGGTTGCTGTAGCTCCGGTTGGCTTCGTTGAAGTTTGGTCGCTTGGTAGAGCTGGCTGCCGAGGGTCGGCGCAAGCGTTCCCAACGACTCATTGTCGGCTGTTGCTGCGGCTGTTGGGAGCTGGAAGCCTGCGCATGACCATTGGAGCTGGCGCGTGTGCCGAACTCATTCTCCGAGCTCGAGTTGGAGCTCTGGGAGAGGTTGGGTTTGTGTTTCGCAACCATCCTGGGAGTGGGATCGTGGGGTGCTGGGTCAGAGAGACCGGCACTGATGCGCAAAGGTAATTATATGCGTGTGTATCAGGATGACATGCAAGGGGTGTATGCGCTGTTACTCCGGAGGCTGATGGGCAAGGTCTGAGGTAATGGCAGGCCAGAAGCTGAGGGTGATGAGGTTGACTTGGGCCTATGCGCCGAACCTAGAGTCTAAAGCTGGCGTTCTTTATCGTTGTACGAGCAGTAAGTTTGCTGGATGTTTCGTCGTCTCGTGTGGGACAGAGTTGGACAGTTGGAAGGTGAGGTGGGAGATGAGTGAAGAAGGAAGTCAAGTCGTGGAGTTGAAGAGGTATTGGTTGATTGAAGGGGCGCTTGTTTGGGATCCAGAGCGCTTCGGTGTGAGGAGGAGAGGGTGAGACTAGTAGTGAAGGAGCGAAAAAGTTGTCCTTGACCCTTGGAGGCCTCACGGACGAGACAGAAGCCGAAGGCGACAGAGTACAAGCGCGAGGACCGGGGATAAAGGAGAAGCAAACTGTCGAAAGAGCGGGGTCCGAAAACGAAAGGTATGGCTCCAAAGGTCGAAGTCAAGCCGGTTGAGTGTAAAGATGGTGGATGCCAGAAAAAACGTTGCACAGAGTAAGTGGGAAAAGTTTGAGGGTAGTGCAGCGAAAAGTGGAAAGGAGCGGAGTGTAGCAGCGACATACATGCATAGCTGTATCTCAATCAACGCGCAAGGCAGAGGAGAGGAGAGGAGAGGAGAGGAGAGGAGAGGAACGCAGAGAGAAGTAGCCAAGTGGTGAAACGCACCTCGCTCCTCTCATTAGCAACGGCAAGAGCATCAGCAGCGAAAGCAGCCTTGTTACTTAGTTTATGCCATATTACAACACGAATTGAAGCGGGAGCTAGATCATTGCGAACCAAAGCCATCTCTGATCATGGCGAGGAGCATCTCATCCTGAACGCGCGGATCGAGAAGAGCGTTTAGCAAGTTAGATTTGGGCCTACACTGTCTAACCGCCTTGAATTGTAGAAACGAGAGGACGGGATATGCAAGACTGCTTTTGCGCTTGAGCTCGTCAGGAGAATGGTTCATCAAGCCCTCGGGAATGTGACCATGCCCCTTCTCAATGAGAACAATGAGAGAACATGTCAGACAGGAGAGACACAAAACAAATTTGACTCCGGGATGGGAGAAAACTTGAGTCAAAAAATCAAAAAAAAAAAAAAGAACAAGAACAACACCTCTGTGCGCACAAGAATTGTATTTGTCACTTTGAACGAATTTTGTAGTGGATGTATTGACATGCCAAAGAACGCCGAGGCCTCCTGTACAACTTGCTCGCTGTCGCTTTGATCGCAACGGTCGCAACGCAGGAAAGAAATTTCTCGATGGTCACCAAGAGCCTCGATCGTTTTTCGCTCTTACTTTCTAAACCCTGTGCTTACTATGTTCCACAGAAGCTTCCTCGACATCGCTGCTTCCATCGGGACAATCTGAATCAGGATCAAGCTTGATGTTTCGTATTGTTATACAACGCCATGCGTGGGGGAAGCAAAACGTGCGCTCTGCTGCTCAGACATGCTTGCAAGCGCCGGGTGGCGGATGGATTGGGAAATGGTGAATCCGTCATGCTTCGCATCCTGCAAGCCCTCAATTTGTTTTGGCGCCAAGCAAGCGCTTGCACCACAAAGTGGAGATACGCACAGAGAGTGTGAGTGGCGGCCCAGCCATCAATCAATGCATACCGTTTGTCACGATTGGTTTTTTTACAAAGCAAAGTGAAGTGTTCAAGTGCATAGAGAGGCTCCCACAGAATGTATGCTCAAGGACACCGCCCGTTGAGTTAACCTCTCGTCGCCCTTTCATGCTCCATGATCTAGACTCAAGCGCCAATCTGGTTTGAATGTTCCTTCGTCGGTCTTGAGTCGGAGACTATCATGACACCATCCTGCGCAGATTGAGTTCGGGGACTGGAAGGTGTCCTTATCGGCGGGTTGGTAGGACGACACGGCTGATGTGTCAGACAGGCCAAAAGGAGGACGAAAGTGTTGGTTGGACAGTTTGCACAACTGAAAGCGTTATTTCTGAACAGCTTTGGGACGCGTGAGACGCGTCAACGCGCAAACACAGGTCGTGACCATCGCCTACGGCTAGAGAATCGCAAGCAGGCGCTTGAAATGCTGCACTGGCTTCCACTCCGACCTCTGTCTCAAGAAAGTCAGCTCGCGTGGCATGCATGCTCTCTTCACTGCACGAAATGTGGTTTGAGGCACAGTCTCACCCTCGGTATCTGTTAAAGTATGCACGTTCGGAAGAATCAAGGCCAGATAGGCCACTGCCCGCATAGCCGCATAGCCGGGACACTTCTGACTGTAACGACGATGTGAGAGGTAACTTGATTCTCACATTGCCTAAAGAGAAATGGAACGAGGATACGAGAAAGAAGTCGAGTTGCTACATTAAAAACTGATCAAGTTGCGTCGTCATGGGTCTCCTAAATTTAGGCATTGACGAGCATGACATAAGTCAGCGCCGTCTGACCTTCTCCAATCTGAGAGCCCGAAGCTCGCTGTTGCTTCTTCTTCTTCTTCTCTTGCTCCTGCTGCTCTGTACTTCCACCCTTGCCGTCGTCCCTCTTGATCCAGAATCCATTCCAATCACGCGCAGCACCATCACGCTTGTTGATCTTCTTGTCGTCCAAATACTCCTCCTGTTGGCCGTGAGCACCCTTCTTCTGGTAGTCAATAGCCACTTCGGCCTTAGTCTTAACACCTGGAGCTATGCCATTGTTCTTATCGGTGACTTCCTTACCCACAACGTAAGTCTGGCAGCTGAAGCTCTCCTGCTTCTGAACTAGTTCATCATAACGAGATACAAAGGTTTCTTGACAGTCGGGTGTAGCAGAGAAAGCCAATTGAACCGCGGGTTCCATATCGCTGAGTCGCGAAATGATGAAAGCACCAGTATCTGAGATCTTCTGGCAGCTGGCATCAGGTACGATGGCGTGCGGCTGATTTACGCTGCCTTTGCCGCATGGAAGGAGAATGGTAGGGCCAGCCAGAGCGCAAGTAGTCAAGAGTGTAGCGGCGCCAACCAGGGCGGCTACGTTGGATGATTTGGTGAAGAGCATCCTTGTCGGAAGGGTGCCGAGATACTAGTACTGGTCAGTGAAGGGAATATGTGGTGAGGAAACGCAACAGAGCGTGGAGATGAAAATTTTGCAGTCTACTTTAAGTACCCTGTGAGGAATCAGCGAGCTCCTCCAACCCCACCTTTATGACTTGCTGTAGCCAAGACAGGAGCCTTGTGGCTGTGCTTGAGCCTCAATGCTTGAAACCGGTGGGGTCTGAAAGGCAGAGGGCCGGCAACATAGTAGGGTCAAGGTGTTGGCGCCCTTGATACAGACCTCATTTCGTGCTTGTTGCTCGTTCACTTGACGCGCACAACCACCACTTCATTTGTTACTTTCACCATCCCGACCTCAGTGTCTCCATCTTCTCCCCTACAGCCGAGCACTGTGGTCGATTCGAATGCAAACGAGTGCTGGTGAAGGCGCCACTTTTTGATCCTGAGTCGGTCCGCGGTCTCATCATGACGGTACAACAGCAAAAAGCAACATGTTAAGATCGGGGTTGCGAACTTCAAGCCATTCATCTGTGAGAGGCCCACCCTGCGCCACCAACGACGGCCGGTTACGAAGGATTTCGACTGCATCTGCTCGGCAAACTGGTCGGGGCACAGTACGATAAGTTAGAGGTCACTCAAGTCATCTCCAAATACCTCAAAGAACGTGTTCGTGTTGTTGCCTGTAGTTCGGCCAACATCATTGACCGAGCAATGTTAGGCGTCGTCGAACGACGATGTTGTAATCAACTTGAAGAGGGGCTCGTACACAACCAATATTGAGCTCTTCACGACATTGACTCAAAGTTGACGGTCCCACGTCTCGGCTTCCCAGGACGCATCCCATCCTCACATTCATCAAGCAAACAACGACGCATGTGTATTGTATAATGCAATCCAATTAGAGGCGAATGTAACCGAATGAGAATAGCAAAGTGTACAGAGGATCGAAAGGGAGTGTTCTGAAAGGAGTGTTCTGTTGTTGCACAGCAAGGGGCACGGATATCAAGCTCGAACGAGAGTGGCAATAGTAGCGGGTTCTTATGATATAGTGGCGCCGTGCACACCGTGCTCGTCAACCGCCTCGTCCTCTTCCTGGTTGACCATCGTCAAACGCTTACGCTGTTCCTTCTTGCGCAAGCTCTTTTTGAACAAGTCAGGCACGAGACGGTCCTTGACCGTCTTCTTCTTGCCAGCTGCGGGCTCGTCCGACGAGTAGGTGTAGCCACGGTTGGGTCTTGCCTCGCCTGTAAGCATGTCGTAATGTGTGCTGCTGGCACGAGAAGCGGTTCGACCGAGCTCGTGCATCTGCACACCGCCCGCTGATGCAGATGTGTTGGCATTGTTCTCCAGACGAGACTGCGAGGTGGCTGCACGTACGAGCGGCGCAAAGGTGTGATGTGTCATGCTCGTGCGGCCAACGCTGGTGTCGGCATACGTGCCATCATCATGTGCGTGAGGAATGGCAGGGTCACGAGTAAAGTCGTGGTCGTTGTCCTGCTTGTCGACGTATCGCAGGATGTCGACATCCGTTGGGTAGTACGACTGGCGGAAGCACTTGGCCAACAAGCGTGGCAAGAGACACAAGAAGCAAGTGAGGAAACCGAGAACCCAGAATTGGATCGAAGGGTAGAGGAATGAGTTGTTGCCGTACGAGTAGGTCGAAGAGAATGCAGCGTAGATGGGTGCAAAGCAGAACATGACAACCGTGCCTGCCCAGATACCCACAACGATGAACCAGTTCCAAGCGCGCGTGTTGAGTCCGACGAACAAGTTAGCAACAAACACCGAGGCGATCGCCATTCCCGTCGTCCACTCGTACAAGTTGATGTCGTATCCATCACTGCGTGGCGTCGTCGTGTTGTAAGTGTAGGCAAAGAAGAAGAACAGTATCACCGATTGGTAAATGCCGTCTAAGAAGTAGACGATAAATGGCTTGAGACCGAAATAAGCGCCCTTGCGCGACTGGTGATAGAGCTCAGGTACTTGCATGAGCACCTTGTCGTTGATGTTGCGATCAAAGATACCGACAAAGATGACCGCAAGTACGGTCCAAACGGCGTTCCAGAGCAAGATGTAGACGTAGTCGATGGCCTGTGTGGTAGACCAAGCACAGTAGATCTGGAACCAGAAGAGCGTGCCGACCTGGATGAACTGCTTGTAGAAGAAGTTGGTGATCATGACGGAATTGCGGTAGTACGACCAGTGTCCGTGGACGAGCACCAACCTCTTGAGGAAGCGGAACTGGGCAATGGCGTAATCGGACGAGTTGACAGCTTGAAGACCTTCCTCACCAGCAATACCAACACCGACGTGGGCTGCTTGAATCATACTGACGTCATTGGCACCGTCACCAATGGCCAAGGTCATGACTCCGAGACCATCCTTGATGAGTTGAACGATGAGAGCCTTCTGCAATGGGGATACACGACAACAAATGACAGCCTTGCACTGCGTAGAAATACGAAGCAGCAAGTCCTTGCTGAATTCTTCGCTGAGCGCATGTCCGAGTGCTGTACCGTCGATGACAAGTGCGAAACCTCCTGTGCGCTGTCCATTGTCCTCGCCGACAAGTGAGACCTGACTAACACTGCTGCGGCGATTCCTGTTGAGAGAAGGCCTGCGCGACATTAAGGAAGAACGACGGCTCTCAGACTCGCCACCGGGAGGCTGGTGATCCATCTCCCTGAGGACTTCGGGTCCGCCAAAGAAGCGGACGACGGCCTTTCGAAGCTGCTCGTAGGCTGAGTTGGGCTGACCGTATTCACCTCCACGCACGACAACGAGGTTCATGTCCTCGGTCAAGAGCATAGTCGAGTATCCAATAGCAATCGCAGTCTCGAGCTTATCACCTGTAGCAACCCAGACGTTGATGCCGGCGCGCTTGAGATCAGCGATGGTCTCGGGGACACCGTCTTGCAGCTTGTCCTCGATGGCAGTAGCGCCGTACAGGTCGAAATCGCGTTCGAGCTCGCCAGCCAGCTCTTCCATCTTCTCCTCACGATCCTGAATGGAAACCGAGGCGTTGTGGAAGTGATGCGACCAGTCCTCGTAGTACTCGTGGGTGAGCTCTTTACCACCGAGACAAAGCGTTCGGAGACCCTTGTTGGCGAACTCTTCCAAAGCAGCATCGGTCTGTTCCTTGATCTCCTCCTGACCAGCTCGGGCGCGCTCAAACATGATGCTATCGGCACCCTTAGCAAGCATGAGCACTTGTCCATCGGATTCGCGACGTACGATAACACTCATCCTCTTGCGTGCAGACGAGAACTCGTTGACCGTGAGGAGCTCGTAAACCTCAGGCTCCTTCGAGAAAGGTGTAAGGATGCGGAGCGTTTGACGTTCTTTTCCGAGGAAGATGAAGCCAGCATCGGCAGCGGCCTGTACAAGGGCTTGCTCATCGGGACTCTGGGCCTGGTATTCGATACAGCCCTCCTCGAGATTCTCGACAAGCACAGTGTGGCAGAGGGCAAGACAGCGGAAGAAGTTGGTGAGGTGCCTGTTATGCTCCGAGTCAGTGTCGCGCAAAGCCTCAGAGAGACTCTGGTCGCTGAATGGTGGAACATCCGGGTTGACGGGCTTGACGCGGACCTTGCTAGAGCTATGTCCATGATAGGATCCGGTGCGAGATCCAGCAGATCCATCGTTGCTCGAGTAGCCGTCCTCCTCGGCGGGTAACTGCGTCGCTGTGCTGTCGGAAGTGCCAACTTGAGGCGACGAGGCTTCACCGTGATAGATAATGCCTGAGACTGCACATTCGCGGAAGATCATAACGTTCTGCGTCAAAGTACCGGTCTTGTCACTGAAGATGTACTCGATCTGACCGAGGTCGTCGGACAAGTTCCATGACTTGGCAGTGGTGCGGCGATTAGTCTTCTGGTACCAGATGTCGTAGTCGTCGTAAATGAAGTAGGCTTGAGCGAGACGGACGAACTCGAAGGAGATGTAGAGCGAGATAGGAACGATGTTCTGGAAGGTGATGAGCGAGTTGGCAAATGCGACGAGACCGTTGATACGCGGATTGTCGTCGCTGTGAACGGCTCCATACTGCCAGTAAGCGGTACGGTCAAAGTAGTACTGCTCTAGCAACGAGTCGGCAATGGCACAAGCCACGGAAACGCAAGCAAGAACGACCAGGTTGAAGTAAACCATTGGATTCATCTGCTTTTCAACCATGGAACGCTTGCTTGGTGTGACACCAGAGTTGGCGATGATCTTGGTGTCCCAACCGGTCATGAGTACGACTCCGACAATCCACTTGGTATTGCGGATGTTGCATCCACGGAGCAAGATCTGGTTGAGGGTGACGGGACACTGAAGTGGATCGCCGTTCTTGTCGAAACGATCGTTGAGAACGACACTGGCGTTGAGACGGTACATGTTGGTGTCCTGAGGTTCGGCATCGATGCGGAGCGAGGCTCGAGCACAGTCTTCGGGTGTGCGTAGGCAAGTGAGCTCGGGAACGGCGTGACGGGCCTTGAGGTTGGTCTCACCGTCGAGATTCTTGGTCTCGATGAAACAGCTGTCTTCTTCCTCACTGGTAGCGCAAATGATGATGTCCGCAGGGATGGCCTCGTTGTTAGCGAGGTAGACGAAATCGCCGACGGCTAGGTCCTCCCAGATCTTTTGCTTCCAGCACGGTGGCTTCTTCTGGAAGAAGACGTTTTCTTCGTCTGCATTGAGAATGCGACCCTGGTGCTTGATGCGACCGTCGTCAAGTTGCTCGTACTCAGATTCGAATTGACTGTGGCGTGTGGTGCTGCGTCGAGGAAGCTGATGCGAAACGCGGCCGGGCAGATTGGCTTGGCCTGGGACAGGGAGATTGGCAGCTGCATCGGTGGTGCCTCCTCCGCCAGGAGCATCGGCAGGAGGAGACATGGGTGAGGTGGGATGGTGGGCATGACCTTCCTCAGCAGCTGCTTCGGCCTTGACAGCCATCTGCTGCTGGAGCTGAGCGGACTGCTTCTTCTTGCCGCCGAGGAACTTGGACTTGACCGAGCGGAAAAGGGCAGAGAAGCTTCTAGCCTTGGCTTCCATCACATTGGGATTTTGCCAGCCACCACCTGTAAGTGTCTTGACCCTGAGACGGTTGATGTGACGATCGGATTGATGACGCTTGATGTCCTCGTAGCCGTCCTTGGCCATGGTGATGGCCAAAACGGCAAGCAAGGGCAGCATGGAGACGCCTGGGTTGATTGTAGTGAATTGAGGGAAGAACTGAAGAATAACGATAAGCAAAAAGAAGAGGTTGGCAACACGACGGAACTGTTCAAGCAAGTTCTTGAAGACAAAGTTGTAGATGGTATATTTGGCGGTCAAGACTTGGTTGCTGGCGAAGAGGTAGGGGTATTGGGGATGCCCCTTTGCATCAAAGGCCTCTTGTGGAAGGGGCTCATTGAAGTAGACGGAGCGAGGAGCCGGTGGTGGTCTCTTCTTTTTGAATACGGTATCCGGATCAAGACTGAAGTTTTGGAACTTGGCGCGCAAGGCTGCAAGCTTGCCTGGTTTTGCCGAAGAGTCAGCTTTAGAGGGAATCTTCTTGGATGCCGACTTGCCAAACATGTTGGGCGACAAGCGAGGCGCGGGCAAGACTCGCTGTGCTCAAGTTGGGCTGGTTGCCGGAACTTGGCTGACGGCCACCGTACGTGGTATTGCGAGGAAGACCTTCAGTTACAGGAAGGATAGGGTCGAATGATGCAGCAGCAACGAATGGATATGAACTATAACTCAATCCTGATGCGGGCTAAAATGAAGTGCAAAAGCTGCGCCTTTTTGGGTGATGAAGTCCGTGTCACTGGGGGGGGGTGACAACAATGCAGCGATGATGTCTTGATGATGATCTGTTGCAGCTCAAGATACCAAGCTGTCTGATAGATTTTCGCGTTGTCGGACGGTGTGCTGTGCTACGCTAAGCGAGCGTGTCTATTGTATGACCAGCGGCGTTGATGGTGTTGATGTTGTTGTTGATGGTGTTGTTGTTGTTGTTGTTGTTGTTGTTGATGATGATGTTGGCCACATCAGACAGTCACGTGTTGTTGTAGTCCGATGCGGTCGTCGGAAGGACCAATCAAGAAAGGCAGGGAGAGAGTCGGAAGACGGCGAAAGGGTGCGGATGGTGGAAGCCAAGAGAGAGAATGATGGTGAGGAACCTCTTTGATAGTGAGGCTTGAACCAGTTGAGCGTAGAGAAAATCAGCATTCGAAGAAGGGAAGGCTTGCCCAATCAGTGCAACTTGTGTGGGTGGCAGTTAAGCGCGGTTGGAAGCCACACAAAAACAACAGCCGAAAGGGAAAAGAGACACAGCGACGGTCATATCAGACAGCTATTTCCGTGACACTCGAGAGACACTGGCAGGAGAGACCCAACTGATTCTTGATTCTTGATTCTTGATTCTTGATTCTTGATTCTTGATTCCTGATTCCTGATTCCTGATTCCTGATTTCTGATTCCTGATTTCTGATTCCCGCTTCCTGCTTCCTGTTTCTTCGTCTGACAGACGAGCGATGAAAGAGAGGCACCGGAGGTTGGCTGCCGTGGAGTTAGTTGTAATTGAGTCTTGCGCTCCAGAGGGTCGGAATTTGCGGGCCGGCAAAGGCTCTGTCTGTTTCTTTGTCAGTGGGAACGACACACACACACACACACGCGCACACTCGCACGTTCAACAAGACAAACAGCTGTTCACATATCTTATGACCGTCTGAGCACCGGCAAAAAATAACAAATAATAGTGTTGTATTATTGACTGCAGCAGCGGATCTGATGCCCGAGTCGTCTCGTGGCGGTGTGGGAACTTTCTAATTGTTTTCTTTTTTTTTTTTTTTTTTTTTTGGGCAGGGAAAATGATCCGAGTTGCAGACACCACACGGGAAGCATCTTCCATTTTGTACTTCAAAATATTAATACAACTCTGCTCGGATCTGCCAAGCATACTCTAACATTTTGGCAAGCCGAATACAACTCTAGATCTCATCACATCTACGTGCATGCTGCCTGTTTGCCTTTTTGCCTCTTTTGCCTCTTTCGCCTCTTTCGCCTCTTGGACCATTCATTTCATCCGCGGCATTTCCACATCCAACGGTCTCTATTCAAGAAGGCTAACCACGCCAATGCTCAATCTGATCAGATCTACTTCGCCCGATCCCTTCGGGAGGCCAGTTCCCGAAGCTCGGGTACATGCTTGTCAAGCCTCCAACGTGGCAGCCATTCTCAAAAGCGTCTTCAACGTGATACCGCTCATCTCTTCTGCGACAGTGGACTCACCGACAAGAGCCAGGTCTCGTACCATTCAACAGTACCAATTCTCACCCATCATCACGGCATAGATACTAGCTTCGGAAGTATGGTTGCGGCAAGACCTGAATTGCGTGCTGTGAGAAGGATCAGTCCATGTCTACGGTCCATGTCTCTTTACTGATCCGGGTTGAGCTTCTTCTGGAAGAATGCACGTACGTCCTCCTCGCGTACCATCTTTCCTGTCCCTGCAAACGGCTTGAGATGCTCCCACAAAGCGTCTCGGAACTTGCTATACGCATGCAACGAGTTGATCATCTTTTCTCTCGGCATCGATCGAAGCGCTGCCATGCCCAAGTCGTACGTCGAAGATGTGATCGATGCAGCATCATCCTCTCGCACCGAAGCTTGAGGGTCGGATGGTGGTGCATACGTCTCTTCGGCCTCCAAAACGTGCGGCAAATGAGACCATCTGGTGAGACAGTCGGCGCATCGGCAGATCCTATCGCGGAAGTCTTCACCAAGGAAGATGTCGTGCCGCTGTTGTGTCGGTTGCAACTCTCCTTCTTCACTCAGAGCCGGTGTCCATTCGTCAACTTTTGATTCGGGCAGACTGGCAATGATGGCAAGAACCTCTGGTAGCGTGCAGGCTTGTTCCTTAGGCTCAGCCTTCACCTGAGCAGCTGCGTTTGGCTTCTCCGCATCCTCCATCTTGGTCCGCTTGCTTCCACCTGCTTCGGCACCTCCATCAACCTCGATCTCGTCAGCACGTCGTTTGCCCTCTCTCCTTTCTTCGCTGGCGGCTTCAGCTGTCAAGGATTTGGCTTCGGCTTGATTTCCTTCTTCGACCTTGGGACTGGTATCGGTGCCTGCTGCAGCAGTAGCCATCGTCGATCGAGCCAACTCGGCGACAGAAGATAAGAAAGCTCCATCAGTAGCAGCACTCATCTCTGTCTCTCTAATGCCTCTCTCCTGCTCCATTGCCAGCCCGAAGATCTGCCAGCTCCGGCCGTTGCAATACGGACCGCCTCCTTCGCCTAGCTCCTCCTCCGTTGGCACCTGGATCTTTGCCAAACCGTCATGTTCCTTGACCTCCGCTACATCTTGAGTGGCAGCCAAGACCATCCAGCTCCGCGCACCTGCATATCGCCGCAGAATCTCATTGCCAGGCTTGCGAACACAGGCATCGCAGATCATAAGGTCGAACAGGTCGTGGTCAATTAGCGGCACTTCAGTCTCAGCTGCTGTGCTTCCAGGCTTGACTTCCTCGGTGATGATTGGGTCTGTTGGTGCAGATGCCGCTGCTGATTGGTTGAAAGCATTACCAGAAACCGGTCGCAACGAAGTGCAGCCCTCGTGAAGCCACTCTTCGCAGACGATACACTGGAACATGGTCTCGTCCTCCTTCTCAGGATCGTACCTCTTGCCCCGTTGGCAGTAGCAGAACCCACCTTCAAAGTTGTGGTTGTAGGCGTTGGCATCGTTCTGAGGGTCGAAGCCTGGCTGTCGCAAGGTACATGGCTTGGCGTCTTTCGGGTATATGAGCTCTTCTGTGAGACGAGTGCAACGGCTGGCACTGTTTGGCTCGCGCTGTCGATACAAGTTTGGAGTGCCGCAATCGCATCGGAACTTGCGTTTGTTGAAAAGCTCAACCAGCTCGTGCTCGGCGTGACATGAGACACTGCAACCGGCGCAGACACCTCCACCGCCGCAAGTCTTGCAGGCATAGACAGGCTGTCGAATGTAGCCCTTGTCGTGCGTACAAGTGTCGAATTGGAATGGGATCGCTTCATTCGCCTGCGCCTCGAGTTTAGCCTGCTGAGCGATCAAGTCGACCGCTGTGAATCCCTGATCGTCTTCGCCCAAGTTGGGTGCCGGAAGTGAAGGATCTGGGAGCTGCGCTGCTGGTGGCGAGGCGACCTGTGGACTGGACCCCGGTGCCAGTTTCGATGATGACGAGGAAGCCTGATCATTCTCGCTCATCCTGCGTTGCAATGCGTCGTGATGAAGCTGATCGGCCAAGTGTTGCAGATGATGGAGGCAAGCAAGCAAGAAGGATGGAGAAGTGTTGTTGTTCTCTGCGTTTCTACTTCGCGGCTGCTTTCCTGCGCGTGCCGTCCGACAGGCCAATTTACACGTCGTCGACCCTCACGGTTGGTTCCGCTCGAGCCACACAACCTCGTAGGCGAAAGCTTACAGGCGATTTTTGAATCCCCATTTATTATTATTTTAATCAGATTACGGGAAATGCATGACGGCTTTTTCAACCCTTACCTCATCTTACCTCCCTACAACCACACGAGACATCGCCCACACCGTCCGCTCGAATGCTCTCAGCACCCAGTGTTCATAGCAACGCAACAACGATGGCTTCTGTTCGTGCGAAATTCAGACAGCTACGAGGGAGCTTGTTGGCCACCGCCGCGCTGCTCGTTCTGAGCATCACCGGAGGCGCTGCATGGGAAACCAAAGCCGAAGGTAAGCCCCGAATCTCACCGCCCTCACCGGATTGGGAAGGTCAGGACTGAGCAGCTGATATACATTTCTTGCATCGTTGCTGATGACACTGACCCCTCAGCCCTAAAACAGGCAGTCGAGTTGGTTCATGACCCCAACGTATACGGCGTCTCGACACTTTCAACACAATACCCATCCGATCATCCTGTCACCGACTTAGCTGGCCATGTCATCACTGGACCTGAGTACTTTGCACCATGTGACGGAGAAACAGGGTCACTGCTGTATCTAGGACTGACGGTCTCGCAGACATGGAGGAACGTACTCAATAGCGACAGCAAGAACGGCACTGTCAGCATTGCCTCGAACGCAAATCCAGCAGTCGTTGACCCGCGACATGGCTCCCACAAAGACTCTCGTCACTGGAAAGACAGTCGACCATCCTGGCGACGCGGGATGCCTTCCAAATCGCGCATCACCCTCTTCGGCCACTTTGACATTCTCAATGTCACCCAACATCCGGAGCAAGCCGAAAAGGCCTCGCGCTGCTATCTCCACCACCACTTAGATGCGAGTCATTGGGCACCCAACTCGACCGAGTCTCCACACATTCCCTTCTGGGCTACCTTCAACGTCGACAAGGTCTACTGGGTAGGTGGATTTGGCGACGAACACTACATTGGTTGGTTCAGCAGCGACGAGTGGAAGAATGCTTCAAGAGAATATCACTTCTTGCCTGCAACTGCGCCGAAGGTTCAGCCAAATGGCGCGTCTCTGCTCAACGTAGCGTCCATGAGCCATGGAGAGCTACCCTCGCAACGGTCTCTTGAATTGCATCAAGTGATGCAGGACCAACGAGATTCGGCAAATCCGATACTTGCATTTCAGTAAGGATGAAGACTTCTCCACAATGATGATTGGATGCCGAAATATTAGAAGTAAGCTCAATGCTACCACGCATGTCTGCCTAAGCAGTTGGAGGAAGAGGTGCCCCTCCTTCATTGAGCTTCTCCCAGCTGGTGCCTATATGGTTTCCTTGTTATACTGAACGGAACAAGTCGAGCAAAAAAGCATATTGTTGAGCTTACACATCACACAAACTGAGTAGGCGAGAAAAAATAATAATAATAATAATAAAAAAAAGATTTCAAGGCTGAGTCGGTCACAGTGAGAGAGGGAGAGAGAGAGCAAAGGCTTCGTAAAAGCCAGCCGACCTCTTGGCTGCTTTACGCGCTTCGCGTCTCAAGAAAGACCAACACCTTTTTATTTATTTATTTTTGAAACCTGCTGCTGCTGAGCATGCGAGAGGCGTGAGTTGCGTGCAGCATCGGATCCTCCCCGACGAGAGGAGCGAGGCGTGAGAACGAAGAGAATGCGATCCACCATTCACAGCGTTGGCTGAGTCGATGGACTTGACTTGACTTGGCTTGCCACCCACAAGCTCAGCGGCTCCTTTCTTCATCATCAAGTCTCGCGGCAATCGCAACGGCGAACAGACTTCCCGCCACACGACGACCATCTTTACACCTGCTCCTGCTCCTGCGAACACGTCTAGCCTGCTCTCGCTCCCACTTCTCACCCCACCAACCTACCTCCTTCAAAGCTCAGCACTTGCGAGTCATCCCCTCTTCTCTTGTCCACATACATCTCCTTAGCATCGGTCGCCTTTCCCTTTCTCTACCCAAAGCCAGAAAAATAAAAATGTCGCAAAACGGTCAAGACCCCGCTCAGAATGGCGAAGAAGAGATGGGCGAGGCATTCGGCCCCCTTCCCGTCAACAAGCTTGAGGTATGTATTCCTTCCACCTCGTCGCTTTCTGGCGCGAGCCCATTCATTGACCCCTTTACTTGTCCCCCTGAAACCTCTTCGAATGACAGGACTTTGGCATCTCGAGCTCTGACTGCAAGAAGCTGGCCGAAGCAGGCTACAACACTGTAGAGGCCATCGCATTCACCCCGAAGAAGAACTTGCTGCTAGTCAAGGGTATCTCGGAGGCCAAGGCAGACAAGATCCTCGTCGAAGCTGCCAAGCTCGTGCCTATGGGTTTCACCACTGCCACCGAGTTCCACGCACGCCGAAACGAGCTGATCTCGATCACCACAGGATCCAAGAACCTCGATGCCATTCTTGGCGGTGGCATGGAGACCGGAAGCATCACCGAGCTGTACGGCGAGTTCCGAACAGGAAAGAGTCAGCTTTGCCATACTCTCGCCGTCACTTGCCAGCTGCCCGTCGACATGGGCGGAGGCGAAGGCAAGTGTCTTTACATTGACACCGAGGGCACTTTCCGACCGGTGCGTCTCCTTGCTGTTGCCGAACGATACGGTCTGAACGGTGAAGAGGTGCTCGACAATGTCGCTTACGCACGAGCATATAACGCCGACCACCAGCTACAGCTGCTGATGCAGGCTTCTGCCATGATGGCCGAGTCGCGTTTCTCGCTTTTGATCGTCGACTCGCTCACTTCGCTCTACCGTACCGACTTCTCCGGTCGAGGTGAGCTTTCAGCGCGACAGATGCACCTTGCTAAGTTCCTTCGAGGCCTAATGCGCTTGGCCGACGAGTTTGGTGTCGCTGTCGTCATCACAAACCAGGTGGTCGCACAGGTGGACGGAGCGACCGCCTTCACTGCTGATGCCAAGAAGCCCATTGGTGGTAACATTGTAGCTCACGCTTCCACGACGCGATTGTCGCTGCGAAAGGGTCGTGGCAACCAGCGTATCTGTCGTATTGCTGACTCGCCCTGCCTTCCTGAGGCCGACGCTGTCTTCTCCATCGGACCCGAGGGCATCATCGACCCCGTAAGTAGGATATTCTCGCTCATTTCGTCATGTGTTGCATACTTGAAGTGAAGCTGACTCTCTTGCGTTTTCTATCGTCACAATGATGTTCAACCCTTTCAGGTCGACTGATCATGGTTATTGGCATCGCCGGCTTCTGGACGAGCCCATGCCCTTCTCTATGCGACAATGTCCATCTCTGTCATTGCCACGTTTTGTTTATATATCTTGAAGCTCTCGACATCGTGCCTTCGCATCGTTTTCACCTACTGTACATTATCATCTTCAGAGTCATCGCAAACTTGGCATCTTTGAATTACTTGATCATGCTTTGCTGAGCGCTGAGGCTGTTGGTCGGTTGTGTGGCCGACTGATGTACATAGCAGCTGTAAGCTCCCATCAATGCTGCGCCCCTTCTTTTGAAGTGAAGCTCGTCTGAGAAACAAAGCAAAGGTGCACGGCCCTTTGTTCCCCTTCTGAAGAGGGACTTGCCGCTTGAGAAGGCTTCATCACTGTGCAGTAGGCACCTCTGTGACGCGGGCCCTACTAGCAGTTGCCCAGCGTCTTAGTCATACAGTATGTTGAGAGAGAAATTACCTCAAGTCCGAGGCGAGATGGAGTATTGGTGTTCTGTTTCTGCAGATCAAGGAGTGAATTTCTCGTACGAGTGAGGATTTGATTTGCGTACACTGTTCGCAAGCCATCTCATCTCAGAATCTCACACGAGGAAAAGCAAACGAATTTGCAAGCGTGCGCAGAAAATCGACGGTGTGAAGTCAGTGATGACGGTAAGATGGCCTTACAGATTTCAATCTCTAATTTCCCGCATTCGAAGGCGTCAAAGCTGAAGCTCCTGCTCTCCTTGCTCGACTCGGCCAAAGGTCATGTATAACTAATCAAAAAAGCTGCACCTCGGCAGTGTGGACTGTCAACTCTCAAAGCTCTTGAGAGAGTGTTCAATCTACAGATTGCGCCAGCTGCCACTCATTTGGTCAATGCTTTGAGCTCTTCTTTCCTTTCATACGACCGTATACTCCATATTTTCGACTATCGACACTATCCCCTTTCACCTTTCGACCCGTCTCTTTTCACTTTTCCTAGCATTCAGCATCTCGGCCAACCTCCCTGAGCTCGCACGTTTCGTTGTTCCTTCTCGCAATCCATCGCTTCGATTCATCGCATATCACGGTCACCGTTCGTCCGAGCATCTACGCAAACTAGCAAGTTTCTTACCGCTCCACTATCTTATCTAACAACAACAGAACTCTTCGTACCGTACCCTACATACAACAACGACCATCTAGGTGCTGCCGCCCTCTCTTGGCACTCGTCAACAGAGATCCGCATACACCCTTACCCAAGCCGTATTCAGCTACTCAAAAATTGTTCTCATCCAGCAGGTAGCTCCCCGCTGCACCAGCCCCATCATCCATTTCACACATTATATTTCCTTTACACACAGGATAAGCAATGATCGCTGCGATGAGGCCATCACATGCGCATTCTACTACGCCTTCAGTCCATTCCAGACCAAGCTCTCGCAACTCTTCCCACTCCAATGCCGCCGCCGCTCTAGCTTCACCCTCAACACAATTCAAGTCCGACAAGCTTGCCGCAAAAGCTGCCGCCAACGTCGCCAACGGTCTCTCCGGCAAGAAGGCCTCCGCGGCCAAGAAAACTGCCAAAGCTCAACAGCAAGCTGAAGCTTCCAGCATCAACAACGACAAGCCTTCCACCACCCCTGGTCTCATCACTCTCACCAAACCGATGTCTGACGAGATGAATGCATCCAAGCAGTCAAACAGTGTTTCAAGGTCCAAGAAGGGCAAAGAGGCCAAGTTTGCAATCGAAGAGGCTTCAGCAACTCCTATCAAGGCATCTCGATCGAAAAAGTCCAAATCGTCACCCAAAGCAGACACATCCGAGATGCTTCTCTCCAAATCTGCTCCCTCTGCACCTATCACTCATGTTCAGCGACCTCTACCAAACAAGCAGGCTGCCGACTCCAATGCAGTCGAGCAGTCCTCGTCGGCACTCACTTGGCAACAGGAGATGTTCAAGCAGCAGGCTTCCAGATCTAATCTTGACCTGTCGCAGAATGGCAACGGCTCCAGACGCTCCAACAAGAAGGTGAATGCCGCTGCCTCCAAGCACGATGGCAACCTTGCTCATCCTCAAAGGGTGCAGGATGGCCGCGGTTCGCCTGCCTTGACCTGGCAGCAGGAGCTCCTCGCAGCCAAGAAGCGCGCCGGTCCCCACTTTGACGTCTTTGCTGACGCACGCGACGTCGAGACCTTTGGCGCCGACGATGGCCCAGCCAACGGCAACGTCCACTCGCAGAGCAAGGGCGGCAAGCGAGGCAAAAGTGCTAACAAGGGACGCAACAACGACACGCCTCTTCACATCGATGATCTCTTTGAGTCCATCAATGGCGATGGCATGACCAAGTCCAAATTGCCACAATCTCAACGCAACAACCACGCTGCCAATCTGCACACTCAATATCCCCAGCACGGTGCTCCCATCCACATTGCTCCATCTACTCCGGTCAAGAAGCCCGCCAATGGCGGGCAGCAGCAACATCCTGCCGTCGCTGCAGCTAGTGCATATGCTGGACCCAACTTCCACAATTCTCCCTCGCCTGCCAGCCTCCCTGCGCCCAAGTTCCAAAACCGTCTGGATAAGAACAGCTCCGAGCCTGATCGGGGCATTCAGCGTCCCTCTTCACTCGCGACTGGCAGCAGTAGCGATGACTCTGGCTCTAGCGATGACGAGGTTCTTTTGAGCCGTGGCGTTCGTAGTACCACTGCGCCTCCCGAAGTTGCTTCTACTCCTTCCAAGTCTCCCGCGCCCGCAGCTGTTCCCTCGACGAAGGTTGCAGCAGCTGTGTCGCCTGCTCCCAAGCCTTGCGTCCAGCCTGGCGCTACTGTGGAGAGCCTCCTCGCTCGAATGCTTGGCGGTGCCAAATTCAACTAAGTGTAATCACACTCGGTCATGATCGGCAAATAGCGGCGTCCGTAACGTTCTCCAGCTGGAACATTTCCCCTCCCGCCGTCAACCGTAGCCGTTTGGCTCATGTCGTTTATCCGATTCTCGTTCTCGTTCTGTTCTGGTCCTTTCTTCATAAGCCAGCGCGTCAAATTCTGAAGCGCCCTGGCTGCAAGCTTGCATCTTTCTGTCTTGCCTTGGTGCAGACATGGTCAGAGCTTGTCTCTTTGGTTTCCTCGTTCTATCTCCTTATCACCTACGTCCTTTGCAAGTCACGCAAGGCACCTCAACATCACTTTCGCTTCTCCGTCGCTCCTCAACGTCGTGCCACCGAGTGGCCGTGTTCCGACTTCCGCATCGCATGTTTTCTTGTACTAGTATTGTGTCTTTCTATTGGGATTCAACTGTCTCACAAGCTCACACGCGAGCTTCTGCAAGTATAATTGCGAACATCAAATATTTACCCGTCATTCAACGTTCACCCGTCATTCAACGTTCACCGGTCATTCAACGTTCACCGGTCATTCAACGTTCACCGCCGACAACAACGCCTCAAGACTGGTTTACCCGCGCGAGACTTGCACTGCGCCATCAAGTGCTCACCCGAGCTTTACAGCAGGCTTTCTGCTGTCATGTCAGGATAATAATGCTCAATTGAATTTCCTGTGCACTCTTCTGCTTTCCTGAGCAGATCAGAACACCATGATCACTCAAACCATTCTGACTGCTGATCGTCTTGATCTGCGATCAAATGCGTCTGCAGGCTTCTCAAGCCATGTAGACTTTCCCAGCCCGTCCTATGCTTTCCCTCTTCCTCTTCCCTGTATTTCTCTATCTTTCACTTCTGCTTTTTTTTCTTTCTTTTCTTTTCTTTTTTCCCCCAACCCCCTACGCCTTATGAATGAGGTCTCTGTCCCATCGTACCTCTTTCGAGATGTAATAGGCATTCATCCGACATTCTATCCAGTCTATCTTCTTCTATCCGCTTCACTTGGCTGTGTATGCGCATTGTTTGAGGTGGCCGGAGATGTGTTCTTGGAGGTGTGCGCAACAGAACCTTGAGATGTAACAAAGTCCGTAGACGCGCCTGAGAGGAGTAAAGAGTCGCGCTTGGTCGCGTAAAGCGGCACTTTTCTGGAGGTGTGGCATTGATTGATTTCATTCGTGTTTCATGTCTTGTTTCTTGGAAAGTGGAAAGCGGAAAGCGGAAAGCTTCTTCACGCTCCTGTGTCACCCACCACCTTCAAGTTCTTTGGCATGGTACAGCTTTTTCCTTTTCACATCTTGCATCAATAGCTCGCAGTTGCCGGAATATTGCCTTGCTACGTTTGGCGTTTACATTTCAGTCTTCTCACGCTGGGCGAAGCGGTAGAGCTTCTCGACAATGCCAAGAAAATCAACAGGTGCAGTCTCAACTTCAGCCTCATCTGCCGGTACATCTGTCTCTAAGCCATCTGGACCACGCAAATCCATTTCCACCGTCGACGATGCCGAATCCGGCCCTTCTTCTGCACTCATTATCGACGCTTCGACAAAAGTGGTATTGAAACAACAGGAAACAGCATTAAAATCATCCGGTATTGAATCATACGAGTTACCACGTACTCAGGTGATAAAGGTGGCCAAATCAGATATCCCCGATACAGTTCAGCTGCGCAAAGAAGTGCAACAGGCACTTGTCAAATCAGCGTCAGTGTTTATCAGTTATTTGACTGCAACCGCTCATGATCGCGCGACGAAGAAGGGAGGAAAGATCATTAGTGCTCAACATGTGTTAGAGGCTTGGAACGAGTTGCAAGTGGGCGACGAGGGAAGTGTGAAGGTATTAAAAGAGCAGTTGGGGGAATATAGGAGAATGGCACAGAGGAAGAAGGATGCGAATAAGGCAAAGACGAAGGATGCGGATGGGAATGAAGGCGATGTGTCTAGAGCAACGGGTCATGGGGAGGATGATCAAGATGGGGAGGAGGGAGATGAGACTAGGGCCGGTAATGATGATGAGGATGAGGGAGGAGATGGGAGCATGTTAAAGAGAACTTTGCAGAATGGTCATGGAGGTGCGGATGAGGATGAAGAAGGGGAGGAGGATGAGGAAGGGGAGGATCAGTTGATGGACGAAGACTGAACCATGCTCTCACGCACTCGTTCGCAGCATCATCACACACTTGCAATCAACACAATCAAAGACACAACCGTCCAAAAAAAGCTTGCTGCGTTGCATTGAATGTGTTTGCGCTAGACTTAACCCTCCTGAACAATCCCAACCTGAACCTCAATCCCGGCTCTCAATAACACATCGATCCAAACTTTCTGGCTTTCACTCAACCTATCACCGGGTCCCTTCACCTCTACAAACCTAACGGATTTATCTTGCATTCTCCAAATCACCAAATCCGGCATTCCACTAGAACAATGATGCCATTCCTCCACCAACATCTGACACACCACCGCTAAACTCTGCCCACCTAAACATTCGGCTACTTGCAGCAGATCTTGTTTGGAGAAGAGATCCCATCTGCACCCTACCGCCCAAGTCTTATTTGGTCTTTCTCGGTCGTCTACTGTTGCGATAAGATCCAGGCCACCGGTTCGTTCGATGTGATCGAGACGAGTGCGAATTTCGGTAGAGCGCACGATTGGGAATGAATCAGACCCAAGGTCGAGTGGAGCAGATTGATAGGGTGTTTCGAAGGATCCAGCGATGCCGTCTGTGAAGATCACATCCCAGAGGAGAAGGACGAACAACATGGTTAGCAGCTTGCCTTCACAGTGGTAGCCTTTGAAGTTTTGTAGAGCGTAGTGTTGGAGGCATAGTTGTTCGACGTGACAGGGCTGGTTGTCGAGGCCTCGCCAAATGGTACGCATGCTGCGACGGGGGTTGGAGATGGTGGTTGATGTGGGCGAGTCAGAGCCAGAGATGAGGGAGAGCGTGGTTGGATCTGGTGCAGGAGCGAGAATGTCGTCGAGGGAGATGTCGGATAGGTCTTCTTCCTTTTTCACCTGAGGGAAGTCGGGAGTGATACTGCGAGAATGGGGATCGAGTTTGGTTGGTGACACTGGATCAGGCTTGACGGAGAGGCCAGCAAAGGACTCGACCTTGACCCGTTTGAACAAGGGTTTACGGATCTCGAAGCGGCTCGATGAAGAGCTGCGTTTGATCGGTGATTTGCTCAGGCTACGGTTCGGCGGTGTGTTGCCTTTCGACGCTGGCAAAGCATCCGGAGAGCTGGGCGGACTGCCCTTCAAAAACCTAGACATAGCGGTCATGGCTTGATTGGTGCTCTCATCCGTCTCCACCATGGCGTCTAACCTTACACCCTTGAATACCACCTCTGTCGTCTTTTTGAGTTTGGTGTATGAGAAATCGTGCTGTTCGGATTTGGGAATTCTTAGTTGCGACTCCAACCTTGCTATTCTTCGTTGTAGTGTGTCGTGGTAGATGAGGTGCGTGTCGGGATCTTGGATTGCCTTGACACTGATCGCTAATGCTTCACGCTTGCCTTTGCGCTGATCATCAGAGTAGAGCGCTGTGATGAGCGCTAGTCGATTGTACCAATCCCCTCTCCTACCACGTCGGAAAAGCTTCTGATCGAGCAATGCCTGCAAGACCTCCTTCTCCCTCTGGCGCATTTTGAAACGGGCGAGCACAGTTGCGCCTTTGTACACGACCCGAGTAAGCACCCAGCCGGGATGAAAGCGCATTCGATGGTAGACCATCTTATCGATGCCATCAGGATGCGCCGCAACACATTCTGCAACACACGACTTCCACTCGTGCCATACTGAGTCGAAGAGGGCAAGTGCAGCTTTGAAATCCGCCTCGCCTTTGCCAAACTGAATGAGGTCCTGCATCTCAGCTTCAAGGCTGAGAGCGCGTTGGAACGCAATGAGGTGGTCTCGGGAGGGGAAGAGAAAGCTCGTTCGTCGACATGTGTAGTTGGGGTAATTGCGGATACGGGAGCGGGACAAGATTGCTGTTGTCAATGCTGCGCTAGCGAGCAAGTTAGCGCGATAGTAGACGAGTGCTACCCTGTCAACGAGCGATCGAAGAGCGGGTAAGACCTGTATACACCCTCCACCAAGGAGGGCTGAGAGTTGGTCTTTGAGACGTGAAGCCTGTGCCTGTGGACCAGTTTTGGTGGGGCTGAAGTCAAGTGTGAGTTGCTGCTGCTTAGTATTCGGAGACTGCTTGGACTGCTTGGTGGGACTTGTAAACAGCATCGATTGAGACTTGGTCGCTGATAGAGCCGCGAGGATTTGCGCACGAGTCGTGCCGATCTTGGCAATAGCCATGTTTTTGGCGATGACTTTGAGCTCTTCAATGGTGAGAAGGGAGAGAGATTCGGCGATGCCGCCTCTCATGTCTCTCTCGGTCATGACGAATCGATCGAGAAAAGGCTCTTGGGGCGGCGCTGAAGGCTGCTGCTTTGCACTCTTCGGAAGCGGACCATTGGCTTGAAGCGAGGAGCCTGCCAGTGGTTGCTTATCGCGGTAGGTGGGCGGGCGAGGCAGACGCGTCTCTTCGTCCAGCTTGCCTCTGTCTTGCTCCTCGACTTTCGCTCCTTCCGAAGGCGGTGCAGCAGATATCGGTTTGGCGAGTTCCTCAGTGGCAGACCTGAGATCTTGCACTTCAGAGCGGTAGGCTTGGAGACGGTCGAGCCGATACCAGCTATCCTTCCTGCGTTGTAGGAGACGGACAAAGAGGTATCGGGCCGGGTAGGAAAGCATAAAGAATGCCGACAGGATATCGAGCTCTGCCTTGGAGAAGAGATAGGACTCGGACTCGAGGACGGCACACACCATCTGCTGGAAGAGCTCCGGATAAATTGATGTGCCTGAGCCTGGCCGGTAGGTGTCTCTCATGGCTTGGGCTGTAGATGACGTCTTCTGCTTCATCGACGTCGATAGCATTCGCTTCGTCTTGGCCTATCTCGCTCTCTATGATGGCAGCTCGGAGGAGCGAGAGCCTGTATGCAGGGTCCAGCGCTGCCTCCAGCATGCACTTTCCCTAGAGGAGGAGCAGCAAAATTTGAGGCTTGAAAGAGAGGAGAAGCAACAGAAGGTCGAGGTTGATATTATTTTGTGCCTTTCCGTGCGGTAGAGCCTGAAGAAAAGGAGGTGTTGGTTGGTCACACGTTCAGCTTCGACTTGAGACGCGTCTTGATCTTGCTGTCTGCAGTGACATTGATTTTTTTTGGGTCAGGCTGAGGCTTGAGTGTTGGTCTCGCTCCCTCGCTTGTCTGGTGTGGGGCATAGAAACACAGCCTGGTGTCAGCCGGCATTCAAATGCATTGACCTCGTTACTCTCATCACTCTTGTTCATCCAGTCGCCATTATGACAGTGAGAGCAGCGGATCGGAAATGCCGCACTTAGGGGCGATGATGAGAGCAAAAAGGGCCCCTGACCTTGAGAATCATGTTTGGTGTTGTTTTCGCTGATTTCAAATTATTTTGAAATGGGTTTAATTCGAGACAGACATGGGGGTGGGGGGGCGTGACTTTGAAATGAACCCTTTTCGTTTTCGTTTTCGTTTTCGTTTTCGTTTTCGTTTTCGTTTTCGTTTTCGTTTTCGTTTCTATTCCACTTTTGGACTCTCTCGCTCTTCAACAAGCGGCATTTCAAAAGTGGAGCTAAGAGTAATTTGGCAGCACAGCAACGCAGACTCTGTGTGGGAGCAGCTCAAGTGTTGTTCTACGCTTTGGCTGCAGCTCCACGCAGCTCCAATGGAAACAACGAAGCAGACACTCACTCGCACCATTCAGCTTTTGCTCGTCAGCCTTCGCGTCTTGGCGTTGCTTATCTTCCTCAATCACTTCCACCATCAACGGACGCCAACACTCAAACCGGAACCCTCTTGTCGAGCATCTTTGTCTAAATTCTACATCGCACCTCTCCAATCCTTCGGACGCTCTCTTCATACTATCCACTCGTGTGTCAGAGATAGCTATCAATAGAACCTTAGCTAGCTCCAACCTAGTATCATCCCCTCTTCCCAACCCTTGCATACACGCCACGCCTCAACTACTGTTGCCATCATGGTCGACGTGGTTCGAACCAAGTCGCACCTCTTCCGTCCATCACATCGTTCCTCACCTTCCACAGATGCAAACAACGCAGCACAGCTAGCCGCCGCGATGCCTCGTCCATCAAGGGGTGTAGGGCAGTCTGCTTCCGATGCTGCTTCGGCTGCTGAATTCGCATCAAAGAAGTACGTCTGGATCCCAGACCCCAATGCCGGCTACGTCTCTGCCTGGGTCATCAAAGAGCAACGCGAGTCCTCGCTCTGCGCTTTGCAAGATGGAACCAACCGTACCGTCCCCATATTCGAGCTCAGCAAGATGAATCCGCCCAAGTTCGACAAGGTAGAAGACATTGCCGACCTTACCTTCCTCAACGAAGCCAGTGTTGTCCACAACTTGCGCCAACGATACTTTAGCTCCCTCATCTACACATACTCCGGTCTCTTCTTGGTAGCTGTCAACCCCTATCACTCCTTGCCCATTTACACAGATGCCATCGTCGCAGCATACAAGGGTCGAAGGCGGGAGGAGAATGCTCCACACGTCTTTGCTCTCGCTGACGAAGCCATGCGCAACATGATCGACAACCGCGAGAATCAGAGCTTGCTCATCACAGGTGAATCAGGGGCTGGAAAGACCGAAAACACCAAAAAGGTCATTCAGTATCTCGCAGCTATCGCCGCTGATCCTACCGCGCACAGCTCTCAGTCATCAGCCAACACTCTCACCGCATCTTCCTCTCGAGAGGTTCTCGACCGCATCAATGGTGTTGAGCCAGTCACAGCCAAACGTCTTGGACTCCTCGAGCGTCAGATCCTGCAAGCCAACCCAATCCTCGAAGCATTTGGTAACGCACAGACGATCCGCAACAACAACTCGAGTCGTTTCGGAAAGTTTGTCCGCATCGAATTCACCTCGGTCGGCGCCATTGCCGGTGCCAACATTGACTGGTACCTCTTGGAGAAGAGTCGTGTTGCCATTCGCAGCGAGAACGAGCGCAGCTTTCACATCTTCTACCAGCTTCTTCGTGGTGGTGAACCCGAGCTCAAGCAGAAGCTGCTGCTCTCCAGCTCGCCAGATGACTATGCATACCTCAAGGGCACCCGCAAGGACGTCGAGGGAGTCGACGATAGAGCTGAATTCAACCTTCTCCGTGATGCCATGAACACTGTCGGCTTCACTCCCGAAGAGCAGCTCAACCTATTCCGCGTCGCTGCTGCCATCTTGCAGATCGGTAACATTCAACTCGCAACCGACCGCACCGATCAAGCCCGAATCACCAACATGCCTCAGATCGAAAAGGTCTGCCATGTTCTAGGCCTGCCCGAGCAAGAGTTCTCCAAGGCCCTCTTGAGACCCCGTGTCAAGGCTGGTCGCGAATGGGTCACCTCCGCCAGGACCATGCGTCAAGCTTCTGAAGAGATGGCTGCACTCAGCAAGACATTGTACGAAAAGGCATTCGGCTGGCTCGTCGATCGCATCAACAAGGCGCTTGATCGACCTACCAGCAAGAGCAGCTTTATCGGTGTCCTCGACATCGCCGGTTTCGAGATCTTTGAGGTCAATAGCTTCGAACAGCTCTGCATCAACTACACCAACGAGAAGCTCCAGCAATTCTTCAACCATCATATGTTCGTCCTCGAGCAGGAGGAGTACGCCCGAGAGAACATCGAATGGGATTTTGTTAACTTTGGTCTCGACTTGCAGCCTACGATCGACCTGATCGAGTCCACTACGCCTATTGGTATCCTCTCATGCTTGGACGAGGAGTGTATCATGCCCAAGGCCACCGATCTCACCTTCACCGAAAAGCTCAATCGCACTTGGGCCACCAACAAGGATGGCTCTGCAACCGATGCTGCCGAGAAGGCTCTCGCCCACGGCTCCACCAAATTCGCACCCACTCGATTTGCTCAAGGCTTCACAGTCAAGCACTACGCCGCTGATGTCACCTATCGCACCGATGGATGGCTCGACAAGAACAAGGATCCTCTCAACGACAACCTCACCCGTGTCATGTCTGAGTCCGCTGACCGCTTCATCGCCTCGCTCTTCGCCGAGTACGCCGAAGTTGACGAGCAGACTGCTCTCGCTTCCGCACCCAAGCGTCGCGTCAAGCGCGGTGCCTTCCGCACTGTCGGTCAGAGACACAAGGAACAACTCAACTCGCTCATGACTCAGCTCTCCTCCACTCAGCCCCACTTTGTCCGTTGCATCGTTCCCAACGCCGAGAAGAAGCCAGGCAAGATGGACGTTCCCCTTGTTCTCGAGCAGCTCCGATGCAACGGTGTACTAGAAGGTATTCGTATCGCTCGTCTTGGTTACCCCAACAGACTCCTCTTCTCCGAGTTTAGGAACCGTTACGAGGTCTTGACCCCGGGTATCATTCCTCCTGGCTACATGGATGGTCGCAAAGCATGTCAGCGCATGGTTGAGGCACTCGAGCTCGACAAGTCGACCTTTAAGATCGGCACTTCCAAGATCTTCTTCAAAGCCGGCCTACTTGCCGAGATGGAAGAGCGTCGCGACTCTCACCTTTACGACATCTTCAGCAGATTCGGCGCCGCTTGTCGCATGTACACTGCTCGTCGGCAGATGAAGAAGATTCTCAACCGTGCCGCAGCCGTACGGACGGTACAAAGAAATGCTCGTCTTTACGTCGATCTTCGCGAATGGCCATGGTGGCAGCTCTACACTCGTATTCGTCCTCTACTTACCGCTACGCGACACGATGAGGAGCTCAAGCGCAAGCAGCTCGAGTTGGCCATGGTCACCGAACGTGCCGAACGAGATCAGAAGGAGCGAGAGGCACTCCAAGTGCTCAAGTTCCAGCTCGAGGCGGAGAAGCGTAAGATCGAGGAGCAGCTCGAATCCGAACGAACACTCCTGCTCGACAAGGACCAGCTTCTGGCTAGGTCCAAGGAGCGCGAGTCTGCACTTGAGGATGACTTGGCTGCGCTGCAAGGCGATGTTGACTTGCTTGAAGGTCAGCTCGAGAAAGCGATTGCATCTCAGAAGGCAACAGAGCAAGCACACACGGAGCTCAAGACTGCTTTCGATCAAGCCGGCGACCATCTCCTGCGCCTCGAGGCTGAGCAGAAGGTCTGGAAGGAGAAGGAAGACACGTTCATGCGCGACCTCAGCAAACACAGCACCAACGCCGAACAGTTCAGATCTGAACGCCAAGCCTTCGTCGCCGAAAAGGATGAGCTGCAACGCAAACTCCAGGAGAAGGAACAAGACCTTGACCGAGCTCACAAGCGCATGCTAGCTGCTGTGCAGGAAGTCGAGGCCAAGCTCATGGCTGAAGCTCAGAGTCGCCAAGAAGAGCAGAAGCGGGCGCTGCAGCTCGAGGATCAGACTCGTCAATCTTCTTACCAGCTATCGGAGCTTCAACGTGTCGCGGCTAGCCACGAGAGTCGCGTCAAGGATAAGGAGCAGGAAATTTCCCAGTTGCAGAAGCAGCTATCCGACCTATCACGCGAGCGTGAGGGACTGACGAAGCAGCTTGCAGACCTCAATCTCAAGCTTAATACGCTTTCCTTCGATCTCAAGTCGTCCAAAGACGAGCATGCTAAAACCTCAGAGGCCAAGTCTGCACTTCAGAAGGAGCTCGACGAGACTCGTCATCTGATGGAAGCCAAAAGTTCGGAAGATGTCAAGACAAAGGAGATTCACCGAATGAAAGAGCAAGAGCTTCAGACGTTGCGCGAGCAGATGGCTTCCGTTCAGAGGGAGTTGAGTGAGGCTAAGCACACCAGTCTCGAGCAAATATCGGCGCTGCGTGCTGAGATCTCGGCCGCGCAGAAAGAAGCGAACGCTCATGCTGCGGCTCGTCAGGAAGCAGAAGAAGCTGTTCGTGCAGCCGAAGTTCGAGTTCGCGAAGCAGACGCCAAAGTCGCTGCGGCTGAAAAGGCAGCTCGTGAAGCGGAAGCCTCACTCTCCGAGGCCCAGTCCAAATCTACTGTGATCAACCGCGGTCTCCAAGACGCCCTCCGCAATCGCGAAACGCTCGAAAAGCAACTCTCCCTCGCCGCTACCAAGCACCAGGACCTCGAAGATGCCCTTCTCGAACTCGAACGTCGCGAGACAGCCTCAAAGCACAAGGTTGATAAGCTTGCTGCCGAGCTCTTTGCCGAGTCCAAGCGACGCGAACTTCTCGAATCTGCGCACAAGCAGGCTGAACGTAATGCAAACAGCTTGCAACAGCTCGTGGCGGGCAAGGATAAGGAGATCAGCGGTCTCAAGCATGAGCTGACTCTCGCTCAGCAAGAGATGCGCAAATTGCAAAGCATGCAGAACAAAACGATTGTCGAACACGTACATGTTCTAGAAGAGGCCAAGAAGTACACTGATCGACAACTGTTGGACGCACAATCCAAGCTGCAAGAGCTGGCGCATTATACAAAGACGTTAGAGAAGAGCAAGGCAAGGTTGGTGAGTGAGAACGAGGATTTGACGAGGGAGTTGACGAGGGTGCAACGCGCGGGTGGTGCTGCTGTAGCTGCTTCTCCGACGGTCAGCAATGGGTTGAGAGGTGCGGTGACTACCTATGGTAACGTCGCGCCGTCAGCTGCTAATGGCGATGCTAAGAGTCTGAAGAAGCTAGAGGACAAAGTTGCAGAACTTAGCTCAAACCTTCGCACAGCGCAGCAGCAGAGGGACGAAGCATTGTCCAATACCCGTCGCAAGGACCTACAGGCAGACGAAATGGTCTCTCGCACTCGTAGACAGTACGAGCAGCACATCCAGGAACTCGAACGCCAGCTGAAGAACTCTCAGATTGCACGTAGCACCACGATGAACAATCTCGAAGAGCTTGTTCTTGCCGGTCATGGATCACCACAGGTCACAGGTGGGGCTTCCGATGGGCTTCGGCATCAAATCCTGGACGAGTTGAGGAGGGGACATGAGGAGCTAGAGCATGATATCGCGCTCAAATCCGAGCAGTTGCGTTCTCACAAACTACCCACCTCCAACGGATCGGTTGCTCCACCTGCACGCGGTTCAAGCTCGTACTACGTCTATGGAAACGACACCAAACGAAATGCTAACGGCAGCTCATCATCAGCCTCTTCCTCTAACAATGCCGAACTCGAATCCAAGCTCGCCGAAATGACTCGGCTATACCAAGAGAGTATTTCAAGCCAGCGCAACTCTCAAGCCCAAATGACAAACCTCGTCACTCAAATCCGAGACCTTCAAGCCGGTTTGGACGAATCAGAGTTGAAGTACGACCATCTAGCAGCAGCCTATCAATCTCTCATCCAAGAAGCAGGCGTAGATGAGAGTTTGATTAACTCCCTACAGCAGACGCTGGAGAGGTATAAAAGTCAGGCGGACAAACATATGGAAAATTGGAGAAACACTACAAAGGAGCTAGAGTCTCAGGCCAAAAGCTTGAGTCTAAGGAATGGGGCTGGTGGGAGGAGACCGGGGAGTATCCCTCCGGAGATGGTTGGAGGAATGAGTCCCACCCGTACGCAACTCAGTATGAGATAAATGTGAGAGGGAGAAGGGGGGGAGGTGATGATGATGGTTTCGTTTGTTTTTGTATACATATTATGATCCGAGTACCTGTTGTAGAACGTGCAGCAAATAGCGTTGATCACAAGTAGCGATTGCGATAGTATGTAAGAACTAAGTACAAGATAATGACTAGTATACATGTGTGTCTCCCAGCACTATGTGTATGCCTGTACGAGACAGAGGTATGCTACCCCGTGGACAAGGCTGAAGCATAACGGGGCAATTATCTTCTCCTCCTCGGGTATCGTGTAGCCGGTATGCCTGTCGCCACAGTCGGTCCGGGCCTAACATGGTGCATATCCGAGTGAACGAAGGTGGCGACTATGTGATATAGTTGAAGATGCGTCGGCATCTCAAGCAATATGCACGCGTCACAGCCGAGACACCAAAGTGCAGGGAGCTCACATAAGCGAGGAACACAATGAAGTAAGGGGTAGTCGTCATGGCGATGGTCTGGTGGCACCCAGTATCATAGCAACACAGGGGTACAGATGAAGTGACACATCTTGTTTTGGACATCACTAGAGCGGCGAATGGAGTATATATATGTGTTTGTCATTTAGGTTCACTCTATGAAAACTAAGCATTTCAAGAAGTAACATGGCTGTATAATTGAGCTTGCTAGTGGCTCCGATCGGTCGCGTTTTACTTGCAATCTTCAATTGATATCGAACTAGAGTTCACATGCTTTCACTGTACCGTTTTAGTTTGACGACAATGTTATGCTTTATTTACACACAAACAGTTGAAATATAGAGAAGTATAAACACCAACTTCGGGCCACGATCAGGCTCTCTTCGTACAGGTGTATAGCAACTTGCATACTTGGCATTTCTATGAAGAAGTGAAACTACATGAGCATATATATTTATATATCTTGGCACTATCTCTGAGAATGTTAGACTGATTCAGCTCGTGAATAAGTGGCGTTCGCTTTTTACGAGCTTCGCCCCACGTTGGATAAACCCTGGGAATTTTCGGCGTATCTTCAACTCAAACACATACATGATGATTCGCCTAATGTGCCTTGTGCTAGATAGTGACGGACTTGGGTTGGTAAGACACGGTTTGATTGCATATGACAACAACGGACGGTAAGTACAGATGGATGATTTCTTCTACTGGAGCTATCGACTAAGCATCACTTCTTATATATCGACACTATGGAGCAGAGCATGACGGGGAAACTATCTAGCCCGTATGCCGGTGCTTTATCAGGCGGCCGACTTGACGCGAGTCGGTATACCTGCAGCCTTCTAACACCTTACAGCGAAAATATTGTATGATGGAAGCCAAACTACTCGCTCAATTCGCGATCCAACAGCCTCTGAAGTGTAGATTGCTTCCACCAACTTTGCTGAGCCTCCAATGTTTCAAACACCTGCTCTTCTTTTATGCCGTATTGCTCGTAGATGTAGTCTCTCGGCACAATCTCTTGGTATGCAATCGAATCATCCACGTGTGGATGGTTTCCAAAGTTGTCGGCGCTGGTGGTCTTGGGTAGTGAAGTTGTGCGTTGGGGCGGTGTGGCTGATGGACCCGAAGCTGGTGGTGGCGAAGAAGGATAGTCTGCAGGCGTAGCTTCAGGAGTTTGCTTAGTACTTCTGGAAGAAATGGAGGATCGGCTATGAAGAGGAGCCATCAGTGGTCGTTGAGCGTGCACTTCTAATTCTCCCGATGCTTCTTTGTCTCTTCTCCAGATGGATAGTGCTGCTTTGTTGGTGCCTTTCAGCGCCGATTCTAGCTCCGCTTGATCTGGCACGTACAGCCGAGACTCAAGCGTTTGTACTAAAGCTAAGCAGACCCTGTAGATCATCGAATCCGTCTCGTCCAGCAGGACAACATCCCAGAGTCGCATCACTGTGTCTACGTCCAACCACCGCGTCCAGAGGGTCGAGACCCAGTCGCGTAGCACAACGCAGTAGAGCTTGACATTCCGCGCCAGAAGATTCGCATACACTTTTGGCATCTGATCGGCAAGCAGTGTCTCAAGGACACGCTCGAAGCCCCGGATGCTCTTTTCTTTAGGCGGGAGGGTGTAAGCGGAGCCTGCTTTGCGTGTGGCGCTGGTGAGACTGGGCTTGGCGGTAGTTGCTGCAACACTTGGTGGCAGAGTAGTGGGCAACAGCGAGTAAAGTGCTTTGAGCCATGGTTTGGAGTGAAGCAGGTTGAGTAGCGCGATGAATGCAGTGTTGATCGACATGTTGATCAGCAACACGCCGGCGAGACTGGCAAGACCGGGCTGATAGATGTCGATTCCTCGTCTTTCGTATTCGTCTACAAATTCTGGTTGCTCTCCTGTAACATCCTCGCCCGAGATGGATGACAGGTCTGCTTTGCGTGTTGCTGGGCTTGCGTTCTGATGACGGCTAGCAGCCTTGTCGGCATCGCCGGCCCCATCGAGCTCCGCCACTTGCTCCATGCGCACTAAAACAAATGCTCGGCAAATGTGGACCAGGTCATCATGCAGCGGCCCATTGGCTTGGAAGAACTTCAGACTTGGCAAAGTGTCTTGGACGTCTTGGTCAATTTGATAAAGGACACGAGGTGGGATGATCTCTTCGATCAACCTATTGTCACTGCCAGCCGCCTTCTTCTCTGACTGCTCAAGCAAGTTGCGCGGCAGCATCAGAGGGTTGCCGATCGCCAGCGCCCAGACTCTTCCTCGAATGCTCGGAGGAGCTCCTTTCCACCACAGTTGACGCAGTTCTGGATCCTTGCGTGCTCGCGACCACGACGGCAGGATCTCTTTCTCCCATCGCCCCAGTGCTTGCCTCTGTTCATCTTGACGTCGTCGTTTACGCTCTTCCTCCTCTTCGCGCTTCTTACGTTCTACCTCCTTTGCGGCCATCATCATGCGTTCAAAGTCAGCCCTGTGCTTGATCTCTTCCGTCTTTGGCTTTGCAGGCAGCGTCGTCATGCGGGTCCGCGACTCGACGGGATCGTTTCCTGAGGCGCTGGCAAAGGACGACTTGCGACGCGCTTTGCCGTCAACTTGGTCAGCTTTGTCAGACAGACCTGGCGAAGTGCTCGTGCCAGTCGCTTCACCATTAGTAGCTGGCACGGAGAGCGACGAGTCTGCTGCCTCGTCTTCCGTGGATTCTCGTGCTTTGCTTGACTGGGCGGCTTCGGTGGCTTCCACCTCGTCAGATAACGATGTTCCAGCACGTCCATTCTGGGCAGACTTGCTTTGCTGTTCTGTCGCCGACTCGTTGTGCTGAGCGTCCGCAGGCTGCCAAGTTTCGCTTCTTGCTGCGGCGTCCCCTTGTGGTAGCGGATGCGACATGGTCCTCGGACTGACGGGAACATTCGACACAACACTGATGTTGCCATGTTCGTCAGCTGCTAGCAAGACAGGTGCCGGATTCACCGACAGTGCTGTCTGAGAAGACGCAGAGGCTGTAGGCTGTGTAGAGGCAGGTTCTTTTGATTGGGCAAAGGAAGCGCGACATGAGGGTCCTGGGCTGGGGGATCGCGAAGGACTTGCAGCTCTGCTTGAGGCGGCGCTCCTTCGCCCTCTGTATCGTCCCTCGACACTTTTCCTTGGATCTGCATCTTCTGTCGACAATGACTCGCCATGATCTGGGCTGTGGGGTGGGCTCAATGCCTGAGACGAGCCGGTGTTGCTAGGCGAAGGCTCTGCGGATGGCGTGGCTGCTGTGGAGCTCTGCTTCGAGATCTTCTGACTAGAGACGCTATCGCCACGGATCTGTTCGGCAGTCCTGCTCGATCCAGCCAGGGGATTTGATGGATCTAGATTACTACTGTCCAGAGAGACATGCTCTGAGGGGGCGTCCAAGGTGATGTCGACAAAACTGAGGTCGGCTTTGTCAAGCGTAGTCGGAGTGAGGATCTCTAGCTCATTCTGCGGTTGTGGGGGCGGGAAGTGCATCCCGAAGGAATGGAAGGGCGTTGGAGTGGCAGGGCTCAGTTCGGATCGAAGTTCACCGTCATGATGAGGAAGTGAGATGTCCACTTCTTCCTCCTCGATCGTGGACTGCAGTGAGGTCGTGGCGAGGGTGGCAGTCAAGCCAGACGAGGCATGGGCGGTAAGAGCATACTTCTGCGGCGGAACTGAGTCGATACGGCGATGGGAGGATGGCAACGACGAAGCCTCGTTCTTGGATCTTGGCGATGCTACAAGGGAGATATCACCGTCATCGTCTTCCTGGTCCGAGGCATGCGGTGTCTCATCGATGTCATGTTGGACGTCTACAGGTCGGCTCTGTTGCTGCGAGTCTAATACTGCATCATTCCTGTTGGGCGATTCGAGCTCTTCTGCAATCTCGGGAGATGTTGCCTGGTCTACTCGGTCGCTGCTGCTTGCGTCAAGGCACATCTCATTATGTTCTGGTTCTTGGAGAGCCTGCTCAGCTGGTTGTGAGGAGTCAGATTTGAAGTCCACAGATGACATGGTGATGTTGTGGAGTGTGAGAGGTCACCTGATCGGACGAGTGCCCCCTGTTGCTATCGATGTGATCAGTATCGAGGAAAGGAGCGCCTTGGAAACTCTTACGGCTGAATTTCAGAGGGCATCGCAGCTCCTTCGCTGCTCAACGCACTGATGGTCGGATGTCCCGTTGTTTTTGGTCAGCAGCCTGCTAATCGGTCGAGAATGGGTGATATGGTGTAGGTGAAGGTAGAGACGAAAGCAGTGCCGTAAGGCGTCCGTGCTTCTACTAACTTTGTTTACAGCTTCTGCATCACACGCCGCTCATTCGTGTTGGACCCTTAAATACACCTTGGTGCTTTACGCCATGTCGGCTCCTTCGGATGCCCCCTCGGCTAACAGTTCCGTTCTGAGTAAAGCTTCCTTCAGACCTTCTCAACTCACCTCATCCTTATCAGGAGCAACCACAGCATATGAGATGTACATTCGACAGAGACTTTTGTTGCTGCAGCTATGATTGCCGAGGGTATGTGATTGCAGAGGCCTGTGTGCTTGTCGCGGTCGGTAAAGTAAGTGCCTTTGAGTTCAAGTTCCGAAGCCGAGCAACTTGACGTAGGCTATAAAAGTCAGAAGAGAGCGGCCTGAGAGATCAAGTCTCAGCTTTTGGCTTTGCAATAGTGAAAGCACATAACTTCTACTCCGAGCATGCAACTTCTACTCCAACCTCACACTAACACCAACTTCACTCACTCAATATCACATTACCGAGATTGACCACCGCTGTCGGCATCGGCATGCCGGACAACAGATAGCCAAGATAAAATTCCCGTAGCCTCCACACTATGCTTCAGTCTCATCGTCCTTGTAACACACATGTATACACAGAACACTGGGACATATATATATATATATATATATATATATATATATATATAGAGGTAATCATCATGTACTTAATGAAAGTTGAAGTCGTTTGGGTCCCGATACAGGTGATCGGGGATAGTCTAAGTACGATGTCACTACTCGTTATAGCAGAAACATATACTCAATTGACTTGAAGAATGTGGCGAGAGCCTAGTGCTCTCTGTGAGATATATATACATGTGAGTGGCACATGTTGAAGGTGGGAGTACTCCTACTCAATGATCTAGCCTGACAACAGGTGGGACTTGGTTGTACCCGATCTTTAACTAAATTGGTTCAACTTGATCTTCAATCAGATCTGATCGGCTCCACTTGACCTTTGATCAGATCGGTTTGTGTCATCATGTTGGATTGCCAGTCTTTTTCAACACCCCCTCTCAATCCAGCATGCCCCTCCATCAGAGTTAGTCCAGAGAGTTGACGGAGGAGAAGCAGCATAGGTGCTGCCAGCAGTTTGGTCATCATGTTGGCCAGATTCTCGCTACTTTGGATCAGAGCGATTGCTAGTCATTGGCTTGCGACTTTGTCCCATAAGAAAAAGTGTGCTATATCGATGTGTTTTGTCCTTTTAAAGTGTTGTGGGTTACTTGCGATAGCACAAGCTCCAGATGAGTCACTGTACAGAACTGGTACATTCCAGTCAAAGCTTAACCTTCTGTCATGGGAATGAATGATCGACATCCCAGCGCTTACTTGTATCCCTGTCGTTGTTGGTGCAGATTGTCTTAATTCGCTTAAGAACATCATGGTCCAGATTAATTCCCTTGCAGCTCCTGCCAGTGCTACATACTCTGCTTCCACTGAGCTGTTTGCCACTGTCAGCTGAAGTCTTGACAACCAACTGCATATGAGTCCATCTATAGCAAATATGTATCCTGAAGTCAATTTGCGACAATTACGTGATCCTGCCCAATTGCTGTCTGCCCAACCAGTGAGTATCAGCTTGCCGATTGGCTCCCTCGCCGAGAGATTGATTCTCATTGTTCCCTTCAGATACCTTAGAATTCGCTTTGCAGCTGCAAGGTGTTCTCTGGAAGGGTTTGCTACAAATTGTGCACAGCATCCAACGGCGAAGGCAATGTCAGGCCTGCTACCTTGTGCAATCCACAGTAGTGACCCCACCAGCGACACATAGTGACGCACCTCTTCAGCACTGGCAATGTTGGCTTCCCATGGGCTGAGTGAGTTGATTGTCTCTGTCGCTGGTGTTGGGGCTGTCCAAGCTTCGCTCATCCCGAACTTTGTTAAGACACCATCAATATACCCGTTCTGATCTATTGACAGTGTGCGGGCTTTGCGATCATATTGTACACTCAGTCTGATGATATGCGATATGTTGCCCTGGTCCGTAATACTGAAGACACTTGAGAGTTGTTGCCTTACAGCTTGGACCCTTAATGCGGTTGCTCCTATCACAAGTAGATCGTCTATGTAGATTGCAAGGAGTATCATTGCATCACTTGTCCCATGCATATAGATGCACAGTTCGGCTCTGCAACGTTTGAAGCCAAAGGCTTGCAGCTGCTCATCAAGTGCTGCATGCCATAGGCATCCAGCTTGTTTGAGACCATAGAGGGCCTTTTTGAGTTTGTAACACTTACCTTTGGTTTTGTTTGTTTCGAATGTCAGTGGTATTTGGACATACACATCCTTGTCAATCTTCCCATTCAAGAATGCTGTGCTGACATCAAGCTGCATCATGTATAGTCCGTATCATCTGGCAATCACGAGTAACATGCATATGGTCTGCAGGCAGATGACTGGACTAAATGTCTGGTCATAATCCAAGCCTTGATGCTGTGCGTACCCTTGTGTGACCAGTCAAGCCTTGTACTGGGTTGCCTGTCTCTGAGCATTGAGCTTGAGCTTGAATACCCAGCGAACTCTGATGAGCTTACCATCTGCTGGAATGTTTGCTAGCTCAAAGACACCCATTTTACTCATGCCACCCATCTCACTCTCCATTGCTTCTTGCCATTTGTGCCAATCATCATGTAACTTTGCCTCATTGAGTGAAGAAGGTTCCAATAGGATACTGTCAGCACTTCTGAGTTGCTGACCACTGGTGATGAGGGTGGTCCCATTCATCATGGTGACTGTGTATGCCATGCGATCAATGTGATGGTTGCCGATGGTAGTCATGTGGGTTTCCGAACATGTCGTGGCAAAGGATGCAAACTCATGTTCTATTACAGAGATGTTATCATATATATCAGCAACCGCATCACTAGGAGGCATCTCGAGTAGTGGCGCCATGTCCAGGGTGTCGATGTGTGGTGATTCTTGCATGACATCCCCCCTTTTGGACTGTACAGCATCCAGCTCTGCTTCGAGGTCTGCAGTGATTGCATCAATATTGATGATGGTCTCGCTGGCCGCTTCGATTTCTGCCATCAAGCGATCCCATTCCCAGTCATAGCTTGGTGTATCTGATGGTGCTGGCTGTGATGCTTGTCTGTGCTGACAGGAAAACTGAGATAATGAGGGTGGTATGACGTTGTCCTGTTCAACGCCCCCATAGTTGTCAGTCTCTGTTGGTGGAAGCCACATGTATGAATGAAGTAATCTGTTGTCCCCTGCAAGGATGGGTGTGTGCGAGGGAGCAGCGTCAGGTTCTGGATGGTCTAACTCTGAGAAGTGAACATCCTTGGTGATGACAATCTGGTCAAGATTCAGGAGCCACACCTTATGTCCCTTAATAGCCCATGGGGTGTTGGAGAAGCCTAGATAGGTTCCCCAGAGAGCACGTGGGCAAAGGTGTTTGCTGACCATTGGATGTCCATTCAGCCACATCAAACACATGTTACCTCGAAGTACAATGTATGCAACACATCCAAATCTCCATACCTGATGCAGCTCAGGGTGCTTGCCATAGAATAGTTCAAATGGTGTTATATGACCACAGGTAGCCCCTGCCAACTGGTTGTGGATAAATGTCGCCTGTGAGATGGCGTGGGGCCACCAACGTTCATCTGTGTTGGAGTCATAGAGCAAGCTGTGAGCAATCTTCTGGATTGTCTGGATTGCTCGTTCTGCAAAGGCATTGTCAGTGTGTTGTTGAGTGGGTGATGCAGTGATCTTCACACCTGCTGATGAACAGAGGTTTCAGAAGGCAGTGGACCAGAGCTCTCCTTGATCTACATGGACTTCTTGAACGCCTTGGTCGATGATCACTTCATTGGGTTCCTGATGTATATTGGTGCGCACTTCCGATAACCACCATGCTGCCTCTTGGGATGCTTGGCCTTTGCTCGTGAGACCTCATGCCCAAATCATGCTGGAGTAAGCGTCATGGATGATGAGCACATATGTGAACTTGGTGGCACCACGCAGTGGGCCCATCACATCCATTGACACTAACTCAAGCGGCCTTTCGACACTTCTGGGGAAGGCTATGTTCCGAGCAACAGCCTTACTACATACACAAACATCACAGAGTATACCTGTGGGAGGTGTCGGACTCGATGGGATGTCATGGGATAGGGTCACTGGCTGTGTGTGTTGAATGGCATCATGGCTTGCATGACCCAATCTGTGGTGCCAGAGCTCTGCCTTGCTGCAAGGCTTGTGTGCATGGTCCATGACATTCATCGTTGCAGCAAAAGCCATGGAGACTGCAGGCTCAGGCATTTCATCACTCCAAATCATCATTGCAGCAGCTGGATAGCCATCTCCACTTGTATGTACATGAATCACATTACCATGCCTGTCCTGGACCATGACAAGTTGGTCCTCGAAGATCACTCGACTGTGGTTCTGCATGACTGACTTCATCCTGATGAGGTTTGTCACCAGACTGGGGATGAGTAGACAGTTTAGGTATGTCATCTGCTCCCATTGGCGTGTCTTTGGGCTGAAACTGAGCAGACTGACTGTACCACCCATCTTGGTAGTGTCAAGCTTTCCTCCATCAGCAGTGGTGATGCTGATTGAGTTATCCATATCACGCCACCCTTTTTCATGGTGTGAGGAGTTTACCATGACACAGGATGCTCCTGAGTCAAACACAAATGGTACAAACCATGGGGGGAGTTCAATTGGTGCCAGCCTAAGTTCCATGAAGAAGGCTAAGACCAGCGATGCATCCTATTCCTCTCACATGTCTGTGAGTGGCAATACAATACATGTGTTTGCCCAACCTTTTGGGATGGCCTTGATCTTACTCTCCTTCCATCAGGCATGTGCTGTGTCATTCGGACAGCAGTTGGCAGTGTGCCTGATGTCGCCACATGCCCAACAATTGATGAGTGTGGCAGCTTGTAGTGCGATCAGCTCTGATTCCTCAGTTGTGTTATGCATGCTCACTGAGGTGCTGTCAGCAGCGAGCTCATAGCATTGGCAGAGGACATGAGCCACACTTTCCATCGTTTCCTCCCTCCCATGGAGTTGCTCATGTAGAATGAATATCGAATTGAAGAGGGCATTCTTATCAGATGGTAAAGCCCGTTTGAGCATTCTATACCTGTGGTCCAGTGTCCAGGGTTCATGCAGGTATGCATGTAGCTCTGACATGAGTGCCTCCCATTTGATGAGGAAGTCATATGCATTGCTACTGACTTGATCCCAGCGAAATGCATAAGCTGCACTAAGGAGTTCATATTCTCTAGCGGCCAAATGCTTCTTGCATTTGTCCACTGCCCAGTCGAAGAGGTTGACAGCAATCAGCATTGGCTGATCTCCATGTTCTGTGAAGTATTCAGTATGTAATTTGTTTGAGAAACTACACATGATGATTGAGCTAAGCATTGAATTGGCATCCTCAAATGTTGTCGCCTTTTGGTCTAAAACATTCCATGCAAATGGGACAACAGCCAGCATTGCAAAGATCCTGCATCACCATGCATGTATCGAGACTGTCCTTGGGTTGAGGAGATCCTGATCATCCCATCTCATCTTGTCATTCAAGCCAGAGAGCACCTTTAGATGATGATTCGTGAGCAGGCTAAGTTCAGGTGTGGGCCCTGGAGTGGCATCACACCCAACTAGCCACCTATTGGGTCCATCTGGGTCAGAATAGGAGGGATCGCCTCCAACAGATGTGGGGGTATCCATCTTCATTGGAAGGTTAGTCTGTTTGGGTGCAAGTTCTGGTTGTCCTTTGATCTTGAGGTCAAGTATGTGAGATGCATCCCATTCTTCGTTTCTCATGAAGAGGTTCACTCTAGTTTGCATTTGTTTACCAAGCTCTATTTGGTTTGCAAACAGGCCGAGACCATGTGTTCCTTTGTAGAGGGCACTAACGCACTCGACCAGGATGGTCAGGGGTGAGATTGTTTGCTCTTCATCATCGTCAATAATGTATTTCAACAACTGGCCATCCTTCGGAGTGTTAGGCATGCCATAGACCTCATCTTCCATGACCTGATTAAAGTGGTCTTGGACCATTCTAGGCAGTTGTGGCAGGAGATTCTGCACAGTGATGACAAAGGAGTTGTAGATAGAATAGTTTACTTTAGACATACTGGTAGTGTTTCAGCAGATTGGGCTCATAACCTAATGAAAGTTGAAGTCGTTGTCATGGGCCTGGATGCTCAAGAAGCAGGAGGGTCACGGGTTCATATAGAAGGAGCACAGGTATCGAAGATCTAGTCGATACCAGTAGAGAGCATGGTCGTAGTGCAGTCTCCATGGAGACCATGGACTCCTACGGACTCACATGCAAAGGAGGGCCAAGCACAGCCACAAGGAGGACCAAGCTCAAGGAGCAGGCACAGCCACGAAGAGGACCAAGCTCAAGGAGCAGGCACAGCCACGAAGAGGACCAAACTCAAGGAGCATGCAGATGGTTACCACTCAGGGGCTCGAGAGACAAGAGCCAAAGGAACTGTCACTGATCAAAGGAGAAGGAGCAGTGTCGAAGGAGTCGACACCAGGTCATGAGGAGGAGGAGCAGTGTCGAAGGAGTTGACACCAGGTCATGAGGAGGAGGAGCAGTGTCGAAGGAGTCGACACAGCTCAAGAGGCACAGGGGTGCCAAGCAGGAGAGGCCCCTGAGCAGTACTCGATGAAGAAGGTACTCTCTGGAGAGAGAGCAGGAGCAGCATCACTGGTGATGCTGTAAAGAGGTATATAACCATGCTTTCTCATCATCATAGGTCGAGTGGATCCTCATCCACTCTACTCACCATAACTAGTTATCACTTCAGCATAAGTATATATTAGTTTCAGTCAGCATAGCAGCAATCCATCAAGGTTGCTCCTCATCGTAGTGTGTGTGTTGTATCACCACTACCTGACATCCGAAGGTGCCTATAGCAGGTTAGCAGTCCGGATCAAGGTAGAACCGAAGGCAGTAGTCCACTGCAGTCTGGGGGTCACTTCAAGCATCAAGTCAACACACTGGACACTCGTGTTGATGCCACCAACCTTATCACCAACACCATCAACCTCCTTATCATCAACACTCACCAACCTTATCACCAACAACATCAACCTCATCATCATCAACACTCACACCAGACCTTGGTGTCATCATAACCGAAGCATTGATATTGATCATGCTGAGCTACCCCTGAACGGAGTGTCCATAGAGGTCAGCCGAAACCTACGATAGTATATACAACGAACACCACCTGCTGTCACTGCACAACTTGATAGTCACCGATACCAAGACAATAGCTGTTGCACAGTTTGATAGTCACCGAGTATCTCGACAGACCGACCTGGGTTTCAGGCGCGAGACCCCTGACATTGAGCACCCATGTGGTTGATCATCCTAGACTGCTCATACACCTGGTTGAACTTAAACCATGCTTCTGCTTCTAGAATGAAGATCTCCACATCTCGGGGATTGAACTTTGGAAAGGGGGTGGCAATGGGCTTTGACCGGTTAAGCTCTGCCATGATGCTAGAGTCCTCCTCCTGATCAAGAGCATAGTGTTCTGTCCTGCTCTTGTTGTATGGATCCACCCTGGACTTGACATATCTTGGCCCAGTGGGTGAAGCATACTTCTCATAGTTGACATCATCCTGCTCATCCAGGTTGACAAATGAGACTGATCATCTTGGTCATGGAGCTGGAGTAGGAGTATGTGGGTCTCCTATCATAGACTCATCTCCTCCTCCTGCTTGGTCTTCTGAGTGAGAGAGGTCAATCGTCTCCTCTCTGCTCAGATGAGCTCGTTGTAATCGTTCCTCTCATTGACCCTGCCTGGTAAGCTCTAGCTGGGCTTCCAATAGAGTGAGTAGTCTATTGAGCTTATTGTTGAGGTCTGGGTCTGTCATGGTGATTGTGAGGAGCTGCTTGAACGATCCACTCTAATGTCAGGGGTCTTGTGCCTGAAACCCAGGTCGGTCTGTCGAGATACTCAGTGACTATCAAATTGTGCAACAGCTATTGTCTTGGTATTGGTCTTGATGAGCTAGTCGCTCAGCGACTATCAAGTTGCGCGATGGGTGGTGTTCGGGTATATACTATCGTAGGTTTCAGCTGACCTCTGTGGACACTCCATTCAGGGGTAGCTCAGCACGATCAATATCAATATGAAGGTTATGATGACACCAAGGTCTGGTGTGAGTGTTGATGATGATGAGGTTGATGGTGTCAGTGATAAGGTTGGTGAGTGTTGATGGTAATGAGGTTGATGGTGTTGATGATAAGGTTGGTGGTGTCAACATGAGTGTCCAGTGTGTTGACTTGATGCTTGAAGTGATCCCTGGACTGTAGTGGACTACTGCCTTTGGTTCTATCTATATCTGGACTGCTGGTTTGCTATGAACTGCCTTTGGACATCAGGTAGTGGTGATACAACACATGCACTACAATGAGGAGCAACCCTGATAGATTGCTACTATGCTGACTGCAACTAATATATACTTATGCTGAAGTGATAACTAGTTATGATGTGTGTAGAGTGGATGAAGATCCACTCAACCTTTGGTGATGAGAAAGCATGGTTATATACCTCTTCACAGCATCGCCAGCAATGCTGCTCCTGCTCTCTCTCCAGAGAGTACCTTCTTCATCAAGTACTGTTCAGGGGGCCTCTCCTGCTTGCTTGGTACCCCTGTGCCTCTTGAGCTGTGTTGACTCCTTCGACACTGTGTCAGGGGTCTCGCGCCTGAAACCCAGGTCGGTCTGTCGAGATACCCGGTGACTATCAAACTGTGTGACAGCTATTGTCTCGGTATCGGTGACTATCAAGTTGTGCAGTGACAGCAGGTGGCGTTCGTTGTATATACTATCGTAGGTTTCGGCTGACCTCTGTGGACACTCCGTTCAGGGGTAGCTCGGCACGATCAATATCAATGTTATGATGACACCAAGGTCTGGTGTGAGTGTTGATGATGATGAGGTTGATGGTGTTGGTGATGAGATTGGTGATGTCGATGATAATGAGGTTGATGGTGTTGGTGATAAGGTTGGTGGCGTCAACACGAGTGTCCAGTGTGTTGACTTGATGCTTGAAGTGATCCCCAGACCGCAGTGGACTACTGCCTTCGGTTCTATCTATATCCGGACCGCTAACCTGCTATGGGCGCCTTCGGACGTCAGGTAGTGGTGATACAACACACACACTACGATGAGGAGCAACCTTGATAGATTGCTGCTATGCTGACTGTAACTAATGAGTACTTGTGTTTCTAAAGTATTGACTAGTTGTATGGTGAGTAGAGTGGATGAGGATCCACTCGACCTATTGATGAGAAAGCATGGTTATATACCTCTTCTCAGCATCGCCAGCGATGCTGCTCCTGCTCTCTCTCCAGAGAGTACCTTCTTCATCGAGTACTGCTCAGGGGCCTCTCCTGCTTGGCACCCCTGTGCCTCTTGAGCTGTGTCGACTCCTTCGACACTGCTCCTCCTCCTCATGACCTGGTGTCGACTCCTTCGACACTGCTCCTCCTCCTTTGATCAGTGACAGTTCCTTTGGCTCTTGTCTCTCGAGCCCCTGAGTGGTAACCATCTGCATGCTCCTTGAGCTTGGTCCTCTTCGTGGCTGTGCCTGCTCCTTGAGCTTGGTCCTCCTCGTGGCTGTGCCTGCTCCTTGAGCTTGGTCCTCCTCATGGCTGTGCTTGGCCCTCCTTTGCATGTGAGTCCATAGGAGTCCATGGTCTCCATGGAGACTGCACTACGACCATGCTCTCTACTGGTGTCGACTAGGTCTTCAATACCTGTGCTCCTTCCATATGAACCCATGACCCTCCTGCTTCTTGAGCATCCAGGCCCATGACACTACCCCCCTCTTAAGAGCCGAGCTCCGTCGAGGCATGCTCTGGTCTGGTTCATGCTGACTCCTCCTCCTTGACAACATCGCCAACATCATCCTTCCTCCTTCTCTCAACGTCATCCTCCTTCCTCTTCCTCTCTCTACTCCTCCTGTTCTCTCCTCCTCTCTCCACTCTGTCTACTCACTCGTCCCCCCTCCGACACCTCATACTCCTGGATGAGGTCGGGACAGTTGAGGTTCTCTACTGGTTCCCATGAAGCAGCTTCCTCTGAGTACCCTCTCCACAACACCTTGTACTCCGTAGTCCCATTGTGTGAACGCTTGTCGATGAGTGCTTCGACTTCGAAGTCGAGGTCCTCATCTGGAAGTGATGGTATGGTGGGCTGTTCAGCACGTTGAGGAAGAGAACTTGTTCTTGCTGGCTCGAGCATGGAGACATGGAACACATCATGCACCCTAAGGTTTGCTGGCAATGTGATTCGATAAGCTCGGCGTCCTACCCGTTCCTGAACTGGGTAGGGTCCTGCAAACCGGGTGTCTAACTTGGGTGTGGGTCTCCTTGTCTTCCAGTTTCGTCGGTTGATATAGACCATATCACCCACCTTAAACTCGATGTCCTTGTGCTTCCTGTTATACTGGTTTACTGATCTACGTTGTGCCCCTCTGATCTGCTCCTGGAGGTACTTGCAACGCTCCTTTCCATCCATGAGGTACTCGAAGCGACCTGGATCATTGACTCCTAGTCGTTGAGGGATGTCAGGATGAGCTTTGGGGTTCCATCCATAGCATGCAAAGAATGGTGAGACACCAATGCTGTTGTGGACCGTGTTGTTGTATACAAAGGCCGCAGTGTCCAGCAGGTTGGCCCAGTCATTCTGCTCATAGTTGCAGTACATCCTGAGATATTGCTCTATGACCTGATTGACTCTCTCTGTCTGACCATCAGTTTGAGGATGGTAGGCCGTGCTAAGTGAGTGCTTCACACCCATTTGCTCTGCAAATGCCTTCCATGCTCCTGATATGAACTGCCTGCCTCGGTCCGAGACCATGTGATCTGGATATCCGAAGAGTCTAACCATGTGTCCATATAGCAATACTGCAGTCTGTTTGGCTGTGACTGTCTTATGGGTTGGAGCTAGTATGGCAAACTTGGTTAACCTGTCGACGATGACTAGGATAGAGTCATAGGTCTTGGAGTCATACTTCTTTGATGGTGGTAGTCCTTCAATGAAGTCGAGGGATATGGAGCCCCAGGGCCTGTCTGGGGTTGCTAGTGGCTGTAGCAAACCATATGGACGATGACGAGGAGCTTTGTACCTAGCACATACAGGACAACTTGCTACATAGTCTGCAATCCAAGCTGTCATGTTTGGCCACCAGTAATGTCGTTGAGCTGCCTTGATGGTAGCATCTCTTCCTACGTGTCCAGCAGTGATACCATCATGGCATTGGGTCATCACCATGAATCGCAGATGCTCTACAGAGAGAGACTGTCCATCTACCTCTTTGGCACTCCTTGAGTGTCAGTTGTTGGTCCTCCCTGGCATGATCACCTTGGGGATAACCAACCTTCCTCCACTGTACCATAGGTCATCCTTGAGTTCGAAAGGCTTCTTCCTATGTATCTCCTGTAGCTCTTGGTCTAAAGGCTGGAAGATCTTGACCAGGTCTTTGAGACCTTTTGATGCTATGGACTCCATCGAGATCATGGGGGCCACTAGGAGCGAGTCATGGTCTGCTGTCTCCTTGAACACTCGAGGAGGCAGTAGTTGCCTCACATTGTGATCCTGCTCTTCACCGGCTGGTTGCATGTCTGTCCTTCTGGTGAGAGCATCGGGTTCACCACCTTTGTCTCCTGGTCGATATTGCAATATGAAGTCGAAGTCTGCTAGTAGTATTGCCCATCGAGCTTGTCGACCTGTGATGCGTCTCTGTGACTTGAAGTACTTGAGGGCTTCATGGTCAGTGAGGATGACCAGTTGGTTCGGTAGTCCAGCTAACATGTGTCGCCACTGAGTGAGGCAGGCGACCACAGCTAGGAGCTCCTTATCATGGATCTCATAGTTCTTCTCGGCAGAAGACATCTTCCTAGAGTAGAAGGCCACTGGATGCCATCGTCCTTCATGCTCCTGCTTGAGTACTCCTGCTATAGCAAAGTCACTTGCATCAGTCTCCAACCTTGTTGGAAGGTGGTAGTCGAAGTGCTGAAGCACTCCTGCTGATGTGAAGGCCTGGATGAGCTTGTGGAAGGCCTGTTGGGCCTCCTCTGGTAGCTCGAACTTCTTGAACCGTTCTATAGGCTTTACCAGTGCTGTCAAGGGCTTGGCTATGCGAGCAAAGTGGGCTATGAACCTTCGATAGAAGTTGGCAAAACCCAGGAACCTCTGGATGTCATGGATTGACTCCGGCATTGGCCACTCCTTGACAGTGCGCACCTTTTCTGGGTCCATCTCTATGCCCGTTGGCTTGATGATGTACCCCAGGAACTCAACTGTCTTGGTGTGGAACTCACACTTTGACAGCTTAGCAAAGAGCCTGTTGCTCCTTAAGCGAGTGAGGACCTCAGTGACATGCTTCACATGTGCTTCTTCAGTGTCACTGAAGATCAGGAAGTCATCTAGGTATACTACCACATATATCCCAATGATGTCTCGGAAGATGTCATTGATGAATGACTGGAAGTGAGCTGGAGCATTGGCTAGGCCAAAGGGCATCACTAGGTACTCATAGAGTCCCAACTGAGTGCCAAAAGCTGTCTTCCATTCATCTCCTTTAGCAATCCGGATGAGGTTGTATGCTGCTCTAAGGTCTAGCTTGGTATAGATCCTTGCCTTCCTGAGTAAGAACAGCTGCTCCTCGATGAGGGGCAATGGTGCCCTGTTCTTGACAGTGATCTCGTTGAGACCTCTGTAGTCCACACAGAGTCTGAGACCTCCATCCTTCTTTGGTACGAAGAGCACCGGTGATCGTGCCGGGCTCTTCGATGGTCTTATGAACCCCTTCTCGAGGTTCTCATCCAAGTACCTCCTCAACTCGGACATCTCCTTGGGTCCCTTAAGGTATAGGGGCCCTTGAGGTGGCTTCCCTCCTTCTATCAACTCGAGGTGGAGATCATGCTCGGTATGATGGGGCAGCTTGTCTGCTTCCACCTCATCAAACACATCTCGCAGGTGTTGGTATGGCTTTGGTATGTCTGCAGCCGTCACCACCTTATCTACCTCCACCTCCATCTCGACTCCTTTGTCTGCGCCTGTGGGTACAAAACCAAAGGCTGGGAGTGATGATGGTGGCTCCTCTAACAGCATGAACCCTATGGGTCCATCTTCCAGAGCTGCTCGTAGTATGCGCTCTGCTGAGACAAACTCGTTACCATGAAGGGTTGGTCTCCTCATGGTTAGGTCCCCTGCTCTTGCTGCTTCAGGGGGTCTCCTAGGGGGTTGGTCCTGCTCCTGAGTCTTGAACTCCAGCTGGCCCGTATCCCATTGTATGGTGGGTTTGAGCCTCCGTAGCTCAGTGAACCCCAGGATGAGGTCATAGTCCGCAGTGTCGGCCACTGAAGCTTCGACCACACCCAGATTGTGTGTACCAATAGATACCTGCATGCTTGCAGAACTATTGATGGAGAGTTGGTGCCCGGTGACACCATGGATCGATCTTGTTTTTATGGGTTTTGTGGGTATTTGGTACTTACTAATGAAAGAATCTGAGACTATGGACAAACCAGCACCGGTATCAGCTAGTATCCGAGCAGGATGGTCTTGAACCATTCCAGAGAGCTCCAGTACTGCTTTGCCTCCACTGGTAGAGAAACATACTTGACAATCTTGATATATACAGAGTGATGGCGAGGAGGTTTGTAGAGCAATGCATGCCATCAGTGCATCACCCCACTGACGTTTCCCTCGTCGTCATCATCATTGTGCTCCTCCTCGTGATCGGGGTCCATGGGTTGCTGGTATGAGCTGAGGTCCATGGCCTCGGGGTCACCCGTCTCAGTGCTGCCTGTGTGGCCATCTCCTGAGTCGGTGGCCTCCTCGAAGGGGTCTGCTGTGGTGACCATAACCTTTGGTCCCATGGGTCGAGAGCTAAGAGGGTCTACCCTCCTGCTGGGGCAGTCTCTGGCCCAATGGCCAATACCTTTGCATACATGACAGGTGTTGATACCTGATGGAGCAGGGCTTCCTTGCTTCGAGGGTTGGGTGGGATGATGAGGAAGGGGTCGGTTTAGGTTTTGTATAGTTGCTTGTGTAGTTGCTTGTGATGGTGATCGAGCTGGATAAGTTTGAGTGGGTTGTCGGGTGGGGATCGAACTTTGATTTGGCCAAGACCCAGTTCTTAGTGGAGGTGATGTGGCATTTGGGAGTGAGTGTCTAGCCGAGGACTGCTGTAGTAGCATCCTCTGTCGATCGATCTCCTCAACCTCTCGATACCACTCCCATCTCTTCCCAGGTGGATTCCTCTCGAACTTCTCCTGTATGCTGCGAGTGAGACTACCTCTGAAGAGATCAATCACTAGCTCGTTGTCATCTAGGTTGACCTGTCCTTCCAAGTCTCTGAACCGCTCTACATGACGTGTGGCGGCACCAGGAGTATCACTTGTGAGTCTGAGAGCCAACAGCTTGTTGTATGCCTCCATCCTAGCATTGCGTGGGTTAAACTGCTCTGACAGTCGCTCTGTGAAGTAGTGCCAATCATTGAACAACCTTCCTTCTCTAGCTCTATCAATACGGAGCTTGGAGGTCCACCACTCTCTTGCTGTCCCTTCCAGTTGAGCACCCATGTGATTGATCATCCTAGACTGCTCATACACCTGGTTGAACTTAAACCATGCTTCGGCTTCTAGAATGAAGATCTCCATGTCTCGGGGATTGAACTTTGGAAAGGGGGTGGCAATGGGCTTTGACTGGTTAAGCTCTGCCATGATGCTGGTATCCTCCTCGTGGTCCAGGGGGTAAGGGTCCGTCCTAGTCCTGCTGTAGGGGTCCAGCTTAGTCTTGACATATCTTGGCCCAGTAGGTGAAGCATACTTCTCGTAGTTGATGTCCTCCTGCTCATCCAGGTTGAATGAGACTGATCGTCTTGGTCGTGGAGCTGGAGTAGGAGTATGTGGGTCTCCTATCATAGACTCATCTCCTCCTCCTGCTTGGTCTTCTGAGTGAGAGAGGTCCATTGTCTCCTCCCTGCTCAGTTGAGCTCGTTGTAATCGTTCCTCTCGATGACCCTGTCTGGTAAGCTCTAGCTGTGCTTCCAATAGAGTGAGTAGTCTATCGAGCTTATTGTTGAGGTCTGGGTCCGTCATGGTGATCGTGAGGAGCTGCTTGAACGATCCACTCTAATGTCAGGGGTCTCGCGCCTGAAACCCAGGTCGGTCTGTCGAGATACCCGGTGACTATCAAACTGTGTGACAGCTATTGTCTCGGTATCGGTGACTATCAAGTTGTGCAGTGACAGCAGGTGGCGTTCGTTGTATATACTATCGTAGGTTTCGGCTGACCTCTGTGGACACTCCGTTCAGGGGTAGCTCGGCACGATCAATATCAATGTTATGATGACACCAAGGTCTGGTGTGAGTGTTGATGATGATGAGGTTGATGGTGTTGGTGATGAGATTGGTGATGTCGATGATAATGAGGTTGATGGTGTTGGTGATAAGGTTGGTGGCGTCAACACGAGTGTCCAGTGTGTTGACTTGATGCTTGAAGTGATCCCCAGACCGCAGTGGACTACTGCCTTCGGTTCTATCTATATCCGGACCGCTAACCTGCTATGGGCGCCTTCGGACGTCAGGTAGTGGTGATACAACACACACACTACGATGAGGAGCAACCTTGATAGATTGCTGCTATGCTGACTGTAACTAATGAGTACTTGTGTTTCTAAAGTATTGACTAGTTGTATGGTGAGTAGAGTGGATGAGGATCCACTCGACCTATTGATGAGAAAGCATGGTTATATACCTCTTCTCAGCATCGCCAGCGATGCTGCTCCTGCTCTCTCTCCAGAGAGTACCTTCTTCATCGAGTACTGCTCAGGGGCCTCTCCTGCTTGGCACCCCTGTGCCTCTTGAGCTGTGTCGACTCCTTCGACACTGCTCCTCCTCCTCATGACCTGGTGTCGACTCCTTCGACACTGCTCCTCCTCCTTTGATCAGTGACAGTTCCTTTGGCTCTTGTCTCTCGAGCCCCTGAGTGGTAACCATCTGCATGCTCCTTGAGCTTGGTCCTCTTCGTGGCTGTGCCTGCTCCTTGAGCTTGGTCCTCCTCGTGGCTGTGCCTGCTCCTTGAGCTTGGTCCTCCTCATGGCTGTGCTTGGCCCTCCTTTGCATGTGAGTCCATAGGAGTCCATGGTCTCCATGGAGACTGCACTACGACCATGCTCTCTACTGGTGTCGACTAGGTCTTCAATACCTGTGCTCCTTCCATATGAACCCATGACCCTCCTGCTTCTTGAGCATCCAGGCCCATGACACTACCCCCCTCTTAAGAGCCGAGCTCCGTCGAGGCATGCTCTGGTCTGGTTCATGCTGACTCCTCCTCCTTGACAACATCGCCAACATCATCCTTCCTCCTTCTCTCAACGTCATCCTCCTTCCTCTTCCTCTCTCTACTCCTCCTGTTCTCTCCTCCTCTCTCCACTCTGTCTACTCACTCGTCCCCCCTCCGACACCTCATACTCCTGGATGAGGTCGGGACAGTTGAGGTTCTCTACTGGTTCCCATGAAGCAGCTTCCTCTGAGTACCCTCTCCACAACACCTTGTACTCCGTAGTCCCATTGTGTGAACGCTTGTCGATGAGTGCTTCGACTTCGAAGTCGAGGTCCTCATCTGGAAGTGATGGTATGGTGGGCTGTTCAGCACGTTGAGGAAGAGAACTTGTTCTTGCTGGCTCGAGCATGGAGACATGGAACACATCATGCACCCTAAGGTTTGCTGGCAATGTGATTCGATAAGCTCGGCGTCCTACCCGTTCCTGAACTGGGTAGGGTCCTGCAAACCGGGTGTCTAACTTGGGTGTGGGTCTCCTTGTCTTCCAGTTTCGTCGGTTGATATAGACCATATCACCCACCTTAAACTCGATGTCCTTGTGCTTCCTGTTATACTGGTTTACTGATCTACGTTGTGCCCCTCTGATCTGCTCCTGGAGGTACTTGCAACGCTCCTTTCCATCCATGAGGTACTCGAAGCGACCTGGATCATTGACTCCTAGTCGTTGAGGGATGTCAGGATGAGCTTTGGGGTTCCATCCATAGCATGCAAAGAATGGTGAGACACCAATGCTGTTGTGGACCGTGTTGTTGTATACAAAGGCCGCAGTGTCCAGCAGGTTGGCCCAGTCATTCTGCTCATAGTTGCAGTACATCCTGAGATATTGCTCTATGACCTGATTGACTCTCTCTGTCTGACCATCAGTTTGAGGATGGTAGGCCGTGCTAAGTGAGTGCTTCACACCCATTTGCTCTGCAAATGCCTTCCATGCTCCTGATATGAACTGCCTGCCTCGGTCCGAGACCATGTGATCTGGATATCCGAAGAGTCTAACCATGTGTCCATATAGCAATACTGCAGTCTGTTTGGCTGTGACTGTCTTATGGGTTGGAGCTAGTATGGCAAACTTGGTTAACCTGTCGACGATGACTAGGATAGAGTCATAGGTCTTGGAGTCATACTTCTTTGATGGTGGTAGTCCTTCAATGAAGTCGAGGGATATGGAGCCCCAGGGCCTGTCTGGGGTTGCTAGTGGCTGTAGCAAACCATATGGACGATGACGAGGAGCTTTGTACCTAGCACATACAGGACAACTTGCTACATAGTCTGCAATCCAAGCTGTCATGTTTGGCCACCAGTAATGTCGTTGAGCTGCCTTGATGGTAGCATCTCTTCCTACGTGTCCAGCAGTGATACCATCATGGCATTGGGTCATCACCATGAATCGCAGATGCTCTACAGAGAGAGACTGTCCATCTACCTCTTTGGCACTCCTTGAGTGTCAGTTGTTGGTCCTCCCTGGCATGATCACCTTGGGGATAACCAACCTTCCTCCACTGTACCATAGGTCATCCTTGAGTTCGAAAGGCTTCTTCCTATGTATCTCCTGTAGCTCTTGGTCTAAAGGCTGGAAGATCTTGACCAGGTCTTTGAGACCTTTTGATGCTATGGACTCCATCGAGATCATGGGGGCCACTAGGAGCGAGTCATGGTCTGCTGTCTCCTTGAACACTCGAGGAGGCAGTAGTTGCCTCACATTGTGATCCTGCTCTTCACCGGCTGGTTGCATGTCTGTCCTTCTGGTGAGAGCATCGGGTTCACCACCTTTGTCTCCTGGTCGATATTGCAATATGAAGTCGAAGTCTGCTAGTAGTATTGCCCATCGAGCTTGTCGACCTGTGATGCGTCTCTGTGACTTGAAGTACTTGAGGGCTTCATGGTCAGTGAGGATGACCAGTTGGTTCGGTAGTCCAGCTAACATGTGTCGCCACTGAGTGAGGCAGGCGACCACAGCTAGGAGCTCCTTATCATGGATCTCATAGTTCTTCTCGGCAGAAGACATCTTCCTAGAGTAGAAGGCCACTGGATGCCATCGTCCTTCATGCTCCTGCTTGAGTACTCCTGCTATAGCAAAGTCACTTGCATCAGTCTCCAACCTTGTTGGAAGGTGGTAGTCGAAGTGCTGAAGCACTCCTGCTGATGTGAAGGCCTGGATGAGCTTGTGGAAGGCCTGTTGGGCCTCCTCTGGTAGCTCGAACTTCTTGAACCGTTCTATAGGCTTTACCAGTGCTGTCAAGGGCTTGGCTATGCGAGCAAAGTGGGCTATGAACCTTCGATAGAAGTTGGCAAAACCCAGGAACCTCTGGATGTCATGGATTGACTCCGGCATTGGCCACTCCTTGACAGTGCGCACCTTTTCTGGGTCCATCTCTATGCCCGTTGGCTTGATGATGTACCCCAGGAACTCAACTGTCTTGGTGTGGAACTCACACTTTGACAGCTTAGCAAAGAGCCTGTTGCTCCTTAAGCGAGTGAGGACCTCAGTGACATGCTTCACATGTGCTTCTTCAGTGTCACTGAAGATCAGGAAGTCATCTAGGTATACTACCACATATATCCCAATGATGTCTCGGAAGATGTCATTGATGAATGACTGGAAGTGAGCTGGAGCATTGGCTAGGCCAAAGGGCATCACTAGGTACTCATAGAGTCCCAACTGAGTGCCAAAAGCTGTCTTCCATTCATCTCCTTTAGCAATCCGGATGAGGTTGTATGCTGCTCTAAGGTCTAGCTTGGTATAGATCCTTGCCTTCCTGAGTAAGAACAGCTGCTCCTCGATGAGGGGCAATGGTGCCCTGTTCTTGACAGTGATCTCGTTGAGACCTCTGTAGTCCACACAGAGTCTGAGACCTCCATCCTTCTTTGGTACGAAGAGCACCGGTGATCGTGCCGGGCTCTTCGATGGTCTTATGAACCCCTTCTCGAGGTTCTCATCCAAGTACCTCCTCAACTCGGACATCTCCTTGGGTCCCTTAAGGTATAGGGGCCCTTGAGGTGGCTTCCCTCCTTCTATCAACTCGAGGTGGAGATCATGCTCGGTATGATGGGGCAGCTTGTCTGCTTCCACCTCATCAAACACATCTCGCAGGTGTTGGTATGGCTTTGGTATGTCTGCAGCCGTCACCACCTTATCTACCTCCACCTCCATCTCGACTCCTTTGTCTGCGCCTGTGGGTACAAAACCAAAGGCTGGGAGTGATGATGGTGGCTCCTCTAACAGCATGAACCCTATGGGTCCATCTTCCAGAGCTGCTCGTAGTATGCGCTCTGCTGAGACAAACTCGTTACCATGAAGGGTTGGTCTCCTCATGGTTAGGTCCCCTGCTCTTGCTGCTTCAGGGGGTCTCCTAGGGGGTTGGTCCTGCTCCTGAGTCTTGAACTCCAGCTGGCCCGTATCCCATTGTATGGTGGGTTTGAGCCTCCGTAGCTCAGTGAACCCCAGGATGAGGTCATAGTCCGCAGTGTCGGCCACTGAAGCTTCGACCACACCCAGATTGTGTGTACCAATAGATACCTGCATGCTTGCAGAACTATTGATGGAGAGTTGGTGCCCGGTGACACCATGGATCGATCTTGTTTTTATGGGTTTTGTGGGTATTTGGTACTTACTAATGAAAGAATCTGAGACTATGGACAAACCAGCACCGGTATCAGCTAGTATCCGAGCAGGATGGTCTTGAACCATTCCAGAGAGCTCCAGTACTGCTTTGCCTCCACTGGTAGAGAAACATACTTGACAATCTTGATATATACAGAGTGATGGCGAGGAGGTTTGTAGAGCAATGCATGCCATCAGTGCATCACCCCACTGACGTTTCCCTCGTCGTCATCATCATTGTGCTCCTCCTCGTGATCGGGGTCCATGGGTTGCTGGTATGAGCTGAGGTCCATGGCCTCGGGGTCACCCGTCTCAGTGCTGCCTGTGTGGCCATCTCCTGAGTCGGTGGCCTCCTCGAAGGGGTCTGCTGTGGTGACCATAACCTTTGGTCCCATGGGTCGAGAGCTAAGAGGGTCTACCCTCCTGCTGGGGCAGTCTCTGGCCCAATGGCCAATACCTTTGCATACATGACAGGTGTTGATACCTGATGGAGCAGGGCTTCCTTGCTTCGAGGGTTGGGTGGGATGATGAGGAAGGGGTCGGTTTAGGTTTTGTATAGTTGCTTGTGTAGTTGCTTGTGATGGTGATCGAGCTGGATAAGTTTGAGTGGGTTGTCGGGTGGGGATCGAACTTTGATTTGGCCAAGACCCAGTTCTTAGTGGAGGTGATGTGGCATTTGGGAGTGAGTGTCTAGCCGAGGACTGCTGTAGTAGCATCCTCTGTCGATCGATCTCCTCAACCTCTCGATACCACTCCCATCTCTTCCCAGGTGGATTCCTCTCGAACTTCTCCTGTATGCTGCGAGTGAGACTACCTCTGAAGAGATCAATCACTAGCTCGTTGTCATCTAGGTTGACCTGTCCTTCCAAGTCTCTGAACCGCTCTACATGACGTGTGGCGGCACCAGGAGTATCACTTGTGAGTCTGAGAGCCAACAGCTTGTTGTATGCCTCCATCCTAGCATTGCGTGGGTTAAACTGCTCTGACAGTCGCTCTGTGAAGTAGTGCCAATCATTGAACAACCTTCCTTCTCTAGCTCTATCAATACGGAGCTTGGAGGTCCACCACTCTCTTGCTGTCCCTTCCAGTTGAGCACCCATGTGATTGATCATCCTAGACTGCTCATACACCTGGTTGAACTTAAACCATGCTTCGGCTTCTAGAATGAAGATCTCCATGTCTCGGGGATTGAACTTTGGAAAGGGGGTGGCAATGGGCTTTGACTGGTTAAGCTCTGCCATGATGCTGGTATCCTCCTCGTGGTCCAGGGGGTAAGGGTCCGTCCTAGTCCTGCTGTAGGGGTCCAGCTTAGTCTTGACATATCTTGGCCCAGTAGGTGAAGCATACTTCTCGTAGTTGATGTCCTCCTGCTCATCCAGGTTGAATGAGACTGATCGTCTTGGTCGTGGAGCTGGAGTAGGAGTATGTGGGTCTCCTATCATAGACTCATCTCCTCCTCCTGCTTGGTCTTCTGAGTGAGAGAGGTCCATTGTCTCCTCCCTGCTCAGTTGAGCTCGTTGTAATCGTTCCTCTCGATGACCCTGTCTGGTAAGCTCTAGCTGTGCTTCCAATAGAGTGAGTAGTCTATCGAGCTTATTGTTGAGGTCTGGGTCCGTCATGGTGATCGTGAGGAGCTGCTTGAACGATCCACTCTAATGTCAGGGGTCTCGCGCCTGAAACCCAGGTCGGTCTGTCGAGATACCCGGTGACTATCAAACTGTGTGACAGCTATTGTCTCGGTATCAGTGACTATCAAGTTGTGCAGTGACAGCAGGTGGCGTTCGTTGTATATACTATCGTAGGTTTCGGCTGACCTCTGTGGACACTCCGTTCAGGGGTAGCTCGGCACGATCAATATCAATGTTATGATGACACCAAGGTCTGGTGTGAGTGTTGATGATGATGAGGTTGATGGTGTTGGTGATGAGATTGGTGATGTCGATGATAATGAGGTTGATGGTGTTGGTGATAAGGTTGGTGGCGTCAACACGAGTGTCCAGTGTGTTGACTTGATGCTTGAAGTGATCCCCAGACCGCAGTGGACTACTGCCTTCGGTTCTATCTATATCCGGACCGCTAACCTGCTATGGGCGCCTTCGGACGTCAGGTAGTGGTGATACAACACACACACTACGATGAGGAGCAACCTTGATAGATTGCTGCTATGCTGACTGTAACTAATGAGTACTTGTGTTTCTAAAGTATTGACTAGTTGTATGGTGAGTAGAGTGGATGAGGATCCACTCGACCTATTGATGAGAAAGCATGGTTATATACCTCTTCTCAGCATCGCCAGCGATGCTGCTCCTGCTCTCTCTCCAGAGAGTACCTTCTTCATCGAGTACTGCTCAGGGGCCTCTCCTGCTTGGCACCCCTGTGCCTCTTGAGCTGTGTCGACTCCTTCGACACTGCTCCTCCTCCTCATGACCTGGTGTCGACTCCTTCGACACTGCTCCTCCTCCTTTGATCAGTGACAGTTCCTTTGGCTCTTGTCTCTCGAGCCCCTGAGTGGTAACCATCTGCATGCTCCTTGAGCTTGGTCCTCTTCGTGGCTGTGCCTGCTCCTTGAGCTTGGTCCTCCTCGTGGCTGTGCCTGCTCCTTGAGCTTGGTCCTCCTCATGGCTGTGCTTGGCCCTCCTTTGCATGTGAGTCCATAGGAGTCCATGGTCTCCATGGAGACTGCACTACGACCATGCTCTCTACTGGTGTCGACTAGGTCTTCAATACCTGTGCTCCTTCCATATGAACCCATGACCCTCCTGCTTCTTGAGCATCCAGGCCCATGACACACTGCTCCTCCTCCTTGCTATCCTGCTTGTTTGGCACCCTTGTGCCTCCTGAGTGGTGTCGACTCCTTTGACACTGCTCCTCCTCCTCAGGACCTGGTGTCGACTCCTTTGACACTGCTCCTCCTCCTCAGGACCTGCTTGCCAGTTCCCTATACACTGCTCCTTCTCCTTTGACCAGTGATGGTTCCTTTGACTCTTGTCTCTCAAGCCCCCTGAGTGGTAACCATCTGCATGCTCCTTGAGCTTGGTCCTCTTTGTGGCTGTGCCTGGCCCTCCTCGCATATGGGCTCAGTCCTCCTTTGCATGTGAGTCCATAGGAGTCCATGGTCTCCATGGAGACTGCACTATGACCATGCTCTCTAATGGTATCAACTAGATCTTCGATACTTGTGCTCCTTCCATATGAACCAGTGACCCTCCTGCTTCTTGAGCATTCAGGCCCATGACACCGAGCTACCCCTGAATGGAGTGTCCACAGAGGTCAGCCAAAACCTATGATAGTATATACAATGAATGCCACCCACTGTCATTGTGCAACTTGATAGTTGCTGAGCAACACAGCTTGTCAAGACTGATACTGAGACAATAGCTGTTGCACAGTTTGATAGTCACCGAGTATCTCGACAGACTGACCTGGGTTTCTGGCGCGAGACCCCTGACAGTATGTTTCTTGAAGCCAGTGTACCTTGAACTTGATGTGAGAGGGATCAACAGCCCTGGTGGGGAAAAGTGGCTTGCAGAGATCACAATAGACTGTATCCTTGCAAAGCTTGTTGGCAGGCTTATTGGCTTTGTTGCAACAAGAAGGGAGAATTGTGTGCTGGTATGACTTGTTGATGTAGATAGTGTCTACAAGGCACTCAATGCCCTGAGCCTGCCAGACAAAGTTCTTCTTTACTCCATTGTTGGTTGGCCTGGTGGATTGGGCAGAAGGCATATCAGACATCCGATTAATTGGGGTAGTGACACGTGTTTCTAAAAACATTAAAACACTCAAAGTTTGATAGCTACTGCGCGATCTGCAACAGGAATGCACAGGCCCGCCTCCACGACCAAGGCGAGATAGGCGAATTGGGGCAGCATATTTCCCGATCGAAGCGCAGAGATCGGGCTTTCCAATCGCATCGTGACAGAAACGGGGAAAGAGAAAAAGAGGCGCGCCTCGACTTTAGAGACTTCGCGTCGTGGAGTTGAAAGACAAAAAAGAACTTGCAGAACCGCGGCGCAGAAAGGGTAAGAAGGAGAGAAGGATGGAGCGGAAGCTCGCAACCCTGTCTACTGTCGACACTCCCTTCCTGCCTTCTTATCTACATCCACTCCTCCCGCTCAGACATAGCGACGATCAATTCTTCGAGCCAAGGATTGTCGTCTACGCCGACTTCGAGCTTCGAGATAGCTTCAGCGACCTTCACCCTCCACCTGTGCAAGTACGGAAACGACCGTGTCTCGCCAATCTTGGCGACGCCTTCACTTCGAGAGCCTATAGCAACAACAGGACGTCGCTATACACTCTTCCGCACTAGCATCCGCTCTACGACGCCCTTCGTTCTACTAGGCCGTCGTCAAACTGTTTTCCGCAATCCTCGACGCCGTCTCGCCTTTCCGAAGGAAGCCCGATTCGGCAACCCAAACGTCAAGCTCTTCGAAGCTCAACAACACATCACCCTCGGGATCTGAAAACATGCCAGTCACTCCCCGAAGCAGGACCGCTTCCGCAAGCGGTTCTCCAGCCAAGGCCAACGGCCGCAGACAATCTTCCCGCATCTCGATCACTCTTTCTGATGAAGAAGAGCCCGAGCTCAAGAAGAAACTCCGCAGTCGCCCGCCCAAAGCAAAGGTGCCAATCGAGGTCGTTGACGATGAAAATGACGATGAGGATGATGATGACGAAGAAGCTAGTGACGAGTTCGAGGTGGAAGTAATCCGTGACCATCGCCCGCACAAGGGCCCACAATCAGTAAGTGGTGAATCCTTCCCGATAGCATCCTCACCTACTCTTGGCGTGGCGTCTCAGACTCGGACCGTTAGCTGACTATCATTGATTCCATCTTTCTTGGCCACGTTGCAGTGGGATATGGAGTATCTCATCAAGTGGAAGGGTTGGTCTGAGGCTGACAACACCTGGGAGCCAGAGACAAACCTCCCGCAGAATCTCATCGACGACTATTGGAAGAAGCAGCCTTCCAAGTCGCAGCCAAAGAAGTTCGAGCAGGTGGGCAAACAAAAGGCACAAGACGATGTGGAGACTGATGAAAACGACATCGAGGAGATCGAAGCGGAGAGCGATGAGGAGGACGAGAAGTCGCCCAGAGGCAAGGCTAAGAACGGCCGTGGCTCAACAGCAACAAAACGTTCGAGCCCTTCAAAGTCGACACCCAAGCGCGGCGGTGCCAACAAGCGCCCACGTACTTCCACATCTAGCCGACGTCGAGCATCGTCCGATGAGGAGGAGGTGGAGGAGGAAGAGGAAGAGGAGGATGAGGAGGATGAGGAGGATGCCGCTTCAGTTGAATATGAAGAGGCGGCTAAGACGGCATTTGCCATGAAGAAGATCTCGGATCGCTTCCTCGACCATTACCTGAAGAAGTACGAGAGTTGGGAGAACCAGGTGAGGGCAGTCAACAACATGCAACGCAACGCTGACACCTCGCAGTTAGAGTCAGAAGTCGAGTTCAAAGAATCATCGGCATGGACTCGGGCCATGGAACAGATTAACGAAGAGCACAAGTACGTCGGCAAGGGTCCTTCCATCTGGATCGCCAACGACATTGTCAACAAGCGATGCCCCCAAAAGGTTATCAAGTTCTACGAGCAGCATGTCCGCTTCTCGAACCCTCGCTCCGCTCATTAGGCATGTCCTCCTTGCAGACAAATTTTTCTAAGGTCGGCCACCTCGTTACATGACACTCATCCACCTCAACAACATCATGTCTCGCCTTGAAGCGATGGCATCAGAGCTCCGCGTCCCATGAAATTGTATAGTATCTCACGCTCTTGCTTTGGAGCGTCTTGTTTCGCCATTGTCATCAATGGATTGTGCTTGTTCTCAGAGCTGCTGCCTGATCGTGAAATCGTGACGTCGACAACCTCGCAAAGCAACACCCGAGTCAAAACTATTCAATAACACAAGAGGAAGAGTGGACGACTTGCCTCAGCGAGCAGCTTCGGGGGATATCTTCACGTCAAACAACGAGGGAATTCAAACAGCATTCTCATTCTGCGTTCACCTTCCACGCGCTTCATCACGATACGTCACATCATTTCAAACTTGAATCATCATTGCTTAGGTATACTGGCCAGAGTGCGAAGTCGATGTCGGCTTGAGGCTTAGTTACCGTACTGGTTGTCGTACAGCTGCTCTGCCTGTTGACGAGCGTGACGCTTAGCCTCCTCCCGGTCCAAGAAGTCAAGACCCTTGGTCTCGAAGAGCTTGTCGACCTCTGCACCAGCGATACCGGCGAGCATCTCCTTGGCGAACTCGTGCTTGGGGTGTTCGCCCTTGGATTCTTGAAGCTTCTCGTACTCGCGCATGGCGACGAAACCGGCACCGAAACCGACGGCTTCGTGGGAGAACTTGGCCTCGTGCTCGCGGGGGTCCTGGTTGTCTGTTGGCAGGAGGCGGAAGCAGGAATACGGAGGCGACCGAGGGGGTTAGAGCGAAAAGAGAGAAAGAGAAAGGAGAGAGAGAGTGAGAGGAGGTCAGCGAGGGTTCAAAATGGTTAACGGGCAAGGAGATGGAAGGAGTTCGAGATGGGAAAGGAGTGCTTTCACGTACAGACAAAGTCAGCAGCCTCTTCGTGGTTACCGAATCCGATCATTTTGACGGTTGATTGACTTGGTGTTGGAGATGCGAGTGAGGATGAGGATGAGGATGAGGATGAGGATGAGGATGAGGATGAGGATGAGGATGAGTATGAGTATGAGTATGAAGGTGGATCCGAAATAAGTTGGAAAGGTTCGGAGAGGGCTATATGTATGTCTTGGAGGAAGAGCGGCGGCTCCGTTGGTCTCACCAGCTGGACCCAACTCACTGGCTGGACAGTGCGACCTTCCACAATTGTGATGCTGAGGACTGAAGGGAAGGCGGTGCTCGTACAAGCTGCGTTAGGTGCATGCGTGTCACAGTGCAAGCGCCGAGGATTCCAGCTTGCAATGTAGCCTCACCGCACAGTCCAAGCTTGACGTCAAGTTCAAGTGTTGGTGTCTAACAATGCAGACAGGCTGTGTCAGCCTTCCGGCTCTGTGGGAAAAGAGGTGTGATGTGAAAGACAGCGAGCGGTCCACAGCTGGTTTGAATCTTTCGCCATACTTCGGCTGTATCCTTCTGTTGCTTGTTCTTTTCCGCAGGTCTCGCTTTCTTCGTCCGCCGGTCCCGGTTTAGGGGTTCCTCTTTCGGCTTCAATGTCTCCCGCTCTACTGCCTGATTACTCGACTGCCTGACTACCCGACTGCCTGACTACTCGACTGTTTGGTCAGCCGAAGAGATGCCACCGGCGGTCCAGTCGGAACGAATCTAGCCCACCATGTTGGGTTGACAACCACAGCCCCAGACTGCACTTTTGGCCGCTCCAATCACGAGTGTCCGTGTTGCCCCTCGATTTAGCACTGGTCACGCTGCAGCACAGAGAGACAAGCATCGGATCTTCTATCGTGTTCGCTGTGGTCGATCCTCCGATCAGCTGCTACATCTGCTATCGGCGCATGTGTCGACAGATTGCTTGTGATGGCTGCCATGCAGATCCACCTCGTGTCAAGCTTGCAGCTTTCACTCAACACCACTTTCAACACCAATGGCTTATCCGAGAATGCAGCCCCGTACATACTTTGACGATACTTGAAGAGATTGTACAGTGTCAAACTACTATAACAGGTGAAAAGCATTATGAAGGGCTTTACTTTCGCTTTCCACCCTTCGACCCGCCAGCAGGCCCACCAGTGCTTCCACTCTGAGCCTTGACACTTGCCAGTGAGGCTTGCCACCACGAAACAGTCAAGAGCGACAACAATCCATGTGCCACACCAAAGACTGTCTCCACCCTAACACCTTGCTTGGCGAGCTTGTCCGGGAAAGCAAAGTCCACAAATGGCTCAGCATTGAGCAGCACAGAAGATGCGACACCGTGGTAAAGCAGCAGAAGAATAGCTGCGGCACGCTTGCCTGGAAGGTAGTCGGGAAGACCGTAAAGCAAAAGCGAGACAATAGCTAGGGAGAGAGCTAGTGTTGCATACATCTGTTCGAATCACAAGAACAAGGAGCAAGTAAGCATAAGAAGATGTACTTGGGCAGAGAAGACAAGAAAATTTGGTGGGCCAAACGTACCTTGATGACAACAGCCATAGTGTTGGTGATCTCATCCTTGAATGCGAGTCCATCGGTGAAGAAGAGCGCAATGAAAGCCAAGGGTCCTTCCATGGCTGTGTGGAGTAGCCAGAGGATGTTGAGCGGCGAGTAGCCTGAGTTGCCTTGCGCTTGGGATGCGAATGCTGTTTGTGGGTGCGCCATCACTGCGATCTCTCCAGCAGGGTTCTAGTCGTTGGTCTTAATGAGTGGTTGAGAAGAAGAGAGCTTGAATGTTCACAGGATAGAGATAAAGCTCGAAGCTTGGAGCCAATCAAGCTGTCGGTTCTGTCGGCGCTTGCTGCTCCGAGAAATTAAGACGTGTTCTTCTTGGTGGCGAAGAAAATAGCAAACTTTGTTAGGTCGCCGTAGCTGACAGCATCAATCGAGTTTCAACTTTGTTCTTTGCACCAGCATCAAACTACTTGGCAAAGCATTCAACTCAGTGCAAGCTCTCAACGCTACCTATCTAGCCTCTGAGGGTTTGACATTGATGCTGTCTATGATGGATGAGATGTACAAGTATTAGTCTTTCATTGAGCCCATAGGCACCCTCTGCCGCAACAGTCGCATTCTCACCTCGACCGTGTGACCATTCCACAGCTCCTTTCCATCCCGAACCTCAAAGCTCGGCAGACCATGTTGCTCTATGATCAATGAAGCAGAGACAGAGCCATGCATCGCCGCCTCTCTGATTCTGGCCGTTTGATCTATTGATGTATAAGCGTCAGTCTGTGCAAGATAGGCTGTGAGCCCACCGAGGAAAGAGTTACCTGCTCCCGTCACGTCTTTAATCTTGCTGGAGCTGATCTCTGGTAGTTCTAACGATCCTGCTTGGCAGTCGGATTCAGCGCCCAAAGAAGAAATGCGAGTGTTCGCTGCGGGGTCGCGAGTATGTGTCGGTGGAACGTCGGTGTGCCATGCCGGGATATGGTGCCAGCCGGGGGCGAACATTGTGCCTATCACCGACCCGCGAGCTCCACATCTGATGCAGATGATTGGTCCAAATGGCTGTCTGTTCATAGCTCTCTCTCTTGCCTCGGGGTCTCGGTTGAGCAGATGATCCAGAAACTTAGCAGCAACCTTGTCCCTAATAAAAGTCATGATCTTCTTTTCCAACCGCTTCTTTCGACCATCTAGCAGCTTCTCCCACTCGTCTTGCAGGCCTAACAGCGCTATTGCTTCTTCGTGATTCGGACTGAACACCTTGAGCTTCGGCAATACCTTGATGCAGCCATCGAGATTGTCAAACTCGCAAGAGTCTGGTATTGGCTCAAAGACCAGCTTTGGCCAATTCTTCTTTACCTCTCCTTCCTCTTTGCCAAGTATGTCTTCAATCTGAGCTACGGTCTCGAGCGCTCTCGCAGGCGAACATATCAAGTGGATCCATTCTGGCAACTTGGGGGGCTTGACCGTGCTGCATTGCAGCAAATCCTTGGGCTCGAGTCGAATCTTGGGCGAGAGGTAGTCGAATCCTCGATATTCACCCGTGTATCTGTTAACTGCTCGAGTTGTCTTATCCGGCCTTGACCTGTAGCGCCACATCGAACCATGTTCTCCAGTGGAAGAAGAGGGAGTGCGATTGAAGCGATCCAACACAGCTTGATCTGTATCCTTCCAATCACAGCCCCGATCGACGATCATCTGAATGGACGAAGGCAGAAGAAAGGGACGAGCACCGATAGCAAAGTAGCAGCCCCCGCCGCCGATCTGATCTGGCAGCCCTTTGTTGCCGAGATCCTTGCCTGTTTGATGATGGATGAATTGAAAAGTGTCGATGATGAACATTCCCATCGTTGCGAGCTTGATCGGTGACGCCATGTCTGATTGCGCCTGGGTACCGCTCATCCTTTGCAGCAGACACCCGACGCTCTCCCAGGAGAGCGTATTCGAAGCTGCCCAGAGGCTGCTGAGGCTGCTGAGGCTGAAGTTCGGATCGTCTGCAGTCGAAAGCAAGCTGTGGAGACATGGTATGGGGGGGCCTTTGCCTGGAATCCACTTGGTTTTTCTTCTTGTTTCGTGCGATTGAGTCGTGGATGTTGCTGTATGGATTCGTGTTTAGGGGCTCTTCAACCAACACGAACCCAGCAGATTGAGTTAAAGTTTTCGTGTGATTGATGATGATAGTAAGAGAGAGAGAGCGAGAGAGCAAGGAGAGAGAAGGAGTCTATATATATACAAAAGAAGAGCGGCAGAGAGCCGCATTGACTGCGGAACATAACAAAGCATTTGTCTTGAGTAGGTTGTGACACATGTGGTCCGTGCTCAGATGCTCAGGCCTTTTACTCGGCCGTGAGCACTACCTTCACTGTCTCTACGCTTTGTGTAGCTTTTATATACTTTAACTGATTGCACGCATTCTTCTCACAGACAGGGGTCATGACACCAAAACTCATCAGCTAACTACAGCTGCTGCTCGGTTGAATGGCTAGAGTTGACTTGCATCTCCATCCTCCTACCTCCTACCTCCTTGTTCTTCTTGCTGAAGCCTTGTGCCACTGTCGCCCCTGAGCTGATTTGAGTCGCGGTGCTGAGTTGCAGGCGCTTGGCGGACCCGGCTTGCTTGCCGATTGTTCCCTCTCCGCATTCATTTTTGTCCCCTTCATCTCGTATCCTTCTTCCATAGCCACCACCACCATCTTCCAACATCCTCAGTCCACTCTTATAACGACTCTTTGACGATTTCCCAACGGCCTTGATTCCAACTTGACGATATCTTCTCCCTGCTCTTGCAGTGATAGCATCAGACCGCCAAAAAGCAACAAAACATAGCTTCTTTGGCATCTAAAGCAACGTCTTCCATCATGGCCAACATCGACCCGCCGGCCATCTCTACGCCATCACGACCCAGGTACTCGCTCAAACCAAAGCCAAGTGGTAACCTCACTTCGGCCACTAGTAGTCCCAATGTCGCCGGGTTCAGCCCTGGGGGTCAAGTCTTCGAAGGCTACTCCTACCTCTCGCGATCCACATCCATGTCGACCTCGACTCGATCGCGTCCTAAGGGCTTGCAGAGCCGCACACCATCCGATGTCCACCTCGCGAGCCCTCCTACCGCCAGCCGCAAGCTTCCTTCCACACCCTCCTCCCCGATCATCCCTCGCCTGGCTGCTTCGTCCACCACCAGCCCTTTCACCAACACCACCGACCTCCCCAAGCGCAGATCCACCATTCATCGCATGCCTTTCTCGATCAGCACACCCGAACTCCAAACCATATCGTTCCTTCAGCCTCACTCTGCCCATTCAGATTCCGAAGCAGAACGTCTAGCTGAAGCAGTCGCCAACCTCCCTCACAACCCCAAAATCTGGCTCCCTTCCCAAGTAGCACTCTATCTCACCCATGTGCTCGGCCTAGTCCCTCGACCGGTAGTCGAAGACGTGACCGCCTACGTCAGGTCTTCCCGCATGGGAGGTCGTGCTTTTCTCAGATTAAGTGAGAAGGATCTTGAGCGTCAAGGGCTTAATCTCAAATGGAGAAAGTTGATGATTGAAGCTGTTCGAAAGCTCAGGAGGGATGCTCTCAGGGGCAGAATCTGGGGTAATGGCACCGGATCAATGCGCTGGCCCAAATCTGCGTCGGATCTGGAGCGAGAGGAAGCCGATGAACAAGATGCAATGCTCGAGGACGAAGAGGCTACTTTTGATCAGGATGGTATCGTTCGCAGCTCCAAGACTACAAGCAAGCTTACGCTCAAGCGAATGCGTGATAGCCGCAAAGTCAGAGGCATGATTCGAGCTTTCCAGACATCTCCTGAGCAAGATGATCTGTCTCTTGCTTCACCCCACCACTCCACCGACGCTGTCTACGCTCCTCATGGCTACGTACGCGAGCAAGCACAGCAGATCTTATCCGAGGCCGAACAGAAGAAGCTCTCCCTCCGCCGTCCCCTTCGTCCTCGCCGATCCACTGCTGACTTCCCATGGCTCGAGTCTCAGCCTGAAAAGAGCAAGTGGGAGGATATTGAGGCGCTGCTCGCCTCACTCACCCAGCAAGAGGCCAATGAGCTTGCCAACAAACTTGGCATGCTCGACTTGCTCGACACTGACGCTGTCAGCCGCGCTCTGAAGCAAGAATCCCATGACTCCAAGGCTAACTTCGTGCAACGCCGTGCGCCTTCGGCCGAAAGCGCAGACGAAATCGCCATGATGCCCACACTCGTCCGTCATGGCTCAGCGGACAGCTTCTCAGTCTCGGAGTGTAGTGGCACCGAAAGTGAGCTCGACTTCGCCGAAGAAACCGCTACCGAACCTCGCGGCCACAAACCTCGATACAGCGTGCTGGATGAAGATATCATCAGAGCCATCCTTGCTGAAGAAGACAACACTGCCACAATCGCCAGCCACGAATCTAGCCCGAAGACCGAGCTCACTCGCTCTCAGACCACAGCCTCCATCCTTCGCCCTTCCCGACCCTACCGCGCTTCTATGTACACCGATGATGAGCTGGCTGCGCTTAAGGACAACGAACAGCGCTTGCACACCCGCACCGAAAGCTCTCGAGAGCTCGTCGAGGTGCTCATGTCCTCCGGTCCAGCAGTAGAGGACGCTGTGGCAGAACCTGACTTTGGCACTGCTAGACTGCGCACCGAAGAGACTGCCCCTTCTATTCCCAGCTTCGATGCCACCACTCCACCTCCACAGGCTGCAAAACAGGATGAGGAGTACATCTTTACCCTCCCCGACAGCTCTCCCTCCGACAACACCGCTTCCATCCGCCGCAAGACCTCCCGCAAAGCCACATTCGGCAGCAAACGCGGAAAAGCAGTTCTCTCTCTCCTCAACAACTCCGACACCGAAAACAGCGACCTTTTCGCCTCACTACCTGGTGCGACGATGCTTCGTCAGAAATCTAACGAGCCACGCGCCACTCCAGGTGCTACCACCACAGCAGAGGACGAAAAAGGTTGGGGTGGAACTCTCGGCCGCAGTTTGAGCAGAAAGAGCTTGAACAACGTCTTTGATGCTCAACCAGCAAGCAGGTTTGCAAGTGTGAGGGCCAAGACTGGAAAGTTTGGAACCAGGAGGGGACTGGACAGAGTGGCATCAGAAGCTGAGGGTGAGGGTGAGGGTGAGGGTGAGGGTGAAGGTGAGGGTGAGGGTAAGGGTAAGGGTGAGGGTAAGGGTAAGGGTAAGGGTGAGGGTAAGGGTGAGGGTGAGGGTAAGGGTGAGGGTAAGGGTGAGGGTGAGGGTGAGGCGTTCGCTGCTCGGTTGGAGGCGCTGGAGCTGGACAAGGACGTTGATGCTCCAGTGGAGAGGTACGAAGAGACAGTGTTGTCTGAGGTTGAGGTTGAGGAGGAGGAGAGTGAACTGCATCGCAGACCTTCGGTTGAGCAGCGATTGTCTTCGTTGTTAGGTGCAGGTATGGTCGAGGTTGGAGACGCACCCGCCGCAGTACCTGTCAAGGCAGTCAAGCAGGTCGAAGAGGCAGCAGCTGATGTCGAGGCTGTTGCAGCGGAAGACCTTGGAGTCGTTTCGAAGGCAACTGAAGCCGCGGCCGAGGTTGAGGTTGATGCACAAGGTCCTCCACCTGCCGAAGATGCCGTCGCCCTCCTTGACACAGCCACATCTGATGATGCTCACGCTATCAACAAGGAGTGCTCTGCAGCCGAGCTAGAGGTCGTGGAAGATGCTCCCGTTAAGGCTGAAGTAGCAGAGCTTTCCAACACTCCGAGCGAGCTTGTCGAGACCGCCAAGACGGTCGAAGACACTACTCCGGCCAAACAACTTCCGACGATCGCCGAGACAGAAGATCGAGAAGAGCTCGCCTCTGTCGTATCTACCGAGCCAGAAACGCAACAGGATGCTGTTGCCGATAACGTCGCTCCAATCGAGGTCGCTCTCGGGGCTATCGAGGAGGACTACGTCGAAGTAACATCCCTCTCTTCAACCCCTGCCGATTCGATCGCCTCTCAACCAGCCGAGCCCATCACCACCGCCCTTGACTCCACTCCCGCTCCAGAAGGCCACTCACAGCTCCTCGTCCCCCTTACTCTCATTGAACCGCACCCCTCGGGCACAGGCAGCATCAAAAAGCGCTCCATGGTACTCGTCGATCGTAAAAGGTTCGAAAGTCTTGCTCGACGAATGACAGACCTCGAGCAGCAGTTGGAGACTCGCGCTTGCTCGTTTGCCAGCAGCTCTACTCCAGCTACGAGTGGCGGGTCTGGATTGCGAAACATGTTCTCTGCTCCTTCCGCTCAGGAAGGAACAGAAGAGAGTGTGATGGGCGATGAAGAAGGTGATGCTGTACTGGACGCAGTACTTGCTGCCTCCATTCCACCTGACTCTCAGAAGGCGAAAGAAGGAACGGAGGTGTTGAAAGTAGACGAGACGGTCGAGCAGTCTAAGCCTATTCAAGGTGGATGGTGGAACCCTTCCTTATGGGCCACCTACCTCTCTTCCCTCAATCCGTATTACTCTCAACCCTCCGCTTCACCTTCTTCCACTACTTGCTCCTCCGTTGGTACCTCAAACACCTACGATGGAGACGAAGAGCTCAATCTATGGGCATTGCTTGGACGACCGGAAAGCGAGCAAGAAGCACATCTGCTATCCATTGGTGCTATTCCAGCTTACATGCTGGGGTTGGGCGCTGGTGTCGGATTCGTGCTCGTACGAGAGATGTTGGGAAAAGGTGTTCTTGGTCAACACTAAGAAGTGGCTTCGTGGTTCATGTGATATTGTTTTAGCTTTCGTCTGGGACGATGATTTGTTTTGTTCGAATTCTCTTTTCTTTGGTGTGAACCGGTGTGTGGTTGGAATGAGTCAAGCGATTACAGCGAGCAGACGATGGTGTCTGAGCATATAGATACCGTTTTCATCTAGAGACCGTTTTCATCAGATTACAGAGTGTGAGTTCGAACAATACGCCTAATCGTGCACAACAGAAAGTCGCGTAGAAACGCTCAGGGAGCATAACTACCTTGACGCTACCTCCTGAGGGAGGATTAGTTGGGACTACGATCATAGCTCCAGATCCTAGCATTAAAGTCACCGCTACCGGTTGCCAATAGTCCACCTGCAGGACTCAAGTTGATCGCAATGACACTGTTCTTGTGGCCCTGCAATACAAACTGCGCTTGCGCCGTCTTAGGATCCCAGAACTGTACCCCGCGATCCTTACTACCACTTGCAACCCATTGTCCATCTGGACTGCAAGACACCGACAGGACATAGTCCTTGTGTCCAACGAAAGTGGTTGCGCAATTTGCATGACCACCCTTCTCCTCTGCTCTGTTTTCTTGTACCGCCTTGGCAGTGCCGGTCAAGTCCCAAAGTTTCAGAGTCTTATCCAGCGATCCCGACACAAGAGACTTGCCATCAGGAGCAAAGCTGACCGAGTAGATGGAGTCTTTATGACTCTTCAACCTCTCCAACTGCTTACCCGTCTGCGCATCCCACACCCTCACGAGCGTATCTAAGGCACCAGCAGCAACCAACCTGTTATCACTACTTATACTAACACTTGTAACTCCAGCCTCACTAGGTCCGTGCTCCAATCCAGGCGAAGTATACAACGTATGCAAAAGTTGCCCATTCTCCACATCCCAAATCCTGACCGTCTTATCTCCACTACCACTAGCAATGATCCTACCGTCCTTACTGTAATCCAACGAGTAGATCTCCTGCTTGTGGCCAGAGAAAAGATGCTTGACCTTCTTTTTACTGATATCCCAAATCCTGATCTGCCTATCCTCTGCTCCAGTAGCCAAGCACTTGCCATCTGGAGAGAAGCAGACGGAGCGGATGTAAAGGTCTCCCTTGGAGTTGGCAGATTGGTCGGTCAAAACACAAGTCTTGGCGCCCGTTTTGGTGTCGAAAATCTGAGCAGACTTGTTGCAACCCGTAGCAAGGTATTTGCCGTCAGCGGAGAAACGGACGCAGCAGACTACGGATTCGTGGAGGAAAGTGTGAACGAGGTTGACGTCGAGCGTTCGCTTGACTTTGGGATTGAAGATGGCCAGCCAGTCAGGACCTTCCTTCTTGAGCTCTTTTGGGATTTCATCGGGATCCATGTCGCTTAGGCTTGCAAGCGAAACATTGCCAGCGGCTGCAGCGGCTGCACCAGGCGATTCAGCACCTTGAGCAGCTTCGCTAGCACGATCGCCACCAGGTCCACCACGCTCGCGATCACGATGCTGCATCTCACGGTTGTACGAGTTGGGCGGTGGAAGGGGCGGTGGAAGGGGCGGTACACCGTGTGGCGATTGAGCCGGTCCAGGTCCAAGAGGTGGACCACCACCACGGTGTTCTCTGTCCCATTTTTCGTCGCGCGGCGCTCTGTCGCGTTGCTCTTCCTTCTTGATCCAGTCGGCTCGCTCTCGTTCAACGCCAGGGCTAGGTGGTCCACTGTAGTGCGATCCAGGTCCATCAACGCGCATGCGCTTCGAGTCTTTACCGCCAGGTGTTGGACCACGAGCAGGATCGCGCTCGCGGTCAAAGCCGTTTGGGCCACGTGCACCGTACTCGGAACCAGGGCCGCCTGCAGCACCGCTGCCGTTGGGACCAAGCATGCCTGCAGAGCCAGGGCCGCCAGGGCCTCCAGGAGGAGGAGGACCACCAGAAGAGGCGATTGGCAATGGACCCGAAGCACTAGATGCAGGGAGATGAGGTGGACCACCCATGGGACCGGATGCGGGAGCTGCGCCGTGCTCTGCCGAGAGACCTCTGGAGTCGAGAATGCTGCGGAGTCGCTTGACTTCTTCTTCGTATCTGTTTGCGGTGTTGAGAAAATTGGAGATAAGAAAGCGTCAGAATGGATAGGATGGACAAGGATGTAGAAACCATACTTGTGGTGCTACTTACTGCTGGATGACCCGAGTGTGACGCTTTTCGAGCTCGTAGAAGTGATTTTGCATCATGTTGACTTCGCTGACTTGTTGCGTAACTGTGGCAAGCGACAGAGTGGATGACAGAATGTTAGTCAGCTGCTGTTTCGAAAGGAACCGAAAAGCGATCAGGTCGGTGGGATGTTGCGATGCTCGGTTACTATCAACTTACCTCTGTGTTCCATTTCATCGCGCTGCGCTTTGAACTGTGCTGTGTCGTTGCCGAGAAGGTCGAATTCATGTCGTACAAAATCGAGAAGGTCGGCGAGTCTCGCCGAGCTTGTGTGAGGGGCTCCAGCAGGTGGAGCTGCACCGGGAGGGCCAGCTGCAGCACCAGGAGGGCCTGTAGGCGCTGGGCCACCGGGAGGGCCAGCTACTGGGCCTCCAGGATGAGGACCTCCTTGTGCTGCTGCAGCTGCCTGAGAAGGACCGGGGCCACCTGGGCCAGAAGGAGGTGGGCCAGAAGGAGGTGGGCCAGAGGGAGGTGGGCCAGAAGGAGGACCTTGGGACCCACCCGAGGGTACGATAGAACGGTGATTGTACATGACTGTACTGCCGATGCTATGGGAGCAGGGACCTTTGAGGATCGGATGCTGCTATTACGAGGTTCGCGCTTCGACGTGAGGTGCACAAAGAGGATGGTCGGGGAGGCTTGCAGTCGAGTCGAGCAACAAGCAAGGCGGCCGTCCGGCGATTGGAAGTCGAGCTCAGAAGGGGTAGTCTGATGCGGAAGCGCTGTGTCGCCGAAAAATGGGCCTGTATAGATGATTCAGAGTACTATCTCGAGACCTTGCACAAAGATACGAGGGTGGATGGCAAGTCGTAGGATGGAAAAGATGAGCTGGATTCTGGCCGCCACTGACACGCGCGAATCTGGTGCAGCTCGAAGGATGCTGCTGGTGATGGAGACCAAGAGGAGATGCCGAAAAGAGAAAGAGGCTCGGTGAACAACGAAAGAAAAAGGTAGGAGAAGGCAGGTGATGATGTTGTGTCGACGATGAAGAGAAGGATGAGGTGAAGAGAGATGAGGCAAATGAAGACGCGCAAGGTGAATTTGAAAGGGAGGAATCCAAAGAGCGCTCGAGAGTTGCGGATGCTGTAGTGCGATGCGATCAGATCGCTTCTGCCGCTGATACGCGCCAAAACGGAGAGAGAGAACCTCAGAGTGGTGACAGACGGTGGAACCGGATTCGTGTCCGAAAAGACAAGTGTACTGTGTACCGTGTTGCTGTGTACCGTGTTACTGTGTACCGTGTTACTGTGTACAGCAACAGGGCCTGACTTCTATACCAGAGTGCAAGATGAAAGGATGAACCGGAAAATTGCACAAATAGAAATAATCTAACAAAGGGGGGGAAAAAAAGAAAAAAGAAGAAAAAAGTTAAAATTAGATACACCACTCAGGAGGCCACGGTCAGGCACTCCTTTTTAATCTGATGCTCTATGTGTAAAAGGCATGTGTTGTGTAAGGAGGTAATGACTAAGCTAAGAACATATATATGTATTCTCTGCACCTGACTGTGCTCACTTTGTTGAGTCATTCCCATGTGCCACATATCTTCTTTCATAAGCATTGTCATATCAACATGTCCCCTCCATACCATGGTGTCAACCCTCATGCATAGGCTGCATTAGCTCCCACTAGCCTTGCATCTTGCCTGTCCTCCTCATCTCCTGATGCCTTCCCAATTCCCTGATCCTGTGAGCTCCCATTTACTATGTCATGTGTTGGTGATGCCAGTGCCTCTTCAACTCCCCCCCTCAATGGCATATCCAACCCTATCATTCTTGATATCCTTGTTGTGTTGAGTCCCTTGAGTGGCTTTGTGAGTATGTCGGCCACATTGTTGGCCGTTCCGATGAACTTGATTGATATGTCACCATCTTGCACATGATCCCTAACAAAATAGTATCTGGTATTGATGTGTTTGAGTTTTCAGTGTTTGGCCAGATCCTTACTGACTTGTATACACCCCTGGCTATCAGTGCGTAGTGTTGGCTTGACTCCGAATACTCCTAGATCCCTAAGTAGGTATGAGAAGAAGAGTGCTTCTCTTGCTGCTTCAGAGGCAGTGACCAGTTCTGCTTCCACTGCCAATAGTGCCATGCATTTTTGTACATGTGATTTCCAACTAACTGGGCATCCATACACATATGTGATTGCTCCGGATGTACTCCTACATCCATTTGTAGGGTCAGAAGCCCAATTTGCATTGGTATATGTAACCACCGGTTGGTCTGCATGACTCCTGTGCATTCCTCCTAAATTCAAATGGTAATTGCTCATCTGCTTCAGGTACTTCAACAAATGCATCACAGCACTCCAAGCATTGTCAATTGGTCCTGACATGTATCATGCTAAGACTCCTACTGCAAATGAGATGTCTGGTCTCACTGTGTTGGATACCCACAAAAGTTGCCCCACTAGCTCTTGATATTGTTTGGCCTGATCTGGGTTGCATTTATTTCCTCTGGCAGTTCCTGCTATGCTCTGCATTGGGATCCAGGTTCATTCGCTTGTTCTTTCTAGCCACTTATTTACCATGCCTTTGATGTATGTGGTCAGGTTGAGTGTGATCTTGCCTTGTCTTCTCTCTCGAGTGATTTTGATTCCTAGAAATTCTCTTATGGGTCCATTGTCTTCTGTTCCCCACTTGTCCATGATCTCGGCTTTAGTGTGGTCGACCTCCCTTCTGCTAGGCAATGTGATCAGCATATCATCCACATATGCTGTGATGACCATGAGTTGGTTGCCTGCTCCCCTTGAGTAAAGGCATGGGGTGCTCAGCATGCAGTGGAAGCCATTATTTTGGAGGTGGGTGTCCAGTTCGATGTTCCATTCCCAACCTGATTGCTTCAGACTGTAAAGCCCCTTTATGAGTTTCAATACCTTTCCTGGAGGTACCCTGGTTCCTACTGGTGGCTTTAGGTAGACATCATGATGCAGGTTTGAATTGAGGTAAGCCTGTTTGATGTCGATGGAATCAACCTCCCAGTCCCATACAGCTGCAATGGCCAGCACTCCCCTTATCACCTGGATGGGGGCCACTGGTGCAAATATCTCTGTGTAGTCTAGGCCCTCTCTCTGGGTAAACCCCCATGCTACCAATCTTGCCTTGTATTTTGTGGGGACCAGGTTTGCATCAGTCTTGATCTTGAGCACCCATCATGTGTCAACTGCATTCATACCTTGTGGTAGATCAGTCATTTCCCATGTTCCCATCACTTTGAGTCTGTCCAATTCCTTGCACATTGCTTCTTCCCAGAACCTCCTATCCTTTCTGGCCAGCACCTCACAAACAGTTGGGTTCAGGCTGTCCTTTCCCTCCTTGACCTTGGCTACCATTAGCCTGAAGTAACTCTTCTTTACCCAGGTCTCTGGGTTGCACATGTTTCTAGCTGGCTTCCAGTTCAGCCAAGGGCCTCTATCCTCTGGTGGCACTGGTGCATACTCTTCCCTCTCCTCTGTCATTCTCCCTTCCTCCTCGAGGGCTAATTCCATGTCCATGTACTCTTCCAAAGGCTCTCGCTCTCTCTCATCAAATAGGTTCTTGTCATGGGCCTGGGTGCGCAGAGCGAGGAAAGACCGAAGTTCATATGAAGGTAGTGCAGGAATCTTGGAATCAGGTAGAATGTAAGAGTTGCGGCAGAGTTCACCAAGATTGGCAGTAGAATCAGTTCTATGGCAGATCACAGCGAAATCGGCACGAGCATCGTCGATATCATGAATCCCACTGGAATCTACGACAAGCGAGACCTTGTGGCAGATTCTGCGGAGATCGGTAGCAAGGTTGTCCATACGACAATTCACATGCGAGAGGGACCAAGCTCAAGTGATATGCAGACGGTTACCACTCAGGGGCCCACAAGACAGGAGTAAAAGAGAACTGTCGCTGGTCAGAGGAAGGAGAGCTGTGTAAAGGACACTGGCAAAAGGGACATGAAGAGGAGGAGCAGTGTCGATGAAGTTGACACAGCTCAGGTAAGACAGGAGGGACAAGGTCTGATATGGAGGAGGTGCCTCCTTGGAGACACCTGTACAATACTTGATGAAGAGGGTACTCTCTGGAGAGAGAGAGCAGGAACAGTGTCGCTGGTGATGCTGCGAAGAGATATATAGGCATACCTTCTTGTCATGAATGGTTGAGTGGATCCATCCACTCTACACTCATCAAACAAACTAGTATTACTTCAAGCAATAAGTAACATTAGTTCACAGTCAGCATAGTAGTAATCAACAGATTGCTCCTCATCGAAGTGCATGTGTTGTATCACCGTTTCCTGACATCCGAAGGCGGTTCTAGCAAACCAGTGGTCCAGATATCGATAGAACCAAAGGCAGTTGTCCACTGCGGTCCGGGGGTCACTTCAAGCATTAGTCAACACACTGGACACTTGTGTCGATGCCATCTATCCATACTCACACCAGACCATTGGTGTCAACATCAAGTTCACTTAGAGTCATATCGTAGTTTGATCGTGCCGAGCTACCTCTGGACAGAGTGTCCACAGTGGTCAGTCGAAATCTGTCACAACATCAATACAACTACAGATTCCAATGAGAAAAGCAGCAGAGATGGTTCTGTTGCATATTACACTAGGAATCGTAATACCACTAGCACTGTCACATAACTTGACAGAATCGGTGATAGTACTGATACTACTACTGATCTCAGGTTTCAGGCGCGCGACCGCTGACAGTTCTCTTCTGTGTATCCCAGATCGTCAAGGTCCTCTTCAATAGTTGGAACTGGTGGAGGTCGAATACTTATTGGTCACCATTCTGATTGGTCTGACCAACACTGTGTCTCCATGAATCTTGCTGAGTTGCTCCAGAAAATGTTTGGAGTGTAATCAGGGCTATAGAATAGCCATCCCTTTCTTTCCAAGCTGTACCCTATGAATATGGCTGCAACCACTTGCTGGTCCAGCTTCTTGTTGTTTCGTTTGGCTTTTGGAATGTTTACCCAAGCTAGACATCCAAATACACACATGAGGCAGATGAATCATTCCAGTGATCTATTGAACATGAGCTGGTATGGAAACTCTCCATCAATGTTGGGAGTGAGATTGATCTTGAATGCCACTGCTCATATGGCATGTGGCCAAAATCTCTTTGGTAAACTCCTTTGCATCAGCAGCATTCACATCTTTTCACCCAGGCTCCTGTTCATCCATTCTACTCATCCATTTTGCCTGCTGTTGTAACCGACAGTAGTCTGCCACTCTATGCCCTTTTCTAATAACCTGTCAGGCGTCTCGCGCCTGAAACCCAGGTCGGTCTGTCGAGATGCTCAGTGACTATCAAACTGTGTGACAGCTATTGTCTCAGTATCAGTCTTGACGAGCTAGTCCTTTGGCGACTATCAAGTTGCATGATGACAGCAGGTGGCATTCGTTGTATATACTGTCATAGGTTTCGGCTGACCTCTGTGGACACTCCATTCAGGGGTAGCTCGGCATGATCAATATCAATGCATAGGTTATGATGACACCAAGGTCTGGTGTGAGTGTTGATGATGATGAGGTTGATGGTGTTGGTGATAAGGTTGGTGGCATTGGTGATAAGGTTGGTGGCGTCAACACGAGTGTCCAGTGTGTTGACTGATGCTTGAGGTGATCCCCGGACTGCAGTGGACTACTGCCTTCGGTTCTATCTTGATCTGGACCACTAACCTGCTATGGGGCGCCTTCGGACGTCAGGTAGTGGTGATACAACACACACACTATGATGAGGAGCAACCTTGATAGATTGCTGCTATGCTGACTGAAACTAATATATACTTATGCTGAAGTGATAACTAGTTATGGTGAGTAGAGTGGATGAGGATCCACTCGACCTTTGATGATGAGAAAGCATGGTTATATACCTCTTCGCAGCATCGCCAGCAACGCTGCTCCTGCTCTCTCTCCAGAGAGTACCTTCTTCATCGAGTACTGTTCAGGAGGCCTCTCCTGCTTGCTTGGCACCCCTGTGCCTCTTGAGCTGTGTCGACTCCTTTGACACTGCTCCTCCTCCTTGCTATCCTGCTTGTTTGGCACCCTTGTGCCTCCTGAGTGGTGTCGACTCCTTCGACACTGCTCCTCCTCCTCAGGACCTGCTTGCCGGTTCCCTATACACTGCTCCTTCTCCTTTGGCCGGTGACAGTTCCTTTGACTCTTGTCTCTCAAGCCCCTGAGTGGTAACCATCTGCATGCTCCTTGAGCTTGGTCCTCTTTGTGGCTGTGCCTGCTCCTTGAGCTTGGTCCTCCTCGTGGCTGTGCCTGGCCCTCCTCGCATATGGCTCGGTCCTCCTTTGCATGTGAGGCTGTAGGAGTCCATGGTCTCCATGGAGACTGCACTACAACCATGCTCTCTAATGGTATCGACTAGATCTTCGATACTTGTGCTCCTTCCATATGAACTAGTGACCCTCCTGCTTCTTGAGCATTCAGGCCCATGACATAACCATTCTAACACTTCGTTACTCTTCCATTCAGTTCCTTGATCAGATTGGATTGCTTTTAGCTTTCTGCCCATCTGTGTCTCTAGGAATGAAACTATTCTTTTGAGTTGCATGAATGCATGGCTCTTTCATAAGAGTGGTTGTGCATGCACATACTTGCTATGATCATCGACCAGCACTAATGTGCACATGTATTCTGTCATGCAGGATGAGTCTATGATCAGATCGATGTGGATAAGATCTAGGGGCCCTGTGGCTGTTTCGCTGCTACCTTGCCCCATCCGGGCAGCCACACTTTTGGACCACATGCACTGCTCACATGTCAGAGCTGTATCTGGGTCCAATGCTGCTACAGGTTCACCTTTCAATTTATCAGCAATCACTCTGGACTTGTCTCGACCTGGGTGTCCTAGATGTTCATGCCAGAGCTGTCTTGTGGAGATCTTTGGTCTCCAGTCGGCCAGCTCAAACTCTTCATCAACTCCTTCAAACAGTGGTGTTGATGTAGTCATCATGCTTTGTTGCCATGTGTTGCCTCAGAACTCTAATAGTCCATGCTCACAATCTTTTGTTATTCTCAATAGCATACTGTTTGCCAAGTGTATTTGTCTGCCTGTCATGTCTAAAGTCACACATGCTCCCTCATCTGTCAGTGAGTTGGTTGACAACAGGTTAATAATGAGTCTTTTAACATACAACACATTTTGGAGATAAGTGTCTCCATATTCTGTTGCTATGTTGGTATCTCCCACAGCAGTTGCCTCCAGCACTTTGCTTCCAGCAGTATACACACACTTTCTGCAATTTCTTGGATGGATGAGCATGCTGTGGTCATTAACCATGTGGTAGCTCACTCCTGAATCCAAGATCCAATGTGTGGTTCCTTCTGACTTTGGGAGCTGCTGCCAACTTGGGGTGAAAGAGCACCAGACCTCCTAGTTGGTCTTGGTGAGTGGAGAATTTTCAGGAATGACAACAGAAGCATCACATTTGCTGGTGCTGTGCCCATAGCACTTGCATACCCAGCAATGAATCCTCTTTGGTTTGGTTGTGGTTTTTGTGCTGCCTGTGTCTGACTCAGTGTCATCAGCCTGCTCTTTGTTGCCCCCAGCAATTCTAGCACATGCTTGGCATGGGTCCATTTTCTGACCGGGTACACTCTCCATTGCAGACTGGCATGTAGTCAAAGCTGTTGCTAGAGCATCGAAGCTAACCTGATGAACTGTGGTGACTGTCTCCTTGTAGACTGGGTGTTGAATCATGCACCTCTGGAGCATGGCATATAGTGCATCATTACTAAATGGGGCACCTAGGAGGCTAGTTTTGGTCTGCATGACCCTGATCTCTTGGATCAGCTTATGGGCATCAGCATGAAACATCTTTGCCTCATTGAGCTTGGCAAGTAATGCTATCTGTCGCAAGGTTCTAGCTGCTTTGCTGGTAAGACTCCTTTCAATTCTCTTCCAAGCTTGATGGCAGGTCAGGTGATTCTTACTGATGTCAAGTAGGAGGTAAAGGATGTTATACTCTCCTTCAGTGTCTAGGGTGCTTTGTAGGACACCCACTAGGGCGTTCTCAAATGTTTTATTCCATTTCAGGTGGTCTTTGTCATACATGCCCTCTAAGTGTCATGTGGCATGGGGAACTACTTGTAGGTTGGCCTTGATGAGTGTGCTCCAACTATAATAGTTGCATGACATGAGCTTGGGAACCATCTCCAAGATTTTAGCCAAGGTGCGGTAATTGTATTGGTCATCATCATTGTCCGATTCTGATCCTCCTTCATCCTCATTGTCAAAATACTCGGTCTTGTTACTGTTGGTGGCCTCTTTGTCGATTTGTACTTGTTGTGGCATTTTACCTTTTCTTGTCCTCCTGGCTGCTTCACCCATGCTGGCTTGGCAGTCATTGTCTCCCACCATATTTGAATGTCAGGGGTTCGAGCCCCCTATTGGGAGCCAGTTAAAATTAGATACACCACTCAGGAGGCCATGGTCAGGCACTCCTTTTTAATCTGATGCTCTATGTGTAAAAGGCATGTGTTGTGTAAGGAGGTAATGACTAAGCTAAGAACATATATATGTATTCTCTGCACCTGACTGTGCTCACTTTGTTGAGTCATGCCCATGTGCCACATATCTTCTTTCATAAGCATTGTCATATCAACATGTCCCCTCCATACCATGGTGTCAACCCTCATGCATAGGCTGCATTAGCTCCCACTAGCCTTGCATCTTGCCTGTCCTCCTCATCTCCTGATGCCTTCTTGATTCCCTGATCCTGTGAGCTCCCATTTACTATGTCATGCATTGGTGATGCCGGTGCCTCTTCAACTAAAAAAAAAAGAGTCTACAGAAGCGGAGAGCATGAAGGCGGGCAGCAGTTGGTTGCGGACCGACCAGATAGCTTGGACAGCTCTGAGACTCAGTTTCGTGGAAGCCGATTGGCTGGCCATGCTTTTTCCTTTTTCCCCACCTTTGCTACTCATCGTTTCCTGGCTTGTCAGCTGAGCTCTGACGCGGTCGGTAGGAAGGCTGTCTCTGTCGGCGGTCAGACGGTGGAATGTCGACCAACAGACAGCCTGACGATCCTGTCCGTGTGGCTGCCTGCAAGATTCAGATGAGATCTGGCTGTTGCGCAGTGGAACCAGCGTAGTCAATACTGGTCCAGTCTCTCGGAGGAAGATGAGATCAACAGTCCCACGCTTAGCAGCCCAATGGACCCGTCTGTTGAGCCTTTGTCTGCTGGTCCAGCTGCAGGGGAGCATTAGGCGTGTCAAAGCGCAGAAAAGCTCTTTGCCAAGTGACCTTCGACTTCATCAGCGGTGAGAGATTATGTATGTTGTTCGTGAGGGCAGGCAGGCCAGGATGAAAAAAGGCTATCCTGTTAACTCTTGGCCGACAACACATTCAGAGAGTAAATCAATTCACTCGTTTGCTCGGCTCTCGGATTACTCGCAGCGCCTTCGCAAACAAATTTTGAGAATTTTCTTGCTCAACCACACCCTGCTCAAACACGGCTGTGGAGAGCAGGTTCCACCAACACCAGCTACCTTCTGACCTCCTCCGCACACTTGTTCTAACTAAATCTTCACAGCCGCTCGCTGCTCGCCAACAACATCAACGTTTCACCAACTTGGCTCATACCGCATCGACATAAAACCAACCAAGCTTTCATCACGCAGGATAGAGCATCGTCACCATGCCTCGCATTCCAACGGCCAAGCTGGCCAAGAACGGCTCTCAGCGCCACAACCCTCTCCCACAGCAGCTGCAAGAAGACCAGCTCACCAACAAGTTCGGCCTCGTATCCGCACCTGGTCGTAGGAACAAGAAGATCCATAAACCACAATCCGCTTCAGACGACGACGAGGACCAGAAGCAGTATGCTGCCCCCACAGGCATGGTCATAGGAGGTAAAGCCGGTGGCAGCAACAAGGAGAACAAGTACATCGACCCTAAGCTTTCCAGAAACATTTTACGACTTGCCCGGCAGCAGCAGGAAGAGATCGAGCGCGAAGAGATGCAGCTTCAAAATCCATCAGCAAGCCTTGAAGCCTCTTCCTCCTATGCTGCTAACCGCATGACTCCACGCGATCGTCCAAGAGGGTCAGCATCGGCTGCCATGCCAGACGACTCGGATGACGAGCGAGCAGACCTTGACCATTTGGGAGAGTTGGACGACAACGAGGCCGAGATGGGCGCGAATGGCTGGGCATCTTACGATGCTAACCTCGAGATTGACCCATCCGATCGCGCACTTCTTGACAAGTTCGAGGCAGAGCACCGTGGTGATGACGAGCATGGCGAACAAGGTGCACACATGCGCGCAAGCGGCCTCGGTGGTCGAGGCAACAAGACCCTCGCCGATCTCATCATGGAGAAGATCGAAGCGGCTGAACATGCAGGTGACGGACCAAGCCAACAGGAACTTGAAGAGCGAAGGATGCCACCAGGCATCAATCCAAAAGTCATCCAAGTTTACCGCAAGGTTGGAGAATTGCTCTCTCGGTACAAGTCCGGTCCGCTTCCCAAGGCATTCAAGATCGTCCCATCCTTACCAGCATGGGAGTCGATTCTCTACATCACCGACCCTGCTTCTTGGACTCCTCACGCCACTCTTGCTGCAGTTCGCATCTTTGTTTCCACTATGAAGGCTGACCAGATGCAGCGATTCTACGAACTCGTCTTGCTCGATAAGGTTCGAGACGAGATTCAAGACGACGGCAAAGTGTCCTACCAGACATACGAAGCTATGAAGAAGGCCATTTACAAACCCGCCGCATTCTTCAAAGGTTTCCTCTTCCCTATGTGCCAATCTGGAACTCTCACTCTCAAGGAAGCTGCGATTGTTTCTTCCGTTCTTGCCAAGGTCTCGATTCCCGTTTTGCACTCTGCTGCTGCCCTTCTGAGGCTTGCAGAGATGGAGTACTCAGGTCCCACATCACTCTTCATCCGAGTGTTGCTCGATAAGAAATACGCTTTGCCGTACAAGGTTGTCGACTCGCTCGTCTTCCACTTTTTGCGCTTTGCTGAGCCCAACTCGGGTGTCGAATTGGACAAGATCACCAGAGAGCGAAGAATGCCCGTGTTGTGGCATCAGAGTATGTTGGTGTTTGCTCAAAGGTACAAGCAGGACTTGACACCGGATCAGAAGTCTGCCTTGTTGGATCTGTTGAGAGTACAGAAGCATCAAGCTATCTCACCAGAAGTCAGGAGAGAGCTCTTGACAGCCACAGCGAGAGGAGAGATGCTGCAAGAGCCTGTTGATGAGGATGATGATATGATGTCGGTCTGATCTCGTTGTCTTTCAGTTATGTTTTCATTCATTTGTCATTGCTGTTCGCAAACTCATACACATACCCTTCTCAGGGCATTGCGCGATTTGATTGACACACGCGACTTGCGCTGAGCATATGATGTAAGTTGGCCATTACGGGCCAAATAGGTGATGTAAGGCTAGTTGCACCTCTATAGCAGCGAGTCCATTCTACTGAGTACGCTCAAAACAGCAGCAATGCATTCAAACATAAACGCATCTCCCTCCTGTTCCAGCTCCTTCTGCAATGCTTTCGCCAGCTCTGGCACTGAAGCTCCCACATTCCCTTCATCGTAGGATCGCTCCTTGATCATAGATCCTTCACCAATTCTCGCCCCACCGTTTGCTTTCCCCTTTGGCCCATTCGACGAGATCGAAGTCGGCACACCCCCTGATCCACCACCGACACCTCCACTTGCCAGTCCTGAACTTGGCGCCATCGGCCAATTTGCAAACTCCTCCAAAATGTCATCTGCTTTTTGGAAGGCTGATTCTCTTGCTTCGTACGAAAGATGGTTGAGTGCATTCTCCAGGACGTTAGCTGAAAATGAGCAGCAAAGGAGACACAGTGCACGTGTTACGCGGAGAGCGACCGGTCTCCCTGAGGACCAAGAGTCTTCTTTGTAGAATGTGTTGGCGTGGACGGTAGGTGAAGTGGATGTGAGAAGGGCGAGGACACGCCGCAAGACAGCATCTTTGACACTGGAATCGTTGAGCGGATGCGTTGCCATATCAAAGAGGAGGAAGTTGCGCTTCTCTGTGCGGAGGATGCCTTTGTCGACGAGACCTTTTGCTAGACGCTCGCGCACTTGTTTGAGTTGGTATCCGATCTTCATGACGTTCCATGTCTCGCCTGCGCAGTTCGATCGTTGATATCGGCAGTCATCGAGGTCAGCTCAAGATCATACCAGCGGGAACCTGGCTTAAAAGGTCTACTTACCACTCATGAGATCAACCCATTGGCCGACGGACATAGGATCGCTTGCCTTCATCATCTTCAGCGCCTCATCTAGCAACACCTCTCCAGTCATCTTCCCATCAATCACATCGATCACCCTCTCCGTCAGGCCGAACCTCTTTCGCATTGGATCTTTGGTAATTGCAATCCTACGACGAAGCGCGAGCTCGATCAGGATGCAGCCGCGCAGGGTATAAGAGATGTTGTCGTTCCAGAAGGAGAGGTAGCCTTGTCTATCTTTCAAGCCGAGGAGAAGGATCTCTTCCATAAGGGTCAAACGCGGGTTCTCGACAATCTCCTTCTCGTCATTCAAATCACGCGGATCGTAAGCAACGCGATGCCCTATCGATTCGTCGTATGTTGTCACCGAGCCGGTAGCTGAGCGTGAGCCATAGGCTGAAGCGGGAATGCCAGCCGGATTTCGCGATGAGGTGGGTGTAGATGCGCCAGCGTTTGCGGGCGAGGCGATGCGCGAAGCGAAGTCGTCATCATCGATACGTGCTGCAGAAGTGCTCGGCCCCGCTGATGAGGTTGCAGCGCCAGCTCCTCGACGCCTCTGCAGGCCACCTTGTGTTGAAGCCATGCTCGTCGAAGAGGGTTGATGAGTCGAGGCTCTTATTGGTCGATAGCAAGTGTAAGCTTATGAGGTCGTCCTTTCAGCAATCTCGATACCCTTTCTGCCCGCGAAGGTCGCGAATGCTGTGCTGAAGGAGGAGCTGATGGTGGTGGTGGGTAGTGGTGGGTGGTGGTGGGTGGTGGTGATCGCCTGTGTTGGTGTTTCTCCACGCTGCGGCTCGGCGACGGAAAGTGTCATTTCTCTTGCTTTTGGATTTTGAGCTTTCTTGGGCTGGAAGATGTTTCGCCCCTGACTTTGTTAGGCGCTGTTGCCCTGTGCGTTCCATCTTCTGACGGGCAAAACACGCGACTCGACTGTCGGCCGGAAAGACAACCCAAATTGGACCCTGTCTTTTGCTCCACTTTCCTAAAATTTGATTCAAGATGCTTTCTTCCAAAGTTGCACGACATGCTTTAGTACTACGCAAACAAACACCTTACTCGAGCAGACTCTGCAAGCCCTTGTCTCGTCTTGTCAGACATCAGAGAGCTTTGAGGTGTGCTTGTGGCCGCGAGCTGTAAGATAAGGTGATCATGCCGGCTCAGAAGCGGACAGCGCCTTCCACGGCCTCGTCTTCCAAGACCACATCAGCTGCAGATCGGGTCGCAAGTCAGGGCCCTAACTGGAAGAAGCGCAAGCAAGAGCGCGCTCACACAGCTCGCTTCATCGAGACTCAGACCGTTGGAGCGTCTTCAGCAAGCAGCTCACGCACTGCCTCTAAGTCTTCCACACCAGTACCGGGGCAATCTGCGAACGGGCCCGCAGGACAACCGACAAGCATCGAGCTGGAGTCGCTTTTATCATCTCGCGCCTTCCAGATCCAGAGCTTCATTCGGTCCATCAAGTCAGCCAAGTCAGCAACCACAACCAGAGCATGGCAGCTTCTTCCTCGACATGCGCGCAGACGAGCTGCCTCTCACAACCTTCTCCGCTTGCCATCTCGACTCCGTTCCAAGGCACTAGCAGAGCTTCGCAGCAGTACAACACAGGCACGATCCCGATCCGATATCAGAAAGCGTCTTCCGAGCCATGGCGTCATCCGAGCAACACTCAGGCGAAAGAAGCTGGCCGAGCGTGCTTCTCATCCGCAACGGCGTTGGCTCGAGACACATCTTTGGCATGCGAAGAGGTTCAGAATGACAACGGAGAAAGGCAAGGCGAAAGAGAGGGATCAAGGTACAGAGTACGGGAGATGGGGCTTCGTGTTGCCGGAGACGACCATGATGAAAAGTCATAAGGCAAGTTGGAGAAGTGCAAAAGAGTTCGTGACTGTTCATGATGCAAGCTATACCACAGTCTTTCGAGTAGGCCTTAGAGTGTCGGCCTACGAATCGTCGTCAAATCAACAGGTCGAAGAGATTTTGCGACAGCGCCTACTGGAGCACCTCATCAAGGCTGGCATCGCGAATCGCTCGGACTTCACTGGTTCAAATCGGGTTCGTGACACGGTCTTGACGCAGACGAAAGTAGATCCACAAAGTAGCATCATCAACGGCTCTCACCCACCGATTTCCATCGCAGACGCCGCTCTTGCACCCATTCGCGTCGTGCTTCTTTCCGGCGTTCGACGCTTCAAACGCCCAACAGTAGACCAACAAGCCTACACATATGACTGCAAGGAGGCCTTAGTATTCGCACATCCAGCAGCGGATCTTCACATGCGACGCGCCATCAAGTCAGCCGGCTTCGTGATGACAGATGAGCACAAGAACGCTCTCTTCGAGCTCGAAGCACCATCTGTAAATGTCTTCGAAGCGTACGCAATTCAGCTTGACTCCACGCCAGATCCGTGGCTTGCAGCAGGAGGCAAGGACAGCTCTCTGTCCAAATACGAAAAAAGACACCGGCGTCAGGCGTTTCGAACTGGCAGCGCGAAGGGTGGAAAGGGCGATGCGACGGTCACGTCGATGGATACGGAGTCAAATGCTGTGATGCTGGACGACAAGGCTGTATTGAAGCGGAAGCAAGGCTACAACATCTTCGAGCTTATTGGTCCTAGAGCTGCTCCTCTGTTGCAGAGCGTGCTCAAGATGCACGGCACCAGCAGCGAGAAAGACGATGGGTACAAGTTGCGGCAGCTCCTCAGCAATCAAGGCAAAGATGGTGTTCTTATGGTCGAAGCGCGAGTCAACGACCCGCGGCTCTCGTATCCGCCAAAGATCAGACCGCTCTCTACAGCACAGGACAGCAAAGCCGACGCACCAGATATCCCCACATCACAATCAGTACCTCGCGACGAGCTATTCTGGGCCGGGGCCAAACCTCCGCGCTTCAGCAAAGGCGAGATCGACTCTCGGCGAGCGCTGAACCCCATCCCAGGAGCACGTTTGACCCCAGACTCACGCGACGATATCATCCCCGTCGTCGTCCTCCGTGACATACTAGTCCAGAAACCACAGATGGACCGCTACACCTTGATTGTCCCGCGCGGATGGGGCACAGCCTTCTTCCTCTCCCTTGTCGCCACGCATCAGTCCGGCGCCAGCAGTGGAGCACGTGTCCTTGGTCAGCACCAGCTCAAGCATCAGAAGCTCGAGCTCGCAGCTCTGTCTTCCTCTAGCGGCACACAAAAGATCGGAGTTGAAGCAGGCATGCTCAGCTACCCTCACAATTGGCCTGGAACACAGGCCTATGCAGTGAGCGAGAAGCAGGCCGCTACAGCGAGGCAGGAGGAGTGGAGTAGAAGACCGAAGGGGAAGAGGACAGAGTACCTTTTCGCTTCGCACAAGGATTGGTGTGCGTTTGTGCAAAGCAGGTCGGAAGAAGAGGTGGGGTCGAAGCTGCAAAGGGATCGAACGGGAGTGGCTAGGCCGTACCCTTTTGGAGGGTCTCATTATTGGAAATGGATCGTTGCGAATTCAGAACGACTTTACGGTGACGCAGGGAATAGAGGCAGCGAGCCATGGCTGGTAGCAAATGCAGACGCAACGATGTCGCGCATTCCAGCAGCAGACTTTGCCCTCTCGGCCTCACACCTAGCAGCAGCCATGGTAGCAGTCAAGCTACACGCAGTACGAAAAGGCACCGTCATGCCACTCAGCAGCCTCATGCTCCCCCTAACCACCTTTGAAGACCATCTCAGTTGGATCCACCATCTCGACTCGACCTACCATCCTGCACTTGTCGCCAACCGCACAGCCACCGGATCAAGCAAGATGGACAAACAGCATCTCAAATCACTCATCGATCGACGCTGTGAGATCATGCAACTGGGTCGCAGCGCTCCTCCTTCCAACTCTGCGGCCAAGCAACGAAAACCCCTGACCCACGGTGTTAACGTTTGGAGCGAGTACGCAGCGCGTGCTTTTGACCCAGAGGAGATGCACGATCGTAGTGCAGACTGGAACAATGCTGTCGGGACTGTGCTAGATGGTGATTATTCGTTGGGGAACGGAAGCGGATTTGGGATCGGTGCGGTCACGCTGCGTGCCTGGTTGGAAGTAGTGGAGAGGCAGAAGAGGTTGAATGCGATGCAAGAGGAGGATAAGGGTAGGAGGAGGCGGAGGAATCCAATTCAGACGACGAATTTGTTGCTGATGCGCGAGCCGGGTACAGACGTCGTTCGTGCTGTTAGCGCTAGTGATGTTATGTCCCTTTTGTAGTGTGCGAGATGCTCTCTCCTTACTATACATCCATCTGACAACGCGACTGTAGCACTCTGCACTAGTGTTGTGTGGCTTCTATTGTCATTCCATTGCAATCTTGTGTGGGCAGGAGTGCGACTCGTCATGTTGAGCTTCCTGCTGCTGGTGAAGATGCTGCTGCTGGTGACGCTTTCTCTGATTCTTCCAACTGTCTCAATAATGTCTCTCTTCTTTGTCTGCGTTCCTCGAGCTTCTGTTGGATGTACTCGTCTTTCCATTTCTCGATCTCCTTCTCGCTTGCTACGATGCCCTTCTTTCCCAGCTCTGCTCGTGCTCGACTGCGTACCATGTTCTCTTCTGACCGTTGTTGTGATTCGTGGCTGAGAAGAACGGTGTCTGCTCCGACAACGAAGCCGAAGATGGTGAAGCCTGATGTGATGAATCCTTTGAGAGCTAGTGTTTGGCGTCGGAAGCCGGGGAAGAGATGGTGTGCCATGATGCAGGATGATGCGCCGAGAGCTGTGTAGAGGAGGGCGCCTTTCATTGCTGCATTCTGTTCGACAGAAGAAGTGAAGGGTCAGTAGCTAGCCGTTAAGGGGAGATCCAGGGACAAGATCGGATGACCTACTCTTTGAAGCTCGTACGCAGACTCGATCTGCTCTTTTCGGTGTCTTATACGCTTAGGTGTCGAGCCTAGCGCCGAGGTGCTGAGAGCCGACAACGGAGCCGCAGCCTCGTTGCTACCTGACCCTGACGTTTGGTCCGACATGATTTCGGTTCCGCAACGTCGGGCTCCAGGATGGCTTTCGACTGCGTCTTGCCCGAGCGTATAGGAGCGACTTCAGCTGGGTATGGAGGAATCGACAAGGAGATAGCCAAGGCAGTGCGTTTCGGTAGTGTTGGTGTTGGTCTGAGGTTAGGGCACGTCCCTGATCTGGTCGGAAGATCCTGTTCAATCGCGGTAATCAAGCGTATCGCCTGTGTGGAGGCATCATCGGGCGGCCAGCCGGCATCGGGTTTCTGGCGCGCACACGTAATAATCACTAATCAAAGCAATTGAAGATAACAATTAATACGCGGCGTTATCGGGGTCACGATCAGACTCCCTTTAACAACAGTCATATGTTCTATGTAATGCTTAGTTTTCATAGTGCAAACCTAAATGACAAACATGTATATATACTCCATTCGCCACTCTAGTCCTATCCGAGGCAGGATGTGTCACTTCATTCATACTCCTATGTTGCTATGATACTGAGTGCCACTGAGCTGTCACCATGACAACAATCATATATCTCATTGTGCTTCTCGCTTAAGTAAGCCTCCTGTGCCTCGGTGTCTTGGCCATGACATGTGCATCTTGCTTGAGTTGCTGATGCATCTTCAACTCCCCCCTTCGGTGGGATCTCCAGCCCTATCATCCTAGCCAATCATGAGGTGTTGAGACCCTGTAAAGGTTTTGTTAAGACATCTGCAATGTTGTTTGCTGTCCCAACATGTTTGATTGCCACATCACCCTCTTGCACGTGATCACAGATGAAGTGATACTGTGTGTCAATGTGCTTTAACTTCCAGTGTTTGGCTGGATCTTTACTCACCTGTATGCAACCCTGGCTATCAGTGTATAGTATGGGCTGAATGTCCATGATCTCCAAATCCCAGAGCAAATATGAGAAGAACAATGCTTCTCACACCGCTTTGGAAGTGGCAACGAACTCTGCTTCGACTGCTGACAATGCTACACATTTTTGAACATGAGACTTCCAACTCACTGGGCATCCATACACATATGTTATTGACCCCGAGGTGCTCCTTCATCCATTTGTGGGGTCAGATGCCCAGTTTGCATCAGTATATGTCGTTACCAGTGTATCCAAGTGCTCGTTTGCCTCCCCTCCTAAGTGTAACTGATATTCATTCGTCTGGTTCAGGTACTTTACCATGTGAATAGCTGCCTTCCATGCACTGTCAATTGGGATCGACATGTATTGTGATAATACGCCAATGGCGAAGGCAATATCTGGTCAGGCTGTGTTGGAGACCCATAATAGTTGGCCGACCAACTCTTGGTACTTCTTTGCTCGCTGGGGGTCACATCTCTCACCTCCAGTGACATTCACTACACTCAGCATAGGTACCCAAGATTTCTCATTTGCTCCTCCTAACCATTTGTTCACCATTTCTTTGATGTATGCTGTTAGACCCAGAGATATCTTCCTCTGCCTTCTATCACGTGTGATCTTGATACCCAGAAATTCTTTGATTCTCCCATTGTCTTGTGTCTCCCATTTGTCCATGATCTCTCGCTTAGTGTGGTCTACCTCATCACGACTGGGTGATGTTATCAGCATGTTGTCCATGTATGCTGTAATGATCGTGATCTTGTTGCCTGTCCCTCTTGAATATAAGCATGGTGCACTCAGCATGCAATGAAAACTGATTGTCTGGAGATGTGAGTCTAACTCAATGTTCCATTCTTGGCCCAATTGTTTCAGACCATACAGTCCTTTCACTACCTTCAATGCTTTTCCAGGTGGTACTTTGATTCCTACTGGGGGCTTTAGATATACATCATGGTGTATAGTAAAGTTCAGGTACGTGTCATGGGCCTGGATGCTCAAGAAGCAGGAGGGTCATGGGTTCATATGGAAGGAGCACAGGTATCGAAGATCTAGTCGATACCATTAGAGAGCATGGTTGTAGTGCAGTCTCCATGGAGACCATGGACTCCTACAGCCTCACATGCAAAGGAGGACCGAGCCATATGCGAGGAGGGCCAGGCACAGCCACGAGGAGGACCAAGCTCAAGGAGCAGGCACAGCCACAAAGAGGACCAAGCTCAGATGGTTACCACTCAGGAGCTCGAGAGACAAGAGTCAAAGGAACTGTCACCAGTCAAAGGAGAAGGAGCAGTGTATAGGACACTAGCAGGCAGGCCCTGAGGAGGAGGAGCAGTGTCGAAGGAGTCGACACCAGGTCATGAGGAGGAGGAGCAGTGTCGAAGGAGTTGACACCAGGTCATGAGGAGGAGGAGCAGTGTCAAAGGAGTCGACACCACTCAAGAGGCACAGGGGCGCCAAGCAGGAGAGGCCCCTGAGCAGTACTCGACGAAGAAGGTACTCTCTGGAGAGAGAGCAGGAGCAGCATCGCTGGCGATGCTGTGAAGAGGTATATAACCATGCTTTCTCATCATCATAGGCTGAGTGGATCCTCATCCACTCTACTCACCATAACTAGTTATCACTTCAGCATAAGTATATATTAGTTTCAGTCAGCATAGCAGCAATCTATCAAGGTTGCTCCTCATCGTAGTGTGTGTGTTGTATCACCACTACCTGACATCCGAAGGCGCCCATAGCAGGTTAGCAGTCTGGATCAAGATAGAACCGAAGGCAGTAGTCCACTGCGGTCCAGGGATCACTTCAAGCATCAAGTCAACACACTGGACACTCATGTTGATGCCACCAACCTTATCACCAACACCATCAACCTCATTATCATTGACATCACCAATCTCATCACCAACACCATCAACCTCATCATCATCAACACTCACACCAGACCTTGGTGTCATCATAACATTGATATTGATCATGCCGAGCTACCCCTGAACAGAGTGTCCACAGAGGTCAGCCGAAACCTATGATAGTATATCCAACGAACGCCACCTGCTGTCACTGCACAACTTGATAGTCACCGATACTGAGACAATAGCTGTCGCACAGTTTGATAGTCACCAAGTATCTCGACAGACCGACCTGGGTTTCAGGCGCGAGACCCCTGACACATGTGTACTCTGTCACATGGGACGAATCTATTATTAGATTGATATGGATAAGATCTAGGGGCCCTACAGCTCTTTTGCTGCTACCTTGCCCCATTCGAGCACTTGTGCTCTTGGATCATATGCATTGCTCACATGTCAGAGTGGTGTTTGGATCCAATTCCATGGTATGCTTATCTTTTAACTTGCTTGTGATTGCCTTAGTTTTATCCCTCCCTGGGTGTCTGAGATGCTCATGCCATAGTTGTTGCTTCGAAACTTTCAGCTCATTCTCAATATGCTCGAACTCCTCATCAATGCCTTCAAACAATGGTGTTGATGTGGCCATCGTGCTTTCTTGCCATGTGTCACCTTGGAACTCCAAAAGTCCTCACTTGCAATTCTTTGCAATCTTAAGTGTCATGCCGTTTGTTAGAAAAATTTGACTGCCAGTTGTGTCCAATATCACACGTGCTCCTTCATCCGTTAATGAATTTGTTGACAGAAGGTTAACATTAAGGTGCTTCACATATAATACATTTTGTAGGGAGATTTCCCCATAATCTGTTGATATGCTTGCATCTCCTATAGCTGCTGCTTCCAAGACCTCGCTTCCAGCGGTAATTATCTGCTTTCAGCAAGTTCTCAGATGGATGAGCATGCTATAGTCATTCACCATATGATAACTTGCCCCCGAATCCAAGATCCAATGAGCTGTCTTGTTTGTGTTTGGGGGGTCTTGCCACTTCAATGGGAGGGTGAGGGAGCACCATGCTTCCTATTTAGGTTTAGCGAGGCAGGAGTCTTTGGGGATGGTGACCGAGGTGTCGCATTGGCTAATACCATGCCTGGGTCGCTTGCAGATCCAGCATCGGATTCGGCATGGTCTGCCTGCATTCCACAAGCTCATGTGGCTGTTGTCAGCCTTGGCTTTGGTCTCTCTGGTCCATTCGTTTTGATCATCGTTGCCAGTGGTTCTAGCACTGGCTTGTTGGGGGTCAATCTTTTGCACAGGAATGCTCTTGACAGTGGTCTGCCAGATGCTTAGTGCAGTGGCTAGGGTGTTGAAGTTGATTTGATGGACAGTAGCAACCATCTCCTTATACACCGGATGCTGGATCGTGCATTTCTGCAGAGCCGAGAACAATGTATCATCGGCAAATGGTTTGCCAAGGAGGCTGCTTTCAGTCTGTATGGACCAGATCTCTTGAATTAGCTTTCTGACATCCAAGTGAAACATCTTTGTATCGTTGAGCTGTGAGATGAGTGCAAGTCTGTGAGACGTTTTGGTGGCTTCATTCATGAGACCATTTTTGATCTTTCTCCATACTTGATTGAAAGTAAGGTACTCTTTGATTACATCTAGAACGAGGTAATTTACATTGTGTTCTCTGGTAGTGTCGATTGTTCCATGCAGGGCATTAATTAAAGCATCATCGAGGGAGCGGCTCCATTTCGGGTGCTTCTTGTCATATGTTCCCTCAAGATGTTTCATCGCATGGGGCACGGATCAGAGGAAAGATTTCATGTGAGTGCTCCAGCTATAATAGCTGCGTGATGTGAGCTTTGGCATGGGTTTGAGGAGTTTTGCTAGGGTGCAAAAGTTATATTGCTTGTCGCCATCATCGAAGTCAGAGTCAGTGTCAGTGTCTTCGTCGGCTTCATTGTCAATGACCTCTGGCTCGTTCTCATTCGTGGCATCATTGTCTACCCAAACCTGGGTGTTCTTGCCTTTTCTGCTTCCTTTGATCCTTATTTCAGTGTCTTCTACCATTGTTGTCGATGAGTTTCGGTTGGCTTGGTGATAGCTTCTTCAGACTCTTAATCAATTGAAGATAACAATTAATACATGGCATTATTGGGGTCATGATCAGACTCCCTTTAACAACAGTCATATGTTCTATGTAATGCTTAGTTTTCATAGTGCAAACCTAAATGACAAACATGTATATATACTCCATTCGCCACTCTAGTCCTATCTGAGGCAGGACATGTCACTTCATTTGTACTCCTATGTTGCTATGATACTGAGTGCCACTGAGCTGTCGCCATGACAACAATCATATATCTCATTGTGCTTCTCGCTTAAGTAAGCCTCCTGTGCCTCGGTGTCTCGGCCGTGACACATGCATCTTGCTTGAGTTGCCGACGCATCTTCAACTAAGCTTTATCTGGCTGATTCAGAAATCAAAATTCTAGCCAGCCGGCCTTCTTTTTTTTTTTTTTCTTTTTTTTTTTTTTTTTTTTTTTTTTTTTTTTGTTTTTGGGGGTGCGCAGCGCAAGCGGTGAAAGTCAGGAAGAAGATTTGGAAGTGGCAGTGAAGGCTTTCTTTGGCCGGCGTCCCGAACAAAGCGTTGTCGAGGCGCGTTTAAAGACTATCATCGCAAGAAAGCAACTCGTATGATCAGGGAGTCAACATCTTTCTTACCCTTCACTTTGCCATCAGCAACACTCCTATCAAGGCGCACTTAACGACCAGCTTACCCTCACCCTACCTCGCCGACTCGACGTACGGTTTCCGCCCCTTCCTGCAAAGCCTGATCAGGCGCTCGACACCGCACACAGCGCACCCAACAGACATCAAGTCTCGTTGGCATAAAGGTAGCGAATAATACCCTGGCATAGAGGTAGCGAATAATACCCTGACATAGCCAACATGCCTGCTGTTCCCACCGCTTCCGATGCGGCTCTCCGCGACACCTTCCAGATCGTCCACGCTTTCTTGTCCGAACATGCTCCTCAGGCCGCCCAGCAGCTGGCCTCGACTATGCCTTCCTCTCCTGCTCCGCCCAGGACCCTCGCTTCGGCACTCGTAGACCACGTCCGCAACTCGCCAAGACGCTCATGGCCTGGTCTTGTAGCTCAGCAGTCGTCTACTACACCTATGGATGAAGACGCCGATTCCGACTCTGGCTCTGATTCTTCCTCCTCTTCCTCATCGTCCTCGTCTGGCTCAGACAGCGACGGCTCCAGCTCCAGCTCCGACTCCGATTCCTCGGACGACAGCGACAGTGACTCAAGCTCGGATGACGACTCGGACAGCAAAGAGGTCAAGAAGGTCAAGGCTGCTAAGCACGATGCTCCACACCAGGACAACGAGGCTGCTTCTTCAACCGTCGTGTCTGACTCGCAGGATGAGGCAGAGGCTGAGCTCCCTAGCAAGGGGATCGCTACCCTGACACCCGCTTCTTCTGTCGGTCCTTCTACCACAACTGCTGCTATCACACACAAGCGCAAGCGTGCAGCTTCGACTTCTTCTTCGGAGTCTGACTCGGACGACAGCGATGACAGCAGTAGCGATGAGGACAGCGATGACGAGTCCAGCGACTCTGATAGTGGTTCGGTTGACAGCGATAGTGACGATGAGGAGAAGAACAAGGCTACCATCAAGAAGGCTGGGGTGGAAGTGAACGAGGCGGTCAAGAAGTCGGATTCTGAGTCTGACTCTGACGCTGACTCTGACAACTCCAGCTCTGATTCCGATTCTAATTCTCACTCGGATTCCGGCTCCTCCAGCGACGAAGAGGAGGACAAGAAGATCGAGACTGTAGCTGTTGCAGCTGCAGGTGGTGACGACGATGACGACTCCTCTTCATCCGACAGCGACGACAGCAGCTCCGACTCTTCTGATTCTTCCGGCTCTGACTCTGATTCCGGATCCTTGTCTTCCAGCAGCAGCAGCAGCGGTTCTTCTTCCTCCTCGTCTTCCGACTCTTCCTCTTCATCCTCTTCATCCTCATCCTCCAGCTCGCCCTCAACAAAAGGTCCTCCACCTAAACGTCAACGCACAGAACCAGAAGAACCCGCTGCACCTTCCACACCTGCCACACCTGCTCCCGCACCATTCAAGCCCGTCGCGAGCAGCGCCTCCACCCCAGGCTCACCCCGCAAAAACAGCCCTGAAACAAACACTCCCTTCCAACGAGTCAAAGCGGATCAAGTCACATATCTTCACGAAGGAATGAAAGACATGTCTTACAATGGCAAAGCAGGTGTCAGCGGTGACGAATACGGTGCTCGTGCCAGCAGAGATCTCATCGTGACGAGGGGTAAAGGTTTCACGAAGGAGAAGAACAAGAAGAAGAGAGGTAGTTACAGAGGTGGTGCCATTGATGTATATGGTTCGCACAGTATAAAGTTTGACGATGATGATTAGGTTGACCATCGGCATGGTAGGGGTTTGATGAGAGGTTAGAATAGAGTCTAGATGATAGAAGGCTTAAGGCGTTCTGTTTCTTTACAATGCATTTGTTCTGTTTCGCTTTTTTTAAATTTTGCTTGTGCTTTCACTGTTGGAGCTTTCTGTCCGTTTGAAGAAAGTCAGAATCTGGTCTTGCTCATGCTTCACATTCTTGCTAGTGATCCCAAATCATCGCATTTTGGGATCACAGACGACGGCAGCTTTTCGGATGAGATTGTTGTGAACATTTCCAAGACTGGCAATGACTGTAGCGTTCGAACTCTAGAGCTTGCCGAGACGAGAAGCGCCATCCAAACGAATGTATGAGCCGTTCTATTTCGCCAGACAACAGGGTCAAAGTGTGTCAGTGTAACGTTCTGCCTACCCACCAATTCTTCCATAGTCTTTGAAGGGTGATGGATACTTACGAGCATACTATTCTCAACAACCCCCTGCACAGCCAGTGCGAACTCCTCCGGATAACCAAACCTCGCTGGAAACTCGCATGTCCTCAAAATGGCCTCTCTCGCTCTCTTTGGCAATTGCGCCATCATGGGTGTCTCAAACAACGTCGGGACCAGTGTCATCACCCTGATACCAAACCACGCTAGATCCCTCGCCATGGGTAGACTCAAAGACAAGACACCACCTTTGCTTGCGCTGTAGGGACATTGACCAGCCTGACCCTCCAATGCAGCCGCTGAAGCAGTGTTGATGATGACACCGAGATCCTTTGTCGCTTCTGTTGGTTTGGCAATTGGCTTTGGCAAGTCGCGGACAAGACGTGCTGCGGTGAGACGAGAGACATTGAATGTTCCGATAAGGTTGATTTCGACGGTCTTGCGGAAGGTGTCGAGATCAAATGGTTCACCGTTTTGATCGATGGTTTTGCCTGCCATACCGACTCCACCGCAGTTGACGCAACCTCCGACAGTGACGTTGGGCCAGAGTTTGTCGGACCCTTCAATGGCGGTTCTCATCGCCTCTTCGGAGCACACATCAACTTCGAAGGCTGCTGCGCGCTTTGCTCCGCCAGAAGAGGAAGAGTTGAGTTGTTCGGCGAGTTTTTGACCAGCTTCGAGTTGCAAGTCCATAATCGAAACGTAGGCACCGAGAGCGTGGAGATGCTGGATCGTGGCAGCACCGAGGCCGGACGCTCCACCAGTGACGTAGAACACGTGATCTTTGATCTGCATCGCAAATGCAGAGTGAGGCGATGGATGGTGGATGGTGGATGGTGGGAGGTGTGAAGTGAGGAAAGTCGGAAGTTGGAGTCGATGAGGTGTGTGTGAATGCGGAAGATGCAACCGGCGCGTGTTAACAATCTGGTCCGGGGCGTTTCGGCTATTCGAAGTTTGACAGTTCCGGACCCTTATTTGTCGCTATCGTTTTCCAACTTCTTCGGCCTTCAACCACCTCAACTAGCTTTGACAAGTAGCTACTCAAGGCCAACACAACAAACACTCGATGCAAACAAACACAAACCAATCGCATGAGCAAAGAGAGGAAAAGACTGAGCATTTTGAGGGAAATGGAAATGGTGAATGAGGGGAAGAAAAGTCGCCGGCCGAGATACAGCAAGTGAAGCTTTAGAAGCTACAAACGAGCCATACTTAGCCGACAAAAGAGCAAAAAGGATCAAGACAGAACGAGCAACAAAGTCTAGAAAAAGGAACAAGCAGAGACGTAAAGTCCACTTAACGGCGGCGGCGGCGATCGTTTGGCCTGTCACTCTTGGCATCCTGCGAGTCAACGGTAGACTTCTTGCCGCCAGTGGAGTTGTCCTCGTCCGTGGTGTAAGTGCCATCGTCCTTGCCGTAAGAGTTGGCCCCGTAGCCAGTGGAGCCGTCGTCGCCCGTCTTGTCAGCGTCATGGTTCTCGCCGTAAGGCTTGGTCCCGTAGCCAGTGGGGCCGTCGTCGCCCGTCTTGTCAGCGTCATGGTTCTCGCCGTAAGGCTTGGACCCGTAGCCAGTGGGGCCGTCGTCGCCCGTCTTGTCAGCGTCATGGTTCTCGCCGTAAGGCTTGGTCCCGTAGCCAGTGGGGCCGTCGTCGCCCGTCTTGTCAGTGCCATCGTCCTTGCCGTAAAGGTTGGCCGCGTTGCCATCAATGACAGGCTTCTTGTCCTTCTCGCAGTCTTCAGTAGAGTCTTTGCCCCCAGCACCAGAGGATCTGCCAGTGTCATTGTCATAGGTGTTGTCGTCGTGACCAGGAGTCTCGTCGTCGTGACCAGGAGTCTCGTCGTGACCAGGAGTCTCGTCGTGACCAGGAGTCTCGTCGTGACCAGGAGTCTCGTCGTCGTAACCAGGAGTCTCGTCGTCGTGACCAGGAGTCTCGTCGTGACCAGGAGTCTCGTCGTGACCAGGAGTCTCGTCGTGACCAGGAGTCTCGTCGTGACCAGGAGTCTCGTCGTGACCAGGAGTCTCGTCGTCGTGACCAGGAGTCTCGTTGTTGGTGCCGGTAGAGCCTTCTTCCTGAGGACTAACCTTACTGCCAGGGTTGTTGTCATAGGGGTTGTCGTCCTCACCAGGACGAGTCTCGTTGCCGGCACCGTACTCGTCGTTGTCACCCTCCTCCTCGCACTCGTCGTCGTCGCCGGCGTCGTGGTCACCATAGGGGCTGTCACTGCCAGTCTGACCTCCGTAGCCAGGATTAGCCTGGTTATCACCATGCTGACCATTGTTACCGGGACCCTTGGAACCAGAGTTGGCATCGCAACCGAACTTGTGAAGGTTGCTGAAACCCATGTTCTGGTAGAAAGTGCAGCTGTTGTCCAAGCCAATGTCGCACTGCCCCTTCTTGTTGCAGGCGTGGTCGGAGAAGTCCTTGGAGTCCTCGCTGCACTCGTCGTCAGTACACTGGACAGCCTTGGTGTCAATACCGAACTGCTTCAAAGCAGAGCAGATTTGCTTTCGGTCAGCATTCTTGGCGAAGCAAGGGGCCTGGGCGGCATCACCGCCAGCCTGTAAGGGGAACTGGGGGCAGTTGTCGGGAGCCTGAACCTGATCACCGTTCTGTCCGTAGGAGGACTGACCTCCATCCTGCGGTTGCTGCTGTTGCTGCTGCTGCTGCTGCTGCTGCTGCTGCTGCTGTTGCTGCTGCTGCTGCTGCTGCTGCTGCTGCTGCTGTTGCTGCTGCTGACGTTGCTGCTCCTCCTGCTGACGTTGCTGCTCCTTCTGCTGACGTTGCTGCTCCTTCTGCAGACGTTGCTGTTCCTCCTGCTGACGTTGCTGCTCCTGCTCTTGCTGCTTCTGCTGATCCTTCTGCTGACGCTCCTGATCCTTCTGCTGCTGCTGGTCCTGCTGACCCCCAGGGGAACTACCGTAACCCTCGGGCTTTTGGCCGTTGTCTCCAGTGCCTCCGTAACCACCGTAACCCTCGGGCTTTTGGCCGTTGTCTCCAGTGCCTCCGTAACCACCGTAACCCTCGGGCTTTTGGCCGTTGTCTCCAGTGCCTCCGTAACCACCGTAACCCTCGGGCTTTTGGCCGTTGTCTCCAGTGCCTCCGTAACCACCGTAACCCTCGGGCTTTTGGCCGTTGTCTCCAGTGCCTCCGTAACCACCGTAACCCTCGGGTTTGCCCTTGTCGGCATCCTTACCGCCGCTGTTCGAGTAGTCCTGAGGTTCAGTAGCTTCTTTGGTATCAACACCTGAAGGCTTGGTAATGTCGCCATCATCGCCGGCAGTGTCGGCATCCTTATTTTCAGCAGGGTCGTAGGCACCATCACGGCGCCAGAAGCGGTTGGCGAAGCCGAAACCACGCTTCTGAAGAGCAGCCTGCTCGTCACGTCGGTTAAGGCTGGAAGGACGCTTGGCCATGTTAGGGGCCTTGGCGTCAGCGACCGAGATGGCGGCGCTGACGATGACCAAAAGGGTCACGAACGAAGCCTGGAACTTCATAGTGAATGTGTGTTGGGAGGAAAGGTTTGAATGCTTGCCAGAAGATTCGAGAAAAAGAAAGCTGTGGAAGGGACCGTGTGGATAAAGAATTGAGGTTGGGAGAGTGTGTGGTTGAGGATGGGGCAGAATGTCTTCTCGTCTCGTCCTTTTTATCTCATCAGAAGGACACTTGGCTGGCTTAGAAGAGGCTTTGGGACTCACAGCACATTCTCAGAGCCCACCGTGAGTTTGTGCTGTCGAAGTCGAAGTCGCTTTTCGACAGAGCTTGCTCTTTGTCTGCGAAGAAAAGAGAGTTGTTGTGGGCCCCATCTCATTTGGTTGAGCAGCGTTGTGGCTGCAGTGGCACAGCACCGCCTGACTTGCCAACGAACGCCTCGAGCCGGTGCAAAAGTCCACTGCGGTGTGGGATAATTTGCAGGGATGATTGATGCGTGTGCTCCTGGACCACTTCATCTGGCCGCAGTATCGAGATGGGAGACTAAGAACCAAGGCTTGTTGGTGGGACAATACAGTCCGAGATGAAGCTCGAGTAGCATGGGCGTCGAAGCAGCCACCCTTGGAGTGAAGGGAGGGCAAGTACAACCTTGGACGGTAAATGTTGTCGTTCGTCTTGCCTGAAATGATTAACCCATCCCAGTAAAGGGGCCACCAGGGACTCGTAGCAGTTCAACGCGGAATCATTACTCCCACTCTTGTGGTAGACCAATGGCGTCTTGACAACGCATGACGTGACTGCCTTTCGATCTCAGCATAAGCTGAAGCAGCAGCGCTAGGACCATGGCAACTCAGGGTGATGATTCTTGGGTACTACCTTGTGACAGGTCCTTGACAGCGACGCGTAATGATGCTTCGAACAGGCCACGTTGCACCCTTGGATTTTGCCTTGCTTGCTGCGGACAGAGCTGTACCGCAAAGATCCCACTTGTACGCAAATTTGCGACACCGCGGTCGTTGCATCTCCGTCACCCACCCATGGAGCAATGAATTTTGCAACCAGGCAAGCTGCTAATCGGCTGGAGCTCGGAGCAGAGAACCGAGTGCATTCGTATAGTCCTGCGGCTATCCATTTGCCCCACACAACGTAAATTAACTACCGATATTGCCGTATGTGATGACAGTCGAACAGCTTTGGTCTGGCTTGAGTGTCTGTGCTGGACTGCAAGCGTGCCACGGGATGAAGTCAGGGATCAAAGCGTTCGCAGCAGCTTGGCGTAACGTGCTGACGATATGCAGCCCACATTGACGGAAGCACGTCGACCAGATCAACAAAGTAAAGGGAAGGCGAACAACCTCGTTGTTGCCGCATCAATGTTGCGTGGGTCGTTCAACCGTCATGCACAAATCCGGCGGCGATAGGAATTCGAGCACGGAGAAATGGCATTGCGAGTCAGCCGAGTGCGCTGGACTTTTCAAAGCCGGTGACGCCGATGGTCGGGTTCTGCGCGTAAGCAAGGCGGCAGAGAACGAGGTCTTCATCATTGCCCACCGCCGCTGGGCAAAACGCCGAGCTGTCACCACTGCTAAGCACGTTCACAGCCACACATTGAACGCCGATGGATGGGATGAATTTGCAATTGAGCCGCAGTGAATGCAGGGGCTGCTGACTGTGGGTATCAAAGTTGGGATGATGCTGTGGCGTCGAAGTTGCCAACAAAATCGCATGCAATTGTTTCTGCTTGAGATCTGTGAGAAGAGCTGCGGTGGGTTGCTTTACTCTTCGTCATCGAGCTCGACGCTGAAGCTTGTGATCTGCGGCAAGTAAGCACATGCGGCAAGGTCAAGAAAGTGCAAGTCATCAAAGATGTCCTTACCGTCGAAGCCTCCGTGGACAAAGAGCCTAGAATCTCGCAGCCAAGCCTGGTGATAACCTCTTCCTTGCGGCTTCTTGCCACACACCTTACGTGGCTCCCACTGCAAATTGACAAGGTTGAGAGTAAGCAGCTCGGACGTGTAGGTCTTGCTATCATGACCACCAAAGATGAAGAGATACGAGCCGACCTGTGTCGCAGTGTGTCCGAGACGGTTGTGAATCTCATCCGTCTTGACCTGATACCAAGTCTGCGTGTCCAGCCTGAGGATGTGAATGTCATTGAATGACATGTGGCCGTCGCTGCCGCCAATCACAATGAGCTTACCGTCAACAAGATTTGAAGTGTGGTAGCCACGACCGATGGGCACTTTTCCGCCACAATCCATCTTGCGCCACTCCAATCTTGACAGGTCACTGACATCGAGTGTGTGGACGTCATTGAGCGCACCCACGCCATTGCCTCCACCAAAGACGATGAGCTGACCTTCGTAATAATTGCAAGTGTGAGCTCGTCTCGGGCTTGGTGCAGTGCCCCCTACCTCAGGCTTAGACCATCTGAGCGAGACTGTATCGAAGACATACAGATCATTGAAGTAGTGGGGTCCATCACCGCCAGCGAACACGAAGAGACGCTTGTTGACCATGGTCGCTGAGTGCGCTCGGCGAGCAGGCGGCATGTCTCCCGTCACCTTGGGCTTGGACCAACACATGGTCTCGGTGTCAAAGCACCAAAGGTCTCGGAAGCATCCACGATTGTCGCATCCTCCGAAAAGCCACAGAACTTCGTCGCACAGGTTGGCGGTGTGTGCACGGAAGCTGCGACGAGGCACGCTGCCGTGAACAGGTGCTTTGGACCAGTACATGGCCGGAGGAGGCGCAGGTTTAACGCTGAATGCTGAAGGCAGCTGCGGCAGAGTGCGATGAGACGTCTTGAGAGGGCGAGGTGCGCTACTGCTGGGATCGGCACGAGCCGAGCTGGAAACCGTCGCAGGCTCGCGAGAGCTCCTGGAAGTGGGCTTCCGGCTGGTGGAAGCGGAGGCCTTGTCCTGGTCACTCTTCTCGCGTAGGTCCTTGTCTCTGCTTGAAGCTTCCGGACCCACTGCGCTCGATGACGGCGCCGGCTGGCGCACGTCTCTAATGCTCGCCGAGGGAGTGATTGAATCATCGGCATCATGAGCGCTGGCTTTCGAGGCGAGTGGGGTGGAGGAGGAAGCAGGTGAGCGTTTGATGGTGTTGTACTCAGGCAAATCGAGCGAGTCCCTGTCGCTGCTGGAAGGATCGGTGTAAGCTTTTAGCACTTGTCCTTGTTGTGCAGAAGGTGAGCGTGCTGTCATGCTAGGGTCCTGCTCGGTAAGATTGTGCGCCAGCGCTCTATCGAAACTTGTTGCAAAAGTTGTATCCGCAGGGTCTTGTGCAGGGTCTTGTGCTGGGTCTTGACCGCCATGATTTGACGCAGCTTTCGCAGCAGCAGAAAGAGCCGAGAGAGCGTGCAAGTTGCCATGACTTGGAGATCGGGCCTGCTGTCTCTCCGAATGTGGCAGGTCTGTGCAGGCGGAAGGACGTCCTAGAACTTCGACTGGCTCTGTCAGGTCAGACGCCTCGCTGCCTTGTGCTCCACTTGTGTCTGCCCGCCGCCGATGTGTCGAGAGAGCAAGACGGTTGTGAGCATGATGGGCTGGCCGAGAGAGTGAGATGTTGCGATGATGGCTGTCGTAGGATCTGTCGCCAACTTGAGCATCAGATGGTCTCTGCCAAGGAGTTGTGCGAGAGAAGCTAGGAGCCTCATCAGCGGATTCTGAGCCCAAGTCAATGCCTGCGTTGATTGCATACGAGCCGCCAAAAGAGTCCTTGTGACTCAAGATACAGTTACCATGATTGAATTGAGATCGGCGCGATGAAGACTCGGGGGCATTCGCAAGTCGCAGCGTGGATGACTCGTATTGGTTGGCAGAGCGAGAGGGAATGGAAGCCAGCTCCTCGTGGGCCTCGCTACTGACAGGACTCTGTGAGGTTGCTGTGCTAAAAGAAGATTGATTCTGCAGACGCGAGGAGGTGTAGCGGTGCGATGGAATGTAGGTGCGTGTTGCGGCATAGTCTCCAAGTTGATGAGGTGTCGTTGCGCCCGATGCAAGGGACGAGTCACTGGCACCGGAAGGATTACGAACAAGAGGTTGTGATTGGGCAACATCCATACCGAGCACTTGCACCGACGTTGAGCCTCGCACCTCTTGCGCAGCCACTCGCATCGCTGAAAGAGGTGGAATAGGTGGCGGTGACATTGTTGTCTCCCGATTCGAGGTGTTTTGAGTTGTCGGGCGAATGTGTGATGGATCTTTCTCGATTTCCGACGAGAACAAAGAGGAAGCTTTTGGAAATCAGCAGCACCCTCTTATCTCGAAGAGAGGATAAGAGGGCCCAAAGAAGCGAGGGCGGTTGAACGAAGCGATCAAGGCTATGTATGCTCGCTAGGGAAGAGCTGATTGCGGATCATGATAGGATCATGACAAAGGCGCTAAAGTTGGATGGCGATGAGGATAAAGCGCGTCCACGCTTTCCAAGATGCTCGCTCGCACCACGCACAGCAACGCCTTTTGCGACAGCGATAGAGACTCTCAGCTTCTCGGACATGTCTTGCTCGGGCCTTTTGATTGGCTCAGCCTCAAGGCCAACTAGGTTCGGGAGCTTTCTCCGTTCAAAGAAGCAATCGCAACCAATCGCTTGAGCAGGTTACTGTACATTTCAAAGCAACTGTTGCGAGCGCACGAGACTGTAGGCTCGACGGTCCACGCAGACGACTCGACTCAGCTTGACTAAAGCTGACATAATCCCCCCCCTCTGTCGGCTTCTCGGCTTGGTCAAGACCCGTATGTTTGCCTCCAACTCCCGACCAATCGGATCCGAAGATCGGCTCATTCCAGAGCCAAACCTCCACCAAGGCAAGAACAAGACTTTCGCAGCTTCCTCTCCCGTCATCATTCGCCCTGCTTCGAGGCATAAAGCACTCATCGCCCCTCATGAGTGCCGCCTACTCGAACTCGTCACGGGCGCTTGCCTTGCTCTCCGAGGCCTCTGAGGATGCCGTCGCTGCGCTCAAAGGTCTCGTAGGCGGTGTCGGCTCCGCCAAGTACCTCGACACTTCGGAAGACAAGCTGTCAACCATCGCAACACAGATTGACTCCAGTCAGGATGAGCACCGTATCGCAGCGCTGACCCGAATCGTGGCCATGATCTCGAAAGGTCGAGATGCATCCTCCTTTCTACCCGCCGTCTTGAAGCTCACCTCTGCTTCCAACCTTGATGTTCGCAAGCTCGTCTACATTGTTCTGCTACGATATGCCAACAACAACCCTGACTTGACCCTACTTAGCATCAACAGCTTCCAACGAGACCTGTCAGATCCCAGCCCTCTCATCAGAGCAATGGCGCTGAGGGTCCTCAGCAGCATCAAGGTCTCAATGGTCGCACCTATTCTCACAATCGCCCTCACAAAAGCGTCACGAGATCCAAATCTGTATGTGCGCAAGATCGCCGCCTTGGCCATTCCAAAATCTCACCAGATCGACCGATCTCAGCTCGATAGTCTCCAAGACGTTCTCCGCACCCTTCTGTCCGATCGTTCGCCTTTGGTTCTCGGTGCTGCTCTCTCAGCATTCCAGCGCATGTGTCCGGCAAACTGGGATCTCATCCACCAGAACTATCGCAAGATCTGTCACGCGCTTGCAGACATGGATGAGTGGGCTCAGATTGTTGCACTGCAGGTGCTCTCTCGCTACTCAAGAGCAAACTTGTCCCAACCTAAGGCAAAGCAATCTGGTCTGGCGCCTCCTTCTCTGCATACACCCTCTTCACCAGCTGTGCCAACACCCGAGTCAGAACCAGCTGCCGAGCCCACTACATCCAGAAACAAGTCGGTCCATCTCGAAGGTCTCGAAGCCTTCCTCTCCAGCCAAGCCTCAGCATCATCCAAAAGCATTCGTCTCAGCAAAGCAGCCTCGCCGGCAATGTCAGCCACACCCTCCCGCTTACCTTCCAACATGGACCGCGACCTTGAGCTTCTCCTCACCAAATCGCAAGGTCTCTTACATAGCCGCAACCCAGCTGTAGTCCTTGCAGTCGCTCGACTCATTCTCTACCTTGCACCTGCCTCCGATCATGGCATGCTCACCCGCCCCCTAGTGCGATTGTTACGCTCCACCCCAGAAGTCACCTATCTGGTCTTGCTCAATATCCTCGCTATCTCTCGCCGACGACCTTCTCTCTTCGCACCCTACCTGACGTCTTTTTCCCTTGGCGCGTCTCACGAGGAACCTATCTTCGTCTCGCTGCTCAAGCTCGACCTTTTCGTTACGGTCTGTAACGCGGGCAACCTCAGTTTGGTGCTCACTGAGATCGGCAGTCATATGCGCTCAGCTGATGCAGCCATTGCTTCACATGCTGTTTCGTGTCTTGGAGAGCTGGCGTTGAGGAAGGATCTGGATGCGAGTCCGAGGTGTCTTGCCTCCTTGTTGGATCTATTACGGAAGAAGAAGACTGGGCCGCGAGTGGGTGATGCTACTATCGCGCGGGCGGTGTTGGTGATCAAGAATCTCTTGCAACTCGATGTAGTGGGTGGAGCTGAAGCCGGTACAGAGTCGAGAAGAACAGCTGCTATCGTATACCGTCTGGCTGCATTGCTTTTTGGCACAGTTCCCAAAGCTGCTGGAGCAGGAGAGAAGCAGAAACGCAAACCAAAAGTAAAGGTCGTTGGCAAAGGAGCTATCCTACACCCTGAGGCAAGAGCAAGCATTCTCTGGCTGTTGGGTCAACACGCGCGCCAATCCATCTCCATCTCCGAACCCAGTTCGTCACGTAATCAGGAACAAGAAGGTCGAACACTAGCAGAACTGATCGTACCAGATATCTTGCGTCAATGTGCGGTCAACTTTGCCAACGAGTCTTCTATGGTCAAGCTTCAGATCTTGACAACGTCGAGTAAAGTATTCGCCTTTCTGCCGACTGCATCAACCCCTACGCCGACGTTGGAAGAAGGAGGTCAAGGGAGGTCAGAGCGCTTGATGGCAACAGTGACTGTTTTGCACTTCTATTTGTTGAAGCTGGCTAGGTACGATGCGGACTTTGATGTGAGGGACAGAGCGAGGTTTTTGAAGGGGCTGACAGGGCCACTTACCACTCAAAAGCTCAAAGTGACAGCGACGACGAATGCTGGCGAAGAAGCTCCTTCAATTAGTGGACAGAGCGTGGACTCGATCCAAGCAGCGATAGAAAGAGCAGCACGATCCATCGGCGAGACAGCAAACGAAGACGATGCGGATCTAAAAGGTGTCCGTTTGCGTCGAGAGCAAGTCATTCATGTTCTGTTCGAAGGCAAGACTCTTCCAACCTCCGTCGATGCACCCATCATCGAAAAGGCTGAGACGGACAAAGCTGCCCTCAACGCCGATGGCCCAGAAATCGCATCTCTATCCCTCGTTCTCGGTGGAAAACTCATCAAAGGATGGCTCGATACAAAGCTTCCACCCTGGACCGAAACCCCAACTTCAGCAGACATACGAGAACCACCCACAGTCACAGCACCCTCCCATCCATCACTGCAGAACACAACACTGTCCAACCTCAAATCCTTCTCTTCGAGCGACTTTGCCGCTTCCTCTCCCCTCTCCAGATCACCGGTCGTGTTGACACCGGGCAAGGGAACAGCTACCCCGCCAACGAGAGGCGCTACACCAATCGAGCTGGAAGCATCGACCACTTCAGCTCAGGCTCAACAGAAGTATAAGGACTTGGATTCGTTCTTGGATGAAAGCGATGAGGAGCAGGAGACGGAGGAGGCGTATCTGGACGACTCAGCGCCTGAGGATGACGACTTCCGTGGGCAGAACGACTGGGATGATCAGGGTGAAGATGACAATGATTCAGACAATGATGATGATGATGATGATGATGATGATGATGATGATGACGACGATGAGGAAGAAGAGGAGGAGGATGAAGATGACGAGAGCACAGAGGAGAAAGACTAGACGGAATGAAATTGTATTGCACTGCTGCTGATCTTCTTTCCGTGTTACCTTAGTGTCGGAGCATGTGATGGCTGTGAGCTCGAGATCATGAACGCCGCGATTGAGCCCAGCTGGATGCTGCTCTGGAGTCGTAGCCGTGATAGTGTGGCTCATCGTACTGATATCGATGTGAGCGAGACGACACATGCTCGTCATCACGGCGATTAGTGTGCCCATAATAGTCGTCGCGATACGAATCAGACGCATGTGGATCACCGAAATCATGGCGAGCGTACAAGTCTCTGCCACCACAGCGTGGCTCGTCTTCGCGTCGATCGAGGCGAGCAAAGAGTGAGGGCTCCGGTCGATACACATCGGGCTCCCGTTCTGCAAGCCTATCATCGGCCCGACTCGCTCCACGAATTGAGATGCCACATTCGGGACGGGGAAGACCTGATGGCGTGGGAGGGCCTTTGACATCCCAAGTATCTGCGTTGGAGTCGTTATTGGCGCGAACTACGCCTCTCCCACCCACCCGTCTCTCCTGGACGGAGCTGGCGTCTCTGTATCGCTTTTGACCTCTCGAGCCGCTTTTGCTCGACGTAGCTGGCTCTTTGGCCATTTCCGGCTTCGATTTCTCCCAAGCAGGCAAAGGTAGAGGCTGCATCAGCCACTTCGGCATAAGGGTGTGGGTGTCGACGCTTGATCGAACTTTGAAGAATGCGCTGCCCAGTGTCCGCACGACCTTTGCCGCCTCCAGTACCTCCATGGAGCCAGACTGCGCTTTATCCACTTGCTGTGCAAGTGCTGTCAGGGCTTTGACCCTTTCCCGAACCTGGACATCGTTTGTGATATTCGCCAGTCCATCGGCAGTGGTGAGCAGATAGCTCTCGCACATGTGGATGGCGATCAGCAGCGCTTCGGCCGCCAGCAATGAGTAGGCTTCGCGTGCTTCAGCGATGGCCGTGCTTTCTTCGACGCTACCGCTGCCCTGAATCGTCATCCCTCCTACCGGGACGTGGGTCTGGTGGCGACAACGATTAGAAAAGCATCAGTATATGTAATTCACCCTTTCAAATCCCGTAGTCTTTCTCTCCTACTTACCATGAGCGCTCTAGTGGTCACTTTTGTAATGTCGATTGCCGTCGACTGCCCTGGATAACCGAGCTCGGCCGGAATTTCCTTGGCTGCAGAAGCCACTTTGGTTGACAAGTTTGCGGCAGAACGAAAGAAGGCAATCCGCTGAATGGGCGTGAAGTGATGGATCGCGGAAGCTTTGTTGCTCGTGTTGCGCTCATCGACGGTGTCCCCGGGAGGGAGAAGGCAGAAGAAATAGCGGGTCGATACTTCCAGCTCGTTGAGAAAGATTTTGGCTTCAGACAGCTTCTTGAAACCATGGTCGACCTCGTGGCATTCCGGAACGCCCATACCTAGCGATAGCTTGACTAAATCGTTGAACAGAGCCGCTCCACCCGCAATAAAAACACCCGCAGAATTCAGCGGAATTAGTCTGAGTAGTTCCGAGGTCTTAAAGGTAAGTAAGGGTACATCAGCAGGACCAGGGACGAAGGTTTTGCTCTGGCCCATCAAGACCAGGTATAAGTTCCAAAGCACAGCAGCTCCAGCATCCCGAGCCGCATTCTTTTCCTTCATCGAACTTGGGTCGTTTGTGTCTGGCCAGACATTCTGCAGCGAGTGCAGGATATTGATGATCACCTCGTACTGATCTCGATCGGAGATCGGCAAAACTGGGGCAAGGTGCAGAGCCAGCTGGGCTTCCTGCGGACCGTTATCGATAATGCCTTCGAGAGCCTTCTGTCCGAAAACAGATGAGAAAAAATCGAGCACAACGCCTCGAAGATCGCCAAAGCAGATGTCATCGATTGCAACTTGAAGCCACTCGGAGAGGGACAGAGACATGTGCTGTGCAAAGATGTCTTGAACCAACGCCAGCTCGCCTTCGCCGTCGTTGTGAAGTAGCTGAGCAAGGATGGACGTATGATGCTTGACGACGGTCAGATCGGTTTGACTCATGCGAAGCAGCGCCGGGTAGGCTCTCTTACGAACATGCGTTTTAGCATCCTCGCAGAGGTCGAGGATGATGTGTTGGACGCCCTCTCGAAGAGCGTCAATCGTGGGCTCCTCAACTTCGGGCTCGACGCGTTTGGCGCGGTAGCAGTCGATGAAGACAAAGAAGCTGGCTAAGGCAGTGTCCATCGCCCTGACTCTCATGGAATAGCCGCGGTGCAGTGTTTTGTGCTCTGAGACAAGCTTCAGCAGAAGCTCAGAGTCGTGGCGCGTCCAGCACCGCGAGATTGTACGGTCTAAGGTGATCCGCTGCTCAATTGTCCTCAACAGGAATTCGAGCTTTCGCTCCTCGCTGGGGATTTCGAGCTGCTTCGGAGCCGGTGCTATGTGTGAGTGTGGGACTCGCGGGTCCGTGGGGACAATATGCGAAGGTACTGCAGGTGTGGATGGTGTAGAGGTCAAAGCACGATTCGCCCAGGCCAGCTCAGCCGGGATAGGGTCGCTTGCAGCTCGCACGATGCTTGCAGAGGCATTGGTCGTCGGCCGAGGCGGACTGTCAGATGGTAAATACGTAGCTTGGCTAGTCGAGCGGGCACGTCGCGACGCCCATCCATTGTCATGACCCGCCGAAGGACCAGAGAGGGAGTCATCGGGTAGCGAACTTGCCGAGGACCGGCTCGATTGGCCTGATACTGCGGTCGGGGGTTGCTCGTACGACGGGCTTTCATTCGACTCCTGAGAGATCATCTGCAGACGATCTGGATGGATGCGGCTCATCTTGGCACTTGTCGCTGCGTGGTTGAGCTGTGCTAGACCCGGAAGAGATGGCGCAGAGGTAGGACTAAGAAGTATGTTGCGTTTTGGCGATGGCGATTGGCCACTAGCGCAGGATTGGAGGACTTTTATTTTGAGTATTGCTTGCAGAAGAGGTGGAGACCAGTGGTCGACAGACGAGCTGTGACTATAGTCGAGGCCGTATGCGAGTCGACGAAGCTCTTGTGGAACACGTAGGACGTCGGTGCGTTGAAAATGATGAGAACCGCTCTGACTGTGCCCTTCGAGGATGCTTGAAGTACCTTCTAGTCCTTGACTGACAGCTTCTCAGGGCGACAACTAGCTGTAGATCGTAGAGCTGTCTGGACCAAGTCAGCCGAGGAGTGTTTGAAGAATCGGTTTGTCGGAGATTAGCTAGAGCGCAAGATGCTTCGATGTGACGATAATACCGGATAGATACAATGATGGAAGAGGAAAGAACGCAAGATGAAACCAAGTAGATTTGCAGCACAATGATAGTGGGAAGCGAGAGAGACGAGAAGAAGCAAGCTGGGGACATCGTCGACGTGCGTCGCTGCAATTCAATAGTTGGTTATGGAACAAAGGAGCAATGTGACGCAGGGTCTCTGCAAGCTTCTGCGCCAACTGGAAAAGTTGAGCATTCATGTCCCTTTCATCATACTCAAAGCTTTCATTTCATAGCGCTACGACTTCCGTCTTTGTATTGTGCTGCGTGACGCCATGCCGCCGAAGGCGCCCGTGCGTGTGAGCTCAGCGATGCAACAGAGCTCAGTTACAGTAGCCTTCTTGTTTGGCCGCTTCCAGATGGCAGCTGCTCGAAAGACGATCAAGTTCCTCGACAAACCTCTACGCCCTTAGCAGTGCTGTACCGTATGAGGTTGTATGCCAGCTCTAGCTCTGCTGCCGGTTGTTGTTCTTCATCAATGGGCTTCGCGGATCGTATCCATCCTGACCTTGTGGTGTGGCAGGAGTTGTCACGGCAGTGGCAGCAGCAGCGGAGGCATGTGCAGCTGATGCACCATATCCGTAGGCACTGTATGAATCTGCACCGGCAGGCTGACCTGGATAGCCACCGTATCCGTAGGCTTGAGCTGATGTAGCATAGTGACCTCCAGCAGCATTCTGATACGAGGGATCAGCATAGCCTGGATAATGAGATCCAGGATATGTCTGAGCGTTCCATAACGGACCCGCTGGAGCACCATAGCCACCGTGGGAGCCATCATAGCCGCCACGCGTGCCATATGACTGAGGATCCATCGCTCCTGGAGCCACTTGCATTGGTGGAGAATGGTAGGCTTGTGGCGCATTCCAAGGCATCCCTGCGGCCGGGTATGTTGGTCGAGCTTGCTGCCAGTGACCAGCATAAGCAGGATTGTAGTGGCCACTTTGCGCAGGTGGTCCCACTGCCGCAACACCTCCTGGATTGTATGCGGAACCTGCTTGTCCGGCGTGCCTAGATGATGCAGCCGGCGAGGCAGGTGTACTTGAGGGCGCTGAGCCTGCACCACCGTACCATCCGGAAGAGCCCTGGTGTCCGTACGGAGGGTGTGTCGCACGCCCTATGGAGGCAGGACGAGATGCTTGTGTTGGCGACGAGGCACCGCCCATGGAGGGTTGAGTGCGATGTTGTTGCGCTGCGGCTGATGCGGCTGCATCAACAGGCTTGGCTGGAAGACTGCTTGCAGCCGCGCTGTGCATCCTGCTATGGCTCTGACCGCCAGATGTGCCCTCTGCGGTGCTCATCCTTGATCTGGGAACAGAGTCAGGTGTAGCATCTCCATTGCCGTACTGAAGAGGCGATCGATTGGATGACGAAGATGCCTCAGGCTGAAAGTTGGGTTTCGATGGCAGGCCAGCGATAGGCTTCGGCGGCAAGGATGCCAGGCCGTGCGGGAAAGCCGGCACAAGGGACGCAGGGCCAGCAGGCACAGGAGGCCGAGGCAGACCTGGTCCTCCAGCATTGCGTGTTAGCTGTGGCACGGAAGTGTTGTTAGTTGGACGCTGGAGTGGAGTGTACTGGCTGCCGTTACGCTGCTGTTGTTGTTGATACGCTCCATTCGAAGGGTGCTGACCTGAAGACGAACCTTGTCCTGCGCCTTGCTTCTGACGCTTGTTGCCACGGTTGTATGCAGCGCCAATCGGATTACCCTGTTCATCGACCTTGCCGGATCGGATTGCCTTGGCCCGACGCTTGGCTTCCGCCTCCTGCTCGTCATCAGAGTATTCAATCTCGTCCTCCGCTACTTCTTCGTCCCACATGTTACTGGCGTCGCTGCCTTTCATCGACCGAAGCAGCTGAGTCATCACATAGGTGCTTCGTGCAGGTAGGTAGAAAATTGGCTTTCCTGCCTTGACGATGTCACGATCGATGCTGGCGGCTGAAGCGAAACGAATCGAGTACATCGGGTTGTGGATTGATCCGAATGTCTCAAAGACAAAACCCAGCACCTTTCCATCCTCGAAGCAAAGCAAGCTGCCTGTATCGAGTACGCTGTATTCGCCTTCGCGCTCGCCGCGACGGCCTGTGCTGTCAACAGGAACGGAGCCTGCGTTGGCAGAAGTCGATTCTGCTTGCCTGGATTGCTGTACATCCTGCTCGACCACGACGACGCTATCAACGATCGAATGTACCTTTCCGAGCTTTCGCATCGTCTGCTTTTCTTCTTTTGCGAGCTCCTTCACGGCAGGTTGTTCGACGTCTGGAGCAAGAATCTCGTTCTTTGTAGCAGGCACAGTACTTCCGCCGGGTCCTCCCTCCTCTTCCTCTTCATCCTCCTCCTCCTCATCTCCAGCCAACGCTAGTCCGACGTTGCGAGCATCATCATCTTCGTTCTCGTCGTCTGAGGTATCGCCGCTCGATGAATCTGATTCTGAACCTGAATCCGAGTCGCTATCGTCGCTAGAAGCAGCTTCATCACCATCGGCTTTCGGGTGCACCTGTGATGAGACGTTGGCTTGCTCGGAAGGTTCTGATGTTGATGCTGCTGCTACTGTTGTTTCAACTTTTGGGCGACGCGAGACAAGGCCAGAGATAGAGGACAGAGCTTTTTGAAGCAAGGTCTTGGTTTCAGGATGTTGGCTCTTCTCTGCCGCTGCTTTGACCTCGTCAATACCAGAACTTGATTGAACAAGCTCTTCCAGCTCGGCCTCAGCCTTGCGCTTCTCCCCTCGTCGTGCTTGTGCTGGTGGTAAAGAGCTTGCATCCTCTTCGGCTTCATCATCATCGCCAAATCCAGGGGGAAGGGCCTCTCTCGGCTGCCCCGACGATGCTCTCGCCTGAGCGACCAGCTCTCGTAGCGCTTGCATGGATGCTGCGCCATCTTGTGTCGCTCCAGTGTTGACAATGTGTTCCACGTCGGGTGCGATGAAGTCGGTGTCGTCTTTCTCTGCTGACGCTGCCGGCCGTTCTGCTCCTGTAGACGGTGCAGCCCCTTCCTCCTCTACAGCAGCTGTAGCTGTAGAAGAGTCAAGCCCTTCAACTTCAGTTCTTGCTTTGAGGACGCCCTCCGTGTTGTTCAACGAGCCTGCTTCCAGCACCTCGGCTTCGACTGCCGTTGCCACTTTTGCAACAGTTGCTGGGTTATGGCTGCCTCCTGAGGTGGCCTCATCCTGAGCCTCTGTTTGCGCTTGCTGCTCCTGCACTTCTGTCTCAGCCGTCGTGTCGTTAACCAGCTGGTTGGCCTTCTCGGGTGATTCGACAGGACTGGCAGCATGTGTGGCCGCAGCTTCTTCTGACATGATTGCGCGGCTCTTGCACCCTTTCCCGAGGAATGAGGTTGAAAATTCTATTAGTTGTGCGTTTGTGAGGGTGAAGGATGTGGTTGGAGAGGAGGAGGAAAGCCAATGTCATCTGGTAACCGACTGCATCAGACGTTGTGCCACAGAAGAAAGCGGTTGCGCTGCATGCTGCCGCCGAAATTTTGTGTGCTCTTTCATGTTGGATTTCTTGAAAATTCCAACTGTCCACGCCGGGTTTCGGAACCCGGAAGAAGGGAACACCGCAAAGACCCTTCCACGCTGGAGTTGACTGTACACGCTCCGCCTTGACCTCCACGAGGATACCAACATCAAAGACTGTCCGGTTCTCCTCAACGACCAAAGCATACGAAACTTACGCAGCTGTCTACAAGTTCTATACCGCCACACCCTTGCGAAAACCGGTTCGGCATGTCGAGACTGCTCGCATACGTGCCGAGGTTGGCGCTGCTTGTAGCGCTGGAGCTACTGCTGCTCATCCCAGTTCAGGCTCAATTCTTCCAGCAGTTCTTTGGAGGAGGCGGGGGTGGATCCATGTTTGGTCACAGAGAGCAGGAGCCACCACCGGTAAGTTTGCGCAGCTGCGCACTCGATACATTTCTGATTTCTTCAAACACGACTTTTTGACTGACTTTTGATGTTTCGCCTTGATCCAGTCCGGCGACGTGAGCTGGTTCGAAGCAAGGGTTGACGCAGCACAGTGCACGCAGTATCTATGTCCTCGAACGCTCTCGTGTGTCTCCAAGCCATCACATTGTCCATGTCCGTTCCCGCAACAGATCCGATGCTCCTACCAAGACACGGATTCAATTTCACAAGACCAAGCGAAACGAGCCGGCGGCACGTTTGACGGGGTCGATGCAGCTCTTGACCTGGGCGGTACATTCTGCGTTACTGCCGACAGCTGCGACGAGGTCAACAAAATCCTACATGCCAAGGCATAAGATCGTCCTCAGAAGTCATTTTCATCACGCTACTGCAATAGACACATTTAGCCGAGTACGTAAACAGAGTTTAAAGATGGCAAGACTTTTTGCAGTGTCATGCTAATTGTATGCAGATTGAGGGGTATATTAGATAATGTGAAGGACCTGACTCGTGTTTGGCGCCGTGAAGCTGCCGGTGAATAGATTGACATGTAAATGCTGGGTCGATTGCGAATCTGCTGCGCACTTGTCATGCCTTGCGATTTGGAAAGTGCTTAGCAAGCACAGCTGCTGCTTTCTTCTTACGATCTTGCATGGCTTTGAGCTTCATCTGCCCTTCCGTCATGGGTGCAGCAGCGGTACAGCCATGACTGGTGGCTGAGCGGTGGGTTGCGCAGAAGAGACCTTTGCATCTCTCGCAGCGTGGCGGTGCGTGTGTGAATGCTCTTCCTGGTGCCGTCGTGGATGAATGGCAAGTTGAATTAGAAGAGGCAGGAGCAGTTGCTGCTAGACCTTGCACCCCAAAGCTGACCTTCTTACAGCCTCGCTTCTGGCATGGTAGACGTCCAGATGATCCTGAAGATGCGAGTCGCCGTATGAGCTCGTCGTCACTGAGCACTTTACCGGTGGAAGCAGCTTTTGCGCAAATGTGCTGTTCAGGTAGGAAGTGTGACTCGCAGAAGTTGGTGGTGCAAAGTGGACAGGAGACGGGCAGGAACGAGAGTCGGCCGCAAGTCGAGAGTGCGCAATGTTCGCCGACTTCCATGATGGGCCTCGTTCCAAGGCGCCGCAGATCCTGAAATGGTCGATCGTGTTCGGATTGTATGTCCGATATAGAAGGACCTGGATGCGATGGAAGCGATGAATGCGATGGATGCGATGGACACTGACAAGACAAGGGCCGGCTACAGAGTTGATATCAAAGTTCGAAAGCTCTTGCGCAATCGGCGATACGGTATGGTGGAGCTTGAACAGAGATGTTTTCCGTCCGAGCTCCACTTTTTTATTCACACACACACACACACACACACACACACACACAGAGATAGATAGAGACACGACGGCAAGCTTCTCGACGGGGGCCATGCAGACGCTTCTCGGTCTTCTGTTTGAGTCTCTAATGTTAAATTGCCAAGCGCAACATGTTGCCAAAGTCTAACATCCAACGCGAAAGTTTTTTTGGGAAGCTAAAGTCCGCGCGGTTCACCGCATCTCTGACGTGCTTTTGTATGACTCTCTCTCTCTCAGTTGAAGATGCGTCAGCATCCCAACGGGATTCACGGGGTCCGTGGAATCATATGGGGTCCACAGAATTTAAGCAATCTAATAATTAGGTAAAGGTGCATACAGGTGGCGACACATGTGGGATGCATAGGAGTTGTTACAATAATGCACAAGAGGCAACAACACAGGAGTAACACAAGGAGTGACACATCGCACATTTGCACAGGCTGAAGGAGATCACTAAGTATATATATGACCATGTATATAGCATCACATGAATATAAGATAAGCATTCAAGAAGTAATATGACTGCATACAAGAGCTTGCTAGTGGCTCCAATCGGTTGCATTTTATCTGCAATCTTCAACTGATTAAGAGTCTGAAGCTCTACTGACTAAGCCAACTGGGACCATCAACAACATGGTACAAGAGGCCGAAGCTCAAGCTGTCACAAGCAAGGCCAAAGGAGGAAGAAAAGGAAAGGCAATGCAACCACGAGCTGTTGACAATGAGGCCACCAACAAGTCAGACACCGAGGTGATTGACAATGACGCTGAAGAAGAAACTGACTCTGACTCAGATCACGACAACAACAGAAAGCCATACAATTTTTGTACTCTAGCAAAACTACTTGAGCCCGTCCCAAAACTCACATTGCACAACTATTATAGTTGGAATGCCCATATCAAGTCCTTTCTACAATGTATTCCTCATGCCATGAAGCATCTTGATGGAGCATACAACAAGAAACATCCCAAATGGAACCACACATTTGATGATGCTTTGACAAATGCATTACACAGTACCATTGACACCACCAGAGAGCACAATATCAATTACTTGGTTCTTGACATCATCAGGGAGCACCATACGTTCCATCATGTATGGAAGAAGATTGAAAATGGACTCACCAATGAGGCCACTGCCATATCTCATCGTATTGCATTGATCGCTCAGCTAGGTGAACTAAGGATGCACAACTCAGATGTATGAAAGCTTATCCAGGAAATAAGGACCATCCAAACGGAGAGCAGCTTACTGGGAAAGCCATTTGCTGATGATACTCTGTTCTCTAATCTACAAAAGTGCACTATCCGACACCCAATGTACAAGGAGACCATCGCCACTGTCAGCCAGCTTAGTTTTAACACCCTCGCCACTGCCCTATCTATTCGGCAGTTGGCGATCGAGAACAACCCCACCCTGAGAGTTGACCCCCATCAAGCAAGCACCAGAGTCATCAGCAGCAACGACCAGGATGAGACACCTGGAAAGGAGGAGAAAGACGAAAAGGACACTGACAGCACCAGTGCCAAAGTCGCCACTAGACCTTGAAGGCTCAGATGTTGGATCTGCAAGAGGCCTGGACATGGGATCAGTCAATGTGATGCATCGGTGACCATACCAGAAAATTCCCCCTTCGCCAGGCCCAAATAGGAAGCCTGGTGCTCTTTCACACCAAGTTGGCAGAGCCACCCAGATTCAAAAGGGAACCATCATTGGATCCTAGATTCGGGTGCCAGCTATCATATGGTAAACAACTATAGCATGCTCATTAGTCCGAGAACCTGCCGAAAGTGTGTATTCACCGCCAGAAGCAAGGTTCTGGAAGTGACTGCTATAGGGGATGCTAGCATATCAACAAGTCATGGAGATGTTTTTCTCCAAAATGTATTGTATGTTCAGCATCTCAATGTTAACCTATTGTCAACAAATTCTCTGACAGACAAAGGAGCATGAGTGATGCTAGACTCAACTGGAGGGCAAATACACTTAGCAAATGGTATGCTACTCAAAATATCCAAGAATCGTGAGCAAGGACTGTTGGAGTTTCAAGGCAACACATGGAAGGAAAATGCAATGATCACATCAACATCATTATTTGAAGGTGTTGATGAAGATTTCGAGCATATTGAGAACAAAGCCAAAATATCCAAACAACAACTATGGCATGAACGTCTGGGACATCCAGGTCAAGATAAGACAAGGGCCATCATCAACTGCTTAGGAGAAAATGACACAGCAGACCTAAACCCAGGGACTGCTACAATGTGTGAGCCATGCATCTGATCCAAAAGCACAGCAGCCTGAATGGGGCAAGGTAGTGGAGAGAAATCTGTCTCTCTGCTTGATCTCATCCACATCGACTTGATAGTTGACTTGTCACACATGATGGAATACATGTGCACATTGGTACTGGTTGATAACTACAGCAAGTATGTATACGCGCAGCCTTTGCTATGAAAGAGTCACACATTTCCCAAGCTCAAAACAATCATATCGTATCTCGAGACACAGACGGGAAAGAATCTGAAAGCAATACGATCTGATCAAGGTACAGAATGGAGAAGCAATGACATGCTCCATGTCATGGGCCTGGATGCTCAAGAAGCAGGAGGGTCATGGGTTCATATGGAAGGAGCACAGGTATCGAAGACCTAGTCGACACCAGTAGAGAGCATGGTCGTAGTGCAGTCTCCATGGAGACCATGGACTCCTATGGACTCACATGCAAAGGAGGGCCAAGCACAGCCACGAGGAGGACCAAGCTCAAGGAGCAGGCACAGCCACGAGGAGGACCAAGCTCAAGGAGCATGCAGATGGTTACCACTCAGGGGCTCGAGAGACAAGAGCCAAAGGAACTGTCACTGATCAAAGGAGGAGGAGCAGTGTCGAAGGAGTCGACACCAGGTCATGAGGAGGAGGAGCAGTGTCGAAGGAGTCGACACCACTCAAGAGGCACAGGGGTGCCAAGCAGGAGAGGCCCCTGAGCAGTACTCGATGAAGAAAGTACTCTCTGGAGAGAGAGCAGGAGCAGCATCGCTGGCGATGCTGTGAAGAGGTATATAACCATGCTTTCTCATCATCATAGGTCGAGTGGATCCCCATCCACTCTACTCACCATAACTAGTTATCACTTCAGCATAAGTATACATTAGTTTCAGTCAGCATAGCAGCAATCTATCAAGGTTGCTCCTCATCGTAGTGTGTGTGTTGTATCACCACTACCTGACGTCCGAAGGCGCCCATAGCAGGTTAGCGGTCCGGATATAGATAGAACCGAAGGCAGTAGTCCACTGCGGTCCGGGGATCACTTCAAGCATCAAGTCAACACACTGGACACTCGTGTTGATGCCACCAACCTTATCACCAACACCATCAACCTCATTATCATCGACATCACCGATCCCATCACCAACACCATCAACCTCATCATCATCAACACTCACACCAGACCTTGGTGTCATCATAACATTGATATCGATCGTGCCGAGCTACCCCTGAACGGAGTGTCCACAGAGGTCAGCCGAAACCTACGATAGTATATACAACGAACGCCACCTGCTGTCACTGCACAACTTGATAGTCACCGATACCGAGACAATAGCTGTCACACAGTTTAATAGTCACCGAGTATCTCGACAGACTGACCTGGGCTTCAGGCGCGAGACCCCTGACATTAGAGTGGATCGTTCAAGCAGCTCCTCACGATCACCATGACGGACCCAGACCTCAACAATAAGCTTGATAGACTACTCACTCTATTGGAAGCACAGCTAGAGCTTACCAGACAGGGTCATCGAGAGGAACGATTACAACGAGCTCAACTGAGCAGGGAGGAGACAATGGACCTCTCTCACTCAGAAGACCAAGCAGGAGGAGGAGATGAGTCTATGATAGGAGACCCACATACTCCTACTCCAGCTCCACGACCAAGACGATCAGTCTCATTCAACCTGGATGAGCAGGAGGATATCAACTACGAGAAGTATGCTTCACCTACTGGGCCAAGATATGTCAAGACTAAGCTGGACCCCTACAGCAGGACTAGGACGGATCCTTACCCCCTGGACCACGAGGAGGATACCAGCATCATGGCAGAGATTAACCGGTCAAAGCCCATTGCCACCCCCTTTCCAAAGTTCAATCCCCGAGACATGGAGATCTTCATTCTAGAAGCCGAAGCATGGTTTAAGTTCAACCAGGTGTATGAGCAGTCTAGGATGATCAAACACATGGGTGCTCAACTGGAAGGGACAGCAAGAGAGTGGTGGACCTCCAAGCTCCGTATTGATAGAGCTAGAGAAGGAAGGTTGTTCAATGATTGGCACTACTTCACAGAGCGACTGTCAGAGCAGTTCAACCCACGCAATGCTAGGATGGAGGCATACAACAAGCTGTTGGCTCTCAGACTCACAAGTGATGCTCCTGGTGCCGCCACACGTCATGTAGAGCGGTTCAGAGACTTGGAAGGACAGGTCAACCTAGATGACAATGAGCTAGTGATTGATCTCTTCAGAGGTAGTCTCACTCGTAGCATACAGGAGAAGTTCGAGAGGAATCCACCTGGGAAGAGATGGGAGTGGTATCGAGAGGTCGAGGAGATCGATCGACAGAGGATGCTACTACAGCAGTCCTCGGCTAGACACTCACTCCCAAATGCCACGTCACCTCCACTAAGAACTGGGTCTCGGCCAAATCAAAGTTCGATCCCCATCCGACAACCCACTCAACCTTATCCAGCTCGATCACCAGCACAAGCAACTACACAAGCAACTACACAAAACCTAAACAGACCAACTAACCGACCCCTTCCTCATCAACCCACCCAACCCTCGAAGCAAGGAAGCCCTGCTCCATCAGGTATCAACACCTGTCATGTATGCAAGGGTATCGGCCATTGGGCCAGAGACTGCCCCAGCAGGGTAAACCCTCTTAGCTCTCGACCCATGGGACCAAAGGTTATGGTCACCACAGCAGACCCCTTCGAGGAGGCCACCGACTCAGGAGATGGCCACACAGGCAGTACTGAGACGGGTGACCCCGAGGCCATGGACCTCAGCTCATACCAGCAACCCATGGACCCCGATCACGAGGAGGAGCATGATGATGATGACGACGAGGGAAACATCAGTGGGGTGATGCACTGATGGCATGCATTGCTCTACAAACCTCCTCGCCATCACTCTGTATATATCAAGATTGTCAAGTATGTTTCTCTACCAGTGGAGGCAAAGCAGTACTGGAGCTCTCTGGAATGGTTCAAGACCACCCTGCTCGGATACTAGCTGATACCGGTGCTGGTTTGTCCATAGTCTCAGATTCTTTCATTAGTAAGTACCAAATACCCACAAAACCCATAAAAACAAGATCGATCCATGGTGTCACCGGGCACCAACTCTCCATCAATAGTTCTGCGAGCATGCAGGTATCTATTGGTACACACAATCTGGGTGTGGTCGAAGCTTCAGTGGCCGACACTGCGGACTATGACCTCATCCTGGGGTTCACTGAGCTACGGAGGCTCAAACCCACCATACAATGGGATACGGGCCAGCTGGAGTTCAAGACTCAGGAGCAGGACCGACCCCCTAGGAGACCCCCTGAAGCAGCAAGAGCAGGGGACCTAACCATGAGGAGACCAACCCTTCATGGTAACGAGTTTGTCTCAGCAGAGCGCATACTACGAGCAGCTCTGGAAGATGGTCCCATAGGGTTCATGCTGTTAGAGGAGCCACCATCATCACTCCCGGCCTTTGGTTTTGTACCTACAGGCGCAGACAAAGGAGTCGAGATGGAGGTGGAGGTAGATAAGGTGGTGACGGCTGCAGACATACCAAAGCCATACCAACACCTGCGAGATGTGTTTGATGAGGTGGAAGCAGACAAGCTGCCCCATCATACCGAGCATGATCTCCACCTCGAGTTGATAGAAGGAGGTAAGCCACCTCAAGGGCCCCTATACCTTAAGGGACCCAAGGAGATGTCCGAGTTGAGGAGATACTTGGATGAGAACCTCGAGAAGGGGTTCATAAGACCATCGAAGAGCCCGGCACGATCACCAGTGCTCTTCGTACCAAAGAAGGATGGAGGTCTCAGACTCTGTGTGGACTACAGAGGTCTCAACGAGATCACTGTCAAGAACAGGGCACCATTGCCCCTCATCGAGGAGCAGCTGTTCTTACTCAGGAAGGCAAGGATCTATACCAAGCTAGACCTTAGAGCAGCATACAACCTCATCCGGATTGCTAAAGGAGATGAATGGAAGACAGCTTTTGGCACTCAGTTGGGACTCTATGAGTACCTAGTGATGCCCTTTGGCCTAGCCAATGCTCCGGCTCACTTCCAGTCATTCATCAATGACATCTTCCGAGACATCATTGGGATATATGTGGTAGTATACCTAGATGACTTCCTGATCTTCAGTGACACTGAAGAAGCACATGTGAAGCATGTCACTGAGGTCCTCACTCGCTTAAGGAGCAACAGGCTCTTTGCTAAGCTGTCAAAGTGTGAGTTCCACACCAAGACAGTCGAGTTCCTGGGGTACATCATCAAGCCAACGGGCATAGAGATGGACCCAGAAAAGGTGCGCACTGTCAAGGAGTGGCCAATGCCAGAGTCAATCCATGACATCCAGAGGTTCCTGGGTTTTGCCAACTTCTATCGAAGGTTCATAGCCCACTTTGCTCGCATAGCCAAGCCCTTGACAGCACTGGTAAAGCCTATAGAACGGTTCAAGAAGCTCGAGCTACCAGAGGAGGCCCAACAGGCCTTCCACAAGCTCATCCAGGCCTTCACATCAGCAGGAGTGCTTCAGCACTTCGACTACCACCTTCCAACAAGGTTGGAGACTGATGCAAGTGACTTTGCTATAGCAGGAGTGCTCAAGCAGGAGCATGAAGGACGATGGCATCCAGTGGCCTTCTACTCTAGGAAGATGTCTTCTGCCGAGAAGAACTATGAGATCCATGATAAGGAGCTCCTAGCTGTGGTCGCCTGCCTCACTCAGTGGCGACACATGCTAGCTGGACTACCGAACCAACTGGTCATCCTCACTGACCATGAAGCCCTCAAGTACTTCAAGTCACAGAGACGCATCACAGGTCGACAGGCTCGATGGGCCATACTACTAGCAGACTTCGACTTCATATTGCAGTATCGACCAGGAGACAAAGGTGGTGAACCCGATGCTCTCACCAGAAGGACAGACATGCAACCAGCTGGTGAAGAGCAGGATCACAATGTGAGGCAACTACTGCCTCCTCGAGTGTTTAAGGAGACAGCAGACCACGACTCGCTCCTAGTGGCCCCCATGATCTCGATGGAGTCCATAGCATCAAAAGGTCTCAAAGACCTGGTCAAGATCTTCCAGCCTTTAGACCAAGAGCTACAGGAGATACATAGGAAGAAGCCTTTCGAACTCAAGGATGACCTATGGTACAGTGGAGGAAGGTTGGTTATCCCCAAGGTGATCATGCCAGGGAGGACCAACAACCGACACTCAAGGAGTGCCAAAGAGGTAGATGGACAGTCTCTCTCTGTAGAGCATCTGCGGTTCATGGTGATGACCCAATGCCATGATGGTATCACTGCTGGACACGTAGGAAGAGATGCTACCATCAAGGCAGCACAACGACATTACTGGTGGCCAAACATGACAGCTTGGATTGCAGACTATGTAGCAAGTTGTCCTGTATGTGCTAGGTACAAAGCTCCTCGTCATCGTCCATATGGTTTGCTACAGCCACTAGCAACCCCAGACAGGCCCTGGGGCTCCATATCCCTCGACTTCATTGAAGGACTACCACCATCAAAGAAGTATGACTCCAAGACCTATGACTCTATCCTAGTCATTGTCGACAGGTTAACCAAGTTTGCCATATTAGCTCCAACCCATAAGACAGTCACAGCCAAACAGACTGCAGTATTGCTATATGGACACATGGTTAGACTCTTCGGATATCCAGATCACATGGTCTCGGACCGAGGCAGGCAGTTCATATCAGGAGCATGGAAGGCATTTGCAGAGCAAATGGGTGTGAAGCACTCACTTAGCACGGCTTACCATCCTCAAACTGATGGTCAGACAGAGAGAGTCAATCAGGTCATAGAGCAATATCTCAGGATGTACTGCAACTATGAGCAGAATGACTGGGCCAACCTGCTGGACACTGCGGCCTTTGTATACAACAACACGGTCCACAACAGCATTGGTGTCTCACCATTCTTTGCATGCTATGGATGGAACCCCAAAGCTCATCCTGACATCCCTCAACGACTAGGAGTCAATGATCCAGGTCGCTTCGAGTACCTCATGGATGGAAAGGAGCGTTGCAAGTACCTCCAGGAGCAGATCAGAGAGGCACAACGTAGATCAGTAAACCAGTATAACAGGAAGCACAAGGACATCGAGTTTAAGGTGGGTGATATGGTCTATATCAACCGACGAAACTGGAAGACAAGGAGACCCACACCCAAGTTAGACACCCGGTTCGCAGGACCCTACCCAGTTCAGGAACGGGTAGGACGCCGAGCTTATCGAATCACATTGCCAGCAAACCTTAGGGTGCATGATGTGTTCCATGTCTCCATGCTCGAGCCAGCAAGAACAAGTTCTCTTCCTCAACGTGCTGAACAGCCCACCATACCATCACTTCCAGATGAGGACCTCGATTTCGAAGTCGAAGCACTCATCGACAAGCGTTCACACAATGGGACTACGGAGTACAAGGTGTTGTGGAGAGGGTACTCAGAGGAAGCTGCTTCATGGGAACCAGTAGAGAACCTCAACTGTCCCGACCTCATCCAGGAGTATGAGGTGTCGGAGGGGGGACGAGTGAGTAGACAGAGTGGAGAGAGGAGGAGAGAACAGGAGGAGTAAAGAGAGGAAGAGGAAGGAGGATGACGTTGAGAGAAGGAGGAAGGATGATGTTGGCGACGTTGTCAAGGAGGAGGAGTCAGCATGAACCAGACCAGAGCATGCCTCGACGGAGCTCGGCTCTTAAGAGGGGGGTAGTGTCATGGGCCTGGATGCTCAAGAAGCAGGAGGGTCATGGGTTCATATGGAAGGAGCACAGGTATCGAAGACCTAGTCGACACCAGTAGAGAGCATGGTCGTAGTGCAGTCTCCATGGAGACCATGGACTCCTATGGACTCACATGCAAAGGAGGGCCAAGCACAGCCACGAGGAGGACCAAGCTCAAGGAGCAGGCACAGCCACGAAGAGGACCAAGCTCAAGGGGCATGCAGATGGTTACCACTCAGGGGCTCGAGAGACAAGAGCCAAAGGAACTGTCACAGGTCATGAGGAGGAGGAGCAGTGTCGACAAGAGGCACAGGGGTGCCAAGCAGGAGAGGCCCCTGAGCAGTACTCGATGAAGAAGGTACTCTCTGGAGAGAGAGCAGGAGCAGCATCGCTGGCAATGCTGTGAAGAGGTATATAACCATGCTTTCTCATCATCATAGGTCGAGTAGATCCCCATCCACTCTACTCACCATAACTAGTTATCACTTCAGCATAAGTATACATTAGTTTCAGTCAGCATAGCAGCAATCTATCAAGGTTGCTCCTCATCGTAGTGTGTGTGTTGTATCACCACTACCTGACGTCCGAAGGCGCCCATAGCAGGTTAGCGGTCCAGATATAGATAGAACCGAAGGCAGTAGTCCACTGCGGTCCGGGGATCACTTCAAGCATCAAGTCAACACACTGGACACTCGTGTTGACGCCACCAACCTTATCACCAACACCATCAACCTCATTATCATCGACATCACCGATCCCATCACCAACACCATCAACCTCATCATCATCAACACTCACACCAGACCTTGGTGTCATCATAACATTGATATCGATCGTGCCGAGCTACCCCTGAACGGAGTGTCCACAGAGGTCAGCCGAAACCTACGATAGTATATACAACGAACGCCACCTGCTGTCACTGCACAACTTGATAGTCACCGATACCGAGACAATAGCTGTCACACAGTTTGATAGTCACCGAGTATCTCGACGGACCGACCTGGTTTTCAGGCGCGAGGCCCCTGACACAACACAGGAGTAACATGAGGAGTGACACATTGCACATTTGCACAGGCTGAAGGAGATCACTAAGTCTATATATGACCATGTATATAGCATCACATGAATATAAGATAAGCATTCAAGAAGTAATATGACTGTGTACGAGAGCTTGCTAGTGGCTCCGATCGGTCGCGTTTTATCTGCAATCTTCAACTTTCTCTCTCTCTCTCTCCGTTGCGGTGGTGTATGATTGGCCGATGAACTCAAATTTAGCTGCGCCTCTCGTTGCTCTTCACAGCTGAGGCCGGCGACGGGTCCGTGAGCGCCAATTTGACCGAACCGCAACGCAACACCAGACGGTTGCAGCGACAAGATTAGCATGCACGTTGTCACTAGTATATAACCTTCCACACCCTCTAAGATCATCTTCTATTGGACCATACACAAGCAAACACATACACATTCGCCCTTCCGTACATCTTCACAATGGTTGTCAAGTCTATCGAGTCCTACGAAGAGTTCAAGAGCCTCGTAAGTGTTGCAGATCTTTGCTCCTTCGGCGGTACTGTGGTTTCTGTGCTGCGCAGTAGCTAACATCATCTTTATCTCATGCTGCCACCTTGCTTACATCATCACAACGCTCCGATCGGATTGCACGCACCTACTATCTTGTCCTTTGACGTTGCTAGATTGAGGGCGACAAGGCGATTGTCATCGACTTCTGGGCCACCTGGTGCGGTCCTTGCAAGGTCATTGGCCCTATCTTCGAGAAGATCTCGGCCACCCCTGCCGGTGAGAAGCTTGACTTCTACAAGGTCGACGTCGACACCCAGGAGAAGATCGCCGCCGAGGTCGGTATCCAGGCTATGCCCACCTTTGTCTTCTTCCACAAGGGCCAGGCTGTCAAGAAGGTTGTTGGTGCCAACCCCTCTGCTCTTCAGGTAAGTGGTTCTACAATCCTCAGCATGACGACGCTAGATTTCTCCGAGAATGTGGCGCTGCCTCTCGATCGGAGCTCAGCTCGTTCATATTATGTGTCGCACTGTTACTGACCCCCATCTTGATGTTGCCTTCTCTACTCGCCTGTTCGAACACAGTCCGGCATCAGCGAGGTTTCCAGCTCCCTCTAAATTCATCCTGTGACATGCTGAGGCTATCCGCACTTGTACCAACACCATCTAAGAATGTCGATTTTTATAAAAGCTGTCAAGTTTGTCGTGTCCATCTAAGGACCTGCGAAGACTTGTTGCCAAAGAGGTTCGAGGAGCCCCGGCAGCGACGTTTCCAACAACCTCTATTAAGACCGTCAAGCATGGATTCTTCAGAGACGATTCTGTCGTTCTTTTTTCAAGTAAAATCCGTTGTGCTGGCCAAGGAAGTTCATGATCAGATAGATCATTGATCGCTGCCTTGTCGGAGCCATTCGCTATGACACAAACTCCGTCGGACATATGTCACGTGAATTATAAAAAAGGTTTGAAGCTTATCTGAATGGAGGTCAGTATCGTCGTCTTGAGTGTACAATGTCGACATTTGCAGCTGTTGTGAGCCGATTGAAGGAAAAGAGAAGAAAGGAGCTCCTCCTTCAAGGCAATCGGGACGATCGGGACCTAGAGAAATTGGATTGAAGAGATTGTGGTTCTTGTCGGATATTCGCACGAGAATAAGGCTGTGAGCGGTTCTTTGCGGAGAAGCAACGCTGGCGGTCAAGACGGAAGTGGACTTTCAGCCGCAAAGTCCTCGCCTGCTTTTCTAGGCCGATTTCAGCTTTTTGGATAGGCTGGCTCTACCGCTTGCCGCTCTCTCCCTACTTTGGCGCCTCTTTCAGCATTTCACGCTCGCTTCACTTTTCCCTCGAGAGTTGCCGATTCTGGCCGTCTGGACCGGTACAAGGAGGGCACTTGCGCCGTGATAGCTTGCATCTACTGTATCTCCCCTCCACCTTCGCTCTCTGTCACTGGCCCCCGCACCGGAAGGCGACGCAAAGAAATCCAGAGAGACTGTTCACCTTGTCCACACTTTTGCGGGCGTCAGCTTGAGGATCGCCTCTATCTGGCGCTGAGAATATATAGACCAGAACCGCTTCCTTGGCTGCTGTATCATCATCACCCCTGCACCTCTACCGTCGCTCCCGCTTCACCTCTCTAGTCTCCTCTACAGCTCATCGTCAGAACCGGAAATCACCACGATCCCCACCAAAAGGCAATCACATATTCACCATGTCTGTCGAAGGCGTTCGCGTGCTCGGTAGGTTTCATAGCGCAGTTGTTCCAGGCTTCGATTGTCCGTTCGAATGTGTCGAGGAGCAGTATGCTGACCATGTATCCTCTTGTAATCCTTCTCTGTGCTCCATCGTGAATATTGCTTGGCATGTTTGCTCTGCTGTTTTGCTGTTTCATCCTCACACAGGCAAGATCGAGGGTGAGCAGGCCTCCATTCTCACCCCCGAGGCTCTCAAGTTCTTGGCCGTGCTCCACCGATCTTTCGAGAGCACTCGCCAGTCGCTCCTCAAGGCTCGTCAGCTTCGTCAGGCGAGGTTCGACGGCGGTGCTCTTCCCGACTTCCTCCCTGAGACCGCTCACATCCGAAACAACGCTACTTGGCAATGTGCTCCCCCCGCTCCTGGTCTCCGTGACCGACGTGTCGAGATCACCGGCCCCGTCGACAAGAAGATGGTCATCAACGCTCTCAACTCGGGCGCATACACCTACATGGCTGATTTCGAAGACTCGACTTCGCCTACCTGGGCCAACCTCATGGACGGCCAGGTCAACATGCGCGCTGCCATCAACCGCACCATCGACTTCAAGCAGAGCAACGGCAAGGAGTACAAGCTCAAGCCGCAGGGTCAGACCGCCGTTCTCCTCGTCCGACCTCGTGGCTGGCACTTGAACGAAGAGCACATTGTCGTTGACGGCAAGCCCATGTCCGGCTCGCTCGTCGACTTTGGTCTCTACTTGTTCCACAACGCTCACGAGCTCGTCCGATCCGGCTACGGTCCTTACTTCTACCTCCCCAAGATGGAGAGTCACCTCGAGGCCCGTCTCTGGAACGACGTCTTCAACCTCTCGCAGGACTACATCAAGATGCCCCGCGGCACCATCCGCGGTACTGTGCTCATCGAGACCATCACGGCCGCTTTCGAGATGGACGAGATCCTCTACGAGCTCCGCCAGCACTCGTCCGGTCTCAACTGTGGTCGATGGGACTACATCTTCTCGTTCATCAAGCGTCAGCGTTACAACAGTGGCTCGATCCTACCCGACCGATCTGCCGTCACGATGACGGTCCCCTTCATGCAGGCCTACGTCAACCTGCTCATCCAGACCTGCCACAAGCGTGGTGTTGCGGCCATCGGTGGTATGGCCGCCCAGATTCCTATCAAGGACAACCCGCAAGCCAATGAGGCCGCTATGGAAAAGGTGCGTGCCGACAAGCTCCGCGAGGTTCAGGCGGGTCACGACGGTACGTGGGTTGCTCACCCTGCTCTCGTCAAGATCGCTCTTGAGATCTTCGACAAGCAGATGCTTGGCCCCAACCAGTACCACGTTCGTCGCGAGGAAGTCAAGGTTTCGGCTCTCGATTTGCTCAACTCAAACGTTCCCGGCCAGATCACCGAGGCCGGTGTCCGTGCCAACGTCGCTGCCTTGCTCGTCTACTGCGCCAACTGGCTCAATGGTCTTGGCTGTGTTCCGGTCGCCAACATGATGGAGGACGCTGCTACCGGTGAGATCTCGCGTCTTGGTCTGTGGTCGTGGGTCTACCACAAGCAAAAGACGGCTGAGGGTAACGCCATCACGCCTGCCTACGTTGACCGCATCCTTGACGAGGAGGCTGCCAAGGTCTCCAAGATCGGTGCCAGCGTCGAGAAGGCCAAGCGCTACATCGCCGACCAGGTTCGTGCTCCTGCACCGGATGAGTTCTTGACCACCGCTCTGTACTCGCACCTTCCTCACCAGCACGCTCCTGCCCGTATCTAAGCGATGCCGAGTGAGAAGTGCAGCTGTCATTCAGCCTTTTGTTCCGTCTTTTCACGTCCTTTGTAATGTATGCAACGTCCTCTTTGCCAAGCATCCAGCATTCTATCAAATACTCGGCCTGATTCAAAGGAAGCCTTGGTTGGGTGAAAGCTTGGGGGAGAATGTTTTCTCTGACAAGGTGGACGTCTGATCATAGTCGTGCATGAAGGTCTTCCCTGGAGCCAAGTGGACTGCATTGCATTCTAAGAGCAGTGATCTGCACCGTACAAGCATCAGAGCAAGGTCGAGATTGAAGGCTATAATGGTCTATTTCTGGCCCTTGCAAGCCGGTCAAGGTCGAGAGGCTTGATGGATGCGACTTTTTCCCTGGTCAATACACGCGTTGCTGCCGTTCAAGACGAGGTGGAGAGCCTTGTTATCAGCGTCAGTTAGGGATTCTGTTTCTGGATTGCATTCGCCCAAGCCGCTCAAAACGTGTCTCATGCCGCGACCAGAAATGCGCTTGCGGATAGCAGCCGAGCGAACGACCTTGGCTAGGATAGCTTGCCATCGTTGATTGCTCCTTGATCTTCTTGGCCATCAGCATCTATTGGATTCTTTGCAGCCTTGCAACAGCATATTTCTCTCAATCCAAAGCAGCACGCCAGCTCGCTTTCAACCGCTCAAATGCGGAACCAGCAACAAAGACTGTCCAAACTCGGTCTATCCTACTAGCCGCACACACACACCAACAAAGCCGAGACTCCTCCGGCACTCACTCTTACTCGCCCGATCAGCAAATACATTGACTCGCCTCGCAGTTGCCATGTCAACGCACCGCACGGCATACCTCATATCTCGGGTGTCAAGCCTCGAGAGTAAGCTGCATATCTTCCCACGAACTTGGCCCTTATCTCGGTCGCGCCAACACCGCGCTTGATTTCGGTCTTCCGGTCTTCCGGTGCCGAATACTCCGACCTAACATGGTAGACCCTGGAAATATCGACGTCGATCTGATAGCTTTTACAGAAGCCAAGTCGCAGATTGTGGCCCGCATTATTCCTTTTTTTTTTTTTTTTTTTTTTTTTTTTCCCAGTCCCTCTTTTTCCAGTCCCTCTTTTTCCAGTCCCTCTTTTTGCGGAAATAAGGAGTCACTCAACAGCGATGATCGGGAGATATCAGTCACAGTACGGTGTTCGAGCTAAGGAGCAAAAACACTATACTATATTGACATGAAGAAAAGAATGTGGCAGGAGCTTCGAGCTCCCCGCTAAGTATATATACAAATGTGTGGCACATACCCAAGTGTGAGTGCATCCCACCTAATGACAATGTGTAACAACGAGTGGGACGTCGTTGCACCCGATCCCCCTCTCCCATCGGCGCTGCCCGATGTTTTTAGCTGAGATCGACTTTGTTTGATCTCAGCCAGGATCTGCTCTGCCCGATAGATTTCAGGGTCGCGCTGGATCGTCCTCTTTAGCACTTTTCACTTTCTTTTTCTTTCAATTTACTGACACTTTTTGCAAGCGTCTGGTGACACACAGAACTGCGGCCCTTGATCACGCTACTGGAGCATCCTCTTTTGCACTTGGTGAGTATTGATCAAAGAGAGAGAGAGAGAAAAAAAACTGCTCAGTGACTGGCTTGTCCACTTCAGTCTCCTGAAGCACGCATCCATCCGACGGCGCCGAGCGAGCTTGTGCCAAACAATGAACGGGACATCCTTCTTTGCCTTCATTGGAGGGTCACGCTTTGATGCGATGGTGCAGCAATCATTCGGATAAGCTTCGATATTGGCGCACAGACATCCGATGGGGACGTCATGAGTTGATTTAAGCGCTCGCAAGGATCTGCCCAGCCAGTCGGTTCCGATTGAGCATCTCGCTTGGAAAGTGCAGGTGTCTCGCTCTGGCCCCCCTGCCAAAGTTCAAAATACGAGCCTGCTTGTCGCAGCGGCTCAACTCGTTTCCAGGTAGGTTATTTGCTCCTGCTACTTTTTTCCAGCTCCGTTCGGTATAGTTCAATGGAGCCTCAGCTTCATTGGATGGAAGTCAATGGCAGGAGTTGCACCAAAAAGGGCTCGACCTCGGATGACCAAGTCTGAAGCAACTTGGTGGCGGTCAAATCGCGGGTTGGCATTCTTTGCCAGTGCTTCTCTGCCCATCGAACCCTTTTTCGAAGCAATATGACAGGCATCCGAGGCAGGGGTGACGTGGTGAACTGGATTTATTTTTTTGAATTCATTTTTTGAATTCATTTTTTTGGATTTTTGGATTTTGGTGTCCAATTTCGAATTTTCGACCAGAGAGAGAGAGAGCCATCTGGTGCCTGAAGCAACGATCTGTCACCTGGATCGCACCGCTGACCCTCCCCTTTTTGTTTTCTTTTGTTTTCTTTTGTTTTCTTTTGTTTTCTTTTGTTTTCTTTTTTAATAACGTTTTTACGCCTGTTATGTCATCCTTTCTTCTTTCTCCCCTTCCTCTCTGTCGCGATTCTCGATGCTGCGCATTGTTGCCGTGCCTGCCTTTGTTCGTCTCTCTCTCTCTCTCTCTCTCTTTCTCTTTCTCTTCCCATCGACATCCACCAACCAACTAACATCCGTGAGCTCCGGACCCCGGCTTCGGTTCCTCGGTTTTTCTTTCCCTTGCTCTGACTATGCAAACTTGCATTGGCATTGCTGCGTACCCTGTTTCTCTCTCTCTGCCTTTCTCTCTCTCTCTCGACCCCCTTTTAACCGTCCATCGCGCCTCACTCTGCATCACATCGGCTGCCTTTTGCTGCCCTTCTTGTCTCGTCCCTTCTCTACTGCTGCTTCTTCTTCCTCACTGCCGCCTCTCACTTCTCCCTGGATCTGCTCCGACGGTTCGATTGCGCTTCGCTTGTTCTCCTTTTCGGTGGTGGACGCATTCTCTGGCTCTGGTTTTGGCTGTCTCTTCGTCATCGCTCGCCATCATCTACGTTCACCATCTCTTTCCTTCCCTCTATCTCTCCCTCTCCGTTACCGATCATCGTTACTGCGGCCGCCTGCGAACGATTCGAGCGAGCAGGAGTTTCACGTTCATCCAATTCCAGCCTCATCAGGCTCTCAAAAGCTCTACAGATCCCGCTCCTAGTGTTGACATCCCTTCTCGACTTCATTTCGACTTGCCCAACAGCACACATTAGGTTCGCCTTTGTCGTCCTCGCTACCACAACTCACTTGTCCTGCATTGCGGTTCTCTCAGTTCGCATCCAATCATTCGCAGAGTTAGATTTGTTTGCTCTGTTCTCTCTTCTATCTCAACCACTTCTTCACCAAAGATACTCCTGTTCTCTAGGGCTCTCTTCCAGCGAGTCCCAGAGCCGTCACGGAGTGTCTTCAAAGTCTGTCACCATTTCAGATCAACAAGCCCGCCAAAACTCTTTCCAGCCCCCTTTGTCACGCAAACGACCCGTGACAGAGGCAGACTCCAGTACTTCGGCCCATTCAGAGTCGCTTGCGGAATCCAACAAACCCGCTCAGGCGGCCGCTGCTGCTGGCCCCTCCCCTTCTCCCAAGAGGGCGCGTTTTGAGGACACAAGCAGTGGTATCCTCTTTTCCGCCTCCGCCTCTGGCTCCATCGCCTCGGCCGCTGCTGCCTCGGTACCTCTCACTCCCTACTACGAATCGGTGCCACCCCATTACACGCCCTTGCCACCGACTCGCGCCATCTCTTCACCCCGTGCTTCCGTAGCGCCGCGATCCGGTAGCAGTCTAAGTTTCCAGAACATCCCCGCCAGTGGTCTAGGTGCTGCTCACAGTGATCCTAACTCGCCTTCCACTTCCAGCAACAGCGCAGCTCCGCGTCGATCCAACGCGCCAGCTTACAGCGCAGCTTCCACTCCAGTTAGCTTGGTCCCCTTCCCACAAGGTTCCTCCTACTTCTCCGATTCCTCATCTGTCAGAATGTTTGATCTCGACGAGTCCGTTCGGGCGCTCTACTTTGCGCCCACCCCGATCCTTGTGCTCGATCACAACAGGAGAATTCGCATGATGAATCGCCCGTGCGAGAGCATCTTCCTGATGACCGGCGTAAGCTGTATGGGTCAGACCATGGAGAAGTTGGTTGCTGATAAGCATCGAGGCGAGTTTACCACTGCGCTTAATGAAGCCGCACAGGTCAGAGCAACCGCCGCTTGGGCACCGCCCGTTTTGACTCGCCTCACATTCTTGCAGGACGACCAAAAGATGTTCTCGGCAGACATGTCGATATCCGCATGGCATCCCACCGACGAAGTCTTCTCTGAAGTGTTTAACAGCCACTATGTCAAGAACATGAATACCGAGACTGACAAGCAAGCCTGGCCACAGGAACAGGGCATCACGCCCATCACCTCGCATCCACAACCTCACCGCACCGACTCCATGGAGACGCGTAGCACCTCCTCGCTGCTCCCTCACGAATCCTACTTCACTATCAGCATTGTACCCACCCGTATGGCTGAAAGACGCATGAGTCCCGCAGACTTGCACCTCAATAAGGTCGACCAGCTCAAAGAGGCCGTCTTCCACACCATCGAAACCCCACTCATGGCCTTGTCTGCTGATGGCTCCACCGTCATCCGCAACCGCGCTTGTGACGAGGTGCTCAAGAACTTTGAGAAGAAGAATCCCCAGGACAAACCCCAAAAGGAGTTGCCCAAGCCCAAGAAGGAAGACGTCGAAGTCGACCTTTCTTGGCTTTCTGATGTCATGGAATGCTACACTGAAGACTTCAGCGAGCCGTTCCCAGAACAGGACTGGCCCATCTACCGAGCTGCCATTCTTGGCCAATTTACCAAGCCTATTCGAATCGGTTGCATGGCTACCGACACCGGCGCACGCAAGGTCTACGAGATCAGTGCCAAGCCAATGCGTGACGCCGGAGGTTTCGGAGAGCACATTGGTGGAGTCATCACACTTGTCGACGTCACCGATCAGGACACAAAGCACAAGCTCGAGGTCGAGAAGAAGGGTGAAGAATATTTCCGAACCATCTGTGACAGCATGCCCCAGCTGCTGTGGACCACAAGACCTGACGGTCATCACGATTGGTACAACGAGGGCTGGTACCGCTACACAGGTCTTGATCCCAACGACTCTTCCGGTGTTGGCTGGCAGCGCGTGTTCCACGAAGATGATATGGTCGAGACCAACAAGCGCTGGTCCCACTCGCTGCGCACTGGCGAGCCCTACCAGACCATGTACCGATGCAGGAGATACGACGGCATGTACAAGTGGATGCTTGGCCGAGCGCTGCCTCTCCGCGACCAGTCTACGGGCAAGATCATCAAATGGTACGGTAGTTGCACCGATTGTGACAACGAGGTCAAGGCGCTCGAGGCTTCTCGCAAATCGCAGGCCCAGCTTACGAGCGTCATCAACCATGCACACGTCACCATCTGGTCCATTGATCGAGATGCCATTATCACCATTGCCGAGGGTCCCGGTGTTCGTACGCTTCGCCTTGCTCCTGGCACACCTAATGGATCGGATGGCTCCGGCTCCGGCTCCGGCTCCGGCTCTGGCAACTCGATGTCTGGCTCCCTCTCCGCCACCGGCACTGCCAATGCACGCAGCGAGGATATCAAGGATGCCGAATCCCAGACCAACAGTCAGAGCGCAGTCAGCGGTCATGGCAAGCGCAGCAACCAGCGCACCATGATCGGTCGCAGCATCTATGAGGTCTGGGACTCGCCTGGTATTCGCGAAGCGATCAGCCGTGCTCTCAACGGCGAGTCTGTTGTCCAGGAGATGGAGATCGAAGGTCGCTGGTTCCGCACACAATACACGCCCCAGCGCGAGGAGTCGTACGAGCATGATGCAAACGAGGGCCCCATCATTGGTGTCGTGGGTGCGTCCATGGACATCACTGATCGCCGACGCGCTGAACTCAAGCTCGAGGAGTCGATGCATGAGCGTTCGCGAGCTCTCGCCGCTGAGACAGCTGCTAAGGAAGCCAGTCGCATCAAGTCCGAGTTCTTGGCCAATATGAGTCACGAGATCCGAACACCCATTGCTGGTGTCATTGGCCTGTCGGAGCTGCTCTGCGACACCCCGCTGTCCAAGGAGCAACGAGATTTTGCCGAAAACATTCAGCGATCTGCCGATGCTCTGCTAACGGTGATCAACGACATCCTCGATTTCGAGAAGCTTGAACTCGGCAAGATGGATCTCGAGAAGGCTGCTTTCAACCTCAACGTGGTCATCATGGATACGCAAAAGATGCTTACCTTTGCAACCCAGAAGAAGGGTCTCGAGTTCCGCAACGAATGTCAGCTCAACTACACTGGCCAAATAACAGGTGATGCAGGCAGGTTGCGGCAGGTGCTTACCAACTTGCTCACCAACGCAATCAAGTTCACAGCCGTAGGCTCCATCACTCTTCGCGTCATCGAGACCTACGAGGATGAGAAGAGTCTCCACGTTCACTTTGAAGTGCGCGACACCGGTTGCGGTATCTCGCAGATGACGCTCAAGAAGCTCTTCCAGCCATTCAGTCAGGCCGATCCATCCTTTGCCCGTCGCTTCGGCGGTACTGGTCTGGGTCTGTCGATCTGCAAGAACCTGGTCGATCTCATGGGGGGCACCATCGGTCTCGAGTCGGTGGAGAACAAGGGCTCGAACGCATGGTTCAGCATTCCCTTCGAGAAGGTGCGATCGAGCGAATCGAGCGGCGACTCGTCGCCGGATGAGGAGGCAATCCCAGAAGTGCAGATGGACGAAGCGACCAGCAGCCTTGGTGTCAGCGAGAACCCACTGCAGCGACCCAGGAAGGATATCTGGATCTTGGTCGCTGAGGACAACCTCATCAATGCTCAGATTGCGCTCAAGACGCTCAAGAAGATGGGTTTTAGCTGCAAGGTTGCCAAGGATGGTCTCGAGGCCATTGAGGAGGTCGGCAAGCATCCATACGACTTGATCCTCATGGATTGCCACATGCCCAACTGCGATGGCTACGAGGCCACAAAGCGATTGCGCAAGTCGAACAGCGTCGACGTTCGCACGACTCCAATCATCGCTATGACGGCTTCGGCCATTCGTGGTGATCGTGAGAAGTGTCTTGCCGCTGGCATGTCCGATTACCTTTCCAAGCCGGTCAAGAGTGTCGCGCTGGAGACGACCCTGGTCAAGTGGCTGTTCGACCCTTCGACCCGACAGAGTCTCTCGAGGTACGTTGCTGCACCCTCTCATGGCGACTACTTTGGTCTCAAGAAGCCTGAAGGTGGACTCGAAGTGACGATCCCAGCGCCCGGTCAACCAGGATCTCTGCCTCAGCTGATTGAGCGAGACTCGACCGAGACTGTGATGGGCCCTCGCTCGATCCAGTCGGGACGCCGTGGCTCCTTGAACCCGATCTCGGAACGCGAGAAGGTAGCAGCCGAGATCGCTGCAACCCCTTCACCCGTTGTGGCGTCTCAATTATCGCAGTCGTCGTACTCGGTAGCATTCGCCGGCTTGGATGAAAAGGACGGCAACAGCCTCGAAGAGCTGACTGCCGAGGGCTCGAACCCAACCTCTCGCGCCGAGAGCGACGATGATGTCTCCTCTGACGCTAGAGTCTCTTCCAAACCTAGCAAGAACAGCAAGCGTAGGCTCTTACGGCATGGCCCTGTCAAGGTGAAGGCCAACGATCCCATGCCTGCCAAGTTCAAGCCTGCACCCAAGGTTCTCTCGGCTCCCGAGCTGGCGTTGGCGGATAAGCCACCTATTTTCATTCGTCGTTCGTCGCGCGAACAAGGCGGTCTTGGACGTGATTTGGAGGGTGAGGTTGTCCGAGCGATGGAAGATGGCCGCGAAGGATCCTCGCTCGGTGTTTCGATGGAGGAGGCGGCCGAAGATGGTGCTGAGGCCATTGCTGAAGACAAGTCCGCCTCGACACGTATTCAAACATAACTTATATGTTGGAGCGAATCACGGACTTGATTGGTAGGAGGCGGTTTATTACGTATGACTGATACGATCATTGGATAGACCGAGGCATCCGGCCTGATACGAACATCGGTCATCCCGACGACCGACCTGATAGAAGCCGATACAAGCACAGCCTTCCTACATTATAGACGACTTGTTTTCCTATCTTTCCCAGTTTACCGGTCTTGGCTTTCGGCTTGTCATCATGTACTTTTTCTCTTGCAAACGTTATGGGCTCGTGGTGAAGTACGTGTGTCAGATATCGATGATTACAAGTATCAATTGTGATGATCATCATGAACTAAGTACATGGTGATTCAAGTGTATATATATGTCTCCTAGCATTCTATGTAAACGTGTATGATACAAGAATAATGAGTCTGAAACCTAACAAGGAAGCTATCTTGGCTATATCTTAACTCGTGTGCCAATGCTAGTTGCAATAGTCGATCCAGGTAATCAGGTAATGTGTGATGTATACCCAAGTGAGTGAGGTTGGCGTTAATGTGAGCTCCGAGTAGAAGTTGCATGCTTCAAGTTGAAGTTATATGCTTTCACTATATGGTGGTTTTTTTTTTTTTTTTTTTTTTTTTTTTTTTTTCCCACTCGTTCATTGATCAATCTGGATTTGCATTTTTCTGGCTTTACACTGCTGGATGAAAGTGCGTGTCTGTGATTGCGGAATACAGGGTGTGTCTGTGAGTTTACAAAACAAAGAAAGGTTCTTCATCCTTCTCCCCTCCTCCGCCGGCCATCTCGTCGCTATTCCCATCGTCATTGTCATCATCACCGCCTGCGAAGCCAAATGCATCTCGATTAGCTCCGCGACGTTGTTGTTTCTTCTGCCTTTTCAGTTTTCTATACTCTTGATCCCAATCTTCATCCTCCTCTTCCTCTTCCTGATCTTTCCTTCCCTTTTTCGACTTCTTGCTATTTGTATCAGCCTTCTTAGCCTCGGCCTCAGCTTGCTCTTGCTTCTTCACCTCATGAGCCTGATTTTTGAGGAACTTGCGTTTGGCCGCGCGCTTTTCTCTCTTCGCCTCTCTCAACTCCTTCTTTTCTCTTTGAGCTGACCATGCTCCCTCCGTTATACCATCGCCAAATTTCTTTTTGCGCTTCTTCTTCTCCCCTGCAAAGCCCAGTAATCTTGCTCCGGTCGAAGAGGCATCTGATATATCACTATCGCTATCACTGTTCCCCTCCTGTTCCTCTTCTTCCCTCGCCTTCACCGCAGCAGCTTTCGCTTCTCTCTCCAATCTGTGCTGCTCCATGTTCGCCAATCTAGCTTTCTCCTTTGCTTTATCCTTATATGGAACAGCAGCGAAATCAATGCTTTCCTCTGGATAGGTCATGTCAAAAGCTTTCCTAGCTTTCAATTCTGGCATAGCCGGTAGCCGAATCAATGCAAATGCATGTGCGACAGCTGCGAGGTCCAGGTCGGTGATGCGGAAGATGTACGACATTTCGTGTTTGGAGTATGCGCGGATATAGGATACGTATCCTCGAATAGAGTGGTCAAAAATTTCCCTATCACTTTTTGCGAGGTTGCGGATCGAAGATTCGAGTTCTCGTGCGGCGATATCGTTGCTCAGTGCTGATGGATCATCAGTGGGTGATGTAGGTTCGGAAACCCCTTCGAGTGTGGAGGAAAGGTAAGGATAAGGAGCGAGTGGAATACGTTTTCCACCCATATATGCAACGAAATCTTCCTCTCTACCAGAATGCAGCATTACGATGGCTCTGCCGCGTCGACCTGCTCGAGCTGTCCTACCGCATCTGTGCGAAAATACTTTTGGGTCCGTTGGAGGGTCGTATTGCACCACCACTTCCACGTCTGGTAAGTCCAACCCCCGAGCGGCGACATCAGTACAGAATAACACGGTCGACCCCATTCCGCCTTTAGTAGGGTCGAGAGAGGTGGATGTAACAAAGCCATCAAACATACTCTTACGTTTCGAAGGAGTCTGTTTCCCATGTAACGCAAACAATTCTATCCCCTTTTGCTTGAACGACGGCAACGCACTGAACACCGAATAGAAATAGTTAACCTCGGCGCAGGTGGCAAAGTAAACAATGAACTTTTTCGCCCCACCACTCATCCCCTTCTCACTCGCCTCAAATAACAGTATCCGCACTAACTGAGCAAGTTTGTTCTCCGGCCTACACACTTGAAACAGATTCTGCAACGTTGCCGGAGTTCTCCTGAATCCATCCACCGCCTTATTGGAGTGTTTGGATTTCGCTTCGACCTTCACCACCACTCGTACGGGGTTTCTAAGACCCATTCGCACTAGTTCAGAGAGAGCTTCGGTCATTGTTGCGCTGAACAATCCCGTTCTGCGTTGTTTGGGAAGAAGGGAGAGGATTCGACGTAGGTTCTCGGTAAATCCGAGATCGAGTAAGCGATCTGCTTCGTCGAGGACGAGGAGGTCGAGTTCGGATTTTTTGACTCCTTTGCGGGTGAGTAGCTCTTCCAATCGACCAGGGGTCCCGACTAGAATGTCTGGTCCAGAGTCTCGGAATGTTCGGTAATCGTCCAGTGGGGTCGACTTTGAACCACCGACGATGAGTTGTGCTCCGGAGATACGAGTTGTTTTGCGAGATATGGTGGAGTGGGTGAGCTTTGGTTCCTTGCGTGGTGCGTCTGAGTCCGAATCTGAGTCGGGGTCACTTTCTTGCTCTTGCTCTTCTTGCTCTTCTTGCTCCTCAGCAGCAGCTTCAGCGCTGCTCTGTGCATCCAAAAACATCTGTATGACCTTGTAAATTTGCTCAGCCAACTCCCGCGTGGGACTAACAATCAACGCTCCCACCTCGTCCTTTTTCAACTTTGTCGTTCTCCGTAACAGCATCTCCAAAACTGGAATTACGAACGCTAACGTCTTACCCGACCCAGTAACCGCTTCAACAATCACATCCTTGTGAGCCAAAAAGAGCGGTATCGTGGACGCTTGAACAGGAGTCATTTGAGCAAATCCGAGGTCGGAGAGTAGGGAGGAAATGAATGGTGTTATAGCGGGGTTCAGTTTTGACCATCTTCCAGCGTAGGATGGAGCTGTGCGGAGTTTTGATGGTCCTGCCATCGAAGTTGGTGCCGATGGCGGAATAGTGGTGTTTGTGCCTCTCATGATGGAATGCGTGCAGCTGTAGAGCTGCTGATGGGTGGCGAGAAGAGTTGGTATGGCATGAGGTCAAGAAGAATGTCGGGAGGAAGTCTGGAGGTGCATTTCGAAAAATTTGAGTCACGTGCATGTAGTGAACCCTTGTTGCAGCTCAAAACCTCCACACTTCAGAGCAGCACACAATAGCAACAAAAATAAAGGGAGAAAAAGAAAAAGAAAAAGAAAAAGAAAAAGAACTGCAGCACCTAGGATTCCCGCGTGGTCCCCCACCGCAGTACTGACTAGGCGATACCTTGCTTAACTTCGCAGATCGGACGGGATGCGGTGCTTTCAAGGTTCTATGGCCGCAGATGTTAACTTCAGTTTACTAGCACATCAATATCTGTATTAGATACTGCCAAAATTGAAAGATTCACAGACCACAAGAGAGTAGTTGCACACTTCTGGGTTAGGATGGGGGCTGAACTCGCTGCGACTAGATAATAAGTTCTAGCCGGACCATTACTATAACTGAAATAGAGAGCGGTATGGGATACATGTAGCAGAGACAAAACTGCTCAAAGAAGCCAGGCAAAGCAAGTATGGGTTCAAGACCAACGAGAGCCAGCTTTGAACACATGCAGAAACGACAAGTGACGCTGTTACATGACAAGGCACTTCTCATCACGCTCTTTGAAGCCCATCGCCTCCAGTTCCTCGGCTCGACGTTCCTTCTCGTTGTCCTTGTTCTTCTCCTTGACCTCCTTTGGGAACCATGTTTGGAGATACTTGTCGGATTCTTCGTCCATGTTGCGTTTATCGGCTGACTTGACAACACCTGGAGCTCTGCAGAGCGGACAGTCGTCTTTACCCTGTCTCTGGAGCTTGACTAAGCATCGCAAGCAGAAGAGATGCGAGCAGTCAAGACGAACAGGTCGCCAGGCTACAGAGGTGCAGATCGCACAGCTGTAGTCGTCTACCGATGGCAAGATCGGGAGCAGAGTCGTAGTGACTAGGGAGAGAAGGATGTGTGGCAGCGATTCTGACAGGATACCTGTGGTGGCCGATGGCAAGAGTGCAGCGAGGGAAGGATGGGCAGCTGAAGAAACAAGCCCAGTCGAGTTGCCGTTCAATAGCTCAGGCGTTTGCTGCAATGCCGATGCTGGCAGATTGATCACTCCACCCGACCCGACAGGATGGATCGCCATAGCTCGTCTCGAAGCCTCCTGTTGAGCCATAAACGTCCTCAAATCATTACTCGCCGTCAACGCCGTCCTTTTATCGTGCTTCTTCAGGATCTTCCTCGCCGCCTCTACATTGACTCGCTGGAACTTCTTGACATCCAACAAAGCAAAGTTGAGACGCAAAAAGTCCTCAATAGCCGCTGCACTAGTCTGGTTGTTCAATCCTTGACTACTAGGTCCTGTTCCGAGCTTGAGCTTGACCAATCTACCCTTCTTATTCGGAGCTGGGGCGGCATTTGGATCGTGGATCCATCCACGCTTGGCAAGCTCAATCGCAAAACGTTTCAGTCGAGCTTCAGTTTCGTCGATACTTAGCTCGCCGCGATCCTTTTCGCGTTGACTTTCAAACACCTGCGTGTCGACCCAAAGCCCGAAGATCTCCCTCCACACGTAGAGGTCGTTCTTCGATGCGAATGGGCTTGACGCGCGTGCGATGGAAGAGCAAAGCGACTCGGTCTCGGAGACAAAGTTGTCGCGTTGGTGGGACTGGATGTTGGACAGGTTCTGAAGTGCGTGTGTGAGGGTATCCAGGAATTGCGTATCGGCGGTGAGAGGGATGACGATCTCGCGAGATCGCACTCCGCGCTTTCTGCGAATTTCGCTTTGACGTTTGGCTTTTTGCTCCCGGGTCTCGCCTTCGGGTCCGTCTTCGGGGATGGTGGAGAAGCGTCGTGTGGGTATGGCGGAAAGCTCGATGATTTGCTCTTCGATGCTCTTGCGGCTGCTGGCGTCGTCTGAAGCGCTACCGGCGTCGTCCTGCTGGCCTTCATCGTCACTTTCATCGTCGGAAGGAAGAGGCGATTCGATGTAGAGTCGGATACGAGGTACTGGATGATCCGGTGTTCCGCCGAGCTCGTACTCTGCACGTGCACGTCGACCGAACTTGCCTTCAACCCAACGATGCTTGGCTGGACTTGTGCTGCGTTCGGTGCGAGAAGCGGAGGGTGATGCTAGTGATGCGCGACTAGGCCTGACAGGGGTTAAGCTGGGATCCCAATCGAGCTTTGCCTCTTGCCTCCACTTGCTGGCAGACCAATCGTGGTGTCCTGGGCTTGGGTCATGGGAGTAGCTTGCTCTTGTCTTGCCGTTGACGTCGGGCGAGCTGCTCCCTTGTCGCATCGCAGCGAGAACTTTACGACCGATGCCTGCCCATTTGGTCGGATCGGGTGCCGAGCCAGCATTGAAGGAGGCTCGTGTGCGCGAGCCGGACTGGAGATGCACATGGTCGAGTGAGGTGCTGAGCTCTTCGACACCGTGACTGTAACTGCGTGGCTTGGGAGAGGTGGGAATAGCAAGAAAGTTTGATGGGGCTGGTGACGCGGATGCCTCAGCTTTTCGGTTAGAGCTAGACGAAGCCTCATCGAGATAGATCCCTTTCTTGTGCCCAGGCGAAGGGGCTCTGCGAATCATGTCCACCGAGAAGTCGCTGACCCACTTGCCAGCCGGAGTGAGCTCCTTTTTGGTTGTTGGCTCATCTTGCTGTTCCGAGCTGTTGCCGGAATCATCTGCTACTGCTGAGTCGAGGTCGTCCAAGTCGGCATCGAGTGACTGGGGTTTCGTCTTTGGCGGAGAGGAAGTTGGTGAGTCGGTTTCATCCTCGGGGCGGATAAGAAGCTCCCGAAGGACGTCAGCACCCAAGCCGATGGATTCGAGTTCAGCAACAACACCATTGATGAGCTTCTTCAGATGCTTGTACTCCAATGCTCCATTTCTCCACTCCTCCGGAAAGGAAGAATCGGCCATGGTCTCCATGTAGGTCTTGCCGAACTTCATCTTGGCTGCTGCGTGGCGCCCCGCGCTTCTACGGTGATGATAACGTCGTTGTGGTCAGAGCGACAAGGCGCTCCGCAGTAGTTCACCGACGGCCTGAGTGACGGTGGTGCTGGGACAGGAAGTTGCAGAAAGATGAGAGCTTCATTGAGCCAAAAAAAAAAAAAAAAAAAAAAAAAAAAAGGTGAAGAATGGGGATCGCTGTCGTGCGAGGTCGAGTGAGTTGAAGTAGATAAAGCCGCACAAAGCGTGGAGACAGTGAAGGTAGTGCTTACGGCCGAGTAAAAGGCCTGAACATCTTAGCACGGACCACATGTGTCACAACCTACTCAAGGCAAATGCTTTGTTATGCTCCGCAGTCCGCCGCTCTTCTTTTGTATATAAAAGACTCCTAGCTCTCTCGCTCTCTCTCTCTCCTACCATCATCATCAACAAAGACACCTCAACCCCAACCACTGACGAATGACTCCAAGACGCTGACGAATGACTTCAACTGATTAAGAGTCTGACACTCAACGCAATGCCGCCATCGACAAGAGCTGGACAGACGGGAAGGGGCGATGATGATCAAACGACCACAAGCAATGGACAGGAGGAAGGATGGCTCACGCAGGTAGTCAGGATCCTCCAGCTGGCGAACCCGGCACTATCGGCAGAGGAAGCAATAGTACGGGCCATGGGTCTGGTCAACATTAGCAACCAAGCTCCACGCGGGGAGACCGAAAAGATCCCCAAGGACGTATCGAGCTCCATTGCTCACATCAAGAAGCTCAGCGATAGCAATTGGCACACCTGGGAACCCACCTTTATCGACTGCCTCCAGAGAGTGCATAACGCGAAGGAAATCCTGTATGGTACCGTTGTACCCGGGAGCGAGGAATACGATGAAGACCTAGACAAGGCACTCGTGGGCCTCATCCACGCCTGCTGCGATAACAGCCCGGATAGCCGCATCGACACCTACACCGTCAGAGGGGTGGATGAAGAAGTTCAACTTGGTAGCACACTCTATGCCAAACTCAAGAAGGCACTAACACTAAACGACGCTGTAAAGCGAGCAGGACTGCAGGATCGTATCCACACAGTGCGCTTGCACAATCGAGACGTTGTCAGACTAGGCAAGGAACTTGATTCGATCTGGAACGATGCGGCACGCCTCGGAAAGCGTTTCGACGAGGACCTCAAGAAATCAACTCTCTATCGCTGCACGGCTCAAGATTGGTTCTACGCCAACACCGTCGATGCACTGAAAACGGCCAAACCAGACTGCAAGTATGACGAAGCCTACCATGCACTGGCCAAGAAACAGCAGGATGGTGAGATCACTGGTCGTATTAGAGGAGCAGCAAGGGTCGCCACAAACGCGGAACAGGGGAGTGCCAACCAGGCGGAGCAAGGACCCAGGGGAAGGCGCGATCCTCGCAATCCCTTGGCCCCTCCAAAGTGCTATGCTTGCGGAGGACCAAATCACATTGCTCGAAATTGCACAAACGCACGAGGCACAAGCGAACCTGTCGCTCGTACGACACAGGAGGTGAACCACTAGGAACTCGGGTGCACCTTTCTAGCAGTCGACAGGGGCGAGCGATCAGCATGCGACACCTGGATCATCGATTCAGGTGCAACCCATCATATGGTAAATGATGAGAGAATGCTGCTCACCTCAACGAACAAGGTCGGCCAAATCAGTACGGCAGGGGACGAAAAGCTTCAGGTGAAGGCTATAGGAGATGCCTCCCTTCGGGTCGGTGAGGCCACCATCCAACTATTGGATGTGCTTTATGTACCGAAACTGAATGCTAACTTATTGTCCGTACAAGGCTTGATCGAGAATGGTGCACGAGTAATCTTCGATGAGTTTGGAACTACCATAAAGCAGAACGATGGTACCCAAGTACAATTCAAAAGGGACAGAAGACAGGGCCACTTCAAAGTGCGAGGACAAGCACTGGCTTTGGAACTGGAGGAAACACGAGATGGCGTCCCAGAGGACAACCAGAACACAGGAAAACTAGATAATGCCCCAGAGGGCAATAAGGACACGAAGCATCGAGACAGCTACCTATGGCATGAGAGGTTCGGACACCCAGGACGAGACAAAACGAGACAAATCCGGGCCCATTACCTAGGTACCGATGAGGAAATGGAACATGAGTCGAAGCACTGCAATGCGTGCAGTCAAGGAAAACAGACTCGAGCACGGATGAGCCAATCAGAGTCGGAAAGAATGGAGGCACCATTAGAGCTGGTACACGTAGACCTGATGACAGATTTCAAAGGACATGCCAACTACCACTATGCACTAGTTGCTGTGGACGACTTCTCCTCTCTGATCTACGTGGAACCACTCTGCACAAAGAGTGCTGCACTCACGGCGCTGAGAAGGTGGATAGCCAGGATGGAACGGGCAACGGACAGGAAACTCAAAACACTCCGCAGCGACAATGGAGGAGAATGGTGCAGCATAGCAGCCGAAGACTGGCAAACTCAAGAGGGTTTTAAGTGGCAAAAGAGCGTCCCGGGGATCAGCGTCCAAAATGGACGGGCAGAGAGAGCAATCAGATCGGTCCAAGAAAAGATGCGCTCGATGCTGATTGGTCGAGCTTGCCCTAGAGAGTTGTGGCCGTATGCAATCACAGCAGCAGCACACGTGATGAACCTTACCCCGTCAGCCACCAAAACCATTCCCCACGAGGCCTTCTATGGAACCACTGCGCACAAGCTGGCCCAGCAACTGCGAGTCTTCGGATGCTTGGCATGGGTTCATGTTCAACAGAAGGACCAGCAAGGCAAGCACGGAGCTAGAGCAAAGCCAGCCATCATGATTGGGTATGACGACGAACACAAAGCATGGAAGTTTTGCAACCCGGACCAGCCTGCGTCAATTCAATGGAGCAACTCAGCAACGTTCCATGAGGACAAAGGATGGAGTGATCGCCAACAAGAGGCAGTCAGGCCTGTGGTGACCGCGGAGGTCGAGGAGGAGAGTGTCACGCCAGCCATAGTGGAGGAGGAGACCAAATCAGAGGCTGCAGTGGAGGATCTCCTAACAGCCGAAGACAGCACAGTAGGCGCCGCCAACACAGCAATACTGAACCTGGACCCAACACTTGGGGAAGCAATGGATGGTGAGGATGCCCAGCTCTGGAAGGAGGCAATACGAAAGGAGCTAGAAGGACTCGAGGCAATGGGGACTTGGGAGGTGGTGCACCAACCGCCAGGAGTACCACTTGTGGACTCTAAGGTTGTGCTTCGGCTGAAGCTTGATGCTGATGGTGTACCTGTTAAGCACAAGGCACGACTGGTTGCAAGGGGCTTCACACAGAGAGAGGGGATCGACTACCAAGAAACTGTCAGGGGTCTCGCGCCTGAAACCCAGGTCGGTCTGTCGAGATACTCGGTGACTATCAAACTGTGCGACAGCTATTTGTCAGGGGTCTCGCGCCTGAAACCCAGGTCGGTCCGTCGAGATACTCGGTGTCTATCAAGTTGTGTGACAGCTATTGTCTCGGTATCGGTGACTATCAAGTTGTGCAGTGACAGCAGGTGGCGTTCGTTGTATACACTATCGTAGGTTTCGACTGACCTCTGTGGACACTCCGTTCAGGGGTAGCTCGGCACGATCGATATCAATGTTATGATGACACCAAGGTCTGGTGTGAGTGTTAATGATGATGAGGTTGATGGTGTTGGTGATGGGATTGGTGATGTCGATGATAATGAGGTTGATGGTGTTGGTGATAAGGTTGGTGGCGTCAACACGAGTGTCCAGTGTGTTGACTTGATGCTTGAAGTGATCCCCGGACCGCAGTGGACTACTGCCTTCGGTTCTATCTATATCCGGACCGCTAACCTGCTATAGGCGCCTTCGGACGTCAGGTAGTGGTGATACAACACACACACTACGATGAGGAGCAACCTTGATAGATTGCTGCTATGCTGACTGAAACTAATGTATACTTATGCTGAAGTGATAACTAGTTATGGTGAGTAGAGTGGATGGGGATCCACTCGACCTATGATGATGAGAAAGCATGGTTATATACCTCTTCACAGCATTGCCAGCGATGCTGCTCCTGCTCTCTCTCCAGAGAGTACCTTCTTCATCGAGTATTGCTCAGGGGCCTCTCCTGCTTAGCACCCCTGTGCCTCTTGTCGACACTGCTCCTCCTCCTCATGACCTGGTGTCGACTCCTTCGACACTGCTCCTCCTCCTTTGATCAGTGACAGTTCCTTTGGCTCTTGTCTCTCGAGCCCCTGAATGGTAACCATCTGCATGCTCCTTGAGCTTGGTCCTCTTCGTGGCTTGTGCTTGGCCCTCCTTTGCATGTGAGTCCATAGGAGTCCATGGTCTCCATGGAGACTGCACTACGACCATGCTCTCTACTGGTGTCGACTAGGTCTTCGATACCTGTGCTCCTTCCATATGAACCCATGACCCTCCTGCTTCTTGAGTATCCAGGCCCATGACACTACCCCCCTCTTAAGAGCCGAGCTCCGTCGAGGCATGCTCTGGTCTGGTTCATGCTGACTCCTCCTCCTTGACAACATCGCCAACATCATCCTTCCTCCTTCTCTCAACGTCATCCTCCTTCCTCTTCCTGTCTCTACTCCTCCTGTTCTCTCCTCCTCTCTCCACTCTGTCTCCTCCTTCGTCCCCCCTCCGACACCTCATACTCCTGGATGAGGTCGGGACAGTTGAGGTTCTCTACTGGTTCCCATGAAGCAGCTTCCTCTGAGTACCCTCTCCACAACACCTTGTACTCCGTAGTCCCATTGTGTGAACGCTTGTCGATGAGTGCTTCGACTTCGAAGTCGAGGTCCTCATCTGGAAGTGATGGTATGGTGGGCTGTTCAGCACGTTGAGGAAGAGAACTTGTTCTTGCTGGCTCGAGCATGGAGACATGGAACACATCATGCACCCTAAGGTTTGCTGGCAATGTGATTCGATAAGCTCGGCGTCCTACCCGTTCCTGAACTGGGTAGGGTCCTGCAAACCGGGTGTCTAACTTGGGTGTGGGTCTCCTTGTCTTCCAGTTTCGTCGGTTGATATAGACCATATCACCCACCTTAAACTCGATGTCCTTGTGCTTCCTGTTATACTGGTCTACTGATCTACGTTGTGCCTCTCTGATCTGCTCCTGGAGGTACTTGCAACGCTCCTTTCCATCCATGAGGTACTCGAAGCGACCTGGATCATTGACCCCTAGTCGTTGAGGGATGTCAGGATGAGCTTTGGGGTTCCATCCATAGCATGCAAAGAATGGTGAGACACCAATGCTGTTGTGGACCGTGTTGTTGTATACAAAGGCCGCAGTGTCCAGCAGGTTGGCCCAGTCATTCTGCTCATAGTTGCAGTACATCCTGAGATATTGCTCTATGACCTGATTGACTCTCTCTGTCTGACCATCAGTTTGAGGATGGTAAGCCGTGCTAAGTGAGTGCTTCACACCCATTTGCTCTGCAAATGCCTTCCATGCTCCTGATATGAACTGCCTGCCTCGGTCCGAGACCATGTGGTCTGGATATCCGAAGAGTCTAACCATGTGTCCATATAGCAATACTGCAGTCTGTTTGGCTGTGACTGTCTTATGGGTTGGAGCTAGTATGGCAAACTTGGTTAACCTGTCGACAATGACTAGGATAGAGTCATAGGTCTTGGAGTCATACTTCTTTGATGGTGGTAGTCCTTCAATGAAGTCGAGGGATATGGAGCCCCAGGGCCTGTCTGGGGTTGCTAGTGGCTGTAGCAAACCATATGGACGATGACGAGGAGCTTTGTACCTAGCACATACAGGACAACTTGCTACATAGTCTGCAATCCAAGCTGTCATGTTTGGCCACCAGTAATGTCGTTGAGCTGCCTTGATGGTAGCATCTCTTCCTACGTGTCCAGCAGTGATACCATCATGGCATTGGGTCATCACCATGAATCGCAGATGCTCTACAGAGAGAGACTGTCCATCTACCTCTTTGGCACTCCTTGAGTGTCGGTTGTTGGTCCTCCCTGGCATGATCACCTTGGGGATAACCAACCTTCCTCCACTGTACCATAGGTCATCCTTGAGTTCGAAAGGCTTCTTCCTATGTATCTCCTGTAGCTCTTGGTCTAAAGGCTGGAAGATCTTGACCAGGTCTTTGAGGCCTTTTGATGCTATGGACTCCATCGAGATCATGGGGGCCACTAGGAGCGAGTCATGGTCTGCTGTCTCCTTGAATACTCGAGGAGGCAGTAGTTGCCTCACATTGTGATCCTGCTCTTCACCAGCTGGTTGCATGTCTGTCCTTCTGGTGAGAGCATCGGGTTCACCACCTTTGTCTCCTGGTCGATACTGCAATATGAAGTCGAAGTCTGCTAGTAGTATGGCCCATCGAGCCTGTCGACCTGTGATGCGTCTCTGTGACTTGAAGTACTTGAGGGCTTCATGGTCAGTGAGGATGACCAGTTGGTTCGGTAGTCCAGCTAGCATGTGTCGCCACTGAGTGAGGCAGGCGACCACAGCTAGGAGCTCCTTATCATGGATCTCATAGTTCTTCTCGGCAGAAGACATCTTCCTAGAGTAGAAGGCCACTGGATGCCATCGTCCTTCATGCTCCTGCTTGAGCACTCCTGCTATAGCAAAGTCACTTGCATCAGTCTCCAACCTTGTTGGAAGGTGGTAGTCGAAGTGCTGAAGCACTCCTGCTGATGTGAAGGCCTGGATGAGCTTGTGGAAAGCCTGTTGGGCCTCCTCTGGTAGCTCGAGCTTCTTGAACCGTTCTATAGGTTTTACCAGTGCTGTCAAGGGCTTGGCTATGCGAGCAAAGTGGGCTATGAACCTTCGATAGAAGTTGGCAAAACCCAGGAACCTCTGGATGTCATGGATTGACTCTGGCATTGGCCACTCCTTGACAGTGCGCACCTTTTCTGGGTCCATCTCTATGCCCGTTGGCTTGATGATGTACCCCAGGAACTCGACTGTCTTGGTGTGGAACTCACACTTCGACAGCTTAGCAAAGAGCCTGTTGCTCCTTAAGCGAGTGAGGACCTCGGTGACATGCTTCACATGTACCTCTTCAGTGTCACTGAAGATCAGGAAGTCATCTAAGTATACCACTACATATACTCCAATGATGTCTCGGAAGATGTCATTGATGAATGACTGGAAGTGAGCCGGAGCATTGGCTAGGCCAAAGGGCATCACTAGGTACTCATAGAGTCCCAACTGAGTGCCAAAAGCTGTCTTCCATTCATCTCCTTTAGCAATCCGAATGAGGTTGTATGCTGCTCTAAGGTCTAGCTTGGTATAGATCCTTGCCTTCCTGAGTAAGAACAGCTGCTCCTCGATGAGGGGCAATGGTGCCCTGTTCTTGACAGTGATCTCGTTGAGACCTCTGTAGTCCACACAGAGTCTGAGACCTCCATCCTTCTTTGGTACGAAGAGCACTGGTGATCGTGCCGGGCTCTTCGATGGTCTTATGAACCCCTTCTCGAGGTTCTCATCCAAGTATCTCCTCAACTCGGACATCTCCTTGGGTCCCTTAAGGTATAGGGGCCCTTGAGGTGGCTTCCCTCCTTCTATCAACTCGAGGTGGAGATCATGCTCGGTATGATGGGGCAGCTTGTCTGCTTCCACCTCATCAAACACATCTCGCAGGTGTTGGTATGGCTTTGGTATGTCTGCAGCCGTCACCACCTTATCTACCTCCACCTCCATCTCGACTCCTTTGTCTGCGCCTGTAGGTACAAAACCAAAGGCTGGGAGTGATGATGGTGGCTCCTCTAACAGCATGAACCCTATGGGTCCATCTTCCAGAGCTGCTCGTAGTATGCGCTCTGCTGAGACAAACTCGTTACCATGGAGGGTTGGTCTCCTCATGGTTAGGTCCCCTGCTCTTGCTGCTTCAGGGGGTCTCCTAGGGGGTCTCCTAGGGGGTCGGTCCTGCTCCTGAGTCTTGAACTCCAGCTGGCCCGTATCCCATTGTATGGTGGGTTTGAGCCTCCGTAGCTCAGTGAACCCCAGGATGAGGTCATAGTCTGCAGTGTCGGCCACTGAAGCTTCGACCACACCCAGATTGTGTGTACCAATGGATACCTGCATGCTCGCAGAACTATTGATGGAGAGTTGGTGCCCGGTGACACCATGGATCGATCTTGTTTTTATGGGTTTTGTGGGTATTTGGTACTTACTAATGAAAGAATCTGAGACTATGGACAAACCAGCACCGGTATCAGCTAGTATCCGAGCAGGATGGTCTTGAACCATTCCAGAGAGCTCCAGTACTGCTTTGCCTCCACTGGTAGAGAAACATACTTGACAATCTTGATATATACAGAGTGATGGCGAGGAGGTTTGTAGAGCAATGCATGCCATCAGTGCATCACCCCACTGACGTTTCCCTCGTCATCATCATCATCGTGCTCCTCCTCGTGATCGAGGTCCATGGGTTGCTGGTATGAGCTGAGGTCCATGGCCTCGGGGTCACCCGTCTCAGTGCTGCCTGTGGGGCCATCTCCTGAGTCGGTGGCCTCCTCGAAGGGGTCTGCTGTGGTGACCATAACCTTTGGTCCCATGGGTCGAGAGCTAAGAGGGTTTACCCTCCTGCTGGGGCAGTCTCTGGCCCAATGGCCGATACCTTTGCATACATGACAGGTGTTGATACCTGATGGAGCAGGGCTTCCTTGCTTCGAGGGTTGGGTGGGATGATGAGGAAGGGGTCGGTTTAGGTTTTGTATAGTTGCTTGTGTAGTTGCTTGTGATGGTGATCGAGCTGGATAAGGTTGAGTGGGTTGTCTGATGGGGATCGAACTTTGATTTGGCCGAGACCCAGTTCTTAGTGGAGGTGACGTGGCATTTGGAAGTGAGTGTCTAGCCGAGGACT